CCCCCCCCGGTGGGATAGTTGGGTTGAGTTGGAGTTGTCGGAACTCGTTGGTAACCATCTCTACTTCTTCTCCCAGAACAAGTTGATCTCCTGGCCTTGCAGCCAGTCGGCCATGGCCTTGTACATGTCAAAGAAGCCCTGGTTCCCGGCGTTGGGCAGATCGTTCAGGATCGGGTGACCCAGCGAGTTCTGCGCCGCGGCAAGGTACTGGTAGCCTTCGGTGTACTTGTCCAGCTCCTCCTTGGGGAAATGTGGCACGGTCTTGCCGTCCACGGGGACCACCCTGTCCTTCTCGTAGAAGAGTTTGACGTACTGGGCTTTCCACGCGCCCTCCTCGATCTTGCAGAAGAAGATGAAGCGGCAGTCGCACTCGACGTCGACGGCGATGCCCTGGATCGTGAATCGTTGTGTGATGGTGGCCTTCATCTTGCCGAGGCCGCGCTGCGTGGCGAGGTTCACGTTGGCGAGGGTGCCGTTTTCACGGTGCATGATGAAGTCACCGTTGGCGCGGCCTTTGATGGAGACCTCGATGAATTTCTCAATCGGGAGGCCACCGGACCATGCTGTTTCAAATCAAAAGTCTCAGTCATGAGGGTCCTCACATGCCCTTCCTTTGTGAGATGTGGTGATGGCTTACTCGTCCATACGTAGGCCCCCTCCTTGGCAAACAAGCTGCGGTAGTTCTTCCATTCCGAGGCGTCGCGGTAGACCGGCCACCCTTTGCATAGCTCAGTGACGCAGTATCTGGCGAGAATCTCCTCAGTGGTGCCGTTGATGTGGGAGGTCATGACGGGCTCGGTTTCCTCAGGGGGAACGTTGTAGACCATGTTTGCTGTTCGAGTCTGTTGTGTCGATTTTATCGATGATAGAGGCGTGCGCCCTGTGTCTGAAGAGGATTATGGAGCAGTAAATTTGGCTTTGAATGATGAGAGGGAGTACTGTTTCTCTCAACCGGCCTTTGCGTATGTAGCGCAGAAAGCACAACCAGCCTTTTCTCACCCAGCAAGAAGCATTATATACGTCGATTCTGCCGTCGGCATCAGCAATGACAAAGGGAGCAAGGCCGTCATGGCTCTGACTATCGAAAACAGCTGGCTCAGCAGTAGATGCCGTCGGGGTGCTCCGCGACGGCAGGCACGTTCGGGAGGTGATGAAGCTGATCGCTCCGAGGCATTTTGCTCGTCATCGGTGAGATTCAGCGTGTCGAGGCCTAGGGAGCCGAAAAGGACTCCGGGGTGCAGGAGGTGGAGATGGAGATTAACGAACGGACAAGTGAATGGCCGCCTTTCCGCTCCTAACGCGACTCGGATCTGGAGGTCGGCTATTGCGATGCCAAGACCCCCTAGTCTCCTTTTGGTGCTCCGGGCTCGGCGGGGCTGCGTCACAGCTACTCGAGGCCGCTAAACGCCGACGAGGCTCCTGGTTCCGCAGTCTATAACAAAATCATAGCCAACCTACTGACCGTGCTCAGTACATCCCCTGATTGTCGAGCCTCCTCTGATCCACTCGTTGGAGGCAAAAGAAAATCGGTCCGCCGTCCCAAAAACTTAGCCGCCATGAGACCGGCTTGTCCCCCGACATCTTCCGATCGCCACCTCGCCGGCGCCATCCTCTGTAGTCTAGAAAACTTTTGTGCTTGTTACAGACTCTTCACTCTTTGACAATTGATGCCCAGAATATCCCGTTGCGGTTGTCTGAAAACAACCGATGCTCTTTCGCTTTTGTACTGTATAAGGAGACCTCCCGTTATTACATCATCTTGGAACCAGCAAATTCACTCCAGCTCCTGACTTCTGGAGGAATTCCTTCCTGTCGAGGAAGTTTAGCATTCATGCACTGAGCAAACAATAATGCGGTCTGGAGGCTGAGTTAGTCATGCCATCGTATCAGTGATGGGAGGGTCGGGTCTACCTTGGGCTCCATGAACAAAGGGACACCAAAGTCCACAGCGTTCCTTTTCATCACATAATCTTCGTCCACCAACGTCTTACCTCGAGTCTTTGCAAGGTTGAAGACTCCCCTGATGTCGTACTTCTGGAATACTTGTCGAAGTGCGTTCTTATCTGTCGTGGGAAACTCAATCACTTCAATCGAGGCACCGGGCTTCTCCAAGTGCTGCTTCACGTTTTGGCTCGCGGCATAGAACTTGTAGCCCAACGGTTGAAGATATTCCACAATCTTGGAAAGCTCAGGAAGCTCGGTCGATCCGCCAAGCAAGATTCCCTCCCCAGGCTCAGGCATCCGGAAGTTCATGGTTGACTGCAACGAGGCCCAGTATGCCTCGATCAGGTCTTTTCCGAAGCACGCAATCTCGCCTGTGCTGCTCATCTCAACGCCCAAGAAAGGATCAGCGCCCGCCAACCGAGTCCAGGAGAATTGTGGAACCTTGGTGGCCAGGTAGTCGCGCTTTTCAGCCATGAGATCCCGAGGCTCTGGGACATTCTGACCAACCAAAGCTTTGGTTGCAACATCAATAAAGTTGGTCCCAAGCACTTTGCTGACAAAAGGGAACGATCGCGAAGCACGAAGATTGCACTCAATGACTTTGAGTGCCGGCTCTTCACCAGGTGCATCAGCCTTGATGATCTGCATGTTGAAAGGCCCCGTGATATTCCAAGCTTTGGCCACTTTCTGGGCGATCTTCTTGACGCGAGCCATCACTTTCTCATCTAGATTTGCCGGAGGGAGGACCAAGGTAGCATCACCAGAATGGACACCTGCAGCTTCCACGTGTTCGGACACAGCGTGTAGAATTAGCTCTCCCTTTGATGCCACGGCGTCAACGTCAATTTCCTGAGCACCCTCGATAAACTTGGTGATGACGACAGGATGATCGGGGGAAACCGCTGAGGCGGATTCCAATTTGTCCTTCAGCTCTTCGTGGGTATAGATGACTGACATGGCAGCGCCCGAAAGAACATAGGATGGTCGAACAAGGACCGGATAACCCACCGAGTCAGCGAAAGCCTCAGCGTCTGCCACCGAGGTCAACTCTTTCCACGCAGGTTGATCCACGCCAATCGAGTCAAGGATCCGCGAGAACTTATGACGATCTTCAGCCTTGTCGATATCAACTGGATTGGTGCCCAGTACATGGGCCTTGCCCTCTTCCTGCAGCCGAAGCGCTATATTTTGCGGAAGCTGGCCGCCCACGCTGACAACGACGCCGGAAGCATTTTCAAGTTCGTAGATATCCATGACCCGTTCGTATGACAGCTCTTCGAAGTAGAGCTTGTCGGCGGTGTCGAAATCGGTGGAATAGGTCTCCGGATTATACTGGAAAGGTATATTAGCATGTGCATCGAAAGGATCAATACATTGGGAAAAAGAGAATCCAAGGGCGGGAACACAGCCCGTCGTGTCCAATGGGTGGCTGCGGTCCACCCTGAATGCAGATGGAAATCCATCCAGACAGCACCTCGGCCAATTGGACATGCTCAAAAAAAAAAAAAAAACAATATAACTTACATTGATCATCACCGTCTTCTGGCCCATCTTGCGCAGAGACAACGTGGCATTAACAGCACACCAATCGAATTCGACAGAGGATCCAATTCTGTAGACCCCAGATCCCAGAATGATAGTCCCTTTGTCTTCGAAGGTGACATCGTGAGACGAGGCGTTGTAGGTGGTGTACAAGTAGTTGGTGTCGGCGGGAAACTCGGCTGCCAAGGTATCAATCTTTTTCACCCAGGGTCGAATATTAAACTTCTGTCGACGAGTTCGAACTTCTCCTTCGGTAGAATTGACGTACATGGCAATCTGCTTGTCAGAAAAGCCTTGTTTCTTGGCCTTCAGCATCAGCTCGTGCTTGATGCCGTTGAGCGAGCCAATCTCTTGGATTTCCGTCATTGTGTCTTTAAGGTTCTGCAACTTGTGGAGGAACCACTTATCAATCTTGGTGAGGCCATGGACCTTGTCCACCGAGTAGTTCTCGTGGATCATGGCTTGCCCGACGGCCAACCACCTTCGGTCTGTGGGATTGCGAAGAACTTCGTCCAGATTGTCAAACTTATCGCCCTGGAATCCCACGTACCGGGGATCGACCTGCCGGATAGCTTTCTGGAACGACTCCTCGAAAGTGCGGCCGATGGCCATGACCTCTCCCACAGATTTCATGGCACTTCCAATGTCACGTTTCACATGCTGGAACTTGGAGAGATCCCAGCGAGGGATTTTGACCACGATATAGTCCAAGCTCGGCTCGAAGTTCGCTGTGGTGGTCTTGGTCACGGCATTGGGCAGTTCCGGAAGGGTATGCCCGAGGCCGATCTTTGCAGCTGTATAGGCCAGAGGATAGCCGGTCGCCTTGGATGCCAACGCTGACGACCGCGAAAGGCGAGCATTGACTTCGATGACACGGTAATCAAGTCCGTCAGGTTGGAGGGCGTACTGGACGTTGCACTCACCAACCACCCCCAGATGTCGGACAATCTTGATGGCCGCTGTCCGCAACATATGATACTCTTCATCACTCAGAGTCTGACTTGGCGCGACAACAATGCTATCTCCGGTATGAATGCCGAGGGGATCAAAGTTCTCCATGTTGCAGACAGTGATACAGTTGTCCTCAGCATCGCGAACAACTTCGTACTCGACTTCCTTCCAGCCTTTTAGAGATTTCTCGACCAGAATCTGGGGTGACAGGGACAGAGATCGGGAAGACAAATTGCTGAGCTCTTCGGGGTTATTGGCAAAACCTGAGCCTAGACCGCCGAGGGCATAGGCGGAGCGGACGATGATGGGGTATCCGACCTTCTCAGCAGCGTCAAGGGCTTCCTCCACGGTGCTGACAGCAATGGACTGGGCAATAGGAATGTTGATCTCGTTGAGGGCCTTGGCAAACAAATCCCGGTCTTCACTTGTCTCGAGAGTCTTGATGCTGGTGCCCAGTACCTTGACGCCGTAGCGATCAAATATGCCCATCTTGTTCATCTTGACACCCAAATTGAGACCTGTCTGGCCGCCAAAGGTGAGGAGAATGCCGTCGGGTTTCTCTCTCTCGATGACATAGGTGACATATTCAGGAGTGACGGGAAGGTAGTAGACCTCGTCGGCGAGCTTGTGGTCGGTTTGAATGGTCGCGATGTTGGGGTTAATGAGGATAGACTTGACACCAGCTTCTTTGAGTGCTTTCAGCGCTTGGGACCCTGTTACAGCTGTCTGTCAGCCTGGGATCCAAGACTGCATCCAAGTGACAGGTGTGGTTTGGAAGAATTTTGCGCTCGCCTGAGTCACCCGTGTCTGCAGGTACATACCAGAATAATCAAACTCTCCAGCCTGCCCGATACTCAGACCGCCACTCCCAATGACTAGGACCTTCTTCACATCGACCAGGTTCTTCCCGTACTCGATCGCACCGCTCTCCAAATACGCCTCTGGGCGGGGGGCCTCTTGCACCAGAGCACGTCGTTTTGTCGACCGCGTGAATCTCTTGACTTGCTGCCATGAGGGCGTCTTGGGGTTCACCAGGTGCTGTCTGACAGCCAGCGAGGGTGTGCGAGTAGAGAAATGGCGTGCAGAGAGTCGTGGGACAGGAGTGCAGTCTCGGAGCAGAATCCCGCTGGCCTGGCGAAGAGCTCGCGTGGTCGACGCCATTGCGGTTCGAGCCAATGAGTTGATTGCTGGCAGGCGAGATAGAACGCGCTGTTCCACTCAGTCACTGCACAGAACCAGCTCAGGAAAAGGTCTATACTTGAGGACTTTGAAGGAGGCAGCCTCTGTGTGATGGGGGTGTCGAGGAGAGAAGGACAGAAATGCAGCACTGAGAAATGGATTGACTCGCAAGCCCAAGCCACCAAACACACTGCCCAGTGGCTACGAGGTACCGGGCTGGGAAAAAAAAAGTGCGGCGGCTGATCGAAGGCGTTCAGATTGCGGGATCCAATGGATAAGCTGCAAACTGCAAGCAAACGTCAGTGGGGGATCGAGAGATAAGAGTTTTTTTTTTTTTCCTCTTTGTCTTTCTCTCTGCTCTCGCTGGTGTCTCTGTTCAGATCAATGCACTGTGGTCCATAACATGCGAGAGAGCAAAGCTACATGTGACTTGGCTGCCAGTACTGGATACTCGGTATGGTGAATGCTAACAACGCCCCTCTTCGCCTGGTCCACTCCTACATGATTCGATCGAGAGCGACCATCGTGAAAAATTTCTGCTGTTGCGTGGACGAGTCACTTTTTTCTTCTCCCCCTTCTTTGCCCCCTCGCCTTGATCACCATGAAAAATTTTGTCCGGGGAAAGAAAAGGCTGCCTATTCGAACTAATTAGAGGCGGCAGAATTGGGAAAGCTCGCACAGATGCTGCATGCCTCTAAACTCTTCTCGGTCACCGCCCTGGATCGCCGTCCACCCAGACAACCAACCACTCTCCCTCTGCCTTCATCCCTCTGCCCCTCTTTCGCCCATCTACCTCGCTACATCCCTGTGTTGCTGCAGTCAAAACTTTTTTTCCCCTGCGTCATTTGATCTGTGATTGCATATGCTAGACACAGACTGCCTACATGGCTTAGGGGAAGGGGAAAAAAAAAAACCCTTTTTTCAATCCGTTCGGTCTACGGAATACTAGTCTAAGCTCAGAATGTCTGTCCCGGTACATTCCTCGCTCTCAATCGTTTAGTTTCGTATAGTTGGCAGGGAAAAGTCCAGCATGACCGTTGTACTCGCCGTGCCACCAGTCTTCGTCGGGAAATGACTACGGGAACCTTCGTCAGCAAAGTCCTCTGAAGCGGACACTCTCATCAAGCCCACACTTACCACATTGGTGATGATCGCATTCTCGGGGAATGACAGCTCATTGTCTTCCCCCGCCTCGTAGTCGTAGAGTGCCGTTGCTGTCGCCCCTTTGGCCCCAGCGGCTGCCGGAGCTGGCGCTGGAGGAGTTGGCTCTGCTGCGGCGACAGGAGCTGCTGCTGGTGCAGGAGCTGGAGCACCGCCAGCGTCATCGTCATCCAGCACGGTGAGGTAATTGCTGGGTACAAGTCCGGTCTGTGTCCTCGTTAGAATCACTCGTCTCTTCTTCCTTCGAGGGAATTCGTTCACCTGTCCCGCCTCGTTCTTGACCAGCCACCAGTCTGGATCAATTCGTTGAATATCCGTCACCAATTCACCTATATGGTCAGCAACCGGTTCGATTGCCACTCGACTGGAGAATCATACCTTCGCGGAGTGATACTTCGTTATCTTCAGCTGCCTCGTAATCATACTCCGCCCGAGCCCGTTCGCCTCCAGCCGTAGGGGTGGGTGCAGGAGCAGACTCAATCGCCGCAGAGCCTAGAGTACTGGCTGCCGCTGCCACTGCCACCGTTCTTCCCAAGTCTGGCTCTCGAGCTCCTTCATCATCCTCTTCTCGTGCTGCTGGTGTGGGAATCGCCCGCGCCATCGAAGTCGCCGGCATCACGGGCGGAGGAGATAGTTGCTCCTCATGGGCATCAGCAACATGCGCTGAGGCGCTGACTGGCATAGCTATGCGAATAGGAGAGCCACTACGTGGCTCAGGCTCCTCCTCGGGGGTTGGACTTCGTGGTTGAGTAGGCGGTGGAGGCAATCCCGGTGCCGACTCTTCATCCATGGGCCTCGACAGGGGCAGGCCCGGAATCGGAATGCCACGGTTGGGTTTGCTGCTTGTATCCGGTTCCGGAGCCGGGGGCGGTGCGCGGTCGAACGACGCTGGCGCCCCCATCGGCGGCGCTCCGCTGAAGCGATCACGAAGCGAGCTGATTCCCCCAACTGGAGAAGTTGGAGCCTCTTCTTCCTCGACCGCGCTCTTGCCCTCACCCGTCACTTGTTGCCCGAGACTGCTGCGGCCAGTATGTGTAATTTGCACAGGCGCCCACGTCTTGCCTGTATAGCCACTCTTCCAGCCACTTTCACCGCTCTGTTGCGTGGCGATGGGAGGCTGTCCGGTGGTGTACCCAGAGGGTGATACGGGCGGTTCGCCCGAGCCGCTCATACCTCTCTCACGAGCCTTCTTCTCAGCCCAAAGCTGTGCAGGTGTCTTCCCACCTTGGTCGGCGAACGTTCTACTCGCCGTCCCCACAGGGGCAGCCGATGCCACAGGTTTGGCCTCGAAACCACCGGGAAGCGGTGCTTTTGTTCCGGTGAAAGTCGAGCCACCACCAAACTTGTTGGCCACTTTCGGCTTGGGAAGAGACGTCAAACGTTCAGGCCCTTGCGAAAAGACCGCAGATCTCTCCGCCAGCGAACGAGTGGGCATTTCTGGTTCTTCCGAAGGACCGGTCGACGGGCTTGAGACAGGAGGCGGCCGCGAAAAGCCAGTCGAGTCTTCGGGTCTCTGCGCTTTGGCGCGAATGGCCGCAATGTCAACCTTGCCAACAGGCTCATAAGCACCCTTGACGGGCTCCGGTCTGTCGTCTTTTAGGGCGCCCGATTCTTGGGCTTGACGTCGAATAGCCGCAATGTCAACTTTCCCGATTGGTTGATACGCACCTCTGACCACTTCAGGCCGATCGTCCGTCTGGCTGCTGGTGAAGGGCGGCGGAGCAGACTTTTGTGTTGTAAGGTCTCTCATATTGACCTTTGTAGGCTGATAGGCGGGTGCTACTTTCTCCAGCTGTGTTCTTGTGACCGGAGGAGCGTCCGCGCCCCATCCATCCTCATCCACATTGGCATCTTTTCCGGGCAGATTGCGCGCTACAGGATTATAACCGGCGGAAACTCCGGTACTCTGGGTAGGGGTAAAGACAGGTTTTGAGGCAATAGTGGGCTTGGTCGCAGCAACTGGAGGAGGGGCAGCCGCAGCAGAGGTGCTTGAAGAGTATTTAGAGCCTGAGGCATCCGCGACTTTCTGGATGATGCTGTCGGTGGTGAGGTCACGGTCTGATCTCGCAGTGATCTGAACGTGATAGCCATGCAATAATTTAGCAACTGTGGTCAGGTGGCTAGTGAAATAGCCTTTAGTTCGTTCGGGAACGCCTTCACCACACCAGGCAATGAGGGCACTTTTGGGAAGACCCGTATTGGAGTCTTTGACCTTGACAAAAGCAAACTGGATGCGGCCATCGGAGAATTCGTCGATCAGATCGACCAGCTCGCCTTCTCCCGTGCTTTGTACCTTTAACACGCTCTCTTTATTTCCCGAGTCCTGCTGAAAAGCATTGGCAAGAGGAGCGGAAACTGAAAAGACCGCCCATTGACCATACGTGGGCGAGGCTGCGGCTGGACCGGTTGGAGGAGGAGCGTTGACAATCGACTGATAGCTCTTGGAGATCGAAGGTCCGTTGGTCGAGGTGTTGAGAGAAGCCATGGCTACCGAGAAAAGGGGAGGAGGATGTAGGTGGTCAAAGTAGACCAGGCTGCCGGTGTGGTTGTGTCTGATTCCCCGCCGGTTTGAATGCAGTTCCGGGTGGGTTTGGAGATTCTATCGGGAATTCAGAGGAAAGCAATGTGCTGTAATTTTTCGGAGCAGGCTACAGGATCCAGCAGTGAGAAAGGCGGACAATCAAGATGGAGAATTGAAAGACAGCTTACTCTACCTGGTGGGTTAGTGCCATTGGGGTTGGAGTACGCAAGAGTAGGTACGGGAGCAATATGGTCCCTCAGCTGCGCAGTTTGATGATGGCATATGCCAAGACGCTAAATGGGAATGCATCATGTGATCGGGCTCGACCTCTCCAACACTCAAGCCCGTGACCAGCCGTCGCAGTCGCAAGTCTCAGTCGCAGGCCCAGGCTGCACTTCCCTTTCTTCTCTCACTTCGCAAACTGCGCCTGCGCTTTCTCCTCATCCCCACCACCATCGCATCCAGCGCCCAGCTTAACACAACGACAGGGAACTATTGATGCTCATTTACTCGCACCTAGGATTGCCTTGTGCATGTTGACTTGGCCTACACAGCCTTTCTGCGGTAAACACCCTCTTTTCCACGAACCGCTGCTGAGCAGCCCAACCTTGATTCCTCCTCATCCGGTTCGAAATTCCTCAATATCACACCAGTCACGGTCACCTCTGCCTTGGTCGACCCAAAACGCGCTTCTGAGCAATTGACAGCCCCGGTCGCCGGCAATAGCATCTTCTCGGGACCCTCCATTCCTGTTGTGTCGACTACTCAAGGATCCAACAAGCAAAGGTTTTGGGCACGACAAGTCCTCCAAAGTCGTGCCCTCTGCGACATCATTGCCGCTTGTTGTTCGAGTATAGCGATTGCTCTGCTCGAAATGTTTTTCTTTCTTTCTTCATCAGATCCAGACTGGCTAGCACACTTGGCTACCGGCTCCTGGCGCTGATATTTTCGTTCCTCAAACAGGTTTCATCTGTTGAGTTTTCCTTTTATTTTCTTCTGCAAATGGTCTCCATAGCTGCGTGCCATGGATTTCACCGATGGATCGACTTTCCCCCCTGCAAGGGGCCGGCGAAAGAGACCCAGATCTCCTGACCTTGCAGAAAATCCTCCCCTCGAGCTTGAGCATGGACCCGTCGCTGCGGACCATCCGGCGACAGCCATTTCGTTTGGGCCCGATACGGAGCGGAGTAAGCGGCTAAAGCTCTCAGTCGGAACGCCGGGGCTTAGCTCTCCTGCAGGCTCCAAGAGGGCCTCTTTGCGCCAGCCTTTGATGCTGGCGGAGCTACCTTGCGAAATCCTCCAGCATATTTTCACTTTTGTTGATCCCATTTCTCTTGGACGGTTGGTCTGTGTCAACCGCTCCTTTCGTTCACTCCTTGATCCCGCATGCCTCCTGCCACAAAAGTCCGCACCTGGCCAGTTTATGCACTTGACTATGCGGAGTCAGGACCTTGTTTGGGCCACATCTCGCAGGACGTTCCTTCAGGGCTTTCCAAAGCCAATGGACAAGATGACAGAACTGGAAACGTGGAGACTCATTCGAGGTCATGCATGCCAATTCTGCGGAAAGAAAGCTGCTCGCCAGCAACACTCGTCGACATCTGAACCCTGGGATGCTGGACCTGGACCGGATGGCGTTCGGCCTATCTGGCCATTCAGAGTTAGGACCTGTGGCCGTTGTCTGCAGCTCAGGCTAATAAAGGTGAGGTTTTTCCTGTGGTTCTGAATCTCGTGCATTGTCTGATCTCCGGTAGGATGCAGAGTTGCTTGTCTCCACCTATTCGGCACTCAGGCCCGGTCTGCCTTTCGCGATCCTGACACAGGAGTTGAATTACATTCCATCCCAGCTGATCCAGCAGAAGTCACCCCCTCCACACCTCGAGCTGATCAAATACTATTTTCGGCCTCAATTGGAAGAACTTCAATCCGACTTCCATGACGTAAAGGCTCTGGGAGCTGCTACAGTCGCAGAATGGTATAAAGGCCTCGAGACTTTGGGACAGCAGAGCAACGCTGACGCTGCGCGTTTCGAGCAATGGGAACTCCAAGGTGGCTTCTCCAGGATGCCCACACAGCTTGGCCAAAATGAAAACAGCGCAATTGCTTCGTCCAGGCGTGTTGCGAGCCAAGGAGACCTCATGCAGGCACCTGACAATATTCAGCAAGCTTCTGTGAACTCTGCCGTGGGAACACCTTCTGGCGATGTGACTTCGGGATTTTCTACTCCAGGCGTTCATGAGGGTAAGCAACCATCTGTTTGTTTTGAATTGTCTCAATTGCTTCTGTTGTCATACTTCAGGGATGCTCTCATCTGCAGCACTGATAATATCTCATACAGATACTGGGCATCCATCTATCCAAACGCCACAGTGGGCTTTGCCTCACTTCTCTGCTGCCCCGGGGCAAGAGCCTCTGGGAGCCAGCGGCCCGCTTACCCATCCAGGGCTGCCTGGTCAAACGCTAGTCCATCCTCCGCGCCAGAAAACCGAGCGTAGTCTGAAAGAAGCAAAAGAGACAAGAGCTGAACGCCGAAAAGAAATTGAGAGACACTGTCTTGCCCTTGAGCCCCCCATAATGCCCTCGACACTGGCACATATGGATGCGTTCCAGGCTGCGATTCTGATCTCACGGCCCCTTGATGACAAGGCATGGGAGGTATTGAGGCCTCGTCTTCTAGCCCAACGCGCAGATGCCGAGCACCGAGAGAGCAAGGTTGCTCTTAGAGACCCGAACATGCAACTCCAAAAGCGCCAGCAGCTGGAAGAAGAGCAGCGCGTTGCCCAGGCAAATACAAACCACATGTGGTTCGAACTAAAGGTTCCTACCAGAGATAAGCTACAGAAATATGCCCAGGAATTCATACATCAGACGTGGTCCGATGGACGTGCTGTGACGAAGGCGACGGCATGCAAGTTCGCAGCGGAGGTCCTGTGTCATGTGCGACAACGCTTCGATGAGGTGGTTGCTCAAGAGGATCGAATGCTTGAGTTGAAAGGAACTGCTTTTCCCCAGGACACGGCGTCTCTTGCCTTCAGGAAATTGAGACTGGAGGATATGAAATGGGTTTATGAAGAATTTGTGAGGCGGCACACGGAGAGTTTTGGAAGGGAACTCTTCCTCTGCCACGTGTGTGACAATCAAAAGCTGTTTGCATTCGAAGCGGTCATTCAGCACTTTGCTGCGAAACACACGAACGCTCTCAGCAGTGGCAACAGCATCGTGTACTGGAAAGCTGACTGGCCTCTTGAGCCTCCTTTTGACCCTCATCCGAATATCCCATGGGCTCTCGAGGCAACGGGCAACATGCCTCGCACACAGCTACATCAGCAAGCACACTCGAGCTTCCCTCCGCGCGGCCCGCCGTCGTCAGTCGACGGCGGACCTAGAGGTTCAAACACGATTCCCCGACCTTTTCCACCACCACAATGGCCTGTTGATCCATCACAACACATCAACCAGAACAGCTACTCGGGGTCGGTGAAAATGGATTCGCTCAATGGCGGGCGCCTCCCTTTAGCGCTTGATAGAGGGCCCATCCGAGATGGCGTTGCCGGCTCCTCCCTTGGCCGATCTGAAGCTTCTGGCTATGCCAACGAAGATGGATATGGGCCTCGTTACCATCCGCAGACACTTACGCGCTCGGGACGCTCTAACATTCAATCCTACCAAGGCTCGTATACTGGTGGTAAAGCTGGCGACGCGGTTCGGGATCACACAGGCAGGCCTGCCCCTCGTCGAGAGGAACATGCTCATCCTTTTGAGATTGGGCGGGGTTGGGAGGCCTGGAGAGGTCAGGGTCCCATGTCCCATGGTTCCATGATCTACTCGTATGGAGATGGCTCTTCCAGGTTCTCATACGCCGAGTCTCTGCAAAGAGACGGCGGTACGTCGGTCGAGGGAATATCTGAGACTGGAAGGGGTAGCAAAACCACCAGTCGCATCTCTTTACACCGGGGAATCGATTCGGAGTCAATTGCGCCCACCAGTGAGATCGAGACATCAAGAGACGACACCGATCAGGCCGCCACCAAGGGAGCAGTAGAGAAATTCCTTAATAGCTTCAGTCCAATGGTTGATGAAGAGAGGATGGATAGCACAAAGAGTGTTGCAGCCACCGCGCATGCGATTGACTTACAGCAGTCACGCAGTGTGCCTGGATCACAATCTGCTGGTGCTTATCTTCAGGAGCATGAGACTTGGGACAGAATGAACAGCCATGCCGTGAACCGCCTTTCTCCCGCCTCGAGACAAAGGCCTCCATTACCTGTGAGGGAGATCGAGCAGCCTCCTTTATGGTCTGACGACCCTGCAACACAACTACGCTACCGCCCTTTGATGCCACCAGACCGGGACCATGAAGCTGTTCGGGAAGCGGCTCACGGCGGCAGATACGGGGAAGAAATCTCTGAACGAACGCAACAAATCCACTACGATAGTCAAAATGAAGGCATGCGGAATATGGCCCCAACCTACGCCTTGCCTTCGTATGAGCATCAATATTTCTACGGCCGTGACGGAAGACGATATGTAGAAATAACAGAGCCGAGCATGGAGAGGTATCCACTTCGAGTCGAAAATTTTCCGGATCGATATCACGAACCCTCCGAGATTGGTGGCTCGCATTACTTGGAGAACAGGCGATACTTTTTAGAACGGCACGTCGATCACGACAACCATGTTCGTGCGGCGCCCGGAGAATATCGACTCGGCGATGACGGTTACTACTCCGCCCACCGTAGAGGACCGTCCATGGAGTATGATGGTCGATACACTCACGAGGAAGTTACACTTGAACCACGCACGCGACCCAGCCGAATCAGCAATCGGGAGATCACTTATGAGCCACTCGAGCAACCGATACGGTACACTCCGCCATCCTTTGGCGCAGGTCGTCCTGGAGGCTAAGCGTTCACTTCGCTGAAGTGGGACCGAGTACACTTGGGTACTCGGTCCTTTAACAGGAGAAGATGGAGGTAAAGCTGACGATTCTACCTTCTTTACCAGTTATTTTTGATTTTGAAGGCACAGGTATGCTTGGGAGCGAGTGGAACATATTGCATGGCTCCATCAGGGTCGGCATGTATGCTGCTTTCTTTGTCTTTTGAAGAGATACCCCTGCTACGTTTGTTTCAATGATGGAATGTTTCAGCGCCCTGCGGCTACACTACTGCCGAAAGGGACATTTCTACAAGACATATATACCCAGCTTGATGACGAAGCATTGATATGTCCAGAGAGTCGTCGATTTTCCGTTATTGTCATTTGTGAGATTTTGAGCCCGAGTGCAAAACCCTCCCACAACGCGTCTGAGGAAAGTGATGAATCCTGGCGATGTGAAACCGCACTGAGCGTCGTTTCCATTGGCAATAGGCGACACTTGGGTTACGGATTCAACGTCAGGCCAGCACGTGGGCCAGCAAACCTTGCATCATATGTGACAGTCTTTTTTTTTTTTTCAGGCTGAGGCCTAGCGCACAACCCATGTTTATGCGTGTATGCCCAACGTGAGGCGGACTCCCCCACCCTACCATGTGACTGTCCTTCGGGTCCTATATTTGCAACTACATACTATATCCGATCTGGATGGGGTGATGGAGTGAGTCTGATCGAAGCATCGGGGGTGCAGGGCCGGGGTGCTGCCAACTAATAAACGATCCAAGCCAGGATCTGTGCAGCCAAACCATTGTTGCGGTACACGCCATTCTGCCATTGCTTGGACAACCGGCCAGAATGGTCAATGCCACTCACTGCCCATTCAAGCCATGGTTCTGGAGCAGCCGTTAGTCCTACGGCGCTTATGCATAGGTGAACGGCCGCAGCGAAGGCCTTGCTATTAGTGAGGCTGAGATTGGGCTTGCTGGCCCAGCGCTGTGTCAAAGGTTATGATTGGCGGGGCGTGTGCGTCACGATCCTGGCATGTGATACGGCGTCTCTCGCTGTTCTGGTTGGTGACCGTCACACTTCACGGGAAATGAAGCATACTCGAATGGCTCCCAGTTTTGTCGACCTCACCGTGAACAGCGAGGTGAGAAGGGTCGAGTTCGACTCCCGAAACGAGATTATCACTGGGGACTCTCCAGGTTGGAAGGGGGCAAGAAAGGATATGGCGGTGGCTTCACCGCGACTTCGGCACCCTCGGGAAAGCAGAGACTGAAAGTTCGGGCCTGCTGTGCCCGGTTTGTTAGGCCGGCTACGGGGTCAGAAAAAAAAAAGGAGTCGTCGAATGCTTGACTCGCAAGGCGGTGACAGCTCGCAGAGCAGATTATTGATGGTTGTCAAGGCGTCTCAGGAGGCTTGGACATGATACTGAGATTGGATTGTTCAAGGCCCGAGGCAAGCAAGAGCAATTCCAAGGCCATTTGGAAGCGTACCAGAGGAACGGTTCAGATGAAGCTTATGGCTTGCAGATGGCAGGCGAGAGATGTCATGCAGTCTAAGCGAGAGCAGGTATGTACTCCGTACGCAGTAGATGGGAGGGGGAGAGTAAGGGAGAGGATGAGCGGTGTTTATTGTTATTGTTTCTTTTGGCGTCGAGGCTGTGAGAGGAGCAGGGGGGCCGAGTCAAGGCTGATAGGCGTCGTATTAGTGAATGGGGTGGACGGTTAGGGCGTCCAGGCACAAATCATAGGGATGGACGGAGTAGTACAGGCACCCAGCAGGCACCCGGCAAGCCCTGAACCGCCTAGCAACCTGGGTAGGGGCCTTCCCCTCAGCTCTCGCCCCTCCCGAATCCCCTCCCGCCCACTAGCCTTCCTCCCTGCCTTCTCACGCTCTCTGTCAGCTCTCCCCGCCAACTCCAAACCGGCCTCTCCACCTTCAACCATCTTTGTCTACTTGGTATCCCAAAACCAAAATCCATCCAACCATCATCGACTTTTCTTTCATCCACCAACTATCCATCGTCTTTCAACCTTGTTCATCCTCTTGTCGCGTTGGCACCTGCAGCGCGCCCCTTGACCATCCTACTATAGGATCCTTAATTCTCACAAGCCATCTGACTCCCACTTCCTCCAATCGTCGCCCGCTGCCGTCGGCAAAACAACTACACTCATTCGCTCCTCCGTCTGTCTTCTTCCGCCTTGCTTCGCGCATTGCATACACTGTACGTCTCACTCTGGCTCTGCCCTCTCTGGTCCGTTAGACATCCCTCCTAGATCTCGATGCTAGTCTGCCGATGCTAGTATCGCTAATGGCCCCAATCCCAGCGGACTGACCGATCGACTGACCAAAACAATCTAGACCTGCAGTCCCCGGCGACCCAAGCGTCTCATCTGCAGCTGTCCGTCCCGGCCCTCAAGTCGCGCAGGGCATAGCATAGCATAGCCGTCGCAGAGCATCACTGCGCAGCCACCGCGCTGCCGCATTCTCGCGTGTTGCATCGCCTTGCACTGCGATCCTGCTGGCTAGTCTCCCAAGGTCCCAGCGATCGCGTCTCGTTCCAGCTGCGACTAAGCCCTCCTGCCCATCGGAAATTCGTCATTCGTGCGTGCCCTCGGTGGTAGACCGCCTCACATCCCACCACACTCATTCGACGCTTCTTCCGAGAGTCCCCCAGGTCTTGAAATCGACGGTGTGCCTGCACGACAACGCATCCTCCCATTCCACAGTCCCCCCCCCCGGTCGCCCGGCAGCCTTGGGAAGCGTGCCGACTGGGAATCATTTTGGGCACAAACAGAGCAGGAGGAGCAATCGTCTGACCTCTCGCGCCGGAGGTGACGCAGACCAGCATTAGACATTCTGCATTGGTGTCGCCCCAGTGTGTGACGTGGTCATTGCCCGCCCACCAGACAATCTTCGCCTTGCAATTCGGCCGCTGCGGCTATCCTTCAGAGTACAGGACTACATCATGTCGGCCTCCCCACCCAAAGAACCCGATGTCGAACAGAACGCACAATCTGGTGAAGAGCAGGATCATATGGATCGCGAACAAGAAGGAGCACAAGGAGCCGGTTTGGACTTTGAAGTCAAGGAACAGGACCGATGGCTTCCCATTGCCAATGGTGGGTGCAATTCCTATTTCCTTTTGTGGTCATGATGTTTTGGGAGTCCATACACGGAGCTTTCTCACTGGAGGGAGGGGGAGGGTGTCACCAGACGCGCAGTCTGGGAGCGTTGGGATTTCATTTGTTCGACCCCTGCGTTACAGGCCCTGCATCTTTGCGCGCGCCAGCAACGCTGCTTCTGGCCTCTGTGCGAATCCGAATGTGCGACGCTGCAGCTGCTCTTTAGCCAGCATCGTCTCATTCGTCGCAGCTTCTCTCCTCCTCAAGCCATGATTTGCATCCAAGCTCTCCTCAGCGCTGACTGGTGCGGCATCTGGACCACTCAGAGAGCTCTGTCGACGTCTCACTCGACGAAACAAGAAGCTCAATATGCCTTCCAGTTCTTCTGAGCATGATCGCAAACCATTGTCATCCTCCTCCAAGCATCATGGCGGTCGTTCAACGCCGTCGCCCTCCTCCCTGTCCGCAATGTCAGATGCTAACATACGCAACTTCGCACCAGTGGCTCGAATCATGAAGACTGCCTTACCCGACAATGCCAAAATCGCCAAAGAAGCGAAAGAGTGCATGCAAGAATGCGTGAGCGAGTTCATCTCCTTCATTACGAGCGAAGGTCTGTCGGTCCTTTCCTTTGTTTATTTCAATTCCCCCTTCCGACAGTGGCGGGAAGCTTTGGCTAACGTTGCACAGCGTCCGAAAAGTGTCAACAGGAGAAGCGCAAGACGGTCAATGGGGAAGATATCCTGTTCGCCATGACTTCGTTGGGCTTCGAAAACTATGCAGAAGCACTCAAAATCTATCTGTCCAAGTATCGCGAAGTAAGTTTTGTGCCTCGTCCCCCTCATCCGAATCTCCCTCTCCTTTGTCAGCTCGACGAGGAATTCAATCTGAACAATTGAACTGATTGGGATGAGACCCAATCCACAAGGGGCGAGAACCAGAACAGACCTACCAGCAGTGGCGGGTATGGCGGCGGCGTCGGGGCCGGCAATGTCCAGGGCAATGCCGCGACAGGGCCTCCCGGTTACCCAGGCGGGCAAGCCGACAATGCCACCGAACTATTGAATCAGGGGCACGGGATAAATACAAACGACCACGACGCGACCGGCCCGTACGGCTATCCCAGCGCCGTGTCCGCCGGCCACAATGGCATTACCGGCGACAACTTCTGAGTCGGTGGGAGAGTACGTCCGCGAAAGTCAAGATAGCCATGGGGCAACAGCGGACAGGAGTGTACTATCTGCCAATTCCACGGGCACGGCCAGATAGCTTATGACGATGGGGTGGGATAGGTGCGGGAGGAGAAGAAGGAGGATGGAGGAAGAAGCGGAGGTCTATTCGTTACTCTACGCGTCAACTGTACATGAGAACAGGGGGCGAGCATGGAAGGATATTGTAAGAAAAGGGGCGGGCTGTCTGACCATGGAAGAACACAGAATGCATTTGAGCTGAGCTTAATCGAGATTGACCGAGTTTGGAAGACCTGACGAGGGCAACCTGCAATGAAGGGGGGCGAAGGGGCTACGAGAGGGACGGTGTGCATGGAGGGGTCGACAAACAGGAGCGAATGAATGAATCGTGTTCCGAGCGTTCAAGTGCAGGGACAGACAATCATCACTGGCGTGAAATGCCCCGACAGAAACGGAGAGTACAAAATCAGCTTACCGAGAATGCAGAAGTGTTTCCACAGCGAGCCGGGCGGTTTCGATGCTTTGGCCAATATCATGCACCTGGACTTTCGAGTGACGGTAGCCAAGAAGAGAGAGCGCAAGCCCCATCTAGATGTACATGATAGCCAGCCTCGTCAACTGTAATATGGCTTTTCCGGAGTAGTAGTATGTACATGTACGCCCTTCATTGACAATTGAGCGGAATGCGGAATGGCGGCGGAGATGGACCTGACTAAAGCGGCATAGTCACGTGGAGCGGGTGGGCGGGCGGCGTCGATGTTCGGCGCTGTGATTGGCCGGACTTGGACCTCAGGCGAGTGGGCCGACGATAAGCATGTTGAAGCGCACATTTCCTTCCCTGCCATCCCTTGTTCCTTGTCCACCCGGTCAACAAAATCTGGACCTCGTCGGGTCACTGTCGTTCCTTTCATTTACCTAATATCCTTCAAGTCCATCCACTCCCCGTTTTCGTCGTATGTAATGCTTAATCTTGGGACGTCACAGGATCACTCCTCCATCTTTCTCACTGTCTTTCGTTACTGGGTATATCTTGTCTGTGCCCTCGAAGCACCGCGCGAACTGTCGGTGAGCACATTGTTCTTCGAGTCTCGCTCACTGCAAATCCCAAAGATCAATAAGATATTTGATCAGAGAGATCGCCATGGCTCCTCACGCTGAACCTGAAGCGGTCACGGACACTTCGTCCTTCGTTTTGGACGACCCTGTTCTCACCAATGGTGAAATGCATTCGGTCTTTACCGTCGATCATGTCCTGCCACATCGCCAGAGATCAAAACCTCCTCCAACATCAGTCGCTGCTTTTTCCAGCGCAGATATGTTCAAAAGCAAAGGATGCTTCAGAAAACCGGTGGCCAAGCGGTGGGATCATCGTCTCTCAACGGAGAGCAAGGCCCGACAAGCTTCGTCACTGAAGGGTGCCATGAAGTATTTTCGGCCCGACACCATCAGCCTCTGCGGCGGATTGCCTTCGAGGTGAGTGGTCTCTGTCGTTTTTCATTCGCGCGTCTGCTCTTTGTTGATCCACGTCTAGCGACTATTTTCCCTTCGAAGAGCTCAGTGCAAAACTTCCAATCTCTCCTCAATTCTCGGAAGGCGAAACACATGAGTCTGGCAAGATTTTCTCTGCAGGCAAACACGACGCTAGAGAGGGAAAATCATTGCTTGATCTCTCGATTGCTCTCAATTATGGCCAGTCGATGGGTCCTGCAGCTCTAATCCGCTTCGTTACAGAACACACAGAAATCGTCCATAATCCGCCATACTCAGATTGGGATGTCTGCATGACGGCCGGCAGCACCTCGGCGCTGGAAATGGCACTTCGAATGTTTACTGAGAGAGGTCATTACGTGATCACTGAGGAGTATACCTTCAGCACCGCTATTGAGACCATAGCTCCGTTAGGATGCAAAATGCTGGGGATCAAAATGGATGCAGATGGAATGCTTCCCGATGATTTGGATCACATTCTGTCCACTTGGGACGAAAGTGCGAGAAGGGCTCCAAAACCTTTTCTCGTCTATACCGTGCCGACCGGTCAAAATCCGACGGCAAGCACCCAACCGCTCGAGCGCAGAAAACAAATCTACGCGGTGGCCGAGAAACACGACCTATATATCCTCGAAGACGAGCCGTATTACTTCCTTCAAATGGAGCCCTTTGTTTCTGGGCAGACGCACGATGTGCCCAAACCATTTAAACCGGCTCCCGTGGCGGAATTCCTCCAGAATCTTGTCCCTTCGTACCTCTCGCTCGACACCTCCGGCCGCGTTCTCCGCCTGGATTCCTTCTCCAAAATCATCGCTCCGGGAAGTCGCTGCGGCTGGGTTACAGGCTCAACGCAGGTGATTGAGCGCTTCATCCGGCACAATGAGGTCAGCACGCAGAACCCCGCGGGCTTTGCTATGATCCACCTGTACAACCTGCTCGAAGAGAACTGGGGGCAGAAGGGGTTTTTAGAGTGGCTCATGTTTATTCGTGCAGAGTATACACGGCGAAGGGACATTATTGTGAATGCCTGCGAACAACATCTCCCTACGCCAGTGTGCAGTTGGGTAGCGCCAAAGGCAGGCATGTTTCATTGGATCCACGTTGACGTAACGAAGCATCCGCTCTACAAGTCGCGATGCGACTCTGAGGGGCAGGTCGACTACGCGACATTGGTGGAAATTGAAGACGCTGTGTTTCTAGCCGCAGCCGAACAGTCAGTCCTCATCGCCAAGGGGTCATGGTTCAGAGCGCAGCGGGGTAGTGATACGGATTTGTTCTGTCGCACGACTTTTGCGGCCGCCCCCGCCGAGAAGATCGTCGAAGCAATCAGCAGGGTTGGCGCAGCCATCAGGAAGGAATTTGGCTTGGAGGAAGTGGGAGAGAAGCAGCACGATGACCATGCAAGGTGAGGGTTCTTGCGCTTCTGGATCTGTGGAAAAACACCAACGCAAGGGTCATTTCCAGTCGTTGTGGATCTCGATGCATCCGACAAAGGCAAAGATGACCACATGGATCCAATCAGCCAAAGGCAGAGCCATGAATCGGTACAGAGCAGATACGGAATCCTTGCGCTGTGACCATTCAACATGACGGCGTTCTTTCCCCTTTTGTCGCCTCACTCGTGTCGGCCTCGTGTTTGTTGAACGATATGAGAGACAGCAGGTACAACCACAAAGGATATGGCTGGGCGGAGTTGGCGGACTGAGACTGGGACCTGGAAAAGGATCGCTTTGACCCCAAGCAGGAACACCTGGCGGACATCCAAAACAAGTCGAGGTGCCCGGCGAAGTACATTAGCCAGGGAAAGTGTGGACATCCGTAGGGTGATTGTGGCGTCCGCATTGGATGGGGTTTGGCTTGGGTATACATACGTTCACTAGAGTAAGCCGTCCGCACTGTCAAAGAAGCAAGGGTAGCAGTCTAGTGTCCTTTTAAACGGGGATGATGGCCTCTCCTATTCTCCCATATCGCACGAACGTAAGAGATCGATAACGTAGCCATAGCGAAATGGGTCTCGAGGTATTGGCTTGCTCCACCGTTTGTGCCTGGCTTTGGTTGTCTGTCTGGGTGGGTTCAGCCTTGCGGGCGCAGAGCCTGATCTCACGTCGTTCTTCACCAGGGCGACGGTATCGCGTAAGCGTTCTACGAAGGGAGATGTTTGATGTTGCTAGTCTTACTTACAATTGTTCCGGTACTCGATCACATTGTCATACAGGCCAAAGAAAGAGATCAATAGGTGCCTCGGCCGCTGTAGCCTGATTTAGCTCCTTCACATTTCACGAACGAGGCGCAGCTAGCGCACACAGCCTTACGGCGAGCTGATGTCTTTTTCTAACTGACATCCTTTCCTTGTTTCTCTTCCATCCATGCTGCAATTGAACTCAGAGCATGTCTTCGTCCCCCGTCAATATCCCGTTAGGCCCTGTGCCTCCGATTTCGTCGACTCCGGCTGACCCTACAATGTCATGGCAAACACCGACTCCTAACCGGGCTGGGTCCGGAAATACTGCTCAAAACACCACATCCCATGGTCTTAGTAGCTCGACAACCAATACCACATCAAACTTGACATCTCCGGCTACTGCGGCAGCCTCCCAGACGTCGCGACGTCTGCTCTGGCAGAAAATGCGGCGAGCCAGTGTTCGCATCGCGAAATGCGCTTTCGCGATAATTGGCAGCATCATAGCTTATATATCACTCAGGGCGGCCATGTGGTCTGCCGTAAAAGACTACCGCGACGACTGCCGAAGCCAGAACGTGAGAACATCAACACCACCCATTCTCACTGGGATTGTGTGAGCGACTGACATCTCGGGCAGCAGACCTACGGCCACGTCTCGGGGGCTTGTGCAAAAGCATTGCGTGCGGGTTTGTCAAGCCCGCTGGGTCTGAGCCTGTTTCTCTCGGAGCCCAAATCCGACCAGCATCGTTATCCTCCCAGGGATATCGTAGAGCATCAAGAGACGGTTGGTGAGGTGCACACTGTCGTCAAATGGGTCTTGAGCATCCTCGCGATTTTCATTCTTCTCTGCATCGACGAAATTTACGGTCCCAACTCTTCTTCTCTAGGCTCTTATACGCCCGGGGGCCATAACTATCCCCCGGAGGGTAACAATTGCCTGTGGATACTCCGGAGGGTAACCGCTCGAATGATTCTGGCACTTTCGGTAATTTTGATCTGGCTCGCGCGGTTGCTCCGGCGCCGTGCGACGTGGACGGTGATTCTGGTGTTTCTGGTGGGTTTAGTGGTCCCTGTGAATCTGCTGGCCCAGGTGCTTCTGACAACTCTGACAATTCTGATGAGGATGGTGACTCTGTTCATTCTCGTGGCTCCGGTGATTGTGGTGGTTCTGGTGTGTCTGGTGATTCTGGTCGTTGCGTTAACTGGCAGCTGGCTTGAGCGTCGTCTTCTACCGCGGCTGTGGTTTCATGCTGTCTAACAAGTAGACTTGGGCGGCGACTGTAGCGCAGCTCGCGATGCTAGTGATTCCGGTGACTACGCAAGTTACATTATTTGTTACACAACATGTTTCAAGAGCCGGAGAAGTGACGAGGCGCAGACGTTATCGAACTCACGGGAAGCTCGCTGTCCCGAGTTCATCACAGATGGGTTGGTTGATCGGCGAGTCTTCGGGATCATATACCTAACAGGTAGGCATATATTGTCGATCTGACGACTTATGTATACACGCCGCTGGTCAGAGCCATACCAGGGAAATGAATGCAGAGCACGCATCAATCGATTCTCGTTGTGAGCAAATCTTTCACCGTGGTTGTCTCGTTGCATTTCACTTCATTTCATTCAATTCTCCAAGCTTCACCGACTGGAGACGGGAAGAGAGAGCCCTGCCGCGTACGTAAGTATATATAGTCTTCCTCCGAAAAGCTGAGCTAGTCATCCAATTTCGAACTCCTTCATCTTAGTGTCTCACTCTCACCCTCATCCCCTCCACTCTTCCCGGCCCCGACATCTCTCTTTCGCGTACAGAGCCTACTTCTTCACCACATCAAACCCGTTCCACGTCTTCAGCGCCTCCTTGGTGGACCGGTCGTACACGTCCAGCCCGGCCAGGTAGATGAGTTGCTCGCGGGGTTTTCCGGGGATGTTGGCGCCCCTAAAATGGAGAAAAGAAAGGGGTTTGGTAAGTAACTTGGACGTGAAAGAAGACAGTGGAAAGAACAGGGCCAGGGTCACTCACATATACCAACTATTCGTCTCGGGATACAGCGTCATGGCATTCATCTTCTGGATATCCTCGCGCCACTTGTCGGCCGCCTCCTCCTTGGCGTCGACGTAGCGGATGCCTTCTTCCTTCATCTTCCTGATGGCCGCGCAGATCCAGTCGATCTGCATCTCGATGATGGGCGGACCGTTGGAAAGACTCGTGGGCGCCTGCGGCGAATATACCATGAACATGTTGGGCATCTTGCTGATCGTCAGGCCCAGGTACGTGTACGTGCCGTTTTTCCACTTGTCGGAGAGTGGCACGCCGTCGGTGTCAATCAGGCCGATGTCCAGCAGACTGCCCGTGACCGAGTCATAGCCGGTGGCGAGGATGACAATGTCTAACTCGTGCAGCTTGTCGTCTGCGGTCTTGATGCCTGTCTCGGTGAACTCGACAATCGGCGTCGCCGTGAGGTCCACTACCGTCACGTTGTCGCGGTCGATCATCTCATAGTAATCCTGTTCGAGCGACGGCCGCTTCGTGCCGAACCAGTGGCCCTGGTTCAGGGGCGCCAGCACGTCCCTCTTGAACGGGTCCTTCATCCGCGCGCGCACCTTGTTCGCCCAGAACTGGTAGAACTCCCGGTTCACGTCCTTGTCCGTCAGGAACTCGCGGTAGTTGGAGATCAGGAAGCTGAACCCGCCCCGCTGCCACAGCTCTTCCCAATACTCGAGCCGTTCCTCCGGCGTGGCTTCATGGAACGTCTTGGTCGCCGGGTTGTACGGGAATCCGCTGAGACACTGCTTCGCAGCCTGGAAGTAGGCCTGGTAGAAGGACTTTGCGTTGTCTTGTTCCTCCTTCGTGAGTTTTCGCTGCACCATCGGCAGTGCGAGGTTGGGTGTGCGGACGAACGCGGTCAACTTGCAATCTTCGCGCGCGAGCTCCTGGACAATCTGCACGCCTGTTGCGCCGGACCCGATCACGCCGACTCTTTTGCCCGTCACGTCGATGCCCTCTTCAGGATAGAGCGCCGAGTGAATGAGGCGGCCTTTGAACTTGTCCAGGTTTTTAAAGTCCGGGAAATGCTTCTTGTAGGACGACCCCGTGGCCAAGACGAGATATTTGGCCTTTGCGAGACCGCCGTCGTCGGTGCGCACGTGCCATTCGTCCGTGTCTGTGTGGAACTGGGCTCCGACGACCACGGTATTGAAGTATGCGTCTTTGCTCAGCCCGAGGGCCTTGTCGATGTGCTTGAAGTAGCGCCTTAGTTCCTGGTGTCCCGGAAACCGCTCGGTGAAATGCCAGTTCTTGTAGGTCTCTGGGATGGAGAGACTGTAGTACGGCGTCTCGCTGTCCACGCGAGCCCCCGGATATCGGTTCCAAAACCAGGTGCCGCCAAAGTCGGAGCCGGCTTCGAAGAGCTTCACCTGCAACCCCATTTTGCGGCACCGATATAGCCCGTACATGCCCCCAAAGCCGCCACCCACGATCAACACATCGGTGCTGATGTTGTGGATGTTATCGGCGGGTTGCCCGTTAGTGACGCTGCCGCTGACGCCATCGGATACGCCATTCGGAACGGCGTCTTGCTCATTATGCGAAGCATTGAAGTCTTTGGGACGGTTCGGTAGGCCGGTCATGATGCCAGACGTTACAGGCTGGCGAGGAGGACCCTTGCTATCGAGTCCTACCCGTCCGCTCTATGATATACCGACGGATTGGTAACGACGGTCGCGACACGAACAACACATATATATGACGGCTATCCATTTCAGGCAGGTCACGGCCACCCAAGATTCAAGAGTCAAGAGTCGATGATTCGTGCGAGTTCAACCTCGGGCCGCTGGTCCAGCACCGAAACCTACCTGAGGTGGTTTACCCCTCCACCTGAGTGTAGAGACCCTGCGCGCGTCTGGGGAAGCGGGCGAGCGGGGAATCCCCTCTCCCCAATGGACGTCGTATCAGATGCAATGTCCCTTGCTGACCTCGCTGGCGATGACATTGCCCTGTCACGGAGGGAAAAAGTTTGTTCCTCGGCAGAAGAGCTGGGCGTTCCCTTGGAGGTTGGAGCTGCCAATCCGGATCTCCATTTTACGATGAAAGATCATGAGTTGGGGTAGTTGGGGTGTTTGATCAAGGGGTCGATTCCAGGGACAAGGCAAAGAGGAAAAGAGAGAGAGAGAGAGGGAGTGAGAGGATGAGGTAGACACTAGGCTGAGAAGTCGCACTTCGGAGGTCAGCCTCACCAGCTTTGGACTCACACCAGGACTCAGCTCGACCACCGCTTAACGTTCGTCGCTTTTACAACCACTGACTCGACGATTGAGCCACCTTTTCACTCTTTGCCGTCTTCTGCTCAGCTGCCTCCTCACCCTTCAAGCTGCGATTCAGAGGACAACAAGAATCAATACGTGGTTTAGGTCCGCCAGTTTGGCCATCTCACATGCAGAAACAGGGAGAGAGTCAGCGCTCTACCCTCGTCGCCCTTTCTTCCTCTTGTCCCTGGTCCTGTTGTCTTGCTGGGGGTTTTCGCCCTGCTTAAACAGGCTGGTTTCAACGAACCGTCATCAACGCGACCGTGGAGCCTGTCGTGGCGCCTCACTTACCAAATTTCTGGTGAGAAGTCTACCGTCGCCGCCGAAATACATGGTGACTACGACTCCGATTACGCCAGCACGGCTGGCAGGCATCCTGTGCCTCTTGGAGCGCCCGCTTCACTCTTCTGTCTCCTGAAGTAAGGCTTGGTCACTGATGATCGTTACTTCTTCCCAACCAGTCAACGTGTTCCAAGTTCCCAAGGAGGATGGCGAATGACAACGGCCAACAGAAGTCGAGGCAAGGGCTCCGCGAGCACATAGCAGATGGATATATTTGCCAGCCTCGACTGTGTTTGCACCGCGCTGTCTTAGCTTTTCAATCGTCATCTATTTTAAGCGAGCCTGCAAATCCTCTGCGACTCGCCATATTTCAAGCTCTAGCTCTAGGACACATCTACTGAAGTCTTTTTGGGCGACTCTACATCCCACCTCAGGCAATGGTTCGCCCTCAAGACGATTTGGCTTCCAGTGGACGATTACCGTGAGGTGTACTAAAAGCAGATCAACTGTCTCGGGAAGCTGCCCCAGGATCCGCATTGGCATGTAATTCAAATGGTTGGTCATTACATCGATCCCGCCAACGAAGGCCACCTCATTCTGTCCCCTCTGAATGTGATCTTGAGAATTTTATGGATAGGTCTCTCATATTCAGAGATCGGTTGGTGATGTAGCGGTGGTTTGGCTGTCTTTCAGCAGGTCTTGAGCATATTCACGACCACAAAATCAAGCGCAAGGACATCAAGCCTGAGAAAATTTTGGTACACGGTGACAACATCGTCACTACTGATTTCGAAATATCAGTTCAATTCTGTGGCAGAAGCATGTCTTAAGGCCAGTGTCTTGGGACTCGCTTATATCAAGCACCGGAGGTTGTTGAATTTGTTGAGAGTGCTCGCCGCGGTCGATCGCAAGACGTGTGGTTTTTGATCTGCTGCTTTATCGAAATGGTTTCTGTACTGGTTGGCGACGGCAGGAGAGAGTCTCGCAAATGGTGTGTGGCTGAGGAATGGCCTTTGACTTTCAGTATCAAGTACAAAGCGGTCGTGCGTTGGTTAGAGAACCTTCACCGTCGACTTAAAGCAAAGGAGCAGCGTGCATTCCTCGGCTTTCTCCTTGTTGGAGGAAGGGAGGCCTCCAACTGCCGCCTACGTCTTCAACCAACTCAAAGACATACCGTGCTTTGTCGGAGAATGTTGTGCGGTACCTGTTTCTGCTTGTGAATTAGCAGGTGCAGAATTATCGCTATCTCCGGCTCAGAAGGCCTCCAAAGACCCGGCGCCTGGATCTGTCCTAAGGTCTCTCATTACTGTCGGAGAAAGCATCATAAAACAGCTCCAGGCACCATCAATCAAACGGAGCCTGGACGAGCTGGCAGCCGCAGTCGAGCGCTAGGAGGTTCGGAGCTTGCGTTCCGCCGAAAGGATGCTGCTGTTTTACATCGTATCTGCATAATAAATTTAAAATCAAATTTGAACTGAGCGAGTCAAGTCAACTGACAACCGAATCTCCACAGGTTCAATGCCACTCAGCAGAGGAATATCTCACCCTCTCTAAGATATTCGTCAATGAACTCGCAGATGCAGTGAAATGTCCAACATATAGCGCTTCTCTCTACTACCAGGAGCGTGGTGAGATAGAGCATGCGTATACGATTGCATACCTCTCAATCTTGGTCGACAGGATACTTAGCCGCTATATAACAAGCCATCAGAATAAGACTCACAATGCCTCACGAACGAACATGCCCAGCCGCAGTCACGAAGTCAACTCGACCCAACCTTCTGCTGAGCGCACCTCTGTAGAGAAAGTTCCACGGAGAGAGGCCCTTCTGGTCCGTAGCGTGCCATCCCAGCGAAAGTGAGGCAGCTGCTTTTTCCAAACATTTCATCAGCGATATTGGGGGGAGAGATGGGCAGTGGCTCGACCGTTGAGATGGATTTGACGTGCACGCCGTCAAACAGAGCCATCCAAACCCGAGCTCCTTACTGGCTCTAAATGCAAACAGCCATGGGGAATCTCGTCGCGTTAACGTGCTCTGGAAACTGGAGTGTGACTTTGAGCAAATACCCCAACGTAAAGCAAATTTTACCTCCTACCCTGCGAAAGTAGGACTCCCTGGGGCGGAGGATCCCGGAAGAGGTTGGGGGAGGTCCAAGAATTGTTCCAGCGGGCGAAAGGGAGTGGTCGACTAGTGGCTGCATGCGATGATGGGAGGAATTGGGTAACGACGCCATGATTCAAACTGCCAATCAAGACAGATGAATTAGTTACCCTGACATGTCTCTGATTCGCTTGGTTCTCCTTCTCCTTCTGCTTCGGCTTCAGCTTCACTATCTTAATGAGGCTGCTGGTCGCATGTTTGTGAATATTCGACATCTGAAGGAAGCCCTCGGCCTCCTGAGTAGAGCGGCAGTTGACATGGGGCCAATCAAAATGCGGCCTCACTATCAGCCTTGGCAGAGGACTAACCTTATCAGGACTTCCGAGAGAGATGTCTCGAGATGCTCAGGATGCTTCAAGATATCGGGTACTTTTCCAAACATTGCGAGGAACCAGCCCCGAGAGTCATGGCTTTTGGACTAGACGACCGCTAGACTATAATCCGAACGATAACCAGGAAGATGTTGCAAAGGGAGCAAAGTTGAATCCCGGCATCTCGGGATTACCTTTTGTACTTGTCGGTGGGGAGGCATTATTCGAGAAAACTCGCGGCCGTGATATTCTTGATGCCACCACCAGCACTGGAGGGACGCGCTTTGGCGAGGGCATTGACGCTGGTGCCCACACGGCCTGCGGGTGGACTTTGCTAGAAAACCGGAAACGACAGACGGATCTCCCTTATTCATTTATTGTGCCCATTCTCATTGGACGACACAACGACAAAGAGTTCGACGCGCGTGTGACTTTGGAGGCGAAGGGTAACACACGCACGGCTATAGACTGGGTGTTCAACAGGGACCCTGTTGATGATCTGGTGCTCTTCAAATTCGCTGTCGATCGACTGAGTAAGATACCCAAGGAAGAAGACAAGAACACTAAGCACACAGATGCTGGAAAGATGGCTGCGAAGTCAACAGCACAGAAGTATGCCAAGGACGAGCTTGGAGAATGGGAGGCTCGAATGAACGAACCAACCCAGATAATCTGGCGCACTGTTTCTCGAAGGGCTGAGAGGGAGATCTAATACAATTGTCCATTTCGTGCCGGAGAAGCTGTTCTTGAATGCTTGCGGTAATGCCGGATAGTTGCTGTTATCCCGGTTGACGGTCACGGCACAAGGCTCAGCCTGGTGAGCCTTGGCGGGGGCCCCAGCCTCGTCGGGACACTAATCTCTCAAGATGCTTCTTCGCCAGAGGGTCCATACGCCTGCACACATGTTATACCAAGGCCGTGGCTGCTGATCGTGGCAGGGTTCTATCCTCTAATCCAATCAAATATGGCATGTCATAGCTAAACCCTAGGTATTCGCGCAAAGGCCAGCCTGATCACTCACGTTGAGAGCATAGCGTCTGATAAAGCCGACAAAGAGGCAACGTCTCTGCTTCAATGCCCCAGCTATACCTTTCCTCGAAACTCGCCAAGTCGCGCGTGTTCCTGACTATTGACTCTATTTTTCTTGAATGTGTAACGTTTTTATTGTTATCTTCCCATTTCAAAACCCGCAATGTCTCTCGACATACTCCTCCCTGTTTGCTTGCTTGTTTGCTTTCTTTCTTTATCTTCTCTTCAAAAACCGGTCTAGAGTCGAGACTTCTGCTGTTTCCCTTTGCTGCTCTCAGTAGATATATCTGAAGTTCAAATTCTCCCGGTCCGTCAAGTCTCCGAACGCAGTGGCGTCGAGGTCTCGTTCCTGATGGCCTTGAATCTTGTCGCGGCGCGCATTTTCGTATTTCATCAACACCCAAAAGATTATGATGACACACACCTCGAGAAGATGGCTACATATGATATGGCGCAAGTTAGTCACAGTATTGGGGAAAACCTGGATTTGGGCTTGCTGTGAAAACAGGGAAAGAGCTCGCGCACCTGACAATCATGCTCCAAATGCCCAATGTATATTCTGGAGCTTGATCTGTCTTGTAGAAAAATGGGCCTGCGATGCTGTTATATTGAAGAATCAATATGGTCAGCGGTGTTATTCAAAATTAGGAATAGGATTTGAGGCAGTCAACGGTCGAGCCTAGATATCTTGGGGAGACTTACTTTCCCGTGCAATATCCCAAGAACAGAACAGCATTGGTTACAACTTTCTGCATTATTGCTGTTAGTTATTTAGACTTAGAAAAGAGTGAAGAGAGAAGCTGATCTCGCCCGAGTGGGCATGATACAACCAACATACCTTAGTATGACCTGCAGTATTCGCAATCTGAAGGGACAAAATCATCACGAAAGCGGCGTTGTAGGGTCCTGTGAGTAGATAGCAGAAGTAGCGGCCCACGTGGTGTTTTTCATTGACAAAGCAAAGGCCGAATGCGCCTGCGATGTTGGGGCAGAGGAATAACAAAATGAATTTGCAGCGGTTGTTGTTTGGGAAGCGATTGTTTAAGAAGACACCTAGAAGGGGTTTACCGAATCAGCATCAATTTACGAGAACGAATTGAAGCAAGCATTGTGGTTGCAGGAAAGCTTGGGTGCAACAGGTACACTTTGCTTGGGGCACATAAGAAAAGCACATAAGAAAAGCAAGCATACAGGTCAAGATCGACAGGATAATGAAGACCCCATATGGGATCTGCATTAGTGTGGTAACGAGGGTTGAAAAGCCAAAGCCTGTACAGCGTGTCAGTCTTCAGCCGCGATGAGGATGGGCAAGAAGGAGTCACCTTTGATAATGAGGGTGCCAAAGTTTGAAATACCGCCATTGGGGATGTTTCCAACCACACCTAGGGTAAAGAAGAGGTACAGTTTGATGTCCGTGAAGGCTTCCCAGATTTGGTAGGGCTGTTGGCACCAAATACGTTAGCCAAGAGCTTCATGCTCGACAGGGACTTCGCTTGCCTTTAAAACCTTGCATTCAACTCCAGTTTGATTACCCATCAGTCGCTCAACGGCAATTCTCTTTTCGCGATCGTTCAAGAATTTGGCCGTGACAGGACTGTCAGGCATGAAGATTGCAATGACAATTCCCCACACGCAACATAGCGCACCAATGATGATGAACTCATACCTCCATGAGGCCAAAGCTCCTCTGATGTGACCTATGGCGTAGCCTAGGAGCCCACCCAGGGCAATACCGAGACCGTTTGCTGTGTACCATAGTCCAATACGCAGTGGTTGCTCTCGCCGAGTGTACCACATGGTAGTAATGAGCATGAAGGAAGGGTCCGAGCAGGCTTCAGCAGCGCCGGCGAGGGCTCTCAGAACGCCAAGTGTAGCAAAGCTGTTACAAGCAGCCTGCAGCATAAGGAAGAATCCCCACATAAAAATACTAATTGATGTTAGTCGGCTGAAAGGGTCCACCCGAAGAAGACAACTTCGCCGTACTTAAAGCCAAGGTATTTGCCCAATGGAAGTCTTTGCATCAGAAAGTTGGTCGGAAACGCCCACGCCAGGAAGCCGAAGTAGAAAAGACCTGAATTTCTCAGTGAAAATGGTTCAATCACATCCACACCAACTTACTGCTGAGCCAACTGTATTGGGTTCCATGGAGGTGGAGGTCATCACGGATACCAAATATGGCTGCATATGACAGCGTCGTCTTGTCGATGTAGAAAAAGGCATAATTAACAGCGATTAGGGGAAGGATCAAGAAGTCAACCTTTCGAATGAGTTTCTTTTCTTCCGCGGGATCAATTGGGACCTGCAGATCGTCGACATTGGTAAACAGCTTTAAGGCGACATCGCCATCCTGCCGCTTGGACTTTTCAGAGAACCTGAATTTGTGTGCTGCGGGGGGCAGGTTCAGGCTCTCGATTTCGTTATGTGCCGAGATCTCCTTAGTGTCGGCCATGATCGTGGTCAGCAGCTCTACTCGCCAATAATGAGCCTTGGTCGCGTGCTATCAATTCAATGGGTGTCCTTGCAACAGTGTCCGCACGAGCAGAACTCGCAAAACGCGACAATTTAAAGGACGGAAAGGGGGAGAAGGAAATGCTGCTAGAAGAAAAAGAGGAGTGGCAATGATCTTCTCCATCGCTTCTTCAACTCGGAGACTAGTTCGACCATATGATGATATCCATATGTATAATGGTGGACCAGCATGTCCAGGGATCGCCATGACGTCCGAGGCTTAGTGGAATTTGATTGAGGACGGAATTCCGCTGTTGCATCTCGTACTCAGAAATTGGCTTAAATTGCTTGGCTTGCTTGTCTAGTTGTCGAATGAGAAAGTGAAATCGGCGTCTGCCCTGGTAGATTGTCTCCAGAACCCCCCTAAACGACAGTGAAAGGTTGCGGGGTATGGAGACTTTGTGGAACCCAAGGCTAGAACCTCCGTCGGGAGTAGTCCTGCTTCGGCCGTTGCTTCGCCGAGCTGATATTGGAGCCCGGCTGCATTGCCGATATTGGCGTCGTCGAGATATGAGGTGTCCCATGCATTACCGTGAGAATTCGGACATATGAATGTCATCTGAGGTATTGTCGCCAGCGAAGATGGACTTGGGCTTGATCGCATGCCTTAGTCGACTTCCATGTCTGATCCTGGGAATCTGCAACCTTCTCCTGGACTCATTCCAGTATGTCGAGTTCCTCCATGCTCTAGGCGGTAAATGAATATATCATTCGCGTGGGGCAGGGGCATGACCCCACGTGGAGAAGAGACAGTGGGTGTAGGAATAACATTGGAAGGCTTTGACTTACTCCAGAAAGCCTTGGGTGGAAAATGGTTGACATTCCACCGGAACGTCTACCACTTAGCCAAGATCCCGTCGGTTGCATATTGGCGACATCTAGTTTAAACCGTCCATAAGGGGGCCGACGGCTGACCGGTCCGATACGGAAAGGGGTCCGTGGCCAGTGGAAGGCTCTCTATCAGACGAGTGTATCATCGAGGCAAAGAAAACCTTACAGCTGCTGTTTCCGACCCCTGGCTGCAAGTCTAATAGATGTACTCGATGATACGTCGAAAGTTATGGACCTTCAGGCACGATTAGTCAAGAAGAACCTGGTCTCTCTCACCACATACAGTGCACTGTCTATGAAGGCTAGAGTAGATTCGACAGCACTACGACGATTCGACTCGGGCGATTAGGCTGTGGTTGCATGACAGGCACAAATGAGCGTAATGGCGAGCTCCGTCGCCGCAGTGGGATCTCCTCTGTTACCGAAAGCATACAGGCAAATGACATTGACAAGGGAGACTTCGTCTAGCACGAGCAACACGAGAGGATGAAGAAGAGACGTCTGGTACCCAGTATGCATATGTTTCGCCGGAGTGAAGTGCGGATCGTTTTGTATGCTCCGCTCTATCTGGAGGATCCGATGGTCGCTAGCGCAATTTATCAAAGTCGCCTTGGTCACTTTTGGTCACCTCTTTCTTCCTCCTCTACGGCATATATAGCGATTAAGACAAGGCTCCCCTATTACTCTGTCTTGGAAACACACTCTATTGATATGTACAAGGCCACTCTCTCAGGCACTGATGTCCACTGTTCAAGATTAGAACTAGTGCTAACCATAGCCGGTAATCTTGTGTCGACTTCCTAGTCTCTCGGATGGCGGGTAGGGTACCTCAAGCAGGTGTAACAGAATCATATGTGACTATTCTCGCTCGCGTTGACGAGATAGGAGAGACATCAACCCTGGTCCCCTCTGAAGCCGGCGTCATCTCAACCATCCAGAGCAACCTGAATGCTCAACTTCGGATCCTGAACCGAGTTGACGAACCCAGCCACAGTCCCCTCCGCAATTTTTGCGTCAAAATTCGTGTTATCGGGCAATATCACAATATGCGCTGTGCCTGAACTCCCGTCAAACACTACGGCAACCTTCTTTGTTCCACTGATCGGCCGTTGGAACCAATTTGAATCACCCTTTGCTTTCAGCCCATGCCAGGTAGACTTGCACTTCTGATTGCCAGAGTCCAGAACCTCGAAGACGTCAAATTCGCCGCAACCCGAGGCCCAGCAGGAGCAATTTCCATATTGGACTGTGCGGGGAATTTGAGCGTTTAGGATCCATGCTGCGGGCATGTCACCATTGAATCCTGTGTTGTCGGACAAGGGCATGCTGAATTCAAGGAGAAATAGCTTGGAAGCCCCGTCAAAACCATCTGTGAATTTGGTTAGTGGTAGGCCTGGAACGGGCAAACAATGGATGGGTGAACCTACGGTAAGCAACGGTTCCATCTCGGACAGTGCCGCATCCGCCATCCAAACATGGCTTGTTACTCATGACGACAAACTCGCAGTTATCTGGTATCAAGGTGTCTGCTAGAGGCACTGGAGACGAAGATCCCGCACTGTTATCCGCTGAAGCGTACGAAAGGGACATTCCCCAAACACTGGATTTGTCAGGAATTCGACATCAAATGAAGAGATCCAGCAACTCACGTGTCGAACACTCCAGATCCCTGACCGCCGTGATGGTTCAAGAAGACAAGTCCATCAGCAACTCCTTGGTCAGCATTGTAATATGCCTGTCTTCCCCACTGGCCTGGACCTGCATTCACATTCGCTTTGGGCGGAGGAGCTGAGGAAGCAGGAGCCGCAGATCCAGGTGCCACTCTCTCGCCATCGCCACCATTGTTTCCAGGAGCAAGCGTCGCAGACGCAGCTCCAGGTCCAGTGTACTGGTTGATCCATGACACGACTTGTCCGTTGATGATTGCTGTGACCCAATCCCCGACACCGCGCTTGTCCGCTATATGCCCTCCTTCTGCGACTCCACTGCCATCATGGACCTTGGGATCGTGAAGGTGTTTGTGCGAGTATGGCCGCTGATGTGGGTTAGGATGCAGCGACCGCTTGGTGTTATCGGACCCGGCGGTGTAAAAGGCGAATTGCTTCAACTGCATTGGCCCACGAAAGTGCCATGACACCTGTCAAATACCAAAGGTAAGTCAATGAATCGTTGGTTAAATCGGAATGCTCGATCATATCTTACCTCTCCGTCCATCGGCGCCATTCCTCCTTGGTAACTCTGATCTGCGAAGTCACATTCCCCATTCGACCCCATGTACGACACCTTCTGGTACTGGCCCGCGGTGCCGAAATTCGAGTACGAGATTGCCTGGACCGAGTTGCAGTACCAGTTACCTTTTTCTTCGTAGCAGTTGCTGTCTTGAGCGAGAACTGCGCCCGCGACTGCGAGGATGGCACTGACGCTACAGCTGCACTTCATATTGAATGCTTTGGAACGAGATTTGCCGGTTGTAGAAGATGTTATTCCTTGCTTGTTGCCGGGTTTAAAAGGTGAGTGTTGATTCGATATATTGATAATCTTTCAATTCACAAGCTCTCAGATGACTTATTGTTGTTATGTCTTGAACATGGGACGAAAAAAAGGGGTGTTTTGACCGTGTGAGAGGGCGAAGTGACGGGAAATGTGCTTTAGTTGTTTGGAGGCGGTACTTAGTGACGCGCAAACAGCGCGTGATTACCTACCGTTTGCAGAGCCTTGCAACGTTCCGCTGTGACTTTGCGAAGGCTGGCACTTACTTGGCGCAAGGGAGCACAAATCACGCGGCTGGCTTGATGGTCTGGGTGACAGCTGTATGTGCTCAAGTGACTTACTTGGACACTTGCCAGGGAAAAGAGGTGAGGCAGCGTTGTCGAAAGCGAAGTATCCGGCCGCGGCTGGGAAACAAAGACGCAAATTTCGGCCGTCCTCGTCCCAATTGTACAAACGGCTGGAGACCATTGGATGATGGGCGTCCGTGAATCTGAACGAAGCTCCGAACAAAGACGAAGAACGAGACCTAGACCTCGTTGTGAGCTCCGACCCCAGCCAGCCTGACAGGTGGGTTGTCTGCTCCCACTCCTCAGCCTCGGGGGCGGGCCTGTGCTCACATTCCAACCCCAGCCTTGTCGGCATCCAGCCTGATACGGATGCAAAGTACTTGGGTACACCGCCTTTCCTGCTCTCAGATAATCCGCGATATGACGCTGTCGTCCGTCCATTCTGTCGTGCTGTCTTTAACTACTTCAGAAAGAGGAGCTCCCTATCTTTGAAGTCGCTGAGAAGACGAATATAGCCTTGGTAATGGGGGATTATTTGAGCTCGTTGTACTGGCGACTGCCAGCGCTGCAGGCGCATGGCGCGCTCGTTCTCTATCGAAGCACAGACAGCCTCCAACGCCAATTTCCCAGCCTCCTGCCGGGCCGAGTATTCCCTCCAGCTTCATAAAAATGCGTCATCCTTCATCATTCATGTCGACAACGCCGCCCCTCTCTATGCCTTCTCTCTGTTCTTGAGCTTGGTCCAGCCACTCGTCCCCTTGGCCCTGGCACCTTCCTCCTCTCCACCGGGCGTCATGATGCTTCTCGCATCGTCATATTCCTTTCCGTCCATCGGCCGGGTCTTTATGAAGACGGCCTCATCCATCTTCTCGCCCCCATCGTTCCATTCCTGTTGGTCCAACAGTTCCCATTCAGCATTGTTCATTTCTGTGATGAGGTGCTTCTTCAAGGGGTCAGAGATCATGGAGTATCGATTCAGGCGCCAGTGACGGGATGGATTATCCCCGGCCGCGGCAGAAGACCCGAGGAATGTGTGCGCCGAGTTGTGGGAATAGGAACCGAGACGTGCTGGGAAGGCGTTGTCCTTATCATCAGTGACTGGCGACGATGTGCTCTGGGATCGGCGGTGATGGTTGAGAGCGTTGCGTTGGGCGAAGACTCGAGCGGCGGTAGATTGTGTAGGAGCTAAGATCATTTGGAACAAGTTGTGACCAATGTCACAGATGTCTTCCCACGTTTCGGTGCCTGCAACGAAGCCTTGAGTACGAGAAAGCCATGCGACATCCCAAGCTAGGAGAGAAACGCCTTCGATGAAATAGCTGAACGCCAGGGGTTCCTTCTTGGCAAATTGAGCGACAGATTCGTTGTAGTCATCGGAGCCGATGTAGAGAGGACGGGGTTTCGGAGACGAGCTGAGGTCCATTCTAGAGGCGGTGGGACTGCCGGGCGCAGAGAGACTCGAGCCACTGCCGGGGAAGGTGATGCGTTGTCCAAGGTACGAGGTAAGTGGAGTATTGATGGTTGCGAGTGGGTAGTCTCGATGAGGCAGAGTGATTTCAGCGGGGAGTCTGATGCCAAGGTAAAAGGAGCAGAGGAAAACGAGTCGAGTGACATTCCCAAGTGCTGCAGTGAGTTCAGCGCATCGCATATCTAGATGGCCGGTTAGTGTGGAGAACTAGTGAAGGCATGATGGAGTTCTCACTGTTGATCTCTTTCAAGTCTGGCAATAAGAGACCAGCAGTATAGTGGCGGTCCTTGAATGTACCATCTTTGAACTTCTTCTTGGAGTGATGAAGCCTCAGCAGACTAGCAGCTTCACGACAGAGAATGGCTCGAGTGTCGACAGTCTTCTCATGAAGAGCATCATATTGTGCCTTTAACTTCTCGTTATTCTCCTTGAGCTCTTCCACCTTTTTCTTGTGATTCTTGGTCTGAGCCTCTTTTGCGGCGGCGAGGTTGGCTCTTCGTTCTTCTAGGTTCTTTCTCAAAGCCTGCGCAAGGTCTTTCTTCTCATGCAGTTCTTTCTGCTTGATGACGAGCTCGCGCCGCATATCTTCTTCTTGCTCCTTCACCCGCTGTTCTTCGATCTTTTCTTGCTGTGTCTGCCAGGCCTTTCTGAGTCTCGCAGTCTCTTCATCCAGCGGCTTCTCAGGCTCCGAGCCAACGATGGCTTCTACTTTCTTTCCGAGGGACTCTTTCTCGAGCAGGACTCTGGCAAGGTCAAAGCGACAATTGTAGAGCAGGTTGTTCACGCAGTTCGCGCAGTTGACACCCATGCTCTCGGTGAGGTGTTTGTGACAGACAGGGCAGTTCATCTTGACAGTTTCCACGTTGACGTAGGTAGAGTCAGTAGAAGAGTCAGTAGGATTCAAGGGCACCTCGATCTCATATTCGGCTGTCTCGTTGTCTTTAACCTCCGCATCCAGCGATTTCGGCGGTGGCGCGGCTTCGCTGGCGAGAAACCTGCAATCATGATGTTAGGATGAGGTCGGTTTCGAGGTCCGTGTGCATCGAGCACGATTACAACGACAATGTTGACATTGTCATCAAAACAACACCAGAGTGTCAAGGAGAAGCACAGGCATCACAAGGACTGAAATAGGCACGACTCACCTCTCCCGGAGCGATATGAGGCTTAGGCTAGGGCCGACACGCCTGAGCTGCGGCATGACGTAGGACAAAGTGTTGCACGTGATCTTGCGACTGACGCTAACACCAAGGAGGGAAAGGCTGCTATTGACGCGTTGTGCCGAAGTTTAGCCGAGAAATACACAAAGACAGCGAGGTCAAGCAAGGTTTCTTTGCCGAGTCGAATTTTCATTCACAATTTAGTGTTGGAATCAGTTTGGCGAAGATGGACACAGTGAATCACACTGACTCTGGGACTGTTTCTCCGACTACGAACGAGGGGAAGCAAACGCCGCCTCCAGACTTGAATACAGACGCGGCCGTTGCCATCCACTCCTCACCACTGCCCGACAGGTCCAGGTCCAGACAAGGCAGTGTGGCTAGAAAACGCACAAACGAGGAAATCTATCAGCCGGACGAGACACCGAAGACGAGCCCTGCAAGCGCAAGATTCCAGAGGTCTATCACACTCCCGGTGATGCCCGAATCTCGAGAGCAAGACGGTAGGAACAACCCGTTCGAACATCGTAGCTCGACCCTTGGTAGTGACAATACTAAGATTCGTCCAGTTGCTACAGAAATTGGTGCAAACTCCACTCCATTGTCACAGCGTAATAGCTTTGTCAAGGAAATCCAAGATTATCAACAGCATTTAGAGCTCCAATTCCAGGAGTTCGAACGTGCATTGAACGAGAGAGACACCTCGGTCAGTCTGAATGCAATGGACTGGGACGATCTGGAAGCACGCTGTGATAAGGAGATCCAGCCTTGTATTGCTGCTGAGAGGGAAATTATGGACGAGTTCAACACCCGCTTTACTGTAAGCAGCCCGTTCTCTTGGTCACCCAGGGTGAGCTAACTATTTGCAGCAATTCTTGCTCTATATGCAAGTATCAAACAACCACGAAGCTGAAAGGGCTGTCAAGAGGTATTTCAACGTGCTGATACTGTGGTGAGATGCAATCTAACTGCTGATGCAGACTTCGCACACGAATAGCTCTTGCCCAGAACTCAGAGAGATCACTGGCTCAGAAGCAAGCCCACCGTGAGTCCCATGTACATATCAGACGGTTTTCCACTTACACTGCCTACAGATGCAAAGGTGCTTGAGGCGTTTCAAGGCGCGATGGCACTCCTGGGCAATCTGTGACGCAGATAATGGAAGATTGTGCTTGATCATGCTGAGAGTGGTTCTGAAAAGCGCAACTCGGCCTACGTCACGCGGAATTGACCGTTGGCGCAAAACGTGAATGTCCATGCTGTGACCAAGCTTTCTGCTTGTCTTCAGCCACGACAGCTGATAAGATGAAGATTGTATGACACAACAAACACAGAAGTGATGTCTGATGATCCAAAGTCGAGTGCGGATCGAGATCTACTCGCGCGGCTAAATGCGTTGAAAACGTCGACTGTCTCTTTTGAGCAGACTAAGTAAATCCATGACTTGCCATTCCTTCGACATTGAGCTGATGCTTTCTTAGCTTTCAGACACCTCTTGGGAAAGGAACCCCTGCTTCGCTTGACCCTAGTCCGGCTCGCGCCCTTCACTCCGACCTCCTGACGAGATGGAAATTCCTTGGAGGTAGTCCTTCCTCATCTCACCTCAAGGAATCCACTGGTTCGGCCGAGAAGCCTGAAGACGAGAAAACAGTGGAGGACCTTCTGGCAGACCTAGGACCCTCGGATGCATGGGAAGTTACGCAGACTGAAGAGGAACAGGTCGCAGATCTGCTGCGGACTGCAAAGTCAGCTCTAGCTGATGTGTCGCACACCGAAAGCGAGCAGCTGAGCAAAGATGACGCCGCCAGCACAAGAGAAGGTCACGTTCACACAAGGCTCCCAGCGATTGATGTTTCGGTCTTCCAACCCGAACCAGAAACAGACGAGATTCCAGTCACAGTCGTAGGTAACAAGTCGAAAGACACTCTGGATCAAGAGGCAGATGAATTGCTGGCAAAGATTCTGGACGAGGCCAGGCTCGAGCCTCCAGAGGCGCAGGAAGAAAACACTACTCTGCCAGAAGATGAAGACGGTGTCGCACCAGGCGATTCGCAACGCTCAATTTCCAACTCTGGCCAGAATATTTCTGCTTTTGACCTTCCCACCACGCCTTCAAACCTACCAGAACCAGCTATCTCCACAGAACAGTCAAACGAAGATGACGACCTAGCCTCTCGCTTTGCCGGCTTGTCACTACCGTCAGTCCCCACGGGCATGAAATCCACGAAATCATCGTCTTCTGCATCAAAACCTAACATAGGCTTCACCGACGAGGAAATCGATACGTGGTGCATCATCTGCAATGATGACGCAACCCTCCAATGTATCGGCTGCGACGGAGATCTCTACTGCACCAATTGTTGGATAGAAGGCCACAGGGGCGAGAGCGCCGGATTGGAGGAACGCAGCCACAAGGCTGTCCAATTCATCAAGGGAGGCGGGAAGAAGAAAGCACCCAAGAGAAGAGTTATGATGGGTGCTTGAGATCATTAAGAATCGCCGATTGACAATCGGCCATTACGATTAACTTATACCTGCGAGAGCAGAAGACCACCCACAGATTCTATACGGGCTCCTTTCCATTCTCCTCCTCCTGCGCCTCAGTTTTCTGAGTAACTCTGCCGATCTTATGTGCATTTGTCCTGTTTGGCTCACCAGGCGGAACAAGGAAATACACAATACCGTGAAATATGCTGGCCACAAACGGCGCCACCCAATGCACCCAGTGCCATCCTGGGAATCGGCTGCCCACAAAGACGCCAAAGCATCTTGCTGCATTCAGACCAGCACCACCGTACGCGGGCAGACTGAATGCTGTACACAATGCCATAGTTCCCGCCGCGAGGCCGACGAAGATTGGTCCCAATGCCGGGCCAAAAATCTCCCGCTGGCGAGGATCAAGACCGACTCCGAAGGCGAGCACAAGCAAGAGCAAGTCGCCGACGACTTCGATGGTGAATGCACTCGAGACAGGTGTCCCCATATCCTCGAAGAGGTAGCATCCTCCAACCTTGAATTCTCTGGTATTCGCCGCCGCTCTCAACAGTAGCCCGGCAAGCGCACCAGCCGAGATCTGTGCCGCTAAATACAACACCAGACGAGGAAAGGTGGTTAATCTCGCAAAGAATGTTCCGATCGTGATTAGTGGATTCATATGGGCTCCGGAAACGGCGCCGAAGGAGAAGATCAGCAGCGCGAGGAGAATTGCGTTTATGGCGGAGGCGACGAGAGGACCGAGGAAATATGAGCGACTAAAGGGGCCGGATGTTTCAGAGGGTAAGGGCGGAGGCGTGTTTGGGGAGATACTGTTCCAGGCTGATGCCCAGACGAAGATGAAGGTACCTGAGGCACAAGAATTTTGTTAGCACCATTCCGAACGACACGCTTCCTCATCCATGGTCTCTCTAGCAACCCTATCACGCCAACAAACCACCGAAGGGGATGCTCACCGACAAACTCGATCAAAGCAGCCTTCCACAGCTCCACCTCGCGAAAGCCTCGAAGATCGAAACTTTCCCGCAAGGTCAAATTGGGTGCTGCGTCGGGCACTTTTTTCAGCAACTCTTCATTTTGGGGATCGGAGCGGTCGACGGTGAATTCTTGGTTGCCGCCCAAACGACCGGCGAAGGGGGCGCTCAAAGAGCCGGCACGGCGACGGCGAGCTGCTATAGAGTTGGTGCTGAGCGTCTGTTGTGTGGCGGTGGTGGACATTTCGTATGCGGTGGTGGATGGGAAATGGTCGGGTACGGTGCGGCAGGGGCGGAAGGGTGAAGAGGGAGGTGACAACGGAGAGGGAGTCAACTGTTTTTCTTCCGTGGTGGGCTGGATGCGTTGCTGTTGTGCTGTCTGGTTCGAATTGGTCATGGATGCTGATTCTGCTTGGTGAAGCTGTCTCAAACTCCAGGTATGCCAACTTCGGGGTTTGGCCCCTCGTCGATCAATGGCTTGCTCCGTCTGTGTGTTCAAGCCATGTCTCTTGAGAAGAATATCGGTGGCAGCAGCAGCATCAACAAGGTCCCCTCCGACTCGCTTCCTCTCTCGATCACGCTCCTTTCCTCCTTTCCTTTCTATCTCTTCTCTTTTCTCCTCTCTGTTTTCCCCTCTTTTCCTTTCTTTATCCAACCCACCACGACACCACGAGGTTGTGTTTGCTCAACCTCGATATCAAACGCGATCCGCGTTCAAGCCCGTCGACCATTCAGTAGGCCAGTAGCTGCCTGTTGGTGAAATGGACAATGTACAAGTATCAAACATTAGGTTGTCTTTGCTCTTTTCCAAGGCTGTTGTCCGAACCAAAGAAACGAGTCTCTTGACTTTGTGCCGACCGTCAGCGTCGATATCAACGTCAACCTCAGCCTCAAATCTTAATGTCAGTCTCCAAGCCCAGCCTAGTGTTGAGGGAACAAAGCCAACAGTTGATGATAAACTATCAAGAAAGAGGAAGAAAATCGAGCGAGCGCGCGATTTGCTGTCCCTGTCACAATCAGAAGCAGGGGGTATGTACCCAGTGAGTAAGTAAGAACAGGCGGCATGAATAATCACACGGCCTGTGCCCGCGCACGCAGCAACGCCCCGTTTGCCGGTTCGAGTCAAGTGCCCCGTGCCCACTCACTGTACATATTCACAAGGGCCATAAATACACCGCAGCAGGAGGACCGGGGATATGCATGTATGTATATACCGAAGTATGTTTGTAGGTAAGTACGGAAATAAGGACGCAAGTACCGTCTGCAAAGCGTGTAGATGGACTTAGGTGTGGATGTACCCGGGTATGGTTGTGGGGACGGAGAAATAGAGGAAGATCGTCTAATACATATGTAGACGTGCATGTACACGGGGAAGCTAGATGGTGCTTTACAATAATGGCATTGACTTACGTCGTCGTCGAGGTGATGAATGGCAAGAATCATGCCCATCATGCACCACATGCAGAATGTGGCTGGATATCAATGACACCTTTCCTCAGGTACCTGGCAACTCTCACTGTACATGTCGTGCAGGAAACCGACTGATCTCGATGCCATAGTCGTCGGATTATGTTCCCTGGTTCCCGCTTCTGGAAGGCTCGTGGTCGGCACGAGCTCCAAATCAAAGTGCCCTTGCCGTACAAGGCTTCCTCAATCGTTCTCTCCATCATGTTCGCGTTCCACATGGTCGTCGTCCGGATTCAACAGCACCCCAATGTCAGTACTCTCGTCCAGCACCTTTCGGCCTTCCTTGGCCGTCGGTAACTTCATGTCTTCCATTACCAGTTGCAAAGTCAACTCAGGCACCAACACTGCACTCACATATGCGCCGACACCAGCGGTCCGAAGCGCCGAATCCGACTGTAGTGCCTTGTTGAGAGTCTTTGAGAGTGACTCTGTAATGGCATGGACCATGATTCGGGCACCCTTGGGGCCGTAATAGCCCGGCTTAGCAATGTCAATTAAACCTTCATTGAGATAGTTGCGTATGGCCCTGCGGTTGCCCTTGGCAGCTTTGATCTTCGCATCCAGCTCATCCAGGTAGTAACAGGATCTTTGCCGACTGATCACCCGTTTCAGCTCTTGGGTTTTCTTTGGTATCCGGAAAGTTTCCAGTTTCTCCCAATCTAACTTAGGATAGCCTCGTTCTTCCCATTGGCCCCGTGCATCTGCAAGTCGATGTTGAGCACAAAACTTTTGCTGTTGTTGAAAAGGCATGGTTCGAAGATTGTCGGGAACCAAGAGCGAGATAGAGTCTCGGACAGTCTTTCGACACACCGGGCAGCATATTCCAGACAATGCTGGGTCAGGTTCTATCTTGAACTCGTCATTGTGCATGAGTAGAAACATGTCGTCCACGGAAGACAAAGACGACGTTGACCCCGACCTTCGACGGCCTTCCGATCGAGGCGAATCCACATCAAAAGCGACAGGATTTTCCGCGTCGCCGGAAGATGAAAAGTCTGGTATTTCTGGTAATCGAAAATCCGCCTTTTTAGGTTCCGGTGTCTCGCCTAGAAGGCGTGGGATGGTCATTTTGTGGCCTGCCTTGTGCTTTCTCACAATACCTGGGAGAGGCAGGTCGGCAACGTGTATGAAGGTTGTTTTGGAAGCCTTCTCTTCCTGCTTCTCTACTTTGGCATAAGACACAAACCTCTCCCCTTCTGCGCGAGGCCGGGGCATGCTCTCGACGGGCTCCAGCTTTTGAAAGAATCTGCGGTTCGCATAACTCTTGTGAGGTTTTATTTTCTGCGACCCGCTCGAGTCCCATGCGGGAAATGGGTCGGTGCAAGTCGAGTCTTTGAGGGGTTTCAGTGTGTCAAGCGTAGGGTTATTCGTCAGCTTCAGCCGTTTGGGTCTGGTCGAGGCAGCTGTGCTCGCAATACGTTTCGTGGATGGAGAAGAGGGTTTCAGAGTCTTGCGCGTGGACTGTTTATGCGCGCTCTGGGTGGGCTCGCGGTTATCGTCGTCTGAGGAACTGGAATCAGGTGGCGCATAGATGAGCGTCTCATCCTCCCGAATGTCGGCCTTCATGGCTGGAGTTTCTGTCTTGCGCGATCTTCTTGACTCTTCTCCTCGAATCGATCGCAGCAGTGTTGGCCCCCGGTAGTTGTCGCGCGTGAGATATGTTCTCGAGTAACTGGCATTGGATCTGTTCATAACATGGCCGTCCCCAGACTCGTGCATTCACGGGTCGACTAACAAGACATGATCGTGAATAGTTGTCAGGATTTGAGGAAGGCAGTCAGTCTCATGAGAGCACTAACAATAAATTAAGTGAATAGTGAAAGTGCCAGGTTTCCTGCACGCGTCGAACTGCGGGCGGATTGGCGGTGGGGAGCAATGGGCAGCAACGCATGGTGCCCGTAGGTAGTGCCCGTAGGTAGTGCCCGTAGTGCCCGCACTGCCCTCGGAGCCCGCGGTGCTGTCACCCTGTTGGCGCCCATAAGATGTACTGGAGCCAGCTCAATTAGAGTGCGGACTCCGTGTTTTTCCGGGGCACCATGTCACCCACATACGACATACTCGGTACCCAGTATTACTCGGTACAGGACTCACTACTTCGTATTGGGTACCAGCTGCGACTTGGCGGCTACCAGGCCCAGTTTCACATTTCACCCACCCGAGCCACACTCCCTTCAAAGTTCAAACAATTCATTGCCCAGCCCGCCAAATGCACAGATTCAGCTAACGGAGCTGACAAACGCCCTCCCTGTCCCTATAATTCGCTGAGCTCATCACAGGACAAGACACATGGCCAAGAATGGATGAGACTGGGCCCGTGGCAATTCAAGTTCAAATTCAAATACGATTCAACGGCACGAAAGGGCGCCCTCTTCTTCTCTCTTCGTCTCTTGACGCAGGACAAGCAGCAGAGCAGCAATGGGCCTCGTGGATGACGACCCGTTGGACACTCTTCGCGAGAAGTCGACAGCAGCAACCTCTGGAATAACCTCACCCACAGCCTTCTCCCCGGGGACGCAGAGTCCCTCGGGCATTCAGAGTCCTCCGCCCGAGCACCAACACCATCACCCGCATGTCGACCATGCCAAAGAGAGGCTTCGCCACTTCATCCATCCTGATGGCCGGAAAATCCACATCGCCCATACCCCAGAGGAGCACGCCAAGCTTCACAAGGAATTGAGTCAACAGCACGGCCCTCAAGAATTCGATGTCGTGATATCTGGCACTCCAGAACACCTAGCTATTATACGCGAACTGCACGCTCATCACTCGGCTCGACGCGACACGCTGCGTGAGACCCATGGAGACATCTTCCACGAGTTCGAGAAGGTCAGGGATGACCTGGACCACCTGTCCAGCGAACTCAACCAGTTGACCCACCACGGCGTACGTCCAACGGTGATCAAAGCATTGGACATATTAAGATGTAGCTGACCCATGGAGTAGGTGGCCTTGGATGCAAACTTTAGCAAGTTCGGCTACACGGCGCGCATACGAACAAAGGATGACCACAGCGGCTCGTCTACGCCGACGAATTCTTCAGCCAGCTCGGATCAGACTTTGCTCGACAAGCACCAAAGTCGTGTCGTCGAAGGGACGAAGTTCTTCAAACGGCCAGTGATCCGTCAGTATTTCCACAAGGGCCTGCTGTGGAGGTCTGCGCGTAGCGGCGAGGTCGGCACCTTTGAACTGTTCGCCGACTTGCTCTATGTGGGCATTATCGGCATCATTGGAGACAAGGCTGCCGAGGATCCTACCGGGAAGTCCTTCTTGGTGTATGCCATCAACTTCACCATGGCTTTTAAGATCTGGAACGATCTCACACTCGTGTCGAACTGGTAGGGGACAGATTATCACAGACCAGTCAAGCCGGTTGTCCTCCATGCTGACTGCAAACAGGTTCGAGCGAGACGACGTCGTTCAAAAGCTCTCGGTCATGCTATACTTGATCCTTCTTTTTGCCTACACTACCAATATTTCTTACGCCTTCGAGGAGAGACATCCCGGCGGAGAATTCGACACGTATATTCCCATGATGTCCTTCTATCTCGCCGAACGCGTCTACGGCGCCCTATACTTTGCCTGGCTTTCCTACGTTGTGCCCCTAGTCCGGGGGACCCTCCTGTACACCTCCTGTATTATCCTCCTTGCAGCCATATTCTGGATCTGCAGCATCCACGTCAACTACCCGGGCCAACTGGCTCTGATCTGGATCGCCATCGCCATCGACCTCTGGGGTCAAGGCTTCGGCATGTTCCTCTCGCGCGCATCGTTCAGACTTCCACCCGCCCAAGGCAGTCGCAGGGAGCGCTTCATTCGGAAGTACTTCGAATTCTACCCGGCCATCAACATCGAACACCGCACGGAACGCACCAACGCCTTTGTGTCCCTGGTTTTTGGTTATTCTGTGCTCACAATTCTTTACCAGTCCCGTGCCAGTGTTGGCCTCAATGCCTTCCTCGGCAAAGGCATCCTCGGCCTTATCCAAGCCTTCGCCTTCCAATGGCTGTACTTCGAAATCGATCACCAAGGTGTCCATGTGCACGCGATCCGCCGCCACTGGCTCTCTAGTACCGTCTGGATAACATGTCATTTGCCTTTCGTACTCTCCTACGTGCTGGCGGCCGCGACCCTCTCGAAACTGGTCATCGCACACGACTGTGCGAACGCCAACGTCGAGGACCTGGGCGAGTCCTACCAGCCGAAATCGGTTGCGGACATCGACGTTGGTCTTCGCTGGTATTATTGCGGGGGCATCGCCTCGGCGCTCCTCTCCATGACGTTGCTTTCATACTGCCACGTGCACAAGACGTTGAAGAACCCGCGTCTCAGGAAAGGCCCGCGCCTCGTCATCCGCTCGTGCATTGCCATCGCCATCCTCCTCCTCCCGCTGGCCAAGCACCTCTCGTCCATCAGCCTCATCGGCACAACCACGGCCCTAGTCTCGTTGGCCCTGGGCCTGGACATCTTCGGCCTGTCCTGCACCGGCGACCGTTTCTGGACCGGCGGGTGGTGCGACGAGACGAAGCGATGCACCCAGTACGAGGCACGGATCCGGTGCAGCAAGCGCAAGAAGCAGGAGATCATCAAGGCTATGCACCGTGGCGAGACGGTGAGGCTGGAAGAGCTGCTCAGGCGCCAGAGCACAAACTCCAGCGCCATGAGCAGCCAGACCGAGCTGGGCGTAAGTGAGAAGCCGGGCGACGAGGAGTGGCAGCACGCCGCGCTGTGATGAATCCAACTCAACATCTTCTGAGCATGTTCTTATGTCACATGACTGCGTATTATGTGTGGGGCGTGTGTATGTGTAAGAGTACATGATTGTAGATGGATGCATATGTGCACAAATGTAGGCCAGTCAAGAAAGCGCCCCGCCCCATTAACAATTCTTATATCCGCGCAGGAGAGGGCTCGAGCGAGCGAGCGATCTTGAATCAACGTGTTCCCCGTGTCCATCGGGAGAAAAGGCCTCTTTTTCTTCTTCTTACATCTGACCTTTCTTTGGCGATGATGACGGCCATGATGATGCCGTCTCAAGGCAAGGCAGTCTGTGGAAGCCGCATTGTCGGCCAAGTTGGCTGGCTGACTGGCTGGCTAATACCTCCGCATCCGAGGCGCAGATGCGATGCCACTCGCACTCCCATCTCCGTTCCCGTCTGCATTCCACGTGGCGAAGTCCTGATGCAGGGGCATCGTGACTGCGCCGGTGCCGTGATAGAGCGGGTAAGGCACTTTTGTCCTCTGCGGGTGCTGGGTCTCGGAGCGCGATGGTGTGAGCGAATTTGGGCATGGGGTTGGGCCTGGGGTTGGAAGGCTTGCCGTCCTGGCTTGCGCGTGGTTGAATGCTAGTCGATCAACCTCGCTCATCACCACTGGGGAGGAAACGACTCGGTGATTTTGAAGCATTTGATGCGTGTCGTCGAGAGGAAGGCCCTGCTGCTGCTGCTGGTGATCGGCGCCGATCGAAGAGCGAGAATGCGTGTGGGCGGATGGAGACATCGCGGGAGAAGGCGGGCGCTGTGGTGGATCATCACCAAAAGAAGAAAGAGTCGTAGGGACCGGATATGCGTGGTACCCACTAGAAGCAGGAGGCGAGAAGGTGACGGCGTTATTACTATGCATTGGAGGACGATGTTGCATACTTTTACTTGTCGTCATGGCGGTGGTGGTGTTGGTGGTGGTCTGGGAACTTAGAGTGATAGGCGTCGAATCCAGCTCTGCCACGTCTACTGATGTGAAGGATTGGTTCATTGCGGCCGGTGTTGTTGCTGTTGAATAAGCACGCTGGTATCGCTGAGGAGCAGAGGAGGAAGAATCCATAAAATGGCTCGCCTTGGCCATGACAGGCGAGGCTGGAAGTTCGACCGCCTCGAACGCGCAGTTATTATTCGATTGGAGCTCGGCTGCGGGGGGGCACCCCAAGTGATACGACGCATGATGTGCTGGCTGCGAAGAAGTCATGTCAGCAGCCCCGGTAGGTAGTTCTGGGAGCTCAGGTAGAGCGTTCGTGGCGCTGTGATGATGTCTACGGGCGGGCGGTGCGGCCACGGCTGGCATTTCATGATATCCAGGAGCCGGGGGAGCGAAACCGTGCTGGTCAGACACTGGAGCACAGGGCTCGCTCGACGCAGCTCCCACCCATCCAGGCGCAACGTACCGGCCGTCAGCGTTGGCCCTCGGCGGTAGGGGAGGAGGTAGAGGTTTACTGGTCTCCGGTCGTGACATTCCCCAATAACTGCCGGTGACTGCTGAGTGCTTGCTACTCGAAGTTTGATGGGCGGCATCCTGTCGGTTTGGGCCAAAGTCGGGATGACTCTGTGCAGCAACAGATGCATTCCGCTGGGGCTGGTGATGGAGTCCAGGGTTCACTGGATTCTGCCATGACGATGGGTGCTGATGATGCGAAGGGGGCCCAGAAGGTGGATGTTCCTGGGCAAATGGATATTGGTGTTGTCCATGAGGGGTTTGATGTCCATATGGCTGTGGAATCGGTGGAGACGAGACAGGCGAGGGCGGCGCAAGTGGTAGACCCGGGGTTTGGTTTGGATGCACATCTAAAGCAGCACTAGCCACGGGGTACACATTCGGCGCTGCCTGTGGTAATGGCAGCGATATTGGCGTCAGTGGACCAGACCAGTGCCCATAAGGCTGTGCATGTTGAGAGGAATAATGATATGTTGGAGGCGGCGGAGCTTGAGTGTGAAGAGCCGGCGGAGGTGGAGGAGGTGGAGGAGGATATTGATGAGTATGTGCCGGGTTGAACTGACTCGAGAGGCCTTGAGATGGGTGATAGCCTTGCGAAGACGTTGATGTCGGCGTCGTCGTTGTCGAAAGGAGCAGTTCTGCCCGATTTTCTGCCAGGTTGTACACATCCCTCATGAAATTCATCGACTTCTTCGCCAGAGACGACATGTTGATCGATTGTCCTTTCCAGGACGGGGTCTGGGAAGCTTTCTTGACAAGACCTGGACAACAGCAGCGCGGTCAAGAGCTTTTAGGACATGTCAAGCCATTCATTGCAAGACATCCATCACACGGTTAGATGCCTAGGTATCCTTGTGTTCCCAAATTTACAAAAAAGGGGGCGAACAACACGATCGCTAGACCTCGCAATATTTTCGGATCCACCTTTGGCGCCTTATTGCTTGGAATAGTAAGGCTGAGCAGGCCGAGAGGGACCGCCAAGCGAGCCTGGCCAATTGAACGCTCTCCCATGGCGAACAAGGCTTTTGGTTTGCTTCGAGACTCAGCCGAAATGCGCGCCATACCTTGAAATAGTCGCTTGCCGAGAAGTCCCCTGTTTAACCTCGTCATTGCCCAGGGAGGTTCTCGCAAATTGACGAGTCAGCCTTGCGTTGGATCTGTTAGTATAGTTACCCCTGTAGCATCGACTATTTCAACTCAATGCAGTCAAGCTCCCAGCTTCAGAAGTCTGGCTTGCTTGCTTGCGCTTCTTTGAAAGGCAACCCGGTCTGCTAGATTTGAAAGAGCCTCACGCGTTGAATGCTGTTGTCTGGAACGCGCGGCTGTTGGAACCCCTTCATTATACCCCTCAGCCGTCGCCGTTTATGGTCTTTGCTAACGGCCATGATGTCGTGCTTTGACTGTTTGGAAGCCATGTCATTCGCAGGCTGGTATTAAAGCATGCAAAAGAGGGCAGAATCCTGACATCTCAATGTTGCTAGCTCTAACAATATAGCCAATTTCAGCGAGCGAGCCCAGCTCCATTTCTGGACCATCTGTATCTGGCTAATACGAAGGTCAGTTGCTTTTCTGTATCACGAGGATTGCTCCTCCTGCCCTTGGCTAGAGCTATTGCTGATCGCATAACGCTGGTCTGTCGTTAGCTCTGACAGGATTCCATTGGGGAAAGCGGACACCGTGCTTACTTTCTAAACTGTCGCTGGTAGTCGGTTGGAAGCGTGACAAAACAGGCTTCCGTTGCTCTAATGACAGCCTCACAGGCAGCCAGGATTGCATTGCCGGAGTCAGCCTGTAAGCGATATGCTACCAGCAGGAGAAGGAGGCTGCCGTGAAGGAGTTGGATCCCAAAGAAGTAGGGCATGAAACTGATGTCCGGGTCACATTCCAGTATCTGGGTCACGCATTCAGAAGCTGCCATCGTGTGTGACATGGAGTCTTTGAACCCCAGTGAAGATGTCCAGCTGCAATTTTCAGTCAGTTTGTATCCAGAAGGGTCCCCGGTCAAACAAAGACAGGAGGAACTCACAAATCCGAATCCTCAAAGAGACAAACCGGATCCCATTTCGAACCCACCAGAATCCTCAGCACGCTTACAATATGTCTTGCATACCCGGCCACAGTTTTGGCAATGTGGGTTGCTTCAGAATCTTCCACTCCCGCAGTAGGGGGTGGCTGCCATCGGGTACCCTCCTCGGTGTCGGTCTCAGTGCATATGCTTGATGTGACGCGATCCAAAGTTGCTTGGTAATGATCAAGCTCACGCAAGATTTGACGTTCTTGCGAACTCCATATGGAGGCTGCTGAAAGCACGGGGTGTAGCCGCGATCGATTCCAGTCCAGAAGAGTACCGCAATGCACCATCAGTGGCAAGAAGAATTCAAAGAGACCCACCCCCGAACAGGTCTTCGGCGGCCCATGTGAGCGTCCTGTTCCAGAAGGTAATAGCATGCATCTTGGTCCCTCGGCACGCGTACCATGGCTGTGCGGCTGAGCACCAGATTGCCAAGTAACATCGTCAAGTGGAAGCAGCAAGTCTCTGCATTCAGCTTCCAACAGTGCGAGCGGCCGGTTATAACACAGTGCCAGATGTCGATCCATCAGAAATAAGAGCCACCACGTCCGGCGACGCTCCTCGCGCTGGATTTCATTAATGAAGTCTCCTTCAGCGTGCTGGCTCAGAGAACATTTGCAATTCAAGCTGGCTGGTCCATCCTCTGCGTCTTGTGGCATTATGGTGGACTGTACCTCCTCATTCAACTTCAGATCCCTTGCCAGATTAAAAGCAACGCTCCACCTAGTTAGCAGTCAGAAATTGCCGTGGTGACGACGCCGAGGAGAAATCGACGAGTCATCCCAAACAATTCGAATAATGACTTACCATCTGATGCTGGCGGCCTTCTTCTCGCTTCCTGAAATCACGGACGAAACATGAATAAATGCGATGATATAATCCATGCCCCAAGACTCGGGGAAAGTATCGTTTGGAATGTCCAAAGCTCGGCGCAGGTCATCATTGCTCCATCCCGAGTCTGGACCGAAGATCGGAGGCAGCCCCAAGTCTTCCTGTCTTAACAACGGTTCATACCTGGCGGGATTGAGAAGCCGATATGTGAGCAGGCTCAAATACTTGCAGACTCGATCTTTCTCTTCAGGCCCACTGAACAACCCCAGAGCCTTGTCACTGAAGGCTGCCACGAAGAGCATGCTGCCTAAAAGCGCCGGATGCGTTTGACGGGGTTGGGAAGAATCGAGAACGTCGATTTTCCTCAAGATGAAGTTGTGGATGTGGTGGCATGTGGGATGCATGCGACTGAGGAACGCGCTCGAGAAATATGTATCCAGAAGGTCACAGGCAAGGCCAGATCCAAAATCCCGATCTAGGAATGGCGATAGGTACTGTAGAACAGGATATTTGCATTGAGCAAATGCCTGGCTGTTTGGTGTCGGTGCCTCACGGGAATCAGCTATAGATGGCAATCTATAACTATAAGGATCCAATATGTGAAAAGTCGGGGACACATATGTTGACGGGATGACTGAAAAGTCCTTGCCATCATCAAAAACCATCGCCCGGGTCTCGGGAGTTGAAGACAGAGCAAGATGAAGCAGTGCTGCAGTGTTCGCTGGGGAGGAAACTGGCAGCCCTAATTGCTCATTTGGAGTCTTAGCAGCACCAAGGGAGTGGGATGCCGATTCGTTGACAGCGGCTCGCCCGCTTGTCTGCTGGTCACTTGGAGACGGTTGTGGTGATGGCGAGGGTGCCGAAGTATTCTCTTGAGGTTCTTCCACGATGGACATGGTTGCAGGAGGCTTGGCCCAAGAGATGGGACCATCTCCGCGCCTCAGATCATAAGAGCATTGTTCTCCTAGCTGCCCACATCGTCTGCAGGGGATAGTCCCGGTGCAGCGGATTTTGGATTTCCGACATTGATTACAGGCGCGAAATTTTTCATTGATGATTCGGTGGAACGGACGCTCTTCTGCGTGATTCAAATGGGTCTTGAGATGGCGACTCAAGCTGTCGCTGCGAGAGAATGCGCGCCCACATTCTGGACAAGGCGCTGAGGCGGGCGTTCTGCGTCGGGCGACCTTGCTTAAGGCCATCGTTTTACCATGGGGACTGTGGTTCGGTACCACCAATCATTCTCCACCATGTGAATGATACTGAGAACTGCAGAGCTGTGAGCACGTAGCTCATAGTCCTGAGATGGTCGCTATGACATAAAGTTAAGAGATGAAGAGGTTGGCGGCCGATGGGTTGCGGCAGGGTGTGGCTTTTTCTAGCCGATGGATTGCACTGAGTACGGCCCGTCGCCCTCCCTCGCTCCCCCTGTCCAACCCCGCAAGCTACTGAAAACTAGTCAGCAATTGCCACGCGCTGGGGCAAAAAGAACTAGTTGATTGGTTTCCGTCCGGGGGATCGTAGGTAGTAGTCGAGGGGGAAAAGATCTGGCTCTTCAATAGATGACCACCACGCGAACGACAGCTCTTTGTAAACCATGCTTGCATGCTCCGGATATATGTCAATCTGCTGCTTAGCGACTATGGAGAGATGTATATATCTACCCGATCGGAAACTCTTCGACTTCGAATGTTGCAATTTGGGTTCCAAGGGTTATATGTCTGCCCAGACGGTCACCTTTCTCTTATAACCGGTTGCTTTTCACTGATGTTCGACTTGAGCCGTAGAACTTGTAAGGGAAGTGTCCTGCCTTGACTTCACACCTTAACGTGCTGCTCTTCATTTTTCTCTCCTGCAATTTCGATGTGACCGCCATGATCAATCGAACCAGCTCTTAAGTCTCGTTTGACATCTTCCACGGTATAGTGCTTTTCGCGTGCTGTCTCCACCATCCTGTCAAGTCTGGATTGACCTGGCTTAGTATGCCATGGCTTGGGCCCACCATGGGAGAACATCTCCTCGATCTCCTCCAGCGACTTGTTGCATGTCTCGGGATAGGTAAAGTAGAATTGGATCGCGCCGAGAACACACAAACAGCCGAAGACAATGAACAAGCCCCACTTGATATTTTGGAATCCAGGAGGAATGTATAGACCGAGGGCGAAGTTGAACAGCCAATTTCCCAGAGCCGCAATACCCATTCCGGTTGCACGAGTTTCCAAACTCCAGACCTCGGCCGCATATACCCAACAGACAGGCGCGAGGGTCAGCGCATAGATGATAATCAAGAGGTACGAAAATGCGATCACTGCGTTAGCCTTTGATCCCGTGACTTTTATAACCACTGAGTATCTGTTAGCATGCATCCTCGAGAGACTGAGGCCGGTTCTGAGCCCGATCTCTACGAATCGAGACACCTCTGTTGGGAAGGGAGCGGGAGCTTACCGTTTGGATTCCCGCCAACGCCACCAGGGACGCTCTCTCCAGCAGACAATATACCACCCACCACAAAGTGGCAAGCACCCATGGCGAGGGCACCGTAGGTGAGCAACGGTCTGCGCCCAATCTTGTCGATGTAGAAGAACATAATGGTTGTGAAGACGATGAACAGTGCGTACTGCACACCGGAAGCAATCAGGTTGATATTTCCAGTGAGACCGGCCCTGCCAATTGACGTTAGCCTGAACTGTCATATCGAGTCCATTGAATCGATAGGGGAAAGTGACAAGAAGGTCGCAATGACCGGTTGGGCGGCAATCAAGGAAAAGGGACTGAGGGATGCCAGCCAGGCTAAGCTAATCCTTTTCAGGACTAGCGTAAAGAATGAGTCATGTGACACGATCCACACCTTGGAAAGCAGCTCGACAGTCCGACAAGGGCAATCGACCTACATCATGAAGATGTAAACCACATAACTAAACAAGCATACGTTAGTCAAAATACAACAACTGTGTCTCTGGGGTCACGTGCTATGTCATAACATTTGCGCCACTGTTTTGTTGCCACATTTGAACGGTAAAGCCAGCGAGAGTCCGTTTCCACATGCCGTTGAGTACGAACTTACGCCAGCCCTTGGGGGCCAGCCGTTCTGCAGCAAGTGTTGTGGTGATTTCCTCCCATTCGGCGACGACGAGGGGGTCGCTGATATCTCCATTGGCTTGGATTTTGGCAAGTGTTCTGATGGCTTCATCAACTCTGTCGACTTTTGCCAGCCAACGGGGAGAACGAGGCAGGAACGGCAGTCCACACATCAGGAAGACGCAAGGCACAAACTGGATTCCCCAAGCCGTTCGGAAGCTCGCTGCCCCGTCGATAAAGCTGCAACCGTATCCGATGAAGTACATGATCAAGATACCCCATTCTAAACATTATTAGCAAGTTCCGTCTTCCAATAGAGTCAAACCCACCAATAGCAAGTTGCTGGATGATGATGATGGCGCCGCGCTTTTCCTTTCGACTTATCTCTGCGAGATAGACAGGCACTTGCGAACTGGTAATGCCCACGGTGACACCGTTCAAAACTCGACCGGCAATAAGAGAGCCGATTCCCGAAGTTCCGGTCTGTTGATTTGAGATTCATAGATAAGTTTTTTGTTCAAACAATAAGGGGCAGCGATTGAGAACATCCCCGGTCCTCACCTGTACAGCTGTGCCACAAAGCCACCAAAGGCAGGCAAACATGATTGAATCTCTTCTTCCAATTTTGTTCGACACAGGGCCTGCAATAATGGATCCCACCACCGAACCAGCCTGCAAACGTCTGTTAGCTCGTCTCAAAAATGATGGACGTAGCGGAGGATAACTTACTGCCAACGCAGAACCAATTGCGCCCTGAGTAATGCCTGCGGGTTTATCGAACTTCTAACATTAGCTTTCTTGTTCTTGAAAAATTAGGCGAGTGACTCACGAAGTCATTGTACTGTTTTGTTCCAATGATCGCTGACATCGAGGAGATATCAAAACCAAACAACATCCCACCCACCGTGGCTATAAAGGCCACAAAGTAGGTGTTGTAGATCTTTGGGAGCTTGATCAAAGCCATAGTGAGGAATATGTTGCAACTCCTAGCCGCACGATGAGGTTCGAGAACTCGAGTGGAAGACAGCAGTGGAGCGATAAGGTATGCGAAGGCATTTTATATCTCTCATGTTTCTCCCCCCTAACCCACAGAATGGAGGCCGTGGACTGGGGGAGGGGGGTGGCGGAGGACCATCAAGATTAGTCTGAAAGGAGGTTCAATTTTCGCCCATGGAAGAAGGATATTGGCTTGCAATCAAGTCCCTCAGGCCACAAGGCTTCGTGGCCAAGGAGATGGATCCTGTTGCACTAACGTTCTCGAAGAGCACCCTGGATTGAGGTTGCACCAGCGGAGTACACTAGTCCAGGGCAGGACCTGGCTCGCTGGCAACGCGTACTCTAAAAAGTGGTGGTCCCAAGTGGTAGGCTGTTTGCTTCGTTTTGAGGCTATTCGCAGCTTAAACTCCAGGAAAACTTGTATCGGTTTGTGGAGAGGGCTTGGCTCTTTCTCCACATTATGAGGTGTATGTATGCATGATCGACTCCCGCGTTTAGCCCAAAGAGGTATCTTTGCGGTGGTTGACGGTGGATCGGCATTATATGTTGGGTGTCCTTTCGGTCGATCAAGAGCCCGCTGCCTCATACCACCGGACTATCTCCTCCCGCGACAATTGCAAATCTCATGTGGGAGTGGTCACAGATTGATGATCATATTGGGTGGCCGGCAGCGAGCTGGACGCAGGCGCAAAATTCCTCTGGGGGTGTTTCCTGCCGGACATGGGTCAAGCGGTACTGGAGCCGTCTTGTAATCCATCGCCTGGTATGAGGATTCTCGATGTCCAAATTCGAGATAGCTTCCAAGTCTGAGAACGGACTTGTGCATCATTATCACTGACGCGTGGTGGCGGTGGCAGCGGTCAAAGAGGCGTTTCTGTGCGGGCCCAGGCACCGTGCTAGGGGCTGGGTCCGCACGATCCGAGGGGAAGGACTTCCCACCCGAGATAGTGTCCCAAGTCCTCTTACCCAGTAAATGCTGTGGCGGGTTTGGCCGTTGGGTTTAGGAGGTCCAGGGTCTGAGTGCAACCAGCTAGTCAGATCTTGGTGCAGCTTCGATTTGGAAGTCAGATGACTTGCGGGGGCGGTAATGCGGGTTCCCTTCAGAACTACGGCAGTTGGTTGAAGAAGAGAAAACGAGGGAGAGATTTAAGTGCTGACGACGTGACCTTTGATTACCACGTGACCGGGTCTTTTGATGGCTTCTTACATAGTTACCTCATTAGTCATAGCGGCAGAGAGGGCCACCTTAGGGTTAGGGTTAGGGTTGGAGGGGTTTGAAAACTCGATGAACATCGAGAGTTTCCTTTCTTTCCCCTCTAGTGATGAGGAGCAGCAGGCAAGACGAATCGCTCTTATCTGCTCTGCGTCTTGTTTGATTCCACAAGGATCAGAGACAAGCCACCGCATTGCAACAACAGAACCCTTCAGGACGAGTTATCTCGGGGTTCCCTGCCACGTCGCTAGGCAACTTCCCGTTAATAAACGTGGGCATAATACAACACCTTCGCTATTGTAAAGGCATTTTCTCTAGCTAAACGCCATCCTCAAATGCAATTCACCGAGATACAACGAGTTTTCTCGCTGTTCGCAGTTTGGTGCTGACCACCCGTGTCGATGCAAGTTGAAAGGAAGAAAGGGCTCATAATCGATTGTGTCAGCAGGCTTTGACACATGGTGAACATAAACTGACACCTTTACTGCTAAGTTGAAACCATTACGAAAACATTCGTCACAGGAAAACACAGATACACTTGATTTTGGCGGGCAAGTGACATGCGACAGTAACAATGGATCAGGAGCGAGACATCTTGATGATTTCTTCTCCATAGAGCGAAGGCTGAAGCACGAAATATCCCAACTAATAAGAAACATTATATATGACTTCCGAAAGGTGGTCTGTGCCCAGATCCCAATTTCCCGCATGGATGTTCACTTGTCATCAAGATTTGGCGGTCCCCTGGGTCCAATATCAGCTCTACGCTTCAAGTCCGTCTCCGGCTCTCCCTTCTTGATGCTAGAGATCAAGTCCTCGGGGTCGAAATCCACCCCCACCGGATTTTCTGCGAATGACTTGCTCTTCATGTACTCGGTGGATTCAGCAGATGTGTCAAAATTATCGACTTGGGTCTCCAGCATATTCCCATCTGGATCCTTGTAGTAGATCGAGGTTGTTGTGCCGTGATTGACGCTCCAGAACGGTAGGATACCCCTGGCTTTACGATGGCAGTATGACAGCAGGAGATCCGACATGCTGGCGAAAGAGAATGCGATGTGGTGCAAGCCACAGCTGGTGGGGACCTTGGGCCCAGTATCGGGAAGCTGAATCAGTGCGATACGATGGTGTTCATGGTCGTAGGTGATGAAAGCTATCCAGTCATTTCCGTGGGTGATATGGCCGCCGAGGAAGCTGACCTCTCATTAGCATTGAAGGGTTCATCTTCATGAACTCTGGGAGAAACCTACGTTGTGTAGAAGTCAACCATCTCTTTGAACTTTTGAGTACGCAAGACGACATGGGCCAGGACAGATGGGCTCAAGACCTTGTCGCTTGGGGCATCAAAGTCGACTATCGGAAGGGAACCCATGATATTTTGGTGGAACTTGTATTCCAAGCGATCCTGGAAGTGATACAAACGGAAGAAAGATGTTGTGTTTCTGGACAGTCGGGCTCACGGCGACACGGGCAGCATCTTATACCTCCCCAGGCTGACAGGCCTGACCATATGGGACGCCTCGCATAAATACGGGCTCTCTGCCCTTCGATCTCAGAATGCCCCCAGCCTATCCAACAACCGGGGGGGATGTGGCGTCTACTATAACCCCAACATCCAGTCTCGTTGTCAGGTATGGGGTCGCTTCGTGGGAAATGCCTCGTGTCTCTAGGGCTAGACGCGGGCTTTGGTCTACTCCGCCACGATTCTTGGATCATTTGTTTGATTTCAAGGCCCCGGTTTGCCGATGTTGTATCTGATTGTGTTATGTTCTGGTGCAAAGGAGGACGTGGAAGCAGGATTGGAGTCTGGCCGCTGCATGACTACTGGCTCTCTGCCCTAAATCAGGTGATGAAGTCGGCCTACTCCTGGAGCAGCCAATCGAGGGCACTGCATTGCTCGCAGCTATCGAACTGTCACTCCTGTTGGTATTAGCCTTCGCGAATAAAGTATTAACATAAATATTGCATTATGATATACAAGAGCGGGAGAGGGAGGAGGGTAACGATTTGCAGTCTTGATTGGGGAGAATTACGATTTGCAGCCCTATTCGGGGTGAGATATATGGCTCATACCCACTACTTGAAACGGATATTCATCCCTTGGACTGAATTGCTGACTCATACCATTCTCCCAATACGAGGTATACAAGACGACCTTCGACAAAGGCGTCAAGGCATCATGGACTGTTCAAGCGTATGGCCGGGCACAGAAAGCAACATAGTCATGCCAACCGTGCTAACACAATTGCGTCGCTCGAAGAATCTCTGTACAATTGCAAGTCCATTCTTCAGAACGCTTCAAAGTACCTTGTCGAGTTGATTGGCTATCCTGGAGCCTGGCATACTCGTTAATCCTAGACAGAACGGTTCTTGTTGTCCTTAAGGAGGCAACCCTTTTAATGAGAGAATAAGATCGACTTTCCACTCCGCATAGGAGGTTTTAATCACCAACCTCCCAGCTAGACGCTTTTCTTGGTCTGCGGTTGTGGTGGTGGGAGTTTGCCGTGTAAAGGACGACTTCGCCTTTCTTTCTAGGATTAGACTCATCGCTATCTAGTAGCAAGGCCGCATTTAAGTATTCTCATGGTAGCCTACTTAGAAAGTCTCATGGTCCCTGGTTGAGTTCCGAGCCTCCTTATTTTCCACAAGGCTGGGGCTCAAGGGGCTTCTACAATGGCTAAATAACTATGCATCTTCTTCAGCTGGCTGGGGAAACTCATCACAAGGGTCCACTACTGTCGCGCTGGAGGTAGGAGTCGTATATTTATATAATGGCGAAGAATATCTTGACTATCAGGCCAGGTCGAAATCTGAGTACTTCCTCGCTGCAACCTCGTCACACTTGTTCCTATACCCTGGAGCAGGTCCCATATACCGTGCAATAGTCCTCTTCTGCTTGTGAGCAAGATTCCTATTGATGCCTGTCATCCAGGAGTCTACCTCATTTGTCAAGAGGCCCTCTGAGCATTTGTGGACGTGCTCGGTCCACTCTTCCACCCCCTTTGCAGTGGCTTCAATCCGCGTGATGTTATTGTCTCGGCAGTAGCGTATACAGTCGGCGATCCAACCGACCGCAAACTCGATACTTCGAGGGATGTTACCAAACATTTGATGGGGGCCCATGACCATCATCATGTTGGGAAAGCCATGAACGAAAAGACCGAGCTGTGTCTGAGGGCCGTCGCTCCAGACGTCGTTGAGTTTCTTCTTGTCCACGCCCTGAAAGTCCACCGCCGTGAAACATCCTGTCACAGCATCAAAGCCAGTGGCGTATATCAGGATATCCAGCTCGAATTCTTCATCGCGGGTCTTGATCCCTTTCTCGGTTATACGCTCGATCGGGTCCTCTCTGATGTCGACTAGTCGGACATTATCTTGGTTGTACGCCTCAAAATAGTGCGTCTCCATCGGTATCCGCCGCGTCCCCCAGCCGTGGTCTTTAGGAATGAGTTTCTCTGCGGTCACAGGGTCTTTTACCCTTTCTCGGATTTTGTTTGCAAAAAATTCGCTGCAAGCAGCGTTTGCATCCCGGTCATATGCCACGTCCGGAAAATTACTAACCCATTTAGCAAAGCCTGGCCGCGAGTATATGTCCTCCCAATGTGCTATTCTTTCCGCTTCTGAGACGTCGGCCGACATTCTGGGTTCTGCCAGATGTAAAAAGCAGGTGGCCGATTCCTTGCACTTCTTGAAAATATCAGGATACTGCTGACGGATTTCATCCATCTCCTCGGGGGTTATTTTGGCGTTACGAAGCGGAGCCGACCAGTTCGCCGTTCGTTGAAACACAGTCAAATGCCCCACGGTTTTCACAATCTCCTGGATGATTTGTATCCCTGTTGCTCCTGTACCTATGATTCCCACCCGTTTACCTTCGAGATGGACAGGTCCACGTGGCCATCGAGCGGTATGAAAGGCTTGTCCTTTGAAGTCGTCGAGACCGGGAATGTTGGGGAGCGTGGGTTTGTTCAACAGCCCCATTGCTGTGATCAGAAATCTCGAGGTGTATCGGTTGCCCTTCTCGTCGGTCAATTCCCATGATCGACTGGTGTCGTGGTAATGCGCCGACTTGATTTCGGTGTTGAACTGCATATCTCGTCGCAAGTCAAATTTGTCAGTCACGAACTGAATATACCGCAACGTCTCGGATTGAGGCGCGAAATGCTCCGTCCAGTTCCATTCATCCAAGAGCTCCTGTGAGAAGGAATAACTGTAGGAATAGCTCTCAGAATCGAAGCGGGCACCAGGATATCTGTTCCTGCAGGAAATGTCAACCATGTCCACTCCTAGCGTCTGTGACTGTTCAGCATCACCCAGTGGCACCTACCAATACCATGTCCCTCCCTCACCTGTGCCAGCCTCGAGTACTCTGACCCTCAACCCCAGCTCCCGCATGCGATACAGGGAGTAGATCCCACTCAATCCAGCGCCAATAATCAGGACGTCGAAATCGAGTTGCGTGTCCATGGCAGAAAAGTCTCGTTCGCCGCCTTTTGTCAGGTTGGCTGTTTTCGCTCACGCATCAAAAGGTCGAGTGAAGAATTATCTCGCTGCCAAAAGATATCGATGGGCGTTCGACTGAGGATGAGGTTTCGCAATCAATCCTCGCCCGCACTTCTCCGCGCACAATCACCTACCGAGGCTCGTGGTGTGGAGTGAGGAGATACAACGACCCATAGTACTGTACTGGAGGCGCGCCGTATTGATCGATTAGATATCGCCCATCCACTGTAGCGAGTGGGCTGGCGGAATAGATAGGGGTGATAAAACACCGGCTGTCCACCAATTTCAAAGCAGTAAAATGATTGAACGGTGGTGAAGGCTCTAATCCTCCATGATCGCAGACCTTTTTTCTTTCGCACCCACTCGTGCATTTAGCTCCTCTACTCTGCAAAACATCGTCTGTTGAATGTCTCGGGCCATGATTCGAGCCATTCCTACAAGACGTTTGTTAGGTAGAGACATATACGACCCTTGGATATATGTTATGGGGAATGTATTCACGATTTAAAAAGAAAGGACTAGCAAGTCCGGAGGGATTCTCGCTCTCAGAAGGTTCAGAAAAAAGAGAGAAGGAAAAGAAGGCCGAGGGGCTACTTACGCCACTTCCTAGTAGTTCATGCCCCTATCCAGCGAGACACGAGGTTCTTGTAACCCCTACAGCTGTGTTCTACCAAGGTCATAAGGCCGTACCTTGGTCCTACGTACTCGATCGCGGGATAAATATCTACGGCGACGCATTGTGCCAGGTATGCAGAGCAAAAGAACCACTTCCCGTGCTATCCCCGTAGTTCTGACATTGACAACAACTCCTCCTCGTCCCTTGACCTATCAATGCCAGAAAAAACATCAGCATAGGCCCTCTTTAAGCCGACGGCACCGAGCCGTGAAGAGTAAGGATGTGCAGATATCTTTGGAGACGCGTTTGCATTGACAAGGGACTCCTCATAGCCGAGACTTCCAATATATACACAGTACTCTCGAGTCTTTAACCTGGACACACCAGCACCATCACGTGCTAAGCCACCAAGAAGGTAAATATTAGGCTGCTCTGTTGTTTAACCAAATTGATTTCTTTACTGGCGTACTGCGACTTGTATCAGATGCCCGCTGCAAACGGAGATCAATCGTCCGCTGGGGCCTTTGACCCCTTCAAGTTCCGCGTGGCGATCGTTGGGGGCGGAATTGGTGGGCTCACAACAGCGCTCAGCCTTGCGACATACAATCCTGACTTGCCAGCAAGCAACATCACCGTCTATGAGCAAGCCCCAGAATACGGCGAGATTGGCGCCGGAGTCGGTATAGGGGTCTCTGCAGGCCGAGTGCTTCAGAAGCTTGGGGTGTGGCCGGCTGCTAATGCTATCTCCGGCTATCGAAACGGCGTGCATCGGAGCAATCGCCGTTGGGACACAGATGAGCTGATTGTGGACGCCTTGGCCTTCGACAACGGTGGTGCCGAGGAGGTAAGACAGTTGTGGGTTCATCGAGCTGAGTTTTTGGAGGTCTTGTACAGCGAGATTCAGAGAAGGAACTGTGCAACGCTAAAGACGAACAAGAGAGTTATTGGACTTGAGGTATTACTCCTGGTCTCTACTTTTTAATATAGCGCTCTTGCAATAGCTGCTGATCTTTGGACAGGATAGCGGGTCTACGGTGATCATTCGCTTCGCTGATGGTACAGAAGAGTCGGCCAATCTGGTAATTGGCTGTGATGGCATTCATAGCACGGTCCGATCGCAATTTGCTGTGGACAAGCCCGTGTACTCAGGCCGAATAGCCTTTCGCGGTACAATTCCCCTGTCTGCTGTCTCTGATGACTGGCCCTACTCGTCTTGGACGCTGTCATGGCTCGCACCCAACAAACATTTTCTAGCATTTCCAATGTCGCAAAACCGACTGATGAACGTCGTCGCGTTCGTCACAAAGCCGGAGAGCGAACTTGGCGGGCTCAAGGAGAGCTGGAGAAGCGAAGCACCGAGAGAAGCGATTGAGAAAGAATATGCTGGATGGAATCCGACAGTGCAGAGAATTATTCGAGCTATGCCGCCTGTTATCAGCGAGTGGAAGATCAACGACCGAGAGGTGTTGTCTCAATGGTGTTACATGGGCGGCAAAGTCGTTCTGAGCGGCGATGCAGCGCACGCAATGTTACCCATGCAAGGTTCGTTGATCCCTGCTATTCTCTTCCTCGATATCTGACGCTACCCCAATAGGCTCCGGTGCAGGACTCTCAATCGAAGATGCTAACGTGCTCGGCATTGCTGTGCGGGATTATCTGAACAATCCAGGCGCTGGGCTTGCCACGTACATGAACCTGTACCAAGCGGCACGCGTGCCACGGGCGCAGAAAGCCCAGATCACATCACGGCAGGCAGCAGAGGTCTACGACATGCACGGCCCAGATTTCGAGGGGAAGACGTTCGAGGAATGTCTACCGGTCGTCCAGGACAAGGTCAAGGATCGCATGGCATGGGTGTGGAAGGGGAACTTGGAAGCAGACTGGGCGGCTGCAAAGCAGAGCATAGCAGTTGCATAGGGATTGCCTAGAGAAATAGAGAACTCCATTCGCTTCCCGGTGTCTCATGGACAGAAACAACGCCTATTTCATATCAGTCGTTATTGTCATCTTGTCCTCCGTTACAGATGTTGTCCATTGACCCATCTCGGGTTCTTTCCACTCTATGTTCACACTCACACTCTCCCCCCTACTTCTTCGCCGTACGCCATGGCCAGATCAAATCCAGAATAGCGTTGATCGGACCTTAGCATATCGCGTCTCATATCAACTGTGCCCTTGCAAACAGCTCCTCCGGCCTTTCCCCGTCCGACTTCCCGACTTCCCCTCGAAGGCATTCCACAAGGTGAGTTGGACCCCATGGGACCCAAAGGAGGAGACTCCGGGATGCGGAAATCCACCGAGAAAAATGCCATTATTGGAGAAGCAGGCCGTGTCAAGCCTTTTCTTAAGAAGCTTGGTTTATCTCGAACCACCGGATCTGGCGTGATATCCCCCAGCAAAACGTCGTCTGAGCGAGAGGAGGCGCTTTCCGTTCCACCACAACCCAACTAATATTACCTACCATCACCATCTGGGCCCTCGCCGCTCCTAATTCGCAGAAAAGGGGGGAAATGCTTGCCACCGACTCAATGTCTCACGTCCCGTTATGGGCGTGGGTTTCTCTCACCTCAGTCCTTCTTTGCGCGTGGGCAGCAAGTTTCCGCTACAAAAAGGGTCTCAATAAATACGATGGGCCCTTCATCGCCTCCTTCACCAACTTCTGGCGGCTGTGGCAGTGGGTGTGGTATACGGACCGGTGCGCCTACCCCAGCGTGGTCAAGTATGGAAAAATCATCCGTGTCGGGCCCAACACGCTGCTGTTCAATGATCCAGATGCCATTAAGGACATCTACATGACACATTTTTCAAAGGTGAGAGGACACAAGCCCCCAATAGAATGCTTTCGACAAGCACCACATCAGATCTGAATCATATAATGCCTCTTCCCGGACACTACTTTGTCTAACGCAGCAAATCTCCAGTCCGACTTCTACAAGGTTGGCCAGGGAGTCTCTCGAGGCGTGGCCGTCCCGAACATCTTCTCCACTACGGACAGGATCTACCACGGCAAGCTACGGCGATCGGTGGCCAACGCCTTTGCCATGAGCACGCTCGTCAACTATGAGCCATACGTGACTGACACTGTCACCACGTTCCTCGCTCAACTGGACCAGAGGTTTGCCGGCAGACCTGGTCCGGACGGCATTTGTGACATGTCCGAGTGGACGAAATTCTTCGCCCTGGACGTCGTCAGCGCACTGACAATGGGAAAGGGGTATGGTCTGTTGGAGGCCGGCTACGATCATATCGGCATTATCAATGCGCGGACGACGTTTTTGCGCTACTTTACCATTGTGAGTTTTCCCTCCCTTGTCGAATGATACCAAGAACATTAAGCTGACATTTTCGCCTCCAGGTCAACAACGTCACCTGGCTCGACCGCGTGCTTAAAAAGAACCCGGTTCTCATGTGGCTCGGCCGCCGGGGACTCTGGAACAGCGTGACGGCGACGGTGCCCATCGCGCAGCGACAAATGGACCAGAAGAAGCGCGACTTCAAGAGTCTCAGCGACAACGAGAAGACGCGCGTCGATCTGCTCACCAAGTTTCTCCAGGCCAAAATCGACAACCCAGACATTGTCGACGACCGCGCCGTGCTGGGTCTGACGCTCTCCATGGTCAACGCAGGCAGCGGGACCGTCGCCACCACGCTGGCTGCAACATTCTACTTCCTCCTCAAGTATCCGCACGTGCTGAAGGAGCTTGTGGCCGAGATTGACGCGTACTTCCCCCCGCCGAGCGCCAGCGAGAAAGGCAGCAGCGGGCCGATCAATTTCGCAGAGTACGTGGTGCCGTTCGGCGAGTCGCAGAAACTGCCCTTCCTGGATGCCGTGCTCAAGGAGATCTTCCGCATCTGGCCGGGCCTGGGCATGCAGCTGATTGAGCGAGTCACGCCGCCCGAAGGCGCTCATATCCTCGGCGAGTACATCCCCGGCAACATCATCGTCAGCTGCAACGCGTGGATCATGCACCGCCACAAGCCGACGTATGGCGAGGACGTCGAGGTCTTCCGCCCGCAGCGCTGGCTGGACGCGAGCCCCGAGCAGCTCGCCGCCATGAACAAGGCCCTGCTCGTCTGGGGCGCCGGGCCGAACACTTGCATCGGCAAGAATATTGCGCTGTTGGAACTGTACAAAGTGGTGCCTTCGGTTCTGAGTATGTTCACGGTAGGTCCACTCCCCTCGTCCAATTTTTGTTCTCTTCCCCTTCCTTGTTGCCCCTCCGGTTTGCATGTCGAATTCCTCTTCACAAGAAGAAGCAGTCCCACTAACCAAACCATTCCGCACCCGGATATAGCTAGAACTCGCGGACCCAGAGAAGGAGTGGAAGATCTTCAACCTGGGCGATCCAGAGCCGTCAGAGTTCTTTGTCCGATGCCAGCCGAGATACCGAAAGATGCTACTATAAGTTGAAGAGCAGTGCGAGGGCGAAAACAGAAGTGGTGGCTTGGGAAGCTAGAGTGCGGGGATGAAAGAAGAAAGGCAAAGCTGAGGCCTCGAGAAGGCAAAAGGCATGGATGATAGACAGTCGGAGAGCATCAAACCAGCCAGCAAGGGCATTTCTGGGAATTCGCACTCCCACGAAAGATATCAAAGAAACTTTCTTTTAATATTTCGCTCCCGAGTTTGTGCACCACATAGCACAGGATCAACGACGCATGTGACAGAAGAACAGATGAGACCGACGAGATAGAGAGAACTAGATACCCCCTACCGAGTAGAAAGGAAGAGCGTTTAGCTCCGCCCCGTCCTCCTCATCATGATTAGAGTTTTTAGCTAGGCAGTTAGGGTATCAGTCAGCCGGCCAGCCAGTCACCTAGGTAGTTGCATAGTTACTTATGGTGGATAGTTAGGACATTAATGTCTGGATGGCGGCACTACGTACCGAGAGGCACGTTGACGGAACTGAGTATCGGTGAACGGACTTTAATAAAGCTAATAAATGGAGGCAATATCCCCAATATCCCACATCCTATGTCCGCGCAAGAGGGCTGCACAGTTCTCTAATTAGTTAGATGGATCAGATAGATTCCGGAGAACGAGGTGTTATGTCGATTGTCAATTGCCAACTATCGAATGCTAAATGCGAGATCGGTCATGGAGGCCATGGAGGCCATACAATAGATGCTTCTAACTAACGAACCCGACTACTATCCCACTACTTATTTTCTTCTTCTTGTCCCTCCCGTGTTATGCCTCGCCGAGTCGACATCTCTCCCTCTCCCTCTCTTTCCTCACGGAGCCACGCCCCGATTATATGTGAAGGAATGACTAGTCAAGAACTCGAGATCGCCATCGAGCATGAACTCGCCCAGCTCCATGCCGAGCGGGCTCTGCTTGCTGCTCGCAACCATACCGGCGCTGTTGCCGCCGCCGTTGAACATGCCCATGCCAACGCCCACCGCCGCGGCCGCGCCACCGAGCAGAACTCCGTAGTCGCTTCCTCCGTGATGCGGTGCTGGCGGCACTTGGCCGAACACGGACGCATTGGCCGCGTGGTATGTGATGGGGTGCCAGTCGTGGGGTTGTGGAAGGAGACCCTGTCCAATTGCTAAAATGGGGGCGTTTCGGTTAGGATATGTATCCGAAATTGAGGAGAGAGGAATGGCCAAAACGGAAGAACCTTAGTTGTGACAAGACGGGGATGGGGGAACGGATGGATGAACGGATGGATGAACGCTCCCCCTTCGTGATACGTACCTAGCGCCTGAACGACCTGGACAAACTGTTCGAGATAATCTCGGCACCGCGCCACCATGCGATTGTCGCTGTCGAGATGGCGGATCGCTTCGATGGCCATGCCCAAATGCAGGCTCATATCCTCGGTCGACTCGGTCAATGACATATTTGATTCGTTGCCCGAGGCCTTTTGGTCGATTTGAACCAAGACACATGCACCCAGAACCAAGGCTGCATTAAAGGCTGCACAAGATTTTGATCAGCACCACACCAGTACTTCGAAGAAAAAAAGGCGGAGGGGCGAATAAGAGACCTGGTAACGAAAAAAAAAGGAAGAAAGAAAAAAAAAAACATACTATAGTACAGCGAAAACCACCACGCGCCCAACAAACCCCACTTCGACCGCCCTGTCGCAGACTGCAGAGCGTTATGCACAAGACAAATAATCTCCTTTGCCGACTTGATGGCGATTTGGATGTGGATGGTGCCGACCTGCTGCAACAACGAGGTATCCTGGTGGTTCGTCGGGTTGCTCAGCCCGTCGAGGAACTTGACCAGCACAGGCCGATGCAGGAGTATGCGGACATTCGTGTAGCGCAGGGTGAGGATGAACCGGAGGCGCAGCTGCCGCCATGCTTCCTCTGCCGAGCTCTCGACCTGCGGCAGGCGTTCGGGCAGGATGTCTTGAGTGGCGATGAGCCTCATATGGGATGGCAGTCCCCGTTGCCACTCGGACAGCTGATTTTCGATCTTGTAGACTAGAGCGACTGTATCGACGGCGTTTGCTTTGAACGAGCAGGCGAGGTTCTGGCCGTACAGCGAATCTATGATCGTGCATAGCACCTTATAGAGCGCACTAAAGATCGAGATGAGTTTAGCTTCTGTTGAAGAGGTAAGGATTATTCTCCTGGTGCGACTCACATGGTGCCGTTGAAGAAGGCAATGCTCAAAGACTCCTTCTGGTCTGCCCCTGCACCTGCGCCGTCCAGGACAGTGAATTCCACTGGCAGCTCGAGCTGGACATAACTGTCAGGGATCGCTGGTGGTCGTCCAAAGGTCATGCTCAAAGTTCGGTCGAGCATGATACAACCAAACCACGTCCTTTTCCGGACCTCCTGCTCGGGCGGAGGAAAAACTCTGGCTAAATCACTCGAGTGAAGTCCGATTTGAAATGCAGCTCGTACGGCAAGACCATGTGTCTTCCATGTCTGTACCGATTTCTGCGTTCCCTGAAGGTACTGACCCATGAGTAGGAGAAATTGCACTGGAATTTTTGTAAACATTCGACCAGGCCCAGGACGGGGCGGGGGGGGGGGGGGGGATTTAGCTTACCAACTTCCACACTAGTCCCGGTCCCATTCGCGTTCTTCTCGTTGAAGAGTCCTGAAGCCCGTCGAAAGTATATCTCAGACTCTGCGCTTGCTTTCGCCGACGTTGACTCCACGCTTCCTGGAGTGGTCGTGTTCTCTCGCGCATGCACCATGGCATGTGCAAAGACAATATTTAGCAGGGCAAGCCAAATCCTCCTGACGCCTTTGAACTTGTCCTTGCTGGCCTGCTCAAATGTTGCCATGAAAGATTGCTCATGAATATAAGGAAACAATAAGCCAGTGTTGCTGAAGTACCAATTGAGGAGCTCGCGAGCCACCGAGTCAGGAGGAAGTGCATAGATGTTCACCTTCTCGGAGGGAAGATCGTGCGTGGTCGGAATGGGCGAGGCAGGGCCAGAGGTGTTGATGAATCCACCTGTAAACCCTACCGAGTGATGTTCTGCGGGAGACGGTTTCCAGGGCTCAGGGTCGTGAGTCAATCGGGCCACAGCCCTAGAGACGTGCCGGAGGAAAGCAATGTTCGACGAAGGACCAAAGAATGCGCAATCCTCTTCCTGCGCAAATGTGACGGCTCCCATTGCATCAATGGGATCTTCGATGGTTTCCGCATCTTCGAGGCTCTCTTCCCGCAAGCACGCCGTCTCCGGCTGCGCGGAATTCGTAGAAGAGACGCCATTTGAGACGGTTGGATTGGCAGGTTGGTAGATAACTGTGCGGTCACGATTCTCTAGAGAGGCAAGACGGCCTTCCACCAACTTCAATCTATCCTCGATCGACGACAGGTATCTGAAAGGTGGATTAACAGCAACGCATCTAGGATTCCAGATCTTGAACTCACTCCTTGCCGATAATGATGTTTGAATATGACGCAGACTGTTGGTAGACGCACTCGAACCCCAACTCGATACACAGCGAGCACTTGGGGCGCGTGCCATCGCACTAGGAGGCTCGACCAGAATAGTCAGACAATGGGATGCTCATCGCCGTGCTTGTTTCAACATCCAGGAAGGAAATGGAAAGACTCACACGTGATTTCCGCCCACGACAAACGGTACACGCCAGCGCGACTCGTCGTCGTTTGCTAGGGGGATCAATGTTCTCTGACGCCTGGTCTGCTCCGGAGATTCCGCTTCTGGCACTGGCCCATTCGGACTCTTCAGCCTTTTGGCGACGTTGTTGGGCCCTGTCGGTCTGAAGGGCGGAGTGGACATCGTCCCCTCCTCGATCAGGCTGATGCATATTATTCTGGTGGATCATGGCTCCTGTGCCAGCATCTGGCATGGAGTCAACGGCACAAGCGACGGGGGGAGTAGTAGGGAGGCAGAGTGAATCGTTGTCGGCCTCGCTTGCCGGGACATGACCCTCCTCTGTGTGTTGTGTCTCTCTCCCACTCGGCTGACGGGGCTAGGGCGGACGGGAACCCGTTGATACACGCTGTAATGGGACTGCAGCTCCTAGGCTCTAGCCACTGTCAGATGGTATGACAAGGCATTCCCTCAAACGTTTACAAAAAGACACGGCGATTGTGTTCAGTGATAGATGATGAGTGTGCGAAGGATCTTCGATTCTGCGGGGTTCGCGCAAGCTCAAGCCTCGTCTATAGCGCCGGTCTGTTTCCGATGTTTCCCCGTCTCCCTCCAGCGCACAGATCGCCGCCGGCCAGGTAGTAAACAACAGTGCAATTTCTTCTCACCTACGGGAATGCAATACCTACCATCATCTAGCTATAGCGGTACACATAGCGGACTCTTATCCCTGTCACATGATGAGGCTGCCGTATTTCAGGGGCAAGACTTTCTCCAGCGATATATGGGCAAGGGCCATCTCCAAGAGGCTCGCTGAGGTGGCTCCCATGATGATGGACCGATTACTTTATGGAAACAAGCCTTCATTCTTTCTCCTTGGCCACTCCTCCTTTGTCCTCTGAGAACAATATAAAACAGATTCACTAGAATGATCCTCTGTGAACCATAAGTGGGCTTTCCACTGCTGCAGCCGACCGACGATTGTTTCCATTGCCTTTGAGCGCAAAGCTAATGGGTGACCAGAATTCCTCTCGGTGCCTTTGTTCAGGAAGTCCCCCGAGATCTATTAAGCACAAGTATAACTACTCGCCAGGCTCTTGTCCCCCGTTCCCCTATACCGCGACACAGAAGGGAAGGGACACAGGTTCCTCGTCACGACCGTCCCATCTGCTTTCGTCTTACGAGCTTCCAACACATCTGGCGCCTTCTGATCCTCAACCCATGCCACAACTGCCGACAGTGGATCCGCCGGCACTGCTCCAGGTGTCGCACCCCCACCACAGTGATCTACACCAGGGGCGAGGAACGTGCGATAGAACTCCGCGACTGTGGACGAGTTTCCCAATGCCTGTGTGACGTTCCGGTGATAGGCAACAGTGTCACCCGGAAATATCAGTTGGTCCGCAAGGCCGTGCCATACGATCAGCTTCCCTCCAGCGGAATAGAATCCGGAGAGATCCGATCGACAAGAGCCTATGACTTGCCCGAATTCCTGTTGGGACTGATTGAAGATTTTTTCGAAATCCGAGTATCCAATCGTGCTCGTGTCGAAATCCGGATCCTTCTTGACAAAATATTTGATCCAGGCATCATTCACGAAAAAGGGTAGTCCGACTCGAGTTCCATTGACGATTGTCGTGTTGGCCAGACTGTCCAGTGCAGCTCCAGGATTGAGGGCGTAAGCGTGGGGGATGGAGGGTCCCGTGGGCCCAGCTAGGATCTTGCCGACAACGCTGGCCATCTCCTTTGTGACATTCTCTTTGCCGCCGTCGCACTGTACCCTTGTTCCAACCAAGGTGAACGGGTCAAAGTTGCAAGGTCGCACATCTGTGATGACACCGTCGGCCACTCCGTCAAGAGAATCGCATGCTGCGACACTCGCATCGGTGAAATATCCGAGAACGCATTGACTGATATAGGTCCCTTCCTCTTTCATGACAACCTGTGGCCATTGTTCTGCAACCACATACCTGGACCAGTCTATTGCTGGCGCTCCGGCAACAATGCCGTCAAAATCCCTAGGATACTTTTGTGCTGCCACCAAACCTTGTCTCCCTCCTGTGGAACATCCATTCCAGTATGAATGGGCGGGCTTTCTGCCATAATATTGTGCTGCGATCGCCTTGCCCGCCACAGCCATGTCATGCACGGATCGTGAGGCAAAGTTGAGCAGGAGGTCCTCATTCACGGTGCCGTTTGGATGTAGAGCCCACAGCGCTGGGCTGTAGGGATCCCCTGAAAGGCCTGCATCGGTGGATGCTGCCGCATAGCCGAGTGCGACCAGAGGGGCCAAGCTGTATTCGAAGAATCCCGCAGCATATCCAGAGCCTCCTGTCCCGACGAAGCGTCCATTCCAGCCTGTCGACGGCATCCACACTTGTATCTTGACGGTATCGTTGGCGCCATGGTGTGAAATCACTAGATCAACACCGCAAAGGTCAAGCCCGGTGAAGTTGCTGTTCAGGAGAGGAGGGCTGGCAAGGACCGTAGAGTTTGGAAGATGTTGTGACTGGATCGACAGCACGCTTGCTCCGGGAATGGTCGGCTTCGCCAGCGTCGCACAAGTTGTCTTGCCATTTGGAGCCCCCTCAGCGGTTGGAACTAGGGCTGCAAGCCCCAAGGAAAGTATCATGAGCAGGCTGTAGTTTCGAAGACTTGACATGCTCGTTCGCTGGCTAATCTGCTGGTTTCAAATACCTCGTCGCATTTATAGCAACAGCAAAAATTGTTCTTTCTCTGCAGTTCAGCAAGAACGTCTTCTCCCCGACGGGAGGGCTGTTAATATATTCCAGCAGCACAACAAATTGAGTTTCCTGCCGCAGTTATACCATGTCAATAGTAGTCCTTTGATTAGCATGGTGGCACTTGACAACAGGTAACCCTCTGATTCTGGACGGCATAACGGAAACATGACTCGTCCAACCCCTAGTGCGGGTTGTTTGTAATTTGCGGAGTTGTGGTTTATGCCGGCATGCTAACAACACAGCCCAGTCCCAATGCTTGTTTCCGGGCTCAGCGAATCGATCAGGGCAAGAAAGAAGACGGAGAAGAATGGCATACAAGGAAAGTCACTAGAAGCGTCGAGTGAGATTTTAGAAAGACGCGCTGTGACACCTGGTCTTCGTCCAAGTAGCCAACGCTGACTAACCCCATTCCCAAGCATAGCATTTGACTTTGGTGGCTTTGAGGGCAAGAATTAGATGGTTGGCTATGCACTCGTAGCTAGTTAGGCTTAGATCTGGAAATGGATCGCGATAGCTAAAGGCTTACACGAAGCACACGTGCTGGTAGTAGGGTGCTAGGTGGTGTATCAAAAGGGTCGAGGGATGGATGGATTCTGCAAATTTCCAACGGGCTCTAAAACGTCATACATTCATGATCCATCATCGATCAAGGTGCTAAGCGGCAACTCGTATGTCACAATACGCCTAGACGGCCAATCTTGTCGCGCCCACTCCGCAGTTCTTCCAAAAACCTCGTATACCACCCTTTGCTTGCGATCAAATTAACGCCCAGCTCCGAGATGCCATCTTTTCACCGCATAGCTTGTCAATGTCTCAACTCGGCGAATCTGTTCTCGAGGTCCGTTGCTCGCCGAACTCCCTCGGCAGGTGTATGGTTCTGTCCGCCTACCGGAGCGTCACACTGAGGACAGCGCCCCCTCTCCATCGGCATGCCGCATTCTCCGACAGTGAACGGATGGTTGTTGACACAGGTATACCAGTGACCAGATCCACGGAATGTACTTGCCATAGCATTGATCACAAGTCTCCACTCGGCGTCATTTACCACTGTTGTGAACGTCGAGGACTCCAACATGTCTTCCACCGTCTTCAGCTCACCCACTACATGTCTGGTGGACCCTGGATGCCGAGCGCATAGTTGTTTTGCGTCATCAATGTGTTCTGCGGCTTCTTTAGTTAGGCCTGTCAGGACTTCTGATCGACTGCTGTAGGTCCGTTCCGCAAGACAGCACTGCGCATAAAATGTGTGAGCTTCAACTTCGACAGCTGGTTGACGCGCCTCCCGAGCGGCAGCTATAAGCTTCAGGCTGTCGACTCTGTTGGATTCCAGGTTCACATCTCGCAGACCAGATCCAAAAAGCGTCAAAAAGTCTGATAGTATGACAATCTCGCATCTCAGCAGGAGCGATTCACCCTGTAAAGTCTGGGTGGTCTGGACGACGGTATGGTCGAAGCCCACATCGCTACTTGTCTTCCCTCGTCTTCGAGCGAACTGTACCATATCCCAAACCCGTTTGAAAGGCTGTTCCTCGAAATCGACATGTCGAAGGTATTCCATAATCCGCTTGCGGGTCGTCGCGATCGAAGAGTAACGCTTATCGTGGGCGACCTTAAATATCAGCTTAATCTGCTCCTTTCTTCCACCTGAAAGTGCAACTTTTTCCGGATCTAGCTTGTGCTTAATAGGTTGGCCGTCTTTGACCGACCCAGCTAACTCGGCTTGATGCTGGTGAATTGACTTGTAAAGCGGAAAGAATTGTTGGTTCGCTGATGTAATAAATTTCTTTGTAGCGTCATCGATGAGCCCTCTGCGGACTATGCGGCCGTACCTTGATATGGTTCGCAATGAGCCACGGCAGCTGCTGCACACCTTGAGCTCCTCTTTTGAAAACGGAATAGACGCGTCTGTGATGCAGACGCTTGTCCCATCAGTAGCGTAATGCTTTGACATTTCCATCTGACCGTCCATGCTTTCCACCGTCAAGATGTGACCGCAAGGTGGTATTATGCATGGATTCTCGTCAAGATTGATCTCGTGATATTCCTCCATCAACAACAAATCGACCACCATCTTCTTGACGTCCTCAGGAGCGCAGATCTGACAGAATTTGGACGGCGGACAGACCTCGCCGCAAAGCGAGGGACATTGATGCCCGCAGCCCAATATATTCGTGCAGCGTTTTGAACAAGGTATCCAGTCACATGGAGCGGCACATGGAAGAGTACAAGCGCTGTGAGGGCACCTTGATGAACACTTTTCCTGCGCGCAGGGAACACATGGCTCATGGCAACGTTTCGTACACTTCGAATGACGGCATGACACTTCGCAAGGAGCCTGGCATGGAGGGCAAGGGCTATCGCCATGACATTTTTCCCTGCATAAGTGCATGCAGGATTTGAAGGCACGGCCGCAAGACTGCTGGCAAATCTGATGATCTTCACTAGTGACTTTGCCACCTTCTCTTTTTCTACACATGTTGCAAGGCTTCGGGCAGGTATGACCACACGGAAGAACCGTGCCACAAGCAGCTGTGCAGCTAAACGTGTTCATTTCAACATTCACATAACACGGGAGATCAACCTGATGGTTACAACTGGGGGCAACTCGAGTGACCATGTCCTTGCAGACAACCCGAGAAGTATCTCCAGCTTGCCAACAAGGCAGAGTATCTCGCATATGCCCACAAGGGAGGGTGATGTGGAGGTCGCGCAGCTCCTGTGGACATCTGGCAGGGCAGGGATCTCCGCACTTGTTTGGGCAAAGGTGCTCACATCCTTTTAAAGGTCTTGGACAAGGCTCGAGGCACTTGACCGCACTGTGTAGCATTTGTGAGTGGCATTTGCTGATACACGAATGGCCACATCCAAGGCGCATTTCGCAAGGTAGATTGCACCCTCCTTCAGGCGAGAAGATGGTAAAATCGTCCGGCTTTGAGACATAAAATTCGGCCTTTGGGTGACGGGGACATTGAAGCTGGAGGCGCTCGCCGAAGTTATCGTCAGATTGAAGCATTTCGATCACAGAGCCCCACATTTGAACGTGGCCGGAGGTTCGAGAGTTTCCAATGATGTACATTCCGTGTTTGGCGCGGGAGAGAAGGACATTGATGCGATTCGAAGTCCGAAGGAACCCACACTTGTTCTGGTCATTGCTTCTCACCAAGGAGATAATAACAACTTTGGCCTCTTCTCCCTGAAAGTTGTCAATAGTAGACACCTTGAGTGCCCGCGAGAGTGGGGTCTTCTGCAACGAAGGTACAGTACTGTGACTAGGCTCATTATTGTCCTTGCCGACCTCTTCCTTTTCTAACTCGAGTATATCGCCTTCAGTCAAAGAGATCTCAAACAATCCTTGCAACTCTCTACGGATTTTCTGAAGTTGGCCGAGGTAGGGGGTGAGAACCGCTAGATCATTCGCGTGGTAAACACCCTGTCGAACAAGATGGGAAACCAGTGAAGTGACCATCTTGACTTCAAATTCATTCGAGTGAGAAGTCGTACTATCCGGATCAGATAGAGCGCCGTCCTCAGGATTTGCATGATCAAGCCAGAAGAGTCTCCTAGCTAGCCCGGTAATGGACGGATATGAATCAACCGCCGAAGAGTCACACAGTCTTGGATATAACGTACTGCGGATGAGTTCAGAGATCGAGGGGTGCATTCGACGCTGTGTCTCCAGGGCGCTATAAGGCACGGCGGACTGGGTGGAGCACGAAGGAGTCACCAGTCTTTCGAACAAGGATATGTCCAGAGAATGTCGCTTTCCGGAAGAACTCTCTCTTGAAAGTTCGTAGCTTTGGATATGTGGGGGAAGTTGAAGATGGTCACCTATCAAGATTGCGTGCTCTAGAGAAGGGAGGAGTGCGGTAAGGATATGCGCCTCAAGCACTTCGCCGGCTTCTTCGCAGACAAGGACTTTGGAATTGAGCTTCCTGAGAAGTGGTAGAGTTCTTGCCAAACCTGTCGTTGTTACACCGATGACCTTGGCCTGTTGCAAACATCGAAGATCAACACCTGCTCGGACCTGGTCGAACTGTTCTTTGTGCTCCTTGTATTCTGCTAGCGCAGTCAACAGTTCGGCCCGGGTTGTCTTTTTTGATTCGGCTAACCAATGGTAGTATACCCGCTGTCTCTCCGGGTTATTCAGAGACTGGATGTCTGATTCACTAAGTAGAGTCCGGAGTCGGCGGACAGGACCGTGGCGCGAGCCGCCCTTCCGCCAGGCATTCAACAGATATGCCTTGTGATGGACAACCACCTCATAACCGTCATCGTCCTTGGCCTCTCCGAAGAAGAGAGCCCGGTAAGATGTGGGATGATAGATCTCTAAGTAACTTTTGAGTGCTGCAACGTCCCCTTTCACCGTAAGCCTCTTTAGGACTCTAGAAATGTTCCTTTCGTCTTCATCAAGCTTCAACTTCAGAGTCCAGTGCTCATGTTTCTCGGTTCTGGTCAAATCGATCATGCTGGCCAGGACACGAAGGTTGCACGCCTGCAGCACCTCGGATTTCGACCGAGATCCAATGCGGACAATTTGATCAATGCTGTGACGCACCAGGTCCTCTAGGAGCTGGTCGAGTGCATGGTTGGTATAGCACACACAGAGGATCGGACCAAGCTTAGCACGTGCTTGTACCGCCAGAAGAACTTTGATGAGTGCCACGCCGGTGAAGCTCTTACCCGTTCCGGGAGGTCCCTGAATCAGAGCCAGCGAGCGCTTCAGCGATGCCAGGAGTGCATCAGCCTGGGCCCTGTCGAGAACAGACTTCTCTCGGAATGCTTCATGGTTGGAGTCATCATTGATGGCAACTCCTATTGGACTCTTATCTTTCATGACGCAGCTGAGGTCGAACTCAAAATTTGGTTTGGTGGCGTAGTAAGGAGCTGCAACTGTCGATAGGTCTGCTTGAGATTCGGGTGCAATATAGTCCGAAAAGGGTATCTCAGGATTTCGGAGCATTGCTTGCAGAGCGCGTAGAGTCGGCTCGAATGACGGCAACAGCACACCAGGAAACTCAACTATCTTGGCATGTACAGAAACAGGAGCTTGCATGAGCCCTAGGACGTCTTCTGTGGCATCACTAACCAGCGAGACAGTAGTAAAGGCACGAAGGGGGTCCGAAAATAAGTCCAGAGGCTGTTCAGGTTGATTTTGAACCCGATCATCGTCTGAGCTCGACGAATCGTCGTTTGTGGCTGATGGTTTTGTTGATCTACGTTCAGTGACCGAGCAGAATATTAAAGCACCGTTGGAAAGGAAGCAAAGGAGGGAACCCACCCGAAGGCGTTTCTGAAATTCCCACCACTCTTTCCTCTGTTTGGCTGAGCGATGCTTAAGATGAGTAGGTTGATCGAAACCAATCGTGATCAGCAAGCCCTGCCATTTACTGAAATCAAGTTTCACAACCCGGGCATTCTCGTATGTCAATTTTCGTGGACCTTGACATTTGCCTCCACTTGCGAGATTGTGGGAAGCTTGCATTTCTTGTTTTACAGCATCTCGAAGCTGTCCCACGGTATCCTCCCGAAGAAGACGGAAGTGTCGGTCCAGGAGTCCTGACACTCCGGGGAGATGCCAATCCTGCTGGCTCATGGAAGGCAGGTACTCGGGGCGTGTTGAATTGATTTCCTCGAATGTGGGCATAATTTGTATGTCATAAGCATTCACATAGTCATTGTCATGACGCGGTCCATCATTGGATAGCTCTCCAGGCAGATCTTGTTGAAGCGTGAATATGGCTCTTGGAGGTGAAGTTGTCTTCGGAGGTTTCCAACTTGACAGCTCCCGACCTATTCCTAGACGCTGATTAATGCGATTGACCAGTTTTCTTGATTCATGAGCTTCCACTTCGTCAATCTGGGCAACGACGTTAAAAAGGGAATCTGCAAGCGGCCTGAGGCCATCATTCACCAAGGCGTGAGTGTTGCAGTCGATGATTTTCGAGAAAGTTTTAACGACCGCTTCAATTTCCGATGGTGAAGCGTCGGCTTGGATACGGTCTGCGAGCGTATCAAAGAGCGGCCTGAAGAATTGCAATGCTCGCTGGCCTTGGAAGCCGTAAATGAAATTGTAGATATTCCCAAGGTGAACGTCAAGCAAGGTGGACGCTAGCACGTGTGGATGGGTGATGACCTGACAAAGCGGTATGGCTTGCTCTTTGACCGTTTTCCAGCGTGCATCCATGCTCATGCCTTCCAAGCTGCGCTCGACCACTTGTTTTATTCGTTGCAATCCACCATCCTTGGCCAGGGTGACAACTGTCTCTTGCATCACTCCAACTTCCGATTCCACATATGCCAGAGCATGTTGAAAGAAGAGGGGAGGAAGAGGCGTGGGAGGGAAATTGTTTGTGCCTCTGGGAACAGAGAGTTTCCAGCTTCCAAATTTGTCATCTGGCTCATTTCTTGTTCGCTGGGGTCTGTTCAGTCGTGGTTGGGCAGAACTTGCAAGACTCTGGGATGAAGTAGAAGCAGCAGCGTGAGGAAATTTGCATCTAGCTCCGTAATGACAACGACCGGTTTTGGCGAACAAAAAGCAAACCCCCCGAGGCTGACTGTTTGCTCCAGCTCGCGACGCCATCCTGTAAGGCTCTGAATGGGTCCGAAGAAGAGGCAAGGAAAGAAGCTGGCCTTCCTAGGAGCAGGCCGAAGAGGATGAGTGATAGTTCGGGCAGGAGCTTTGAAAGGGTTCATATGAAAGACCCTTCGCCAGTGTGAGGCTGAAGGAGAGTGATTCAGAGGGCCAGGGCAGGTCAAACTCTGGGTCGTCTGAAGGCAATGCCTGGCCTTGGCGAAGCTGCCCGGAAGGCAGTCTGATCATCCCTGCAGCCATCCATTCTTCTGCCTTTTCAGTCACTGCGTTCGAAATAATGTAGACGGAACAAACATCTCTCCATCCCCTTGACGACATTCTGATGCATCCTCATTTGCGCTAAGATTGTCAACAGTACAGGGCATTTTGGCAGAGTAACTGCGTAAACAGATAAGGTTAGAATCCGGTCAAAGTGTGGCTGGATTCTTCAGCGAATGTGGCCAGTCATTTTGATCCTGCGAGGCAGTGTTCCGAGGTGTTCTTTTGCCAGGACCTAGCCCTGTCCATGACCCTGTCCCTGTCCTGCCCTGTCTCATACCGGAGGAACAAAAGACACGTTTACCTCTGATATGTCGAAGTGAGGCTGAAGGCCGGCGTCATCTGAAGGTCGTTGACCAGTCTCGTAGGCGGAAGGATGCAGCAACCGATGGCGTGGCCGCGGTATTGGGTAAATCAACCTTGCGTTGCCGCTGGCTGGTTGCTCCATTGGTTTTCCGTTGGCTCCGGAGGAAATGCATCTGGCATTAGTTTGCCCTCTGGCGGCCATTGGCCACTGAAGTGGAAGCTGAGCAGAATCTGATGGAGAAGAGGATAGGAAGTGGAACGAGCACAAGGGAGGAGGAAGGGAGACGCAGCCTAGTAGTGGGCACCTGGCTGTGGGCATGTGACTTGGGCTCGTGGGCTAGGGGCTAGGGGGCTAGGGAGACCCCAGCCATTGTATGCTATTTCCCTACGAGGTACTTGGTAGGTAAGCTTGGCTTGAGCCCCCCAGCCCCGGGCTCGGGGGAGGAAGCCCCCCCGAAACCTACTTACCACGACCTACTTACAGGTGGAGTCTAGGCACCTCTTGGGTGACTAGGCACTGTGTTTGCAATTACACACTGAACTACGTACTTACCTAGGTATCCAGGTCATAAAGCTGGTCTGGCCTACTGGCCTCGGCATCGCCGAACAATCCACCTGTGCTTTTCAAACGCCTAAGTGTGCATTCAAGCAACTCCGTACCTCTTCCATCGTGGTGCCAGCATCTAACACCATCAGAATATGTTGGTCCGGCCGCACAAGTAATCCGCCTCCAGCATCCAGTCCGGCCGCCGATAACCACTTCTGGCCTGCCTCGCCAACGACCTCAAAATCGCGACCCGCTCGGCAGGTCTTGACGCCAGGGACATCGAGATCTCCCACCAGGGTGAATTTGTCAAGATCACATAGATCCAGTGTACTATAGCGGTAGGAGTCGATGTCTGCCACTGAAAACTCGTCGACATAGGAGACATCAACCGGCTTCAGACTGCTGCGTGGCAAGCGAATCCACGCATGAGGTAGTCTTGCACCCACTTCGAACTTGGGCGTATACTTCGAAGCATGCGGAGGTATCTCTTTGCTGCCGTAGACATATCCGATGTGAAGCTCGAGCTGATGACGCTGTCAGTACCAACCGAATCACATATTGGGGAAGGCATACATTATCGAAGTGCTCTCTTTGATCTTCAACACCTTCGTCAATCACCTTCATCTTCTGGGGATCTTTGATATTGGAATACAGGTTCCTTCTCGCCGTCATCAGGTCATCGCCGAGGCCTAACGTCTTGAGAAGCGCGAAAATCTTCCTTCCGTTCTTTACGCTTTGCATCGAGTTGACAACGGCTACATGTCGTCGCTCTGATTCATATGTGTTGAGAAGGCTGTCTCCAGCTTGTCCCTTGAGGACAAACGCAAGCTTGTACGCCAGATTGTGGACATCTGCCAAACCAGAGTTCAACCCGAGACCGCCTGTTGGAGGAAAAGAGTGGGCAGCATCTCCAGCTCTGGTCCGTTAGAATTGTGACCTGGCCAAACGGATGTGACTTACAAAAAGACATTTCCCACTCGATAGGATCTTGCTACTTTCCGACTCAGCACCCAAGGCCGGTAGCTATGAATATCAAACGGCGCGTCTGTTCCAAGAGCGCTGACCACGACCTTGCGGCAAAGTTCTTGGTTCCAGCTTTCAATTGGGTATTTATTCGCCTAGATCCCCGGTATTGTAGTTAGAATCATGTTCCTAACCATCGGAATCCACTTACGTCAAAATTGCTGATCAAGACAGCGTTCCCTGAAAGCTCGTACGCAATGATGAACCCGGACGCCAAAGGATCCATTATCCAATGTAGCATGCCGACCCTCTTCCCCACGATGGGACGAAGGTCAGCATTGAAGTGGATAGTCATCATTGTTTCATCTAAGCTGTCAGTCTCGCCCGGTATTGCGCCGTTTGTATAGACATACATGAATCCTCGCCATCACTCTCGATCCCCAGGAAGCTGCGAACTTTACTCCGTGCCCCGTCGCAGGCAATGAGATACTTCGACCGGATCTGGAATAGATGTCCGGTAGCACGCTCTTCCACGGTCGTTATAACTCCTTTCGAATCCTTCAAATGAGCATCCCTACGCCAGGGGGGATTCACGACATCACTTACTTGTTCCAATGATACAAACGAAACTCCTTTTCGAAGATCAACATTCGAGTCTTTCGCAAGCACGTCCGTGACAAATTCCTCAAAAACCGGCTGTGGAACGTTATGGATCATCTTCGCTCGTCAGTGAAAATGGCTGCAAACTTCAATCAGGGTTCGCAACTTGCTTCAGGCGTGTGATTCAGCACCCCAACGTCCATGCGTTCGTACGGCAGAACACCGACTTGTTGGCCACTTAAATTGGTGAGAAAATTGACCCAAAAGGCATCGCGCCTCCTTGTTCCGAGTTGTCGCAACTTGCTCACGTCCAAATTGAATTGTCGACATATCTCCAGAGATCTCGGCGACAATGCATGTGCTTTCGGCGCGCCCAGTCTTTCGGGGTATCTTTCTACTATGAGACATTTTACTACCCGCTGTCAGTAGTGACTCTTCCTCGGTGGTGTACCCTAGACTTGCCTCCCAGCTGGGATAAGAGTCGAGCTTGCAGTAGCCCTGCTGGTCCTCCGCCAATAATCACCACCGGGACTTCCACGCAAGCTGGCTCTCGTTGTCTTCCATTTGCTGAGCCGGCCAACTGCAAAAGTATAGGGTTATCCGCGGGATCAGCCAAAGAGAGCCCCATCCTTGATTTAAAAAGAGACCGAAGGGGAAAGAAGAAAATTAGGACGACCCAAACATGTAAATCTACTCTTTGAAGTTTATCAGCGGAAGAAGATCTATTTTATGGTACCTGTGATTGAAGTAAGAAATGGGCCCCGCGGGGAGCCTTGGACGGAGAATCATTGATGTGGTGGGGATGTGGTGGGGAGGAGGGGAGATAGGCGTCCCTGGTCGGGAGCAAGGCTGGGGTTCGTCAGGAATTTTTCTACTCCATCTGCATTTGTCAGTCGCGCCATTGAGATATCGTCATATACTAGTTTATGTCGCGGTCAGTGTTGGCAAAAGGCATGCAGGGCTTTACACTGACCCAGGTCGAGATTTCTGGCGCGCTCGAAGTTGTAAATCCACGCCAAAGGAACGCACAATACGGACGACCCCGTACATGATGCTTGGCCTAAATTTCCCTGTGGATATGTGGAGTCGCTGAGAGTGAGTGATGAAAATTCTTCTCAGAACGTTGGATGTGCTGAAGATGAAGGGGTCCGAGATATGGCCAAAAATCGACCGGGAATGAATATCCTGAGCAGGACTTTTGTGCTCTCGTGTATGTGCTGCTTCGTCTTGTGACTCTCGGCATAGGTGTCGCCGCATTCCATTGAAGCTGAAGGCCATGTCCAAGCAGACAGTACACCGTCGCAGCATGTTCACCTGGTGTCCGACAGCTGGCACTGGAATGCCCGGAAAGTTGAACGTGCGTGACGTCTTCAGGGCACGCAAAATATCATGGTGTGGAAGTCCACCCATGGCCACAAGTATCGCACAAATCCCCACGAAACCAAGGCCCCCGCGCTTCCGATAATATAGAGGTTGCCAAGGTTGAATATGGTGTACCCGGATTTTAGGCACTTGTGTCCATATTTACCACCCCTGTTGACCTTTCCCAGTCCCTTAGCTCCTCGATGCCTCTTTTAACCATGTATTCTATTCATTCCTGATCGTTGGTTTATTCGTTAGCAGCTGTTGTTGCAGCTCGTTTGCCTGGAGGATGGCAAATGCCTCCACCAAAATGAATCCCAGCATTCACGAGCCTCGGATGAGATTGGATATATGCATGCTTGCCCATTCTTCATAAAGTTCGCTTTCAGTTCGGGTCATGGGGCCTGTTGAAGATCCTGATTCCCTCGATCTGGGCGAGGCAGTCCAAGTAGCCGGACATGCTTGGTAACCTGAATGATGAACGCATGATCAGTATAACCGCCGTGAGTTGAGAAAATAGATATAATGTCCATGGTTCAAGGTTTGCCATGCAGACCTTCTCGAGCTGTTCGGCACATGGGAAGGGGAAGAGAAGCCTCTCTATTTCAACGATTCAGGGTTCTCTCTGCCGAGATAGGAGATCTGGCCACGCAGTTTGATTGGGATGGCTAAGCGATGGTCGGGTAACATTCTGGCGTACACTAGTCCCTTTCGAGAATAATACACGAGTTCCAGCATATACCAGCCCCGCACTCTGACTCCGTCCACCCAATCGCCATACCAATTCGATCCATCTCTTGCATAATCACGCACAAGTTGCACAACTCGAATGTCCAAGCGAGCCTCGGGCCGTTTGGACGGCATTTAACCCTTTCTCCCCTTTCCAAACGTTGTTCCGCTAGCTCGGATTCTTTCGCCCATAATTCCTCGGATAGACCCAAAAGTACATGTACCCTCTGCCGTGGATGGCTTCACGATTCTCCCAAGCGGTATCAAGCTGCCAGGCAACGTCGACGACTTATCCAACATGGCAGAGGAGAGCAAGGAGAGCAAGGAGAGCTTTGAGCAGGCCCTTCCGACAACCGATTTCGTCGTCGACTGGGACGGAGATGATGACCCTGCAAATCCTATGAACTGGCCATCTCGGCGCAAGGCCATTAATATCGCTCTGCTTTCGTGTTTGACTTTTGTCACGTATGTCCCAATCTGGCCAATTTCTCATGTCCGAGCCTTTGGATAGCTGATTCAGATTTCCAGTCCGCTCGCATCCTCCATGTTCGCACCCGGAATCCCCAAAGTAATGCATGATTTCAACAGCTCCAGCGTCATTCTGGCCTCATTTGTGGTCTCGGTGTACCTGATCGGATACGCATTTGGTCCTCTCGTCTGTGCCCCCATGTCGGAGATCTACGGCCGCTGGCCTGTCTACCAGATCACAAACGTCTTGTTCATCATCTTCACCATCGCTTGTGCGGTGGCACCATCGCTGGACAGTCTCATCGGCTTCCGATTTCTGGCAGGGTCCGCCGGGTCGGCCCCCCTGGTGCTGGGTGGAGGAAGTGTGGCAGATCTGTATACGAGAGAGCAGAGAGGTTCGAAGATGGCGATATTCGCGATGGGCCCGTTAATAGGTCCGGTAGCAGGTACGATCACAAAAATTGTCACTTCCACCGAGCGCTACTGTTATGCTTGTATTGATTGACTTTTGATCAGGACCGGTTGCAGGTGCCTTTCTATCTCAAAGCGCCGGTTGGCGTTGGGTTTTCTGGGTCATTAGTATTGCAGTAGGTGGTGGCCCCGGATTGTTTTCAGTATTTTGTCCACTGACCGCAGCTAGGCTGGCGTGGTGACGGTGTTGTGTCTGCTGTTCATGAAGGAGTCGTATGCTCCTGTTCTTCTCGAGAAAAAAGCTGCAAAACTCCGAAAATCGACTGGCAATTCACAATACCGGTCGAAGATGTCGACAGCAGATTCTCCTCGCACGGCCCTTGCAAAGGCCCTGATCCGCCCAACCAAGATGTTCTGCATGTCTCCGATTGTCTTTATATTTGTCGTATGTCACGCCTCAAATACCCAATTTCTGCGGCTTCTAACCGTCAATCGCCTCTAGGTCTACGTCTCCATCATTTATGGCTACCTCTACCTCCTTTTCACCACAATTACCGAGGTCTACGAGAGTATATACGGCTTCTCCACGGGCCTTGCGGGCCTGTCTTTTCTAGGTATCGGCGTTGGCATGTTCATAGGTTTGGCGTTGTTCGGCGCTACAAGTGACAAGCGCATACAGAAGAAGAAAGAGAAAGGCGATGTATCGCCGGAAGTCAGGCTTGAAGGCTTGGTTCCGGCCGCAATCTGCATCCCAATCGGGCTGTTTTGGTACGGATGGTCCACAGACAAGCAGATCCATTGGATCATGCCTATCATTGGGACGGGCTGGGTCGGACTTGGGCTGATGGGTATTTTCGTGAGGACTGGCTCCTTTTCGTTCTGGGGTTCTCTGCTGACAAGTCACTGTTTTAGATGGCCGTCCAAACATACCTCGTCGACTGCTATCCGCTCTTTGCTGCGAGTGTCACAGCTGCGAATACCGTCGTTCGTTCACTTACTGGAGCCCTGCTCCCGCTCGCGGGACGGCCATTATACTCCGGCCTCGGACTGGGCTGGGGAAACAGCGTGCTGGGATTCATCGCACTTGCAATGGTCCCTTTACCATTTGTTTTCATGAGATTCGGTGCCCGGCTGAGAACTCATCCGCGATTTCAAGTCAGCTTTTGATTCCACAAGAAATCGTGCATGGGGAATTTCGTCGCCTTCTTCGATAGGCTTATCCACTGAATTTAAGCACTGAGAAGAAAGTGCCGTCGAACGTGGGCACTGTGAAGCCCGAAGTCAAAACTTGACGCATTGTCCTCAAAACAGAGAAGAATGGTCCAGCTATGGACTTACTCACGCCAGTCGTGCCCCGCAACATATGAAGTGGCGGTTACGATCCGCAACGCTGCACCTGCGGATACAAGCCAGACACGCCGGGTGCAACTCACTCTGTCCTGAAAGAGCTGTAAAAATTATGAAGGATATCGCTTCCCGCTGGGTCGAAGTTCCATCGAGCATTCCCAGGACAAGTACCGAGGGTCCAAGACAAGAATGAAGGTGGCACGAGAGGCAATCGACAAGGGACAAAGACCGTGGGTATTCCTACGGATACCGGTCCGCAGGGCCATTATTTTTGAAAGCAAGATCAAGAGAAACGGGGACACTTCAACGAGTGTGTAAAATATGAGCCGCCATTCGGATAGACCATCGACGCCGAGAAATCTGCAAACAGTGGATGACAGCGGAATAAATATACTCCATGTCCCCCTCTATTCGGCAAGGAGAAGGTTCCACCATCGTACTCCGTATTTGTGCTTCCTTTCCCGGGGAACTGGGGAAAAAGTGCGGAATTTGGCCTCGCAACCCCACGCTGACCGGGGCATGACCAGATCGAAAAAAGACCCTAGCCAAAAGAAAAGCCCAGAGTATCTCCATGCCCTACGTCTGCATCCGTCCCGTACGAGCAGAGCAGGCGATCGTTTTATCCACTCCCCTTTTCTTCTCTTTCTAGACGCGTGGCTGCGGTATCTATGAGTTTGATTTCCAGGCAGGCCGAGGTGCAGGATCGATGCCGGACCGCCTGTTTCTCCTGCCACAGACGGAAGGTGAAATGTGACCGTCTCGCACAGAGCTGCACGCGTTGTCTCCAAATTGATCTCCCGTGCAGATATCCGTCGTCGTCAAGGTTAATCACGGGCACCGCACCGGATCATGAGCGTCCAAAAGGGAAACCAAGAGGGCCTTACAAGAAAGGGAAAAGCGCACGTGAAAAGGAGCTCGAAGAGATTGCGCGGATTATGACAGTTCGCTGCGAAGAACTGGAGAGGAAGCTTCAAGGTTCAGCTTCTACCGGTGCCACATCTACCTTCTCCTCAGCTCAGCAATGTTACATTGACGGCAATATCACACCCGGTGAAACATCACACGTTTTTGACTCTCGGTGCGCTGAGATGCTAGCGAGCCCGATCTCGTCATCCGACCTTGTTCGGGCAGCGACAGAAAAACATTTCAGCGATCCAGTTTCCACAACACCTCAAAGGACCCAGTCTGCGAGCGGCATTTCTTTTCAGCCTCCTAAAGGTCAGATTTTCGAGCTTTGGCACATATACATGACTCGTGTCGAACCACTCACCAAATTAGTCCCCCACGCCTGGTTCGGGGACCTGCTCACCCTGACAGCCCAAGAAGCAAAGGTGCCGGAGCCTGGGGCGCGAACACTAATGTCCAGTGTCTGCTTTGCTGCAGTCAGCGCTCTCACAGATGATGAGATCATTCAACAATTCGATGAAGGTAGAGACACATTGAATTCTCGCCTCACAGCTAGCATTCAAACCACATTATCCCTTCGAGACGGGCTCCAGCAACCGGGCACCCGTCTCCTGCAAGCCTTAGTTTTATACGCAGTATGTTTCAGCTCTTGCGGGAAACCTAGCAAGGCTCTGAGACACCGAAAGAACTGATTCGGTGAATATAGGTTTCCCTATATCGGCGTCTTGATGACGATCAAGCCACGTTCAAGGAGACTTTCAAATTTGCGTTCCACATAGCCGGCCTTATTGGAATAGGAAAAGCAGAAGATGCAATCTGTTCTCCGTATGATACTGAGATCAGACGCCGTTGTTGGTGGACGCTTTGTAGGTTGTGGTACCAATGCGTTCAAAAGCCCGGGTGGGATGTTGAAGAACCAATACCTTTGTCTGATGTGCCGCCTCCGCTGAATATAAATGATATCGATCTCATGTCCGCGACAGAGGAAATGCCGAAGGCAAGGCAAGGTCTGACACAGATGTCTCTCTTCCTCGTCCATCTGGAGGTAGTCCGTCTCACCGGGAAGCTGGAACTTCTAAACCGCAACCCAAACTTGTCCGGGAACAGCATCTCGATCGGTGTTCAACGAAGGAATTTGGTGGAAGAATCCGTTGGGAAGATAGAGAGAGATTTTCTGTGGCATTGCGACACATCTCGACCATTTGACTGGTTCTTAATGCTCACCACCAAAGCCATGTTGGTATGTTGTAATCAGCACCGTCTCGATCCACGGCATACCAGTACGTGGCTAACAATAAGACAGAATCCCATTGAGATGATGATGTTGGACGAGCCGGAGTACGACGGTCGTCGCACCGGTGCTCTGTCGACCCAGGCAAAGGAAGACAGAAAATTCCTATTGCGTCTTGACGTAGTCGAGTGCTGGCACATGATGAACACGCACGAGAACTTGAAGCCGTGGCGGTGGTTCTTGAGGAATATTCCACAGGCATTTTCGGTGGATGACCTGTACGCAGACCTCGTCAGACTCCCACAATCGCCTTACAGCGATCGAGCTTGTGCTCTGATAGACCTGATATCTCGCGGTTGAAAATTACTAAGCCCGCCACCTAATACATGGTAGCATATTTGTCCTGCAATGTTGCTGTCAGATTCATCACGATCCTAATAACTTCATGCAGCTAGCGAACCCTCTAACTGGCCACAAGTTTCCACGAGGGGTGAGAACTTGCTCCGCCAGATGCAGATTTCGCGAAGGGCCTCAATGATTCCTTGAAATACAATTGGTTGATTAGTAGTATTTCGTATTCCAATTCCCGATTGTTTCGATGCCATATAAACAGCTGGTCATTTGTGCAGCTGCCGTTGGAGGCCACCACTGAATGTTCGGGCCCCGAAATTCCGCACTGTCTTTCGGGAAAAGAGGAAACCTTGAAGTGTGCTGGCAAAAGAGACGCCTGCTTGCCTCCACACAGACTCGGCAAAATGTGGAGACGCCACGCCGTGAGCATATGTCAGTCGATCAGATGTTGTCCGAGATTGTTCCTCTATTTTGCACTACCCTAAGGGCGCAGCCGGCAATGTTCTAGAACATCATTCTGGGCAGGAACAGTTGGTCATGCGAAGAGCGTAGCTGGCTTTCAGGGGGAAACTACCTAGGTGTTTTGTTGATTTTCCTTTCCGATTAAGTCCAAGGTGTTCTTAAAGCTCAAATATCCATGCTAACCAGTTCTTTAGCTGCAAAAATTATGTCCTAAATGCGAATTTGAATATGCTCAATCCCTGGTCAATTGTTCAAACCTCGACCTATCTAGAATTGACGGAGGCAGCAAAGCAGAACCAGAACCAGAAGCAAAATGGCGACCCTGGAACCAGCAACCAAGGTCCTCATAGTCGGCTCTGGACTATCAGGCGTTGCGTTGGCACAGATACTCCGCAATGGAAATGTGCAATTTGAAATATTTGAACGCGACGATGGCACTCGGTCCCAGGGTTGGACGATAGGCTTGGACGAGTTTGTTGATTCACAGTGCAAGTTCAAGAGGGGAGACTAATGAAAACCGTTAGATGTCTAGAAGGTCTCTACCGACTTCTTCCAACAGATCTACCTGAACTGGCTAGCAGCAGCCCAAACTTCCATCGCAAAGACACGATGGATTGTTTCACCATCATGGATGGGCCGAGCCACCAAATTCTAGGACTTACAAAAACAAAGCACGAGGGTGAAAATTTGCCCATTCTATTCGTGAACCGTCTCAAGTTCCGCGAAGTGCTCAAAACTCACCTCAACGTGCAATATTCCAAACAATTTGTGCGTTATGAGGAAGATCATGACGGGGTGACTGCATACTTCAAAGATGGCACCAGCGCCCGCGGTCATATCTTGGTTGGTGCAGATGGATCAAACTCCCCAGTGCGCGCTCAGTTTCTCCAGGGATTCAAGCCAGATTCCAGTCCTTTCCTCACAGCCCTGGGTAGAGTTGTCCTCTCCAAGGACCTTTATGAACCTTTGCTCGAACACTCAGCGAACGGTATCCTCGCTGGTGGACCCGATCAAAAGACATACTGTCTCCTGATGGAGTATTTGGACAATGATACTGCTATCTTCAATTGGACAGTGTCCTGGCGGTCCAGCAACTTGGAGGAAGATTATGCCAAAACAGTTGAGGCTGGTCCAGCAGCTCAATTGGAGATGGCAAGGCAACGTATGAAAGACTGGCCTCCAGCCATGGTCAACGCCTTAGCACAGTGTGAACCGTCCGATCTACAGTGGCCGCCAGTGAGACTTATGGAGACTGTACTTCCACCTCGAAACCTGCCGAGAGGCCGTGTCACTTTGATTGGCGATGCCGCTCATTCAATGGTAAGTATATACCTCCGTTACTGATAAAGAGCGACTCCTCGCCTGACGATAAATGGCAGGTGCCTTTTAGAGGAATGGGAGCCAACACTGCTCTTCTTGACGCGTGCGACCTCGGAGAGGGTTTGATCAAAGGCATTCAAGAAAAGGAAGACCTTCAATGGGTTCTTCAACTCTACGAACAGATCATGATCCCCCGTGGTCGTAACAAAGTTCTGGAATCTAGAGCTACAGCCGACTCTGATGATGCCCGAGAGATAGCTGGCGGTCGGATAGATGAAGCACAGGCGTCGTCCCATCCCATACCATTGCGTTAGGGTCTTCAAACGCGTGTCTCCAGCCGAAGAAGCAGGTATATGCGTCTGCATTTCCACAGGTTTCAAAATCAATGTCCTTCCATTATCAGTGCGTAAAACTGCCTCGAAAGAGTTTTGGCTGGTGATGCTCGTTCACGACTTGACAGAAATCTGATATGCAATCCTGACTGCATTCTGACTGCATTTCCACCTTAAGATGCAGCCAACATAAACAATGTCCGTCGACGTTGGTGAAATGTTGGACGAAGCTACACTTCCGTGAGCTGCTGTAACGAAAATTGGATCTCCAAAAAAGATCGGGGAGGTGATTTCCTCCCACACCATAAAATTAGATGGGGCATGCCTCTCTTGCGGTTTAGGGTGACACCGTGTGTGATATATTCTCCACTTATTACACATAGGTGGAGCCACTGTACCGGACCGAGTAGTCCCTACTCGCACCCCAGGAACTCGCTGGGAGTTTTCATGATTGGCCATGAAATTCCCCAGGGATCTGAAATTTCGGCGCCGAATATTCAAGGGGGTCCAAGGCTGATTTTAAGGGGGTTGGCGGAAGGGAAGCGAAGATCCTGCGGTTAGCTGCACGAGAACGGAAGCCCAGAAGCTAGAATCTGATTTTGCGTTATGTCTCAAAGAAGACGCTTCTCATTCTGGCGCCTGCTGAGGATATAGAATGTCGCTGTGTTCCATCTGATATGTTCACCCATTGACATGTTTATGGGTCCGCCAAGATAATCAAGATCTCGTTCTGGGAAGACAAAATAAAGGAGTCTCGAGGCCCTAGACTGTCTCTCTTTGAAAGGAAAAACAAAAAACAGCGTCTGCCTCTTTTCTCTGGTAGACCAAAACGACTTGACACTCTTTCCCTTGGCCTAGCTTGCTTGCAGTTGTCAGAAGCCTTGTGCCAGAGGACGCAAAAAATGGCCGGCTTTGAAAAGTGCTACGATGTCCTGAGCCCAATCAAACTGGCTCATGTCGTGCTTCGGACCAACAAATTTGAGGAAATGGCAGAATTCTACAAGAAATTCCTCGGCGCCGGAGTCGAGTTCGAGAACGAAGACGCCTGCTTTCTCAGGTACGACGACGAGCACCACCGCCTCGGCATTCTCAAGATGAACGGTCTTCTGGACTCTGGCCGCACCGCCCCAGGCTTAGAGCATATTGCCTTTACCTTCTCCAGCCTGGCAGACCTTCTAAAAGTCTGGCAACAGCGAAAGGACCTCGGCGTGGAGCCCGTGTGGTGCGTCAATCATGGAGGCACCACCAGCATGTACTACGAGGACCCGGATGGAAACAAGCTCGAGAGCCAAGTTGACAACTTCGACGATCCGGTCGAGCTGCAGGCGTTTATCAAGTCTGACAAGTTTCGGACGAATCCCGTCGGCACCGACTTTGACCCTCTCGATCTCATCAAACGCCTACAGTCGGGCGAGCCGGAAGATTCCATCAAGATGCGCGTCGAGAGTGGTCCTCGCCGGTTTCCCAGATACGTGGGGGAGAGGGTATAATTCCGGCAGGGGCAGTGTAGATGCATGTGTTCGGTGCGAGGGGTGCGAGTACGCGAGGATAGGATTGTATACGAGGAACAGAAGCAAACAAAGCGAAAGTTCGTAAGGGCTTGCTTCGACAAGAAGTTTGTCTACAGGAAATTCTGAAACACCTCTGAAGCCTTCAAGCACTGTAGCTTAAAAATAACCAGATTGTGAACAAATGGTAGCAATTTTCCGCTTAGTCGCGAGAAGGGGTCAAGGAGAAAAGCCCATTTCTTCAATTGTAGCAAGAACCGAGATCCCAGGATGTTCCGACAGGAGACACCCTGCTTCATGTTATTACATTATTCCATAATTCTGTTTTTGCATGAATCTGCTCAACTCGTCTACTCTTGAAGGCACAATTTCTAGCGTTAGCGACGACCCCAAACTAATTGTCCATTCAGTACGCAGCAGCGTTTTGGATACGTCCTTTGTTATGCACTCCAAGGCTGATGCAAAGGGGAAGCCGCTCCGCAGTTTCTCAGGAGTGAAATCGAAATTTCGGCGCCGAAGTTGAACCACACTCTTTTCCGAATGCAAGGGATCCCCTTATCTTCTGGGTGGATCATCTTGTTAAGCCTCCTGGTGACGATCCGTCTACTTATGACTAGAACATCATCAAGGACTTCCATCTACTCGTAGGTCCTGAAATAAGAAAATGCTGGCACTAATCTCTGCCAACAGATCATTTTCACAACAGGACCTCGTACTTCAGACCTTGTTGGGGAATCGCAGAAGAGAAAGAACGCAAGATGACAACCACGAGAAACGTCCCATGGGATCGCCTGATCCGCTTCGTGAGCGCAGAAGATGACGCAATCTATTATGGCGATGCTGTTGTGCCCGACGAAGATTTCGACATCGGACTGCCTCAGAATCTGTCGTCTCTAACCGCCAAAATCATCGTCGGCTCCCCGCTGACGGCCGATTGCGTGATCACTGACAAGATTGTCAAAGTCAAGACGCTGTTGGGACCTTTGACATATCGTCAAATTCCTTCTGTTCAGTGTATTGGAGGGAACTACTTGAGTCATCGTATGTATTCTTCATTTCCCCCCGAGACTTCCTTTCACATGCCAGGAGGCTGATGTGAGTGAACATAGTCCGAGAACTTAATATCGAACCGCCACGCTATCCTGCCATGTTCTCCAAGACGTCGGGGGCTGTAGCAGGCTATGGGGACGAGGTCGAGATTCCCAAGTTCATCCAAGACGAACAGACCGATTACGAAGGTGAGCTGGCATTTGTGATTGCAAAGGATGCCAAAAATGCCAAAAAAGAAGAAGCGCTGGAATATGTCCTTGGCTATACCTCGTCAAATGACGTATCCGCAAGGTATGTATCGTGGCCAAAGATGATTGCCGAAGCCAGCTGGTAATCCTCGAGATAAATGCAGAAAGTGGCAGATGGATCCCGATCTTGTGGGAACGTTCCCTCCTCCACAAATGACCTACGGAAAGAGTTTCGACGGCTTTGTACCTCTAGGACCAGGCATCGTCTCGACAAATGTATGACCAATGCCCCACGATATATTCCTAGTCTCATTTGAAATGACTGTGATAGGTGATTAAAGATCCGCACACTCTCTCCCTCCTGACAAAGGTCAATGGCGAAGTCCGCCAACAGAGCAATACCTCCGAGCTCCATTTCAACATTCCGGCAATTATTGAGTTCCTGAGTAAAGGGCACACGTTGCATGCAGGCACAGTCGTCCTGACAGGGACACCCGGCGGAGTAGGATTCGCATCTAGACCGCCAAAGTTCTTGAAGGACGGAGACAAGGTTGAGGTGTACTTTAGCAAGATTGGGACTCTTATGCACGGCATCAAATACGAATGATGACGAGGCTCCACCCGAAGTTCACTGTCAAATCCTCAGAGCGTCTAGCGGCCTCCATCTACCCGACGTAATGTAGAAGCTGTTGCATTGGATCCGCGATGCACCGCAGGCATGGCGAAAGATCTGCCTTACAAATACCGAGCCCCTCTGCAGGGCGAGCACGTTATAGTGGAGAAAAGCACCGCCGCCGACTCAGCAACGAAGTGCTAACTCGGAAGAATGGTGCCATCACTGTATATTGTATTACTAATAGAGCTCAGGGCCCACATGAAAAACAGGCTTGGACGTGTCAATGGAGAAAGAAGAATCAAGTAGAGACCCTTCCTCATTGGGTTAGTTCCAAGAGACCCACCAGCCCAGCTGTGCCCTGCGTGCGCGCGATCACGTTTTCGGCCATTCTCGGCCGACAGCCTTCGCCGTCTCGCGGACTGTCTCTGGGAGCTCAAAGCCCAGAAATAAAACTGCCCATATCAGGGACCAAGTTGGTCCTCATAGACCGTCTTGACAAAGTGTTCTCCTCTCCTGAGATACGCGATTCGAGATGTCGTCACTCAAAGCCATCACACTTTACGGCCACGGCGCAACTCCCAAGTACGTATCCCCTCTTCACAACCCACTCGGCGAGCGACTTTTGGTGAATATTGGACTGACATGGCGATCTCTTTCATTCCTGCTCCAGCCCCCGAAAAGTCGCCATTATCCTCGAGGAGCTGTCCATTCCATACACGATGAAAGAGGTGGACTTTTCCGATATCAAGAAGCCGCCGTACACGGACATCTGCCCGAACGGCCGCGTGCCCGCCATCGAGGACCCGAACACGGGCATCACGCTCTGGGAGTCGGGCGCCATCGTGCAGTACCTCGTGGAGACGTACGACAAGGACCGGGTGCTCACGTACGACACGGTGCCCGAGAAGTACCAGCTGAACCAGTGGCTTATGTTCCAGATGTCGGGCCAGGGCCCGTACTTCGGCCAGGCCGCGTGGTTCAAGGTATTCCACCCAGAAAAGCTGCCAAGTGCGCAAGAGAGGTACGTGAGGGAGGTTGAGCGCGTCACCAGCGTCCTAGATGGCTGGTTGCAGAAGCGCAAGTTTCTAGTCGGCGACAAGCTCACGTACGCGGATCTGGCGTTTGTGCCGTGGGCGAAGAACGTCCTGTGGCTGGACGACGAGAAGACCATCGACATGGCCAAGTACCCTGCATATTCAAAATGGTTGGACGGTATGCTTGCCAGAGAGAGCGTGAAGAAGATTTTGGGATAGACCAATCAGCGAGCAGAATATTGAGAGATGCACGGCGCAGCCTGGTATGCCTGTTGTACCTCTCTGCCAGTATTCAACCTGCGGGCTCATCGCAAATCTCTCTTTTCTCACTCAGCGCTAGTCAAGATGCTTCAACGTCACATCGGTGTTGTGATCGCCTAGACCGTGGCAGCCAAATCTTGGGAGAAGATTGCCTAGTCCGTCTCTCCCCCATGAAGGAGGGTTAACGATCTCATTCAGTGATGGATATTCAAAGCTTGGCAGACAGATGCGGATTGCGGCTGCAGGATTTGTAGAAGAAGGATACCCGAGTAAGAGAAACCCCCATGTTGAAGGTGTATCTGTACGTTCTCAGAATCGTTGGGCGTCATCCAGGCCTGGGAGTTGAGACCCAAACGAAATTGCCAAATCCGCGAATTCTGGGTGGAGACGATAATATCGCCGCTGCTTAGAACTTTCTCGATATTATTTGGATCGATTTCTTGGCCGAGGGGGATGTTTGCGATTGTCTAGAATATGTGCTTGACGAATGGTGCATTTGCTAGTTCGAAGTAGCGGCCAAAGGCTGGACCGCAGCCATTCAAAGTTGGTGCTACCACCCTCGCCAGCATCATGCAGTCCGTCCATGCGTCGAGGAAGAGATTCTCAAGGTATTGTGGGATCCCTGGTGGGATGTAGAAGCTCGGCATCGCAGCCTGGAGTTGAGTGACCGGGAGAAAGATCACAATACAGAGTGGCTGGCTCTTGTGATTTATAGAGGTGATCCTAGTGCCTGAGTCAGATAACCAAATGCAACACTTATATACCAGAAATGAATACACACGCCGCAAGCGGGGAGCCATGTGCGAATCTCCAAAATCCGCTCCGGGCCCACCCCCATTACTATCGCGGGCCTGGACCGCCCGAGGAGAAGCTGAAATCTTTCGACTTCTGCAATGGTCGTCGAGCTGGAAGCTCTCTCCAGGTCTTCGATCCGAGCGCGGCCTTCGCTGGCGCACGCAACCGCCCAAATCTAAACTTTGAGCAAACCACAATCGACTGGCCGAGTAGTTTAACAGCTTGGGCACAGTATTCATAGTGGATGGACGATACGGCGGCGCCCGACAATACTCCTCCATCATGAACTGGTCGCTTGTCTGCGAGATACATATGTACCAGTCCTGGAGTGCCCAATTCCCACTATTCCAAGGGGGATTCTGCATAAACAAGACCATACCCCCACCCCGGCTTCCCGTTGTCACGACCTTGGTAATCTGGCTAAATGCATGACATTGGCTTTGGGAGGCTGTCCAACACTGATATCCTAGAAAAAGCAATGAAAATTTTGCCCAATGAAAATGATTTTTTTTCTTCTCTCTCTCACATTGTTTCTTCATTTCTCTACACTAGAATGTCTATGCCGCCCATATTTTTCATTCACCTGCCCTCCTTAGACTCTCAGACAGATTTTCTGTTCTTCAGTGTTTGCCAATCTTTCTCATTGCCACAAGAAACTTCTCTTCCATCGTGAGCTCTTTTTCAGGTTCAACTGATATTGATTGCCTGTCCAACATCACCCCCAGCTTGATCTCCCTCGCTGCTTCGATGTCCACCTCACTAGCCAATTCTTCGTCAACAGTTTGCTCACTCTGAATTTTGAGAGTGGCACAAGGCCCTCCAGCATGTATTTTGGGTAGTTTTTTCCTTATTGCTGCCAGAAATTTTGCTTCCTGCGTCATTTCCATGCCAGGTGAACTGACGGCCTTGTCATCCGAGACGGGCTGCTTAGTTGACCGTTCAGCTGATTTTGGGCTCTCCCGCTCGGAGGATTCTGACTCGGCAGACTGAGTGGACCTGGCATGCATCATTTGCAAGAACTTCTTCTCAAACAAGTGCTTCCCAGATTCGCGGAAGATCTCATCAGCTGATAATTGAGCCTGCTTCTCACAGTTCGGACAACCGTCGGAGAAAGTCTTTGCCGAATAGGGATGGAGACGAGTGCAGATGGTCAGGAATCCAAGCTCGTGACGACCCCACAAGTTTTCAATCTGTCTTGCATAATCATTCTTGATCTTCAGGATCGGCGATGCCTTCCAACCATCATGAAGCCCGAAGGCTACCGCAATTTTCCGTGCAGTTTCCATCAAGGAGCCGCATGTTCCAGGTGATCTGCGGCCGATTTCGCTTACTGCGTCCAAGCTAGTCTTAACCGTTTCCTCACTGACAATCACAATAGCGTCTTCGACAGGATGTCCAAGTTCAGAGAGCCGAGCTCTAGTCGACTTTGCAAAGAGCATGAACTGGAGCTGTTGCAACCTGATCTCAGCTTCAATGGACGGGTTGGTACCTATCAAGGTAGTGTCCAGTGCACTCTGACAATATTTTGTGCACGAAACTGATTCCTTGCAGACGAATTGAATCATCTTGAGGCCCAGACGTTGCACCCCAAATGAGGGATCTTTCAGAGAAAGAAGCTGATTTGAAAGCTTCAGGGCGTCAGCGAGACGTGCAAGGACCACGCGATACTCTAAGACATCAAGATGAAGATGGAAACTCAGGTTGTACGAGGGGATAACGTTCGGAAGCGCTCGATGCAATACCGCGATGCTGCCTTGGAACCGATCCACAACCTCAGTCCTGAAATTGATAATGTACTTCTGCAGGTCGAGTATCTCTTGATTTCGACGAAGAAGGAGAGTAGCATTGGCCTTTGCTGCCAAGGGATTCGGCCGGATCTCCGCAATACAAGCTTCGAACGTCTGGTCCAATTGTTTTCCCTGAACCTCGATCGCGGTCGCAAATGCAGCTAATTTGTGACCCGTTTTCGACAGAAGAAGGTCACAAGTGTGCTTGAAATCGACCAATTTCGAGTGAAGTCGGTAACGGCGAGTACCTTGCAAGGACGCTCCACACGGGCATTTTGGAGGTTTAATATCTTGCGATCTCACGCTCGAATTAATTGATAAAATAACCCCGTCTCCAGCAACATCATAGATGCCATGGAGATTGAGAGCATCCAGCTGGGAGATCTCTACCATATGTCCACATTCTGGCGAGTACAACACCGCAGGGCCTCTCTTCCCGGAGACGCATTCCGGGCAGACTTCTGGGGGCGGACAAGTCTCACCATCAAGCGATGGGCAGTCATGACCGCATTTCAGAGTCCGAGAGCAGGGTTCGCAGCAGGGCAGTGATGCGCTGGGCAGACAACATATCATATCCGACAATGTTTCGTGCTCACATCCAGGGATGGCCTGCTTGACACAAGGGTCACAGATGTCTTGACACCGACTCTTACAAGGTCCGTGCTCACACCGCTTCAAGCAGGATTCGAGACACGACCTTGGGCATGATCTTCCGAAATGACAACTCTCCTTGCAGTAATGGCCACATGCTTTCAAGCGATTGCATATTTCAGCGCAGAGATAATGCATTCCCGGTTTTGTGTTATTGCAGACGCCACATGTTCCACTACAAGGATGGCCACAAGGGAGCGTCGTGCCACATTCTTGTTGACAGACAATTTCTGTGTCGGGGTCTTCACCACACAAGGTGTTCACAGTATGGCCACAGCTGAGGACACTGCTAGCTATGACAGCTTCGCACCCGGAAGTTTCTCCTGAGCAGAGTATCTTTCCATAATGTCCACAGTCAAGAGTAACGTCATTAGTGGTAATTTGACATTCTCCGCATGTCTGATAGCACGGCTTCTCACATTTGTGTCCACATGATTGGAAGATCTTCTTACATTCCTCCTGGCAAACCAGGCGAGAATGGAGCCAAGGTGGGTGACATTTTTCCTGGCAGATGTGGCCACAGGGCAAAGCCGTGCCACAGGCCGCTGAACATTCTGGGACATCTTTAAAGTCTTTTGGCTGCTCGATAAGGTGACGGTGGTTAGGATGGACATGACATTGGGCCATAATTGAGCCTCCGATCTTCCCATTGAAAGCATTGATGACTTCTCTCCATCTAGGGACTCGAGAGAGGGTCTGAGAATTGCCAACAATGTAAAAGCCATTACGAGCCCTGCTGCAGGCGACATTGATGCGATTCAATATCTTCAAGAAGCCAGGATTACCTCCACTTCGAACCGTGCTGAGGATGATGACCTTTGCCTCTTCACCCTGGAAGTTGTCCACCGTTGCAATTCGGAGCATGTCGGAGATCGCAACTTTATCCTTAGTAGCCCTGCCTGCATCACCAAGAGCAAGAGCCTCTTCACCAAGCAATTCTTCTCGGTCCTTCTCAGAAAGCCATATGTCACACGTTCTGGCCAGCCGCTCCCAGAGTTTCAACAGCTGGCCTGCATATGGAGTTAGGACCGCGATTTCCCCTTGTGAGTAAGCCCCACCGCGGAGGAGATATTCAACAAGGGAGGCAACCATCTCGACTTCATGAAGGTTGGCATGCGACTTTAAGTCGTCCAATCCAAGCTCAGGAACTCGATGGTCCCACCAAAATATTCTGTGTGCAATGCCATGAGTTGGCGAGCGCTGGAGTGTACACTCGTGATCTGTGAGATAAGGATAAGTCAGACGAGTGACATTTGCGATGTCAGGATGCATGCGGCGTTGGACGCTCAAGTGGCATGCTGGTATTACTGATGCCGACATGTCATGAGGAAACATCAACCGCTCTAGCAAGGACTCATCCAATCGATATTGACGTCCGACGGAGGTTTCTAGACTCAGGGACTGTTCGTTTGTCTCAGGTCGCAGCTGTTGAGGATCGCCAATGAAGATTGCATGTTGGACTGAAGGGAGCAAAGCACACAGTGCATGGGCTTCCATAACCTCCGCGGCTTCTTCACAAATGAGAATTTCAGGGTCTAGTGATCGTAGAAGCTCCCAACGAGCCGCGCATGCAGTGGTCGTCATGGCGATGATATTGTGAGACGACATAATCTGGACATCGCGCCTATCGTTGATTGTACTTATCTCCTCTGTGCACGCCCGCGACTCAAAGTAAAGCGAGGTCATCTTCTGAGCAAACTTTTCTTCGTCCACTTCTGCCTCCCAACGCCGAAGCATAAGTTGACGCTCGTGTAGAGGCAGGTTCCAGATGCTGGATCGGCCAGCGTTTGCACTCTGGAGTTCGACATGGTAGGAGATGCCAAGGAGCATCTCATTGACGGTTTCTTGAGGCTTGTAATGAGTGTTTGAGATTTGCTCAAGTCTAGAAGCCAGCTCAAGGTGCAATTCGCGAATGGTCTTCAAGTCTCCGCCTCCTGACCAGTATTCAAAAGTGAAAGATTGGGCAAGCGAGACTCGAGAATTTGTTGTAAACTGAGAATGGATATCGCGGTGTTTACTATACAGAAGGTCCTCGACATAGTGCCATGGAGTGTTTCCTGTGTGCGTCTGGCAAGAAAGCGCTACTACCAGTTAGTTCCATTCAGGGATAACGAAATAAAGATGAACGTACCTTTGCACAACGAATCTAGTTCTGCGAACAGCAGCTTCTTTTGGTGGCCATGGGCATGCAGTGCTTGGGAATCCTCCTTCTTCAATCGAGTTTTTCGTCGCAGGTTGCGGAGATTGATGGTATCTGTCCAATCTTCCTTGCTACCAGAACCGACTCGAAGCAGACCGGAGACACCAGCATCTCGAAGATTGGCCAGGAAACTGTCCAGAGCGTGATTTGTCAGACATACTAGCAGTATAGGCTTCTGTGACGGTCGGGAATCGAGAAGTGTCTTTGCTAGTTGGACACCTAAAAAGGTTTTGCCGCATCCAGGTGGGCCCTGCGTGCAGGCATACTCACGCAGGAGGCTGTCTCTGAAAGCTGCCGCCTGACCTTCATCCAAAGTTGTTTCGCGTTTGAGGAGTTCCAGAGTAGAAGGACGCGACAAGTCTCTCACAGACGCGGAGGCAATTGGACATGCAGGCGGGACAAGCTTGGTGAGATTATAGGCGAAATCCGGCGAGAGTGCGTAAGAAGGCGGCGGACATGAAAACCGCGGCCGTGATCCGGCGACGTAGTTCAGCTCTCTGGTGAATAGGGCCTCATCGACAGTCTTGTCAGGGGCAACATAATCCGGGAACGCGAAGTCTGTTTCTCTCATCTCCTGCAACCGTTTGAGACAATTGTAAAACCCGGCGAAGAGAACCTTCGGAAATTCTACGAGGTACATTTCACTTCCACTGCAAAGGCCGAGTGCATTGCGGCAAAACTGAAGGACTTCATCGTGGGTGGTGGTGGGCAGAAAAGAAAGTTGGACTGCAGCTCGAGTGCCACGTCCGTCAAAGCAGTCCATCGAGAAGGTATTTTGAGCAAGATGGACCTCCAAGAAGTAGACTGACAACTTCATGGTAGCGTGATCCAATTGGAGCAACGCCACAAGCATGCCTTTTTGAAACCGGCCAGAGTCATATAGCTTCTGACCCCTCATGAATGGCGGGCAGTCGTAACTGATACGGACAACCATTGCCTTTTGCTCATGTGAAAGCATCTCTTCGATCTTGATGTTGTTGTACAGGAAGTATCGATTGCCAGCTACGGTCTCGTGGCGAACATGACCCTCAGGATTGGTGCCGCTGCCAAGGAAGGCGGTTTGGGAGGCCGAATAGCATATGTCCCGGATGCTCTCAATGCTGTCGCATCGTAGTTGTCTGAAAAGTGTATCCAACAGCCTACGCGGCCCATTGTCGAGAAAGTGCTTTTCGTAGAGATCTTTTTTCGGCATGTACGTCGGTCGAAGGACGGCAAGGATTTCATCAGGAGTTGGAAGGATCTTGATCTTTCTGTAGTTAGCATGGTCATTATCATGGCGAGGACCGAAGGCAGAGAGCACCCCGGGACCATCGTCGGTGAAGGATGGGAAAGGGCGCGGATCCGGAGAAAGGAAGTTCATGGACTCGTAGTTGAGGTCTTGTCCGGCAGTAGAGGCGGAAATGCAAAGCCTCATCGTCGCCATGATGTTGATGATGGGTCGTAGATGAGCTCAATGCCGCGGAATGAAACAGCAAGGACGAGCAGATGCAGCGTCTCTTTCATTCACTGGCCGAGGGACAGATCTTGTGTGTTCAACAGAAAGACTATGCCTTGGCGTAGCGAAACTGTTCGCCGCCTTGAGACTGTCGCTCACTGTCACTCCAGACGACTCACTGAGTGAGTGACTTGGAATCAATGGTGGTGGCTGGGAGCGGAACTTGAAGTCGTTGTCATTGTCGCAGAATGGAAGGTGAGGCAGTGAGGCAGTGAGGCAGTGAGGCAGTGAGGCAGTGAGGCAGTGAGGCAGGTGTCTCTCACAGTTTTCCAAGCCAGCGCAGTTTGTTTGCTCACCCCATTCCATTTTCGGCTTCCGACAGTGAGTCCTTCATTAACGCGCCTTCTTATGCACAGGGTTTTTGTTTGCTGGACGCGGTGGACGTCCTGTGAGATTTTATAATTCTGACACCTCCCTCTTAATACCTACATAATTAGGTAGGTATTTGAACATCTCGAATAAAGCGCCTTGGGTCGTCATCACCAGGTATTGAACAAGCAAACAAACGAACCATCAACCATGACGTTGTAAGTACATGATACCTGGTAATTTCTTCATCCTTCAAGCCAAGTCTTCACACTCCGTACAGACTTTATGTCCATGTGGGCTTCTGTCGTGGTGGATTTGGACCTCATTGTCAGGCGCCTGCCAGCGGGATGGGACATGCATCAACTGGACTTAGAATCTATATATGGCGAACCATGAATACGAGAACGCGCACAAGTCACGACAATCACATCGAAGGATACAAGTACATCTCCTTGTATATTTCAAAGACGGGTGGATGTTCAGGAAGTCTGAGATGAAAGTGAAAGTGAAAGTGGTCGACTAGGACAAGCGAGAAGTCTTGGCACTGCGGCATCCTGTCGCCCACTCCTCCGTATTAAAGCGTCTTTGGGCGTCTTGTATCACTCCAGATAGATCTTCTCTTTTCGATCAATCAATCAATCTCCATGACACTCAGATTAGTTCAACTAAAAGAGGTCAAGGAGAATTGACGTTAGAAAAACATAAATTGGACAAGAAGGCAAGTATAGCGAGCGACGGGGGAGATAATATCCGAAGTCACAATCCGTAATCACCGAAGCAGCGGACTCAGAACACTATAGACATGAAAATGATTGACTGCTCGAATCTACTTGGTACACAATCAAATGAGCAGACCAAAAGCACAACACCCTTCTGTCTAGCCATCAGGATATTGTCGAAGAGACGTTTCCCGACCCGCTAAACAGATTCCCAGACATTCCTCGCACCCAATGACTAAAAGTCGTGGTATCTTTGCCCTCCAGCAATATATGCAAATCGTCACTCTCTGGCGGTAATTGCACCCCATTTCCGGGTTTGGGGTACAATGCGGCATGTTCATCAAAGTATCCATCGTAGCCTTCATCTATCTCGTTGTCATCATCTGCATCATTGTCCCCGAAATGAGGCACCTTCGATACTGGTGTGACGTACGTAGAAGTGAACTGCGCTTGCGGCATTGTTAATTGTGGAGGTGGAGGTGGAGGAGGAGGAGGAGGAGGAGGAGGAGGAGGAGCAGGTGGTGGTGCAAGTGTTTGAAACAGAGGTAGGTCCGGTGCCAGGTCTGACGCCTGCAGAACTAGAGACAGGAGATCATCCCGGGAAAGAGTGTTGAGGTATGTCTCTTTTTGCTCCAGCCGGAGGAGACGACCTCCTACCCGCGGCCCTGTAAATGTGGGTGTCTGCTCAACGATAGGGGGAGCCACGACTGCAGGTTGAGAACCCGTTTTGCCGTGTGTCTTCTTGTCCTTCTTTTTACCGTGCAAAATTCGGTCACATTCAGAGCAGAACCATTCGGCTTTCGAGTCAGCAACAGTGTGCGTAGAGATCTGGGGTTCATGACAGCGTTGATGCCAGCACTTATTGCAGGCATCGCAGAAGACAATCACATTTCCCGGAGGACCATGTCCACGTAAACAATGTTCACAAAGTGCAAACTGCTCACGGCCGCGATAGACTCTGCGTTTGATTTTCGGGTGAGTTTTGATGGACGCAGGAGAATTGGACATGGTATTAGCGGTAGAGTTGGTGCGAGATAGTTTCCCTGAAGGGCTCGCCCTCGCACCAGTATCGTTGCTAAGCGAGACGCGCTTCTGTACTTGCCTCCCAGATCGAGTGTGTGCAGAAGGGTTGTATTCCTCTGAACTCTCTCGGGATGGCGTGGTTGTAGGTTCCGAAATTGAAGCTCGTAGATTGGACTCCGAAGTGTCGGAAGCAGCACTCTTTCTCTTTTTGCTAGGAGCTACAAAGTGATAAGAAGGGGGGTCAATAGCATTCACAGGTATCTTTTGGGGTGAGGTTTGGTCACCGCCTGCCGGCCTGAGACTGCGCGGCCCTCGTTTGATACCTGGCCTGCCTCGACCAAGCCCCTTACCAGAGACCACTGACCCGTCTGATAGAAGATATTGCTTGTTTCGAAATACAGCGCTTTTGTTAACTGCCGCTGTAGGTTCACTTCCATCTCCAACAGGACCAGGTGTCGCACCCGGGCCTATAACGGTAACCGGATGGTTGTACGTGTAGTCGGTATTGGCAACAGAAGGGGGAGTCTGATTCATTCCCAAATCTGTCATCGAATCCCGAAAATCAGGGTCGCTATCGGTTTGTATGTCGTCGAGACTGGTGTTGGCACCTGTGGAAGAATTGGACATGCCACCTCTCAAATTGGGCATGCTTTCATTGATGAGCGGAGGTGGAGTATGACCGTGAGGAAAAACATCCGAGAATGATCCTCGATGAGGTCCCGCGCCTGGATGAGATGTTGGATTGAAGCTCACTTGTGGCGGATACTGGTTGGCGGTACAATGGGGATCCAGCAAGTCGGCGAGATTATTCACGTCGTCATATGTGACACTAAAACTGAGGGCAGGAACAGCAGGTATATTGAAGACATGACTGGATTGTGTAGTCGACTTATTGATGTTGTTGTCGTCGTTGGCATCGAGGACAGCATGATTCTTGGGGTCGCTCAAGCTGTCGGAAGGAACAGAGGAACTTGTCGGTGGGGAGGCCATGCCAGCTGGGACCGCTAGGGGGGCAGTTGAACGTTTGATTGTGGGCCTTGATTGGAAGAAAGGAGGAGGATGGAATTACAGCAGTCTCGTCTTGCATCAAAACTGCATGGGCCCATTGAATAGAAAATATGCCAGTGCCGATAACAAAGGTGACATGTCTTAGTTCAAGCTCCTCGTCGAACGATGGAAGGAGGCTGGAGGTCGAGGAGAAAGCGACGACTTGGAGAAGAGGTCGCAGGGCAGGTAGAGCACGTGATTGTGAGCTTCGGTGCACATGACACTGATTATGTCATCCAGCCTCGCGTACCTCATACTTCGCAGGCTGCGGCTGGGCCATGGCTTGGCCATTGGCTCACGGCCAAATTCCTCTCCGTCGTCATTCTACGCACAAGTCGCGCATCCTTGTGTAATGATCCATCACTTCTCGACCTATCATCAATTCAATGCAGCACCCAATCTTTGAGTGAAATCCGCGTAATTGCTCCTACGCACAAACTTCTCAATGCCCTGTGGAGGAATAAAGACTGAGCAGTTGAACATGTCCGCTTCTGTGCCACTTTCCTTTCATCTATATCATCCATTTCAGTGTTGCTCATCTCTTTCCCCTTTCACTTCGCTATGGCCTACACAACTACGTTCTTGGTGTCAAACATCCACTGCCCGTCCTGCGTGTCCTATGTTCAAGATACACTCCATGGAGTTCCAGGCGTCCAGTCCATCCATGTCTCACTAATAGACCAAGTTATTCGTGTCAAACACGCTCAGGACTCGACCCGAGAAGTTATTGTCAGTGAACTGATCAAAGCAGCCTTCGAAGTCCAGCATGTCACGACCATCCGCCCCGACGGTGTCCAGTCTCACGACTACGATGTGTCACCGACCCCCACGAACGCCCAACTCTCACGACCCCGCTGGTTAATGTCCCGTGCTCAACGCAAGCATATTGAAAATTGCAAGGCATGTCAACGGGAAAAGGGCCAGACATCGAGGCCAAAGTTATCGTGGCCTTATCTTATGCGATCACGCCGACAAGCCCCTGCGAAAAAGACTCCCACCGATGAGGAGGCCGCGGTTTCGGACGACACACTGACTGGAGACAAGCCCTCAAACAAAGCCGTCGACAGTGCAGGGGAAGAGAGTACATCCTCAAACTATGTTGCGACCATATCGATTGGTGGAATGACCTGCGCATCTTGCACAAGCACAATCACCAAGGGGCTTGAGAATTTGGATTTCGTGGATTCGACAAATGTCAATCTAATGATGAACAATGCAAGAGTGGTCTATCAAGGGCCCAAAAACAACTCGGCCAAACTCGTTGAAACAATCGAAGACCTAGGCTACGAAGCCGTAATTGATGATACACATCCATTAGTGCAAGAGAAACCTCCGTCAGATGCTGTTGGCGAGGATTTCAAGGTCACGCTCAGTATTGAGGGGATGACCTGTGGAAGTTGTGTTGGCACGATTACCCGGGGTCTCCAGGAGCTCCAGTTCATCAAAGATGTCAATATCGACCTCGTTGGAAATCGCGGCGTTGTAGTCTTCCCCGGAAAGCAGCATCTCGACAAAATATTGGAGAAGATTGACGACCTGGGTTATGATGCGACTGTTGTCAAACTCGAGGGCACTTCCAAAATAGCCCAGGCCCCAGATGAAGAGAGGACAGTGCAACTCAAAGTCGACGGCATGTATTGTGGACATTGTCCCGAGAATGTCAGGGCCGCTATCCAATCTGCATTATCAAGTGTCAGCGAGTCGGCATATACCATAACTCAACTTCCCACACTGAAAGACCCGGTCATTACCATCACCTACCGCCCTTCGCCTCAACTCAATATACGCAGCTTCATCGCCGCCATCGATGCTTCGCACGAAGCGTTGAAGGCAAGTGTGTATCACCCGCCAACGCTAGAAGAGCGATCACGTCGATTACAGCGAAAAGAGATGAAACATATTCTTTGGCGGCTACTGTTTACTGGCATAGTCGCTATTCCCACTCTCATCATTGGGGTTGTGTACATGAGCTTGGTTCCTGAATCTAACCCAACGAGGCGATGGTGGGAAGAGCCCATCCTAGCGGGTCAAGCTATGCGGATAGAGTGGGCACTCTTCTTCATGACCACGCCAGTCATGTTTTTTGGCACAGATCTCTTCCATGTCCGCGCATACAAGGAGATCAAGGCTATGTGGAGGCCGAACAGCAAAATACCCATCCTGCGGCGGTTTTATCGCTTTGGCAGCATGAATCTACTGATCAGTGCCGGTACTGCAGTCGCATATTTCTCGTCGTTGGCTGTCTTGATCATGGATGCCACAGGTGACCCCACAACAATGAGACATCATCATTCTTCGGATACCTATTTCGACACGGTGACGTTCCTCACGTTCTTCATCCTCATTGGCCGCTTCTTGGAGGCTTACAGCAAGACCAAAACCGGCGACGCAGTTGCGATGCTGAGCAACCTAAGGCCTTCAACTGCACTCCTTGTGAAGGATGACGTAAATGGCAAAGCGTCCAATAGCATCGAAACCATTCCAGTTGATCAACTGGAGACAGGCGATCTGGTTCAGATCCCTCACGGAACCTCTCCACCAACCGACGGAGTCATCGACAACACAGGCACGTTTCTGTTTGACGAGAGCTCTCTTACCGGAGAATCCAAGCCAGTCACAAAGACTTATGGTGATGAAGTCTATACAGGATCTGTGAACGTGTCCGACCCTGTCCGGATTAGAGTAACTAGTGTTGGTGGAACATCCATGCTGGACCGAATTGTCAACGTTGTTCGTGAAGGCCAGGCGAAAAGGGCTCCCATTGAGCGCATTGCAGACATTCTTACAGGGTACTTCGTCCCGGTAATCACTCTCATTGCCATCACGACTTGGGTGATCTGGATGGGTCTGGGCTTGTCCGGAACACTTCCTCAAGCATGGCTTGATGTGAGCCAAGGAGGATGGCCTTTCTGGTCCCTTGAGTTTGCAATCGCCGTCTTTGTTGTCGCCTGCCCATGTGGCATCGGTCTTGCTGCACCCACCGCACTCTTCGTAGGGGGCGGCTTGGCAGCAAAACATGGCGTCCTTGTCCAGGGAGGTGGCGAGGCATTTCAGGAGGCATCGAAATTGGATGTCATTGTTTTTGACAAGACCGGTACATTGACCGAAGGTCAAATGCGAGTCACTGACTTCGAACCGATCCAGGGCATTGAGGGCAGCGACCCGACACTTGATGAAAACATCATACTAGCGTCCTCTCGCATGCTGGAGGAATCAAGTACACACCCAATAGCAAAGGCCATTGCAAGTTACTGTGCCGAGAACTCGACCAATACTTCCATCGAGCAAGAGGAGATCAAGGAAGTGCCTGGGCAGGGGATGACTGGCAGATTTCTGATCAAAGGCAGCTCGTCTACATCGCGATACGAAGTTGCCCTTGGGAACGAGAGACTTTTACAAACCATTTGCCCACCAGGAAATCCGGAATCGGGTATACCAAGGAAGAGGGATGACGTGATGGTGACGATCAAAGGAGAAGACTTCTACCTCAATCCCATTCTACGGAAACACCAATCCCTCGGTCATTCAACGGCCATCTTCGCAGTTCGGAAGATACCAGAAGACGCTGAGAAAGCCAAGTCACCATCATCGTATCGGGCCTTGGCTGTCTTTGCCATTGCGGACCCAATCCGCTCTGAAGCACCCAAAGTCCTCCAATCTATACGGAACGCGGGACTCGACATTCACATGTGCACGGGTGACAACCAAACCACGGCCTTGGCCATCGCTTCGCAGCTTGGAATCCCGGCCAGCAATGTCCGTGCAGGCGTCCTCCCACAAGATAAAGCCAGCTATATCCGCGAGCTGCAAGGTTTATCCTCCGGCGACCTGTCGAGCAAAAAGGACAGTCGCAAGATCATTGGGTTCGTCGGGGACGGCACAAATGACACGCCGGCCCTCTCTGCCGCCGACGTCTCGATCGCGCTCTCTTCTGGCTCTGACGTTGCAGTGACCACCGCATCCTTCATCCTTCTCAACTCCGACCTCAATACTATCCTCTCGCTCGTGAGGCTCGCTAAACGGGTGTTTTTACGAGTCAAGTTGAACTTTGCCTGGGCGGCAGTGTATAATCTGTGCTTGATCCCGGTGGCGGCGGGGGTATTCTTTCCCATTGGAGCGAATGACCATCATCCTGGGTGGAGGTTCAGTCCGGTTTGGGCGAGTATGGCGATGGCGGCGAGTAGCGTCAGTGTTGTGATGAGCAGTCTGGCGTTGAGATTGCCAGAGATGGAAATCAAATGGAGGTGGCGGAAGTGATGGAACTAACCGATTCCAGCCAGTCGTTCAACGATGGATATCCTGCAGCGGTGGTCTCGTAGATAGTATCGGATGTGCGCCCATGTCGGCGGGTTAATAGAATATCAAACATGACGATCTCAGTGGATGATTCCAACAATGTCGGATTCACAGCAGACCTCTTGTGATGTTGTCCCCCCAGATGAGGCGAGGTTGGTAGGGCCACTCGCTGGCATCCGATGCTGCAGGCTTCTTTCCCACAGCACCAGACAGTGTATCCGAAGGACGGAGTACATATTTTGTCTTGTGTCGGCGTTTCGAGAATCCCCCGCACACAGCCTCGCCTCAGCCGCACCAGCCTCGTAGTCTCCCTCCACCGGCCTTGCCCTTGCCCTTTCCCCTTTCCCCCTCACTCCAGACTCACTCAGCCTTGCCTACTCGGTATATCCCGTACGCACTCCGTATCCTTCATCATTGCCGAGGCTGTCTCCAACAAGTTCAACCACAAGGGGGGGACAAATATCCGGCGACCGGGCTACGATCCGCAATCCAATCCGCCCTCCCTCACCCGAGTACTCTGTTAACGAACCACAATCTCGAGTCAATTTTCTCTTTAGATTTCTTTTTTCCGTGTCCCCATCGCCTCCTTTCCGTTATTTTAGGGGAGCCTTGGTTTTTCTTATACAGAGAGAGAGAAAAGAGGGAGAAACGGAGGCCAAAGTACGGAGTATGAAGAGGATACTACGCATTCCGGAGTAACTGCAGGACACGACACTACACCCACACAGCACTACACTGCGGCACCACAATACAAATACAGCACAGGATACAACAGGACGTACTATGCAATACAACATAGATTGATTGATTGATCAGTTCGACTATCGCGCGGATCGTTTGAAAAGGGACCAAGAAGAAGAGGCTTTTTATCGAAAACCACCATGTCGTCGTCGTCGTCGTCGTCTTCGCCGCCGACAGCGCCAGCAGCTTACTACAACGCAGTCGGCCTTCCGCTCGAGTACTGCTCGAAGCAGTATCGGGAGGAGAGCAAGCGAACATCACGCAGTTCAACTGCCCCTTCTCCGTCTTCGTCTTCGAATTCGTCGGCATCCCTGAACAGCGCTTCCAGCCCGAGCTCCAGTTCAAGCTCCAGTCCAAGTTCAAGCTCACGCACCACCTCCACCAGCAGCAGCACTTCTCCGCCAACGCCGCTATGGACGCCTCCAGACCCAGAGGCGCCGCCGATGTCCCGGTACCGACAGCACGTCAACGCAAAGTTCTCGCAGCGGCTGCGCGACTCGCACGAGCTGCACGCCTGGACGGTGGAGAACCCGCACGACTTCTGGATCGACCTGTATTCGTACTGCGGGATCGTCCCCGCGCTGCCCAAACATACAAAGATGGCGTACGACCCGGCCGCGCGCCTGCGCGACATCCCGACCTTCTTCCCGGGCCTGCGGCTGAATTACGCCGAGAACGTGCTGGTGCCCAACACGGCGGCGAACCCAGGTAATATCGCGCTGGTTGGGCTGCGCGAGGGTCGGCTGGACGATCCGGAGGAGGTCACCTGGGCCGAGCTGACGGAGCTGGTGCGCTGTGCCCGCTCGGCCATGGTGCGTCGGGGTATCAAAAAGGGGGACGTGATCGCCGGCCTGATGGCCAACTCGGTCTGGATCGTTGTGCTGTTCCTCGCGAGCGCGTCCGTCGGCGCCATCTTCACCTCCGTGGCGCCCGACCTGGGCGTCGCCGGCTGTGTGAGTCGGTTCGCCCAGGTCGAGCCCAAGTGGCTGTTCGCCGACGTCGACCTCGCCGTGCGAGGCACCCGGCCGTCCATGCTGGGCAAGGTAATGCAGGTGCTCAAGGCGCTCCCATCCACAAAGGCCAAGCCTCGCCTCGTCTTCGTCCCGACCTGCCACCGGCCGCACCAGCAGCGCAACATGGATTACATCACGCCGCTGGCCGGCTGGGCGGCCATCTCGCTGCACGAGTTCCTCAGCAAATCGCGCGCGAGCGACAAAATGGCGTATGTGCGTCTGCCCACGGACCATCCGCTGGTGATAGTGTACAGCTCAGGCACGACGGGGGAGCCCAAGTGCATCGTGTCGCCGCACATGTCGCTGCTCAACTACAAGAAGATCTCGTTGCTGCACAACGGGCTGGGTCCGTGGTCGACCGTGTTCCAGTTCTCGTCGACGAGCTGGATCCTGTGGAACGTCATGAACGGCCACCTGTCCGTGGGCAGCAAGGTCATCTGCTACGACGGCGGCGCCCTGCACCCGGACCCGTCGACCATGTTGAGGATTTGCGCCAAATATCGCGCCACCTACTGGGGCACCTCGCCGCGCTACCTGCTCGAGCTCGAGCAGTCGGGCATCCGGCCGGACTCGTTCGATTTGTCGGAACTGGCGTTGGTCACCACGACCGGCGCCACGCTGACGGGCGAGCAGTTCCACTGGTTTTATCGCGCGTTTTCGCCCAGCATCCACCTCTCCAGCGTCGCAGGCGGCACCGACATCGCCTCCTCTTGGATCGCCACGAACCCCGCCGGTCCCGTGTACGCGAACGAGATGCAGATGTGGGCGCTGGGCCACGACTGCGACATTCTCGACAGCGAGACGGGCCAGTCGTGCGCGCATGAGGGCAGGCCCGGGGAATTAGTCTGCAGGAAACCGTTCCCGAGCATGCCGTGCAAGTTCTGGGGCGACACAAGGGACCACAAGAAGTACCGGGAGGCGTATTTTGAGAAATTCCCAATCGTCAAGAAGGCCGCCGGCGGACTAGAGGTACGAGCAACGGACGGCGATGCCAACGGTGCAGAAGACGACTACCTGGACGTCTGGGCGCAGCACGACTTCATCGTCATGAACCCGGCCACCAAGGGGCTGCAGATCCTAGGGCGCAGTGACGGCGTGCTGAACCCGAGTGGGATCCGGTTCGGCAGCAGCGAGGTATACAACATCGTCGAGGGCCCGCTGTTCAACAGCCTGATCTCAGACACGCTGTGCGTCGGCCGCCGCAGGGCACACGACAAGGACGAGACGGTCTTCCTATTCGTCATCATGGCGCCCGGGCACGAGTCCGACTTCACCCCGGCACTGGTCGAAAGACTCAAGAGCGCCGTCCGCGACGGCCTGTCGCCGCGCCACGTGCCAAAGTTCGTCGAGCAGGTCCGCGAGATCCCCTACACGGTCAACGGCAAGAAGGTCGAGGTGGCGGTCAAGAGGGTCATCTCAGGCCAGAACGTCAAGGTCAGTTCGACCGTGCGCAATCCCGCCTGTCTGGCCGAATATGAGAGATTCAGGGACTTTGAGAGGGAAACGACGCCGCGTAGAAACGCCAGAGCGTCCAAGTTGTGACCCTGGTCCTTCTTCCAGCAGCTACTCGGCTCTGCGAGATTGCTTTCTGGTGTGTCGTGTTGTGGATTGTCCTTGGAAGTTAGAGCGAGGGATATTCGTAGAACATGTTATCTCTGGTCGGAGCAAATAGATATAGATAAATGAGACACACCAAGATCGTCACGAGGTGGTTGAAGGACGGGGTACCCTTGGGGTATATAGAAGTCCGGTCATAAAATCTGTTCCGCTCACTTAACATCATCTCTTCCCCAGACCTCTCGAGCTCCTTCTCCTCACAACCCCCCGTCCAGCATGCTCGCTCTCCATACTGGTTCCGATTCCGGAATCACCTTCAACCCGCCTCCCGCGGATCAATTCCTCCTCGAAGTCTCCCTCGTCTTCATCATCCGCTGCCTCGCCTGATGCCATGGGCCTTCTCAGACGGTCTTCCTCCGCTTCAAGATTTTCTCTTGCTTCTACGGCGGAGATGGGACGCCCAGGATAAGACAGTGGCGGCCGACCTCTCTCAGTAGGAAACTGCGCAGGCGTATCCGAAATGTTCCAGAGAGACAGGCCACCGACATGCGGACCGGACGATTCGGCCTCATCTTCCGTCTTGACTTTGGCGGCGCCGGCGGAGGAGGACTCATGCTCGGTCTTGATCGGCGTGCCGGTCGAAGTTCCATCTCGCGCTTCCATTTTGATCTTCTTGTGCCGCCCGGCCCCCGAGAGCACATGCGAAATAACAGCCCACCCTAGCGCCATGCTCGTGACACTCACGCCATAAAACAGGGTGGTGAAAATCACAAAACTGACCACTCGGTAGTTGTAGATGACGTATCTCAAGCCCTGGAACTCGGCTCTGAACGCCAATTTCACATCATACACCTGTAAAATACTGCTGGATTGCAACTCGAGTCTTGCGTGGGTTGGCACATTTCTCGCACCCCGCGGGAACACCAGCATTTCAAACATGGGGACGACCAAGTGAGACCGATCCAGGTCGCGTAAGTTGAGCAGGTGCCAGGGCAAATGGAGCATTGTGTGACTGAGCGACAGTATGGGAGACGCGTAGGGCAAAATAGCCGGTCGCCGGGAGTGATAGAGCGCATTTTCCATTGTGACATTGCCCAACCATGAAGACACCGCGTCAGGCACACTCTTGGAGCCCAACAAGGACAGATCCAGCATAAAATTGCCAGCCTGCAGATTGGTGGGGGTGCGAGGCATGTCCAATATCAACTCGACATTGTAGGCCTGCTGCGAAACCAATGCATGTGTGTCCAGTGCCACCGTTGCATAGGGAGGGAAATCCGTGCCATATTGCAAGTAGAGGACGCGTTCAAGGCTGATTTGCGGAATGTAGTTGTAGTAGAAGAATGCATACGCGGTGGAGGACAGGACGAGAAGGATCGTGGAAGTGCCCAGGAAGAGGATGGTAGAGAGGTAGGCTTTGATAGCAGCGCGAGAGGTCAAGATTCGTATGGGAGTGAGGCCCAACGACTGTGTACAGTGAGACAAAGTCAGAGCTCATCCGCAACAGGGAAGACATACCAGCGCTCGTTGGACGAGTGTATCGCCGCGCTCGTCGTCGTCGTCGTCGTAGGGCGATTCTGCCATATTGAGGGCATGCCTAGAATGGGTTGCCCTGAAGGGGGATGTTGCTTCATGTGGCCATTTTCACCGTGGTGTTTGGGGAAGTTTCACGGCATATTCGAAGCACAGCTCACGTTGAGGCATAATCACATTGAAACAAGCTGCTCGACGTGAACTGTGCAGCAGCAGTTGAGAAGTCGAGACGCGTCGAAATCTCGTGATGGAAATGACGTCGGCAGCGGAAACACGGCTGCAACACTACTTGGTACGAAGTACTTGTATATCAGGTGGCCATTCCAAGACAACACCTTCGGGCAGAAACATCTCTCAACCCATTAAGCCTTTACCATTAACCACCATGACCCGTCGTATATGAGCTATTCTGTCCTAATCCTTCCATGCCAGAGGGTATTTCCTCACACGCAAACATTACTTTTTTTCCTTTTTCCTTTCCTGTTCCCTGACATTCATGTCCATCGTCCGCGAAACCAAACACAATTCGCCCAACACCCTTTTCCTTAGCTTAGTACCTGACCAACCTCCGCCACAAGGGCATTTCCTTGACCTGATCTTCGCTCCAAACGAGCTTGTTCTTGTCGTCAAACTCGGCATGTTCATCAGTGCTCTGGATTCCCGCTTCCCTGTTCTCGGCGACCATCAATCCGCTCACGCCGCATTTGTCCTTGGCCAGCCAAATGACGGGATTTGGGTCTGTGATGGCAGGGTTCAGGTAGGCCTGTTCGTATTCCTCCGAGGTGTATCCTGGGATCCACGCTTCCGAGTCTACCGAATCGGGAATGATCTTCTGGTTTGATTCGTAGAATTTGAGTGCCATCGGTTCGATGCGACGACTCAGGAAGTTGAACGGGGGTGACTTTGACTGGGCGTGAGACCCAGGGGTATCACCAACACTCTCCTCTTTGGCGAATCCTGACTCCTTTGGAACAGAATCCCCACGACTCGACGAGCCAGCTTCCATGTCCTCGTGCTTGAGTTGATGTTCATCGATCAGCTGTTCCATGATCATCGTGCTAAACTTGTTACCGTTCAACAGCTCGAGCGGCATGTGCTGCTCCATCGGTGCAATCGCACGATCGAACAAGAACTGGAAGATGACTACCACCACCAAGAACACCACCATGATGGCCAATGGGCCAGCACTGCTGGCACTCTCACTGCAGCCAATCGCAAAAAGGCCAATGAGACAGAAAGACGCAAGGTACACTCCGGTCATGAGCTGTTTCAAACCTCGGGAGTATGCTTCGCCCTTCATGTCGACCTTGTTACCCAGGACAAAGAGCCAGTTGTATCTGAACATCAGATAGAGGAGGCAGAATCCAATTGCGGCGAAACCTAGGATTAGCGGTGCGATGCACGCGTATGACAGGGCAATGACGCCCAAGAGAGTGAATTTGGGATACGTTGAGCCCCAGCTCATTCCGGCGACGTTGATGAACCGACTGTAGCGCTTTCGTGGTGTCTTGTCCAACAGCTTGCCGACCAAGGTGTACATCAGTAAAGGCACAATGTTTAGCAGCTGTAGAGCTGCCTGCGACAGGCCGATGAGAATGAAGTAACTGATGTAAAAGTTGGAGGCCTTGGGCAGGTTTTTCGCGAGCAAAGTCGGCGCCGAGCCAGGATCCTGGATAATTTGCGTTGTGACCGCCGTGGCACCTAGTTTCCTGGTTAGCATGAACCCGGCCGGGGAAGTTCGGATGAATTAAACTTACTGGAAGCGAATGTAGTGATCAAGAATACCTGGACCACCTGGAAGATAAAGTACCAGGACTGAATCTTGAGCTCAATGGCCGACTGAGTCGGCTCGCCGGCGTACTTCGCCAGCAGTCCGCAGAATATGGGCACCAGTGCCATCAGGAGTGCCAAAAGCACTACAGGCAGTAAGCCCGTGACGACGCCCAAGATGACCTTTGGGATGTCATTGATGAAACTCAAAAAGTGCACCTTGTTTGTGAGATAGTTGATGTTGGACAGCGAGCCCACGAACGCCACGGGGATTGCCCAGAAGATGACCATGACCCAGATGATTACAGTTGCGATCATAACTTTGGCCTTTCTCGAGGTGTAGCTGACACCCAAGTTCTTCCAGACAACCTCGTTGGGTTGAACGCCAATGTATCGGGGGGAGAATTGGGTTCGGGATTCCCGTGCGATCGACTGGTAGGCATTATGAGCAGCCGTCTGACTTGCAAACTCGATAAAGGCAGCGGCAACTTTGTTGTGCTTGAGATCGAGGTGCTCATTTTGCTGCTCTTGGACATATCGATTGAGTTCCTTGAGCTTCCCGCGTGACCAGTTGATGGTGTCCACCTTCTTCCAGAGCTGGGGCTTCAATCGGTGTGTAGGGCGCTTCTTCTGGTCGATCCAGCGTTTGGGTTCCCACCCGGTAGTCTCGGGAGATTCTGGGGTCTTGTTCTTCTTTTCACTCTTCAGGCGGCTGGCGTTGGCCTGTTTGATCAACTTCATCTCGGCACCCTCCAGTTTCAACGCTGTCTTCTGCCGCTCTTTCACATCGTCCTCGAGCTTATTGCAGTCGGTCTGCAGCCAAATCCGGCGAACGCTGGGACCAAACATTTGTCGCAGAGCCTTGTCGTCCATGTAATCGTGAGGCAACCCCATGACCAAAATGGTTCTTGACGAGAGGCGCTGAGCATGGGCTGCCGAGAGAAAGTAGGCGCGGCGCAGACCGACAAAGTTGAGTCTCTCGCGGGCGACCAGAAGAGTGACAAATCCCAGATATATCCAGGCGACGCCAGCATGGGCGTAGTATCGGTTGGGATTGATCACATTGCTCATGCTCAGGATGTCGAGTTGCTCTTGGCCACCATGCCCAGTAGCATTGACAGGGAACAGCACTGGCCAAGTGATGCAGCAGCCCACCACGCTCATGAAGATGAAGACTTTGAGCATGCGCAGCCAGAGATAGCCATCGAGAGAGTTGTGACCTAGGACGTAGGCATCGGGCAGGGAGGAGTAGTTGCGTAGGAGGCCGAAGAAGCCCGAGTCGGATCGAGGAGTGGTCCATCTTTTCTCCAACAGTCTGTCATCGGTTCTAGGTCGATAAACGCGGCCATAGCGCGTGCGCACGAAGAGAAAGGCGCTAAAGGCGACAGCAGCAATGACCAAGGTAGGGATGAGGGTGGAGAGGATGCTCGACAACGAGTTGGAGCCTTGGTTTTGGCTGGATCCCTGGGACTGTGTGTGTGTCGGAAGGTCAGAAGAGTCACAGGTCAGAGCTTTTGAGTGGACAAACCTGTCGAGGATACAGGACGTGGGTGATGGTGGCTTCGTCCATTGTCTTGATCGTATCCCGAGTAGTTAGATGGAAACGGTGTTCTAGCCTAGCCCCGAATTGTGTCAAGCGAGCAAGATGAGATCTCGCTTGTGGGAGACAAGCGGGAGAAGGGGGAATAAGCGAGGAGGAAGCGAGGACATAAAGGAATGCGGGAATTGGCCTGAGAGGAAGATGGTTGGCGACGCAATGGAGGTCGACCGTCTATTATAGACTTGAGGGGGGGGGGGGGGTTTGCCAGGTAGTGAGCTGCCAGCTGGTACCAGGGCAGAAGGGAGGGAGTGTGGAATGAGCTCACAGATGACGAATTGTGTTTACTTCTTTAATAGTTGGCAGGTTACCTCGTACAAAGTCGACGGGGACCAGCTACTGCCAGCCATGTATCTGGGCATCAGGGCACCTCATTTTCAATTGGGATGCGCAGTTTTTGACAGCAGCAGCTGAACAGCAATCAACACATGATGTCAATTGGGGAGCAGCCACCCCCAAGCCACTCCCTCACTAACTGGCCATGGCGCCCCCAGTTGGTGCCAGTCACTACTACCAAGTATGTCCAATATGTCACTGGGCATGGCCTTGCATGGATCTGATGGTCTTGGAAACCACATGATGTCACTCCACCCGATTTACTTTTTCAGCTGGCCTCTTGGACCTCGTCAATAATAATAGTTAACAACCACATTCATCTCCCTTCTTCGTATCCGCCCTGCCCATCGTCGAACCACCTCGTGTCACACTCATCTCCCCTGGTAGCCTCTCTCCCTGCTCCAAACAAAAACAACACGTTACTCGAGGAACCAAGATCACTAGGAGAGGCGGAACCCCCCCAAAACCCACAGAAACGGAAGGGGAAAAAAACCAAAACAAAAAACCAGACCCTGTCCGACTCGAATGTCCATTCCAAAAGCTTCTCTTCTATGATACACAAAACTGTTGGATCGGGTCGCCACAGCTGCTTTTCAACCAAAGCCTGGTGAGCCGTACTTGTAGATCCCCATGGCAGCTCGGTTACAAACACAGCCTTGTTCTGCAAATGGTCCCTGCGCGGCCTTGTCAACTTTGATCCTCCTTCGCCCAGCTCGCTCTCCTCTTTCCTGCCCAACAAGTCGAGCATTACAAAATAAGAGTCTTGCTTTTGTGGTCCCGTTCCAGGCGCAGTGCTTTCCAGTCGTCAGAACTCCGGTCGTCCCTTCATGCTATGATTATCCCCCCTTTTGCCTTTTGGGCCCCTTTCCTGCCATTACATATCGAGGGGCCGAGAGTTCATCCAGTACACTCACTCCCATCCCATGCCTTCCCCTTCATCGCTCCGTCATATGCATGATACAGCAGAGGTGACAATTCGCCATGCCCATATTGGCATCACTCCAACAAAATCGAGAGATCAAGTGTACAAAGAAAAGGAATTGTTCAAACCTAACGTCTGGGCTCCATGAGGTCTCCGTCTTTATCCCCCCCCCCCAACCTCCAGCTCAACACAATATGCACAATCCGAATCCATGTACCCCTCCAAAAAGGGATCGCTCCTGGCTTGGGGCTAGTGCGCCGTCCGCATCGCTTGTTGTAGGCGTTGTTGCATGTTGGCGTCTGGTGCCAGATTCTCCCAGAAGCCGTAGCTGCTGTTCTGCTGCAGTTCGAGAAACAGAATAGTCATCCCCCAGACGTGCGGCCGCGCAACCGTGAGCCGTTCATATACCACCCGTGATATTTGCTCCCGGAATTCTCGCTGTTGCTCATCCCCACTCCCAGATCCCCAGAGGTGGAGCATCAGCTTACAGAAAAAGTCGGTGTGCGTGCTGGGGTAGCGAACCTGGTCCGCAATCGCATTGAGGAGTTGATAGCGGCCTTCATAGCCCAAGCTGACAGCAAGCTTGGCCAAAAACACCACGGGCGCTGAACCAGAGTCGAACCTCCCGGGGGAGTTGCTGAGCGCCTCCTGGCCGACGAACGGCACGAGAGCGTTCATGATTTCCACAGTCTTGACCGGAGCCATGGTCATCGTCTCCTTCTGCCCTTCTTGGAGGGCCAGCTTGATTTGCTTCAAGGCCCCTTCCATCTCGCCCGATTTTCGAATCGCCCCAAGCGTCATGTCTTCGAGGTCCGCCTGTTGAAGTGGCCTGTCAAAGTCCCGCGCCAGAATCGGATGTCTCTTCATCTCCTCAAGTCGTTCAATCTTCAACCCTGGCGTCATGGGGTCCGGGAGATCGTGGTATGCTGATGGTTTCGCTGTGAGTATCAAGTTCCGTAGCTGTGGGATCCCGTATGCGATCCGCGAGCAAAAGTATGAGTGGTTTTCACAAAGGAATTCAGGATAGTCGTGGAGCAGGATGAGGATGTTCCTCAATGTGCCTTTGTATAGATCCAGATTCAAGAGGTCGAAACCAGGCGTCTGTGACAGCTCCGAGATGTAGAGGAGGAGCAAACCAATGAGCTCGCGGTACGTATCCCATCCCGCGTGATTGTTCGGCTTTAGCATACCTGCAACGAAGACTCGATGTATAATAAGGCTGTACCATCCGTAAGTGAATCCTGGGAACCACGTCGGCTGCAGAGACTTGAAGCACTTGGCAAAGGCAAACATCAGGTCATTGTGGTCGGCAGTCGTGTCCAGTCGAGCTGCCGAATACTCATAGAGCATATTCGCAAACAGTCGCGTGAAAAGTCTCTGGTGGAAAGTTACTCCTCGCATGATCTGGTGGTGGTTCAAAATCAACACAAGCATCGTCAAGATAGTTTCAAGGTAGGGTGCCTTGCTGAGTCGAACTGCCCCATTGGTATCGCCCTGAAATTTGACAAGCATGATCACTAGGCGACCAAGCGCATCCGCGTGTGAGAAAGCCACGTCCACGCTCCCCCTAGGACTCTGCGCTTCCCGGTCGTAGCATTCAATGCACGAGTCGATGCACAATCGCAAAAATTCGGCAAGATCCTCGGTGCTGTTGATCGTCTGCTCCTTGTGGACCTCTTTGAGGAATGCCGCGCAAGTGCTCTCATTGGGACCAATGCTTTCAAAGATGCCTACCCACTCGTCGAACACGTAGCGCATTTGGTCTTGCTTCGCCTTGGCTTTGTCCGTAATCTCCACACTCACAAATTCGGGCATGCCGTGGGCCTTGAGTTTTGCGTTGATTTCAGGGGCGACCGGAAGATCTGGTTTCTCCTTGACCCAAGCTGACATCGCAACGAGACTATGTGCAAAGTCTGCTCGCAGAGCCGTGGGTTCATCAGTGAAGAGGGTCTGATCCATAATCTCAGCAAGGACATTAAGGCCGTGGATGTTCCGACTCATTATGACTGAAGCGATCGCGACATCGACCCGGGCAAATTCCATCAAGCCTGCCGTGATCAGCGCCACTACCACATTGGAGCTGGCTAGTAGCAAGTCTTCATTGGCAGTCATCCACCTCAGAACGTCTCGGACAATGAGGTCAGAAAGTTGACAGAGTTTGGAAAGCAAGAAGGCCAAGACCTCTGCCTCGAGAGGACCTTCTGGAGGCTTGGTGACAAATATATGGCAGATCTTCTCTGCGATCTGCCGGGCCAGAAGATCGGCTGCTGGGCGCGTGGAAGAAGTGAGCACAATCAGGATCTGGCGGAAGTCTTGGAAGATTGAGCTGTTCTTCTCCAGATCTTTCAGGCGTGTCGCTTCAGATGCCCTAGCTGCCTTTTGAATGTCTTCGATGAGAACGGTGATTCTATCATGGGGTGGCAATGTCTCGGGAAAGCCATTGACCCGCGGCTGCTGCATTGCGGAGAGCATCCGACTTTCTTGTTGGACCAATGGACTTTGATGAGGCAGCACAGGCTGGTCAGCAGGTGTAGACAAGTTCGGCATTGTGAGAGTATCTTGCAGCACGTCAGGGATCTGGCGCCCGGTGGAGTCGGCGGAAGTATTGGGAATGTGGCTCGCGTTCATTCCATGCACTCGGCGGTCGAACTCTTCGTAGACCGCCCGTTGTGCCTCGTTAAGACCGCCGACGGTTTGTTTGTAGGGCTCCGGTATCCATGCTGACCAACGATTGATTCCTGACGGAATGAAATCCCTAGTTCCCCCTTCGGCAAGGAATCGACGGCGTTCTTCTAGATCAGCCTCGATGACCTGGTCAATTTCAGCAACAGCGCGTTGCTCGGCCGCTTGTTCGACGAATGAGCACGCAGTGTCCAGATTATCGTTGACACACATCAAGATGGCTCCTTCAGGCAAAAGATGCTCTGGCAAATCGTCTTGGGCTGGACGACGAATGTAATTGGAGATACTCATCCGAAGCGGCTCCTTGCACGTAACAAGAGCCAGACTACCAGCAAGGGATTTGACCATTTGTCGAGCAGCTGTGCGGTACTTTTCCGGATCTGGCTCAAGTGCGTAATCTTTGGCAACAAGCTGGGCGGTTGAGATGGATGCTATTGTGATCGACCGTTCGACAACAGGCGCGATAATTTCTTGGATAGCTTGGTCAAAAGCGCGGTAGATGATGCTCTTGACCATCGCTTGATCTGCGGGCGAGCCAGATGTGGGAGGATACTTGAGCACGTCCTCTAGGCTTGGAAGCGTTGCCATAATCTCAGGCGCGGAAAGTCGTTCGCGGACAGCGCGGGTTATGGCACCATTCAAGGACATGTCGTCAAAGTTTTCCAGGCCGTCTGGTAGTGCAGGAATGTTTGCCATGTCGTCTTCAGTCTGTGGTCTGTCTCGAATGATCGTCGCAGGTTCAAGCTTCTTGAAATCGAGTTTAAGGTCTTTGCAAAGCACTTCAATCTCAAACTTGAGATTCAATTTGAGCTCTGCAAAATGGTAAAGCTCCAACAGAACTCCGACTATTTCCATCAGCCAGGGGTTTGGTGGTACGAAGACCATTGAGTGTGTGCCCTGCGCCAGGACTTTACACGTAAATGGTATTACGAGAACCAGCCTCTGAGTTTCATACCCTTCCACGAGGAGATCGACGAAGTAGATGTTTCGGTGCTTAATCGGTTTATCCTGCGCCAGGGTGAGGGATCCGAGCCAGCCTCCAAGATTCTTTAGGTGACTCCTTTCCGTGGCTGAACTAATCGTCGACTCGGCGCTCATGATCTTGACAATGCTGACGTAGGTCTCGCGTATAACCTCTGACATGAGCAGATTGTCATTGAGCATACTGACAAACTGGAAGTACATCTCTTGGTTGTTCGGCTCTAACCTGGCACGCTGTTCCACTAGGTATGAAGCAAACCACTGATAGTGCTCAGGAGTAAAAGATTCTTTCAGATCTGCCAATTTGCTGGACATATTATCTTTCGAGAGGTTGTTGATGACAAACAGAATTTTCTCTTGGATTTTCTGATCCGGATCCCGAAAGTGGGCGGAAGCAGGAGGAGGGTCAGCACGCAATGCTCGAAAGCCACGGCCCGTATCCAGCACGACAAAATCATCCCCATTTGTCGCGTGAGTACCTGACACGCCGTTCGCACCCTGACCGTTTCCAGCAGCTTGCTGTGCACGGAGACCTTCTTCTGCTCGTTGCAAGATTTCCGGGTGTTGCAGGGAAGGCTCTTGCAGCAGGAGACTACATAGTCCAGGCCATTCCGAAAGCTGATCGCTGATTTGAAGTAAGGCTTCGATGCCAAAGCGGTGCATGAGACTATCAGGTTCGTGTTCGCGAACAGCTCGGAGGATAAGGGCGAGGCCAAAGTCTCGAGGGATGGAGGGGAGTAGTTTGTACTTTATGATGCTTCCAAATAGAAGGGCCGTCTTCTCCAGCGCATCTTCTGGATACTCGTTGTAGCAAACGTACTCGTCAAATAGACCATGGACGATGCAGCAAAAGAGATCTTGCTGGTCAGGGTCTCTAGAAGTTTTGTACCTCCGCATTTCGTTCACCATGTCACGGATCGACAACTCCGATCGGTACATGCGACCAAACAATTCCGACATTTGTTTGTCGATGGTTTCGGAAAGTTTGTTGCCTTTCTCTTCGCTGCTTTTCTCCAATACGTCATCGAAGCCGGCTCCATAGTTCATCAACCGAGGATATGTCTGCAAGCACGTAGTCTGTGCAGCCTCAACTAGCTCACGATTGTCGAGATGGTCTTCAAGCTTTTCCAGGAGGGTATGTACACTTCGGAGAGTGAGAGGAATGGATTGCGGAGTGCTGTCGCCACGCTGGACTCGAAATTCGTCGTCCGCCTTGATCCGGAGGTATTTGCAGAGAATCATGCCCAGATTTGTCTGTCCATCAGCGGCTTCGGAGAGATACCGGTCCAGATCAAACGCAGGATCAATCTTATCTCGCATGCAGGCTATGTCAAGTGCCAGAGGGTTTGACCAGTGTTTGAGGAATTCTTCAATCCAACCGAATTCTTGGGCACGTTCGTATATAACTTCTGTCTGTCGAGGATCGAGCGAAAAGACGATATGACAAAGTTCGAACAAGTATTGCGGGTACTGAGACGCGAGTGTTTCAAGGACAGGTCGATAGTCTGGTCGTTGCTTCTCAAGGAACAAGGTAAAGCATTCAGCGATGAACTTTTCCTGGTCTGGTACCCAGGACTTTGCGTTGGTTCTCGCCAGATATAGGAGGAAGGTGGCCGGGTGATTGTGGTATACATCCTGCAATATATCGAGTCGATCTTCTCCATCGGTCCCCGTACCGGGTCCTAGAACAACTTCGAAAATGGCCTGGCAAGCATCGGCAGATACGTATGGCCCGTCGAGCTCAGCACTGATCAATCTTGTCATTTCTGGGGAGAAATTGTTCAAGTCTTCGGGGGGCAAAGCCTCACGGAGACGGGGTATTGTCGTAGGATGGATGTCCGTCGACGAAGAAGTGAGAAATCCACTAAGCAAGGAAATCTGCGTGTCTGGATTCTGCCATCTTCCTCCCCAGAGCTTCTGGACGTCGAAATGTGGGTCTTCCTGCGCCACGTGTAGCAAAGATCTGTACAATCTTGGAAAATCTGTTCTCCGCAATCGGAGACCTGGAGTATCAAATCTTTGAATAACCAGATTCCAATCCAGCTGCTTTGCGCGGGAAGCCTCCACCAAATTTGCTATGTCGTATTGTTGGTTGATGGAGAAGACGAGAAATAGGAGGGCATTGGCAACTTCTGCCTCTGTGACACTAGCTGCAGGAAAGGACGCGAGAAAATCTCGCGCAGCTTGGTCTGACGCGACCGCCTTAGGTCCATGCCGCTGTAGACCGCGGGCGATGTCTCGAGCTTCAGTTGGGAGGCGTAGGAGCTGGTAGGCACCATAGAATTGATCGGGTTTGCTACCTGTGTACCGACTGATGACTGCACGCCAAAGATCATCCTTCTGCTGCTGCGTGGTCGTTGCGGCTGCTAGGGCAAAGTATTCAATCACGGAGCAGATGTTCTCAATGGCGAATGTCTGTGCGTTCCCACCACGCCTCTCCGACAGAGAGCGCAGAGAGCTTTGAGCAAACTCGGCTAGGAAGGTTTCTGCCTTTGTCCTCAGATCGACTCGAGCGCATTTTGTGAAGGCAACGGCGAGAATGACTTGAGGAAGGGTATCTGCGAAGAAGTGTTGGATGAAGGCAACGAGGTCAAAGTCGCGGAATAAGTCTTCCTTGGAAGTGTCGATGGCCTCGGCAATCTTGGACGGCTGTTCTGGGTCCGAGGCGACCTTGTCCAACTCTTCCCGCAGTAACTTGTAGCTGCCCTGATCGAAGTCTTTGGCACCCTGAAAGATGGCGGCGGTATTGAGGGTGATGGTTCGCCGGAAGAACTGGGCAAAGACCTCCATGCCGTTGGAATCGAGCAGTCGTTGTATCTTCTCCCTCTTGGAGTCCCACTTCGCCTTTCCCTCTCTTTCACTGATGGTATCAAGCAGCAGGAGAATCTGAGTCGCGGATATTTTTGAAAGTGAGGAGGGGCCGGACGCGGCAGGGCTGAGGATCATGGGAAGCATTCATGACCTTGGAAAAGGGCGGCGCTGGTGAGAAGGGTTTGCGGGGAGTTCAGCCACGTTGTACAATTGACGTTTGGAAATTGTGAGAGTGAAAGAGGTAAAAGTAAAATCTAAAAGTGGTAAGAGGTGACGGGGTACCCCGTGTGAATAAGGGAAGGAATAAGTTGATGGAAAGTGAAGATGCAGGAACAATCGGGGGGAGGAGAGGAGTGAGTTTGGTGTTGGTGTTGGCGTTGGCCTCTTTGCATGGACATGGAGTTGGAGTCCAGCGGCCAGTTAACTGGAGGCGTCAACTCTGCTTGGGCACGAAGCCTTGGCATACTCAGTCACGTGCACAGACTCGAGTGCGATTCAGTGCGATGCAGCGCTCCGCAGCCAGTCCAATACGCGACGAGCCTTACGAGGCGAACTGCAGAGGATCAACAACATCTCCGTATATTGAAACACCAAGTTTATTCAAAGCTCATTGACTGTTAGGCTCAAGACACACTCCTTGAAGCATATAGGACAAAGCCTGCATTCTTTGAATAGAAATATCTTAGCCAGGCACACTACCACATCCACATCGACGGGACAGGCTTCGAGAATAGGAAAAGTCCTGCGCACAAAATGATGGCGGTAGAGGCAACATCATCTTGCTCGAAACCCCTCGTCTGCTATTGTGTCCAAGATCACATCTTATACACTCCTAGTAATCCACACTCGAGAAGAATTTCCTGGGGATACAAACTGCAAAACCTTTCAACACTGATATGCACCATCTCAAGCCTTGGACTTCTTGGATGCGACACCTATGACCCCAACACCGTCATCCACTGCATCCGCCGCGCCGCGCTTCTTTCCTTTGGGAGTGCCAGCTGCAGACCGTCCTCCGCTTTTGAGTCTTGGCCACGAGTCGAACGGACTTGCTTTTTGGGTTGAACGACGGCTGGGACCTAGTGAGTCGGCTTCTTCTAGTATGGGAGGAGCTGGGCCGCTTGAGCGAAGTGATCTCCTTGTTACTGAATTCGGGGAAACGTCGCTTGATCCATTGTCGCCCGTTGCTGCTGCAGAATGTTCCTTTCCACCGGTTGGTTCCTCAATATCGGTCAAGGCCTCCTCCTCCTGTTCTGCCTCGCGTGCCGTTTGCTGCGCTTCAGTCTGGAAAAGCCGTTTGGGCTTGATTGATCGACGGGTGAGAGTCCTCAGTCGCTTGACATTTGAGCCTTTGGGCGTATGCTCCAAGAGACCGAGGTCACCCGCATCGATCTCTTCTTCCTCATCCTCGTCATCGTCAAACCGTCGGTAGACCTTCTTGCCACGGCTTGAAATTATCAGCATCTGGAATTATGACAGGAGGTGCGCAACTTACAATACGTAAACCATGCCGTCGTCCTTCTGAATAGCCTCTTCCACCTGCGGATCCATCTTCTTGCTCTCTCCACTAATCTTGCGGCGCTTGGAGGTCCCGGCAATCTTGCGAGTAGAAGAAGTTTCCCCGTTCATCATCCGATCTAGGAAGGGGTTGGACTCGCTCTTGTCGACATGAGGAACTCTATCACGAGAGTCGGTGTAAATTTGAACCTGCCGGCGGCTGTCATCATTTTCGGCGGAGAAGCTTTCGAGCGAGAAGCCGTTGTAGCGTTTGTTCTTTCGATCTCTTCTGGGGCTTGGTTCAAAATCCGCCAGGTTGTTTGCGCTGGTAGTATTGTCTTGAAAGAGGGCACGAGCAGCATTGCTTGCCTTGGGAACCATTTTCTTCCTCGGAGTTTTGACCGGAGTCGGAAGCATACCATCAGAGATCGTGGTGGAGGAAGACGCCATGGGTTGAAGGTGCGACTTGGAGGAAGGAGGTTTGTTGGTGGTCGGCGGGAGATTGTCGTTGTCGGGGGAAGGAGGAGCGATGACTTGGACACGACGAGGTGCCTTGTGCTTTGGTGTTGATTCCGGAGACTGGATTCCAGGTGCAGCTCTGAATCTTGGTTGTCTTGATGAGCGCGGGGTGGTCACCGCATCTTCAATTTCCTTGTCGTGCGCATCGGGAGTTGAGTGCAGATTGCCGGATGCGATTCGAGAGCTTGTTCTTGTAGGTCGTCGGTTAGGGTAGGAAATAGAACGGTCATAAGCAGGGCCATGTAGAGGAGTCGGGGGGGTCTGAGGAGTCGATGCGATTTGAAGAGGCGGTGTTGAAGTCATCGCGTGGTGCTCACGCAGCAGTGAAGTGGTGGTATTCACAAGCAATTGAAGGTGTTTCTGCCGGACCTGGGAATCCAATGTCGAGGGGTGGAAGTCCAATCTTCAAGCAGCGCAACAGTGTGCTATCCCGGCTATCAGGCAGTTTGGTCAAGAGCGGTATGGCAAGAACAAATTACAACAAGAATACCCGGTACAGCGACAGCATTGTAAGGTCCGAGCAAGATGGGAGGTTGAGGAGTTTGTTGGAGGTTGGGCCTGTGTCAGGTGCAGTGGCTGCCAGGCGAGTGGCTGGGAAGTTGGAACAGCACATCTTCCAGCGCAGTCAGTGGCTTGCAGGTCTGGGCGTCCAGGGTCCGCAGCCCAGATGAGACGCGCCCTTAGCCATGTCTCCACCACGCGTAAAGCGGTCTTGAGCAGTTTTCTGTGTTTGCGACTTCCATTGCGGCGTACCCCTCTCCAGGACCGTTTTTCCAGCAAACATATTATGCAAACCCGACGACATCCTAACCAGGCCAAAATCATCCACTGCTCTTCCCCATTATGAGTCACAACACTTCTAGCCTGATCGCCGATGAACTTGACGAGAGCCTCTGGCACGCCCCTGCGGAACAGGAAGCAGTCGGCAACTCATCCAATGCCCCAAAACACACATACCACGAACAAGAAGAATATGAAGAAAGCCTGCGTCAAGAACTACAGGGCGTCCGCCAGGCTAATGAGGCTATTGAGGGTGTGATTCAGAGTCTCCACAAGGCCAAAAGCAACATGAAGGTACAGATCCAATCTGCTCCTGCCCACACTTGGATCCGATCGCTAATTTGGGAACCAGACCGTGAATAACACTGTCTCCGCTGCGTCAAGCCTGCTTAATACGTGGACAAAGATCTTATCTCAGACAGAACACAATCAGCGTCTTATCCTTGACCCCTCATGGCAGGGTACCAGTCAAGATATTGCAGACATCGACGAGGAAGCCATGGAGAAAAAGCGCGCTGCCGAGCGACGAGAAGCGGAGCAGGAGGAGAAAAAGAGAGCGGCGGCAAAACAAGCGGAGGAGGAAGAAAGGCGCAGGACCGAGGCGGCCACCAAGCCCGCAAGAGCGACTTCGCGCGGTACAGGAAGGGTTGGCATCGCTGGGAGAGGCTCCGCTGCAAGCACACAGTCCTCGTCATACGTACAATTGGGCGGGTCTAATACCAGCGGTATAAAGCGAGGGGCAGTTTCCAGCAGAAGAATCGCATCAGGACTTGGGCGAGGAGCAGCTGGCAGAGCCTCTAGAGGACGTGGTTGAACTCTGCGGCTTTCATTTACGGGCTGGCCTTGTTTTCTCATTGCCCACCTTAGGCCCGCGGCAGCAGATTGTGATGCTCAACAAACGCCAAAGACGAATGCAAGGGCGTCGGCTCTTAGGTATTCCGGGCTCTTATACGATCCAGCAGTGGATGCATCCGAAAATTGAGTGTCTGCCAAAGTACAGGAGGCGGTGATGCCGCCTCCTGCTCACTGCGGTTCGCACAGGGCAAGTGGGAGATCAGCCGTCCCTGTGGCGCTCCCATTCTGAAGCGAGCGCAGCGGGAAGCAAAGCTCGATCGAGTCGGAGTGAACGGTGATAGCATGCTTGCCGCCGCTCACGAAATTGAAGGCGGTGCGCAGGTCCAGAGGACGTGGTGCACGCTTTTACTACTGAGTTGGAGCCCAAGCGAGTTGGCTCGGCCAGTCCATTAGCCCTAGCCTCATCACTGGACACTAACGGTATGCAGGTCCATCATATAGAACGCCTAGAGGGTGGTGATTCGCAGCCGAGAAGACTTTCATCGCGAACGAGGCGAAGGGAAGCGGTGGTGTTGTCGAAAGGCCGCAATCGTGCCATTTCGGGAGTTGACGACAGAGATCACAGTGTGAACAAACCCGGGACGAAATTGCGGCCCGATTCAAGAATGAGCTCCCTCAATCCATGACAGTCAGACTGAAGTCCAACCGCTGCTCGGGTTTGGCGTTATACTGATGTAGGCAATCCGACAGACTTCAGCATGGCACGGCAGAATGAAGGTCATCATCCGCTACCATATCGAAGATGCCCTTCATTCACAACGAGCATTCCGACCATGGAAGGAGTAGTGCCCTAATTTTTTAATCCGTACCGTTAGCTATATTTGACACGGCGGCCACTTTGGCTACATTTGATACAGCGCGTGTTTTGGGCTAGGCTGTGTCACATATTCCAGACCCTGTAATGTTTCTTCCCTGGAATTCCATGCTGAACCGTTTTGATTGATGTTGGTGTTTTCACCTGGACTGATTATCTGAGCTCTTGAGGTGCTCTCTTTGTCGGAGAAAGGACTGTTGGACCATGCAAATCATGCAACGCGACCCGTCCCTCAACCCCCTTGCCAACACGGTGGATAATATCAACGAGCTTTTCAAAATCCAAGCTTGTGCTTTTTGATTCGTGGTATCACACCAGCGAGCACCAGAATGCTTGCCACAATGACAGCCCACAGCTTGATATGAATAAACCTCTTGTTGTAATCTGTCTGGGTGGCTGCTGCAACAACGGCAAGAAGATAGACCACGAGGACGTAGCCAGAGATTCTGCCTTCTGTCAGGTCACAGAACCGCAGCAATCCGGGTCACATACCTATGGTATTTATATAGCGACTTGGCTCGATCGATGGAGCCGAATATTGTCTCAGGCAAGTAAAATGCAGCGGCACCGAGGAGCCATTGCAGGAAGATGAGTATGTATGCCACCAATGCCATCTTCCCATGCACGCTCTGGAACCGGGTTTCTGGGTGTGAAGCTTTGTTCATCTCGATGATGACCAAGCCGGCAATGAGCAATGCCACTGCCGATGTATTGATTGCTGAGTGCACATATGCGCCAGTAATCTTGTCCTTTTGAGCTGCCGTGGGTTGCAGGACTAGCACGCCTTGGACGAGCAGGAGAACGGCCGAGGAATTGAGCAAAGGATGGTAGGAGAAAAATATGAATTCATGCTCGAAGACCGCAGCCCAGACGAGAGCTGTCAAGACGACGATGCCCACCTGGGCAAGGATAGCTGGTTCCCCATTAGCAACAATGCCAGAGACAGTGTTGGCCGTCGGGGGCATTCGACGCGGCTTCCCTTACCTGTTCCGGTCACAAAATTGAATTGCATTCCCTGGCCTGGCCGTTGCGTGACATCTCCCGGTCGTCCCAAGAGAGGCTCCTCCTCTTCAAGAGCAGGATTTTGCTCTGGGATACCCGTTGCAGACGCCATGGTGGGTGCTGGCTGAGAAATACAGGAGGATGAATTGCGGGCTGGATTAAGCAGACGTTGGATTGAGCAAAGGTTGATGGAGGAATTGGTTTTGCCTGAAGGAGGGGAGGGAAGGCCCTGAGAGGTCGTGCCATGCATCTAATAGTATCGATCATTGCTCCATCTTGCGGAGCACCATGATGCCACTAGGCACTTGAGTTTGGTGTGTAAACACCGTTGTAGGCCGTCGAGCTGACCAACATGACCTGCGGATTGGACGCCTCGACGCCTCCCGGCACAAGTCGCGACTTCGACCTTCGCCATAGCAAAAGTGTATGACGCTATCGGTCCCCGGAATCTGATAATCTGATGAACCCCCGAGCACCACCGGTGCATTGTTTACCCAACCACACTCTTCGTGGGTTTTTATGCATTTTGTTGTGGCCATCCCCCCTTGACTTCGAGGCAGGCCGTATCATCTCCTTTGTCTACGATGAATTGACGATTCACCATTGTGGCAGTGGCTCGCAGCGATGTTGTTCAAACTACCACAAGAAGAAGCCTTCTCACCGCCCTTTACAGGCTCTGCGTGCTTGTTCCACTTCGATCCCTGACAAGCTCTACAAACGAAATCGTCCAGGGCAATATGTACCCTTCCCTTGTCCTTCCATGGTCCAACAGCCCCTCGGATCGCGAAACCACATACCGCAGTGCAGGCTTGGTGAAAACAAAGGGTACACTCTTCCTGCTTCCACCGTCAACATCCACCCTGCGCGATACATTCAATGCGCCGCCGCGTCCCAAAACCCGCATGTCCTCAGGTGCAGTGGCGCTTTGCAAACATTTCGAGCGCGGGGGTGCCTCCTCGGAGCATGGCCGACTACATCCATTCTGGACCATGCCCGCAGGGAGCAATGAGAACAAGACCGAGATTGCACGAAGGATACTGGAGGATATGCTTGTGCAAGCGGTTTGGAGGAATGTCATGCTCTTGCACCATGGGGTAGCGGTGTATGAGATCAGGAATGCAAGCGGCCATGGGATGAGGTGGACACTGGATATTGAGGAGAAGAAAGAAAATCCCAAAGTCGACAATGGTGTATCAGGGGATCTGCAGCCGACGCCGGCCAGCGCCGACCCTCCTGATCAAGGCGAAAACGAGGATGACTTCCAAAAAGAATGGAGGATTACCCGGACGACATTTCGTGGATTCTTGGAACCCATTGCTGAAATGGATCACGAGCTGCCAGGTCAAGGCGTGGGCACAACGGAACTCTCACAGCCTGATGGGCAAATAGGTGATGGAATCATTGCAGATGGTCGCTGGGACACGGGCTCAACCAGGCTGTAGCTGACGGGGTGCCTTGTGCTGCAGCTTAGTGGGACACAGAGGTACACAGCTCCGCCCGCTGACCAGGTACTAGCGACAAGGTAGGGAGTATATAGACGAGGTACACAAGCTAGTTTCTTGGATATGGTGATGGTCATAAGTAGTGGTCGCATTCCATTGCTTCTCCGAGAGTTACCCAAACCCCCCAAACCCCCCTCCTCCACACTTGATTTTCGCCCCGCCTGCTCCACCCCCACGGGCAGCTCTTGGGACTCGTAGGATGCAGCAACCCCGTTGGGAGGGGCATTCACCTAGGCTACTCGAGGCTACTGTTACTAGTAGCCTCACCACGAGGTCAGTCAATGCAACCCATGCACGCACACAGCTTTCAGGCTTGATGAATTTCTCCGAACTGTGCTCCGTACTCCGTACTATGACCCAAGCCGTCATGTGCCTGTTTCTTCCTCGGCAGTCTCATCGGTTCCTTACAGGTCCCGCTGCCGGCCAATTCGACTGTTGTTGGTGCATTGTCTTCGTCACCAGCCTGCCACGTTCACCTTCTCATCTTGCTCTCCAATTTCTCCTGTTCATTCGGCGGTTTGTCTACACTGCAAGCTCGCAAGGCCTCCTTTCGGGCTCAGAGTATGCCATAGAATCGTGTCTTTTTTCTTGACGGGAACCTTCGGGCTTGACATGCAGGTCATCGCGGTTATCTGCAGCTCCAGATCCGAATTTGCAAGGTTCTTATCGAGCTTGTTTGTGGCGGTGAGACAGCACGATGGCTCACGCCTCTTTGCCCAGCTGGTCTGCGCCCCTGTCGGTTAAACTATCAACCAAGAGCTGCTTCAGCTTCAGAGACTCAGGTACCTAGGACACGCTTTTTGCACTGAAGGGCCATTCTGGGAGCCTGAGATCCAGGCTGACAATTCGAACTCATTTCCAGGGTTAGGCGCCATCTATGGTTGTGTGCGGCAGAGCCGTCACGCGAGGCGATATGTGCACTCACCCTGTCGCGGGCTGGTTCCGCTCACCTCGAAAAGCCAACAACAACATAAGAGTCTCATAAAACTACCGCCGAGGGCCGTCGCGGTCTGGTCGAGATTCAAGTCTGACCTGCCGGCGGCTCCAGTTCCTTATTCGCAACTAACCATTGGCATTCCAAAGGAGACTCTTACAGGTGAACGTCGTGTCGCGGTCGCACCGCAGAACATCCCTTTGCTCTTGAAGAAAGGCTTCGCGCGTGTTCTTGTCGAGCGGGGGGCGGGCACCGAAGCCGAATACGCCGACGAGGTATACGAGCATGTTGGCGCCACCGTGGTTGACCGCCAGACTGTGTGGGCGGAAAGCAATATTCTGCTCAAGGTTCGTCCACCGAACTTGGAGTCGGAAGTTCCCAACATTCGGGAGGGGACCGCCTTGATCTCGTTTCTGCAGCCCATGCAAAACAAGCCCCTCGTTGAGGCTCTTGCTTCTCAGCGCGTGACTGCTTTCGCTATGGACATGATCCCGCGGATTTCGCGTGCTCAGGCCTTCGATGCGCTAAGTTCCATGGCCAACATCGCGGGTTACAAAGCCGTGCTCGAGGCATCTAATCACTACGGTCGCTTCTTGACGGGTCAGGTCACGGCCGCAGGAAAGATTCCTCCCTCCAAAGTCCTGGTCATCGGAGCCGGTGTTGCTGGGTTGAGCGCCATCACAACCGCCCGCCGATTGGGCGCGATTGTCCGCGGGTTTGACACTCGTTCCGCCGCTCGAGAACAAGTACAATCGCTAGGGGCGGATTTTTTGGAAGTCAGTGTCAAAGAAGAAGGCTCTGCGGCGGGTGGGTACAGTAAGGAAATGTCCAAGGAATTCATCGAGGCAGAGATGAAACTGTTCATGGAACAGTGCAAAGACGTCGACATTGTCATCACTACCGCGGCGATTCCAGGAAAAGCTTCTCCCAAACTGATCACGGAGAAAATGGTCAGTGCCATGAAACCTGGCTCCGTGATTGTTGACCTTGCAGCAGAAGGCGGCGGGAACTGCGAGGTCACTCAGCCTGGCAAACTTATTGTGCATAACCATGTAACCATCATTGGATACACGGATTTTCCGTCTCGACTCCCCACACAGTCAACGAGCTTGTATTCCAACAACATCACAAAGTTCCTACTGTCAATTTCTCCCAAGGACAACCACTTTGGCATCGACATGGAAGACGAAGTCGTGCGAGGCTCCATCGTTACGCACAATGGTGAAATAATCCCTCCTGCTCCGCGACCAGCTCCACCTCCGGCTCCTGCACAGCAGCACCTTGAGCATGAATCGAAGCCCGTTGAACTGACTCCTTGGGAAAAGCAAACTCGCAATGCAGCCGCCGTGACTGGAGGAATGAGCGCAGCTCTTGCCCTCGGGAAACTGACGTCTCCGTTGTTTATGAGTAGCGCGTTTACCGCTGGTCTCGCAGGCCTGATCGGCTATCGTTCGGTCTGGGGTGTGATTCCCGCCCTTCATTCTCCTTTGATGAGTGTTACCAATGCCATTTCCGGTATCGTGGGTGTAGGTGGCTTCTTCATCATGGGCGGTGGATATCTGCCGGAAACGATCCCACAAGTACTCGGGGCGCTATCGGTTCTTCTTGCTTTTGTCAATGTATCTGGCGGATTTGTTATTACGAAGCGCATGTTGGATATGTTCAAGCGGCCAACGGACCCGCCGGAATATCCATGGTTGTACGCAATTCCGGGCGTGCTCTTTGCTGGTGGGTTTATCGCATCGGCGAGCACAGGTATGGCTGGGCTTGTGCAGGCTGGATATCTGGTCAGCAGTCTGCTCTGCATTGGTGAGTGACTGAGTCCTATCCAGCGACAATCCGTGGTTCGTACCTAATACTCGCCATTTTAGGATCCATCCAAGGCCTGGCATCGCAAGCAACAGCTCGAACGGGAAATCTGCTCGGAATACTGGGTGTCCTGGCCGGTATCATCGCCTCACTCGGCGCAGTAGGATTCTCTCCCGAAGTGTTGACACAGTTTGGAGCGATCGCAGCTATTGGCGGTGTTGTTGGTACGCTTCCCCCTGATCTGGCTGCCCGTGCACATGAAAGAGGTACTGAAGACGACAAACAGGCGCCCTTATTGGCAGACGCATTACCCCTACGGAGCTCCCTCAGACCGTTGCAGCCTTGCATTCAGTTGTCGGTCTCGCTGCCGTCCTCACTAGCATAGGCAGTGTTCTGGCTCACGTCTCGGACATCTCGACTTTACATATGGTGACTGCATACTTGGGCGTTCTCATCGGTATGTTTCCAGCTGCGATCATCAACCTCTCAAGGCCACTATTTTGGGTACAAAATTAAGCTAACGATCTTCAGGTGGCGTAACATTCACTGGGTCCCTCGTTGCTTTCCTGAAACTCGCGGGACGAATGTCGTCTCGGCCCACCATCCTTCCTGCCCGTCATCTCATTAATTCTGGTCTGCTGGCCGCCAACGCCGGCACGATGGGTGCATTTTTAACCATGGCGCCCGGTGCGCCTGCTGTGGCCGCGGTGTGTCTATCTGCGAACACTGCTCTTAGTTTTGCCAAGGGATTTACCACAACGGCTGCTATCGGAGGAGCAGATATGCGTATGTTCCCGCTCGTCCCTTGTTCTGGCTGACCTCGTACTGACCGCTTGTTGTTAGCTGTGGTCATCACCGTGCTGAATGCTTATTCAGGCTTCGCCCTCGTCGCGGAGGGCTTTATGCTCGACAACCCCTTACTACTAACCGTAGGCTCGTTGATTGGCGTCAGCGGTTCCATCCTATCATACATCATGGTAAAGGACCACCCCCCACCGGAGCATATCCCTTCTTTCAACCTATTTGGGAATCATTCACTGACATCTCATTTTGTTTGGAAACAGTGCGTGGCGATGAATCGGTCCCTCACCAACGTCCTCTTCGGCGGCATCGCGCCCATCGCCCAAACCTCGCACGAAATCAAGGGGCAGATCACAAAGACCACGGTGGAAGAGACCGTCGAGGCGCTCGCCAACGCCGAATCCGTCATCATCGTGGTCGGATACGGCATGGCCGTGGCAAAGGCGCAGTACGCCATTGCCGAAATCGTGTCTCTTTTGCGCTCCAAGGGCGTCAACGTCCGCTTCGCAATCCACCCCGTCGCGGGACGGATGCCGGGACAGTGCAACGTGTTGCTGGCCGAGGCGAGTGTGCCGTATGATATCGTTTTGGAGATGGATGAGATCAACGACGACTTCCCGGAGACGGATCTCACGTTGGTGATTGGCGCGAACGACACGGTGAATCCGATTGCATTGGAGCCGGGGAGTCCCATAGCCGGGATGCCCGTGTTGCATGCCTGGAAGAGTAAAGGGGTGGTGGTTATGAAGAGAGGGATGAGCAGCGGATACGGTGAGTGACAGAACCACTTTTCTTTTCTTTTGCCCCGTCTCTCCCTTTGCACCCCGTTCCCTGATCACAGATCTCTCGATCCTCCCCCGCCCACTTCACATCAGCTGTGGAGGAAAATCCATTCACTGATTATCCCCGGTCTCACCAGCCGACGTTCCGAACCCGATGTTCTACATGCCCGGAACGAGGATGCTCTTTGGCGACGCGAAGCAGACCTGCGACGCCCTCAAGGCGGCCCTGGAGACAAGGTACAAGGCGCAGTTCCATGTCTAAAAAAAAGAAAAAAAAAAAGCCCATAGGTCTCTACTACCCTACAATGCGCCGCTTTCCGTCCATGGCAAGCTGAGCCATTGTAGGGCAGGGGGAAGGGGGAATGGGAGCTGCAGGGCCAGTGGCAGAAGTCCTTTCGCATTTCCCCCAGAGTTCAATAACAGATTGCCAGACCAAAAAAAAGAAAACAGCGAGACTTATTACAGACCAAGGTAAGGAAGCGAGGAGCATCAGTGGGCAGGAAACAGAAACCGAAAAACAAAGAGAGAAAAAAAAAAAAGACTGGATGCAGCTGCGATGATCATGGATGCCGGACACGAAGACGACCTACCTGTATCTGTTGCCATTTCCCCGCAATGACGGGATGAGAATCGAGTGATCCACCTATGCTCAGATGGACTAGACACGGCGGCGGGGACAGACAGACAACAATCCTCACGACCAGCACATACAATATCAGCCCGGGAGCACGGATCGCATCCGGGGAGTCCGCACCGTTATATTGGCCAGATACATCGAGACGGATGGGTCTATGTCAAGGGAGTTAACTTGGGTCGCCAGCTGCAGGCCTGCCGGGCTTTGGAAATGGAATATTGATGGATTGATGATGATGATGATGATGGCAGTAGGGTTGTTGTTGTTGTTGTTGTTGAAATTGTGCAGGCATTGGGACTGTTTTATCCGAAGGAAGATCTAGACTAGTCTATGTAAATGGGTAGATTTGATAGAGAACAACTGCACCATTACAAGCTCAGCGTGGCGATCGAGGAGGGGAGAAGTATTGAAGAAAAGAGTAAGCCCAGAGAAGGAGACAAAGCGAAGTCCTCAATCTAGCAACGGACTGTTTTCCCTTTTTCCATTCCCCGTCGGCCACACACAATGCTCACTTTGGCCTTACATCAATGGTCACCCCATCCAGACACCATCCCATCTTGGGCTGTACGAAAGCTCTCGCTTCCTTAACCACCGTGTCCGACAGCAGCAACCGAATCGAACCTCCGTCGACGAAGCCAACCTTTTGCGCAACCCTGTGACTTCCGACGTTTGTGTCAAACGCGGCCGCCCAGATGCCGTCGATGCGCATCTCTTCCGTCCACCACCGCAACGCGGCCTTCGCTGCCTCGGTCGCGTAACCTCTGTTCATGTATTCTTCCGCCACGGCCCAGCCCATGTCGGGGTACGGGAGCGGATGGCGGTGGAGCAGGGAGATGACTCCGACGACCGTGTCGGTACCGCGGAGGTAGACGATGTGCCACGGATGGGAGGGCAGGACGGCTGCAGGTCTTGTGGGATCGGAGGAGTCTTTGGGGCGAAGAAGACCGAACCTCACACGGCGGGCGTCGATGTCGTCGCGGGTGTAGATGCCCGGGTTACCAATCGTCCGCCTTACAAAGTCGCTGTCGTAGATGGCTAAGACGGTATCGTAGTCAGAAGGAAGCGCTGGGTCGAAGATCCGAAGCTGCAGTCTTTCCGTGTAGATCATTGGGAAAGCCGACTCTGTCGAAGACATTTTTGGATTAACGGGCTCAGTTGACAAGGGCGATTGCCAGTACTCTCTTGTTGGTCGTGATTAAGAAAGATTCCACCCATCATTTTTTTCCCACGTCCGTGTCATATTGTGTTTCAATTGCCCGTGCCTGCAACAAAAAAACAATCACCCACCGTGAGCACTATGCACCAGGCGGATCTCCGGTTACATTCGGCTTCCGCAATGTGATACCTGTCCTGGAAAGATATTGTGGCTTTCGTAATAGCATGTTGATGGAACAGGAGGCCGAAAATGGGATCTCTTAGGGGCACCACTTCGTCATCAGGAGAGCTCCTCATGGATTTTGGGTGCATGATAACTGCTACAGAAGGAAGCTCATACGAGCCGAGCCTATAAGGACAGGCCCAGCCATTGCAGAGGCGACATCGTCATTCGGTGCGTGAAACAGTCGAATGGTAAGCGCGTTGGTTATGGTTGCATTGACCCGGCGAGGCAGTTGAAAGTGGTGTGGAGGTTTGCTGGTGTGAGGTGGAAAACGACCGTTGTTATCATCCTCGCACGTGATGATAAGGGCGCCAGACAGTCACGTGAATGAGCACACGCCAGACACACCCTCAACGCCAAGAGATCCCGCGGCCGTTTTATCTTTCCCGACCATTTCGCTGACACATCAAGGTTCAAGGTTTTGCTTATCGTGCTCCGATGTCGTCGTCTGCGCCAGACCTCAGGTGCCCGTGTGCCATCCGACAATGGAGCGGCCAAACTGTTAAGCAATCGGCATGACGGGGTAATCGATGAGTAAGGGAGAACGCGGCAGCATCCGGGTTGTCCAGCATGACTAGGTATCAGCAGCCATGTACCACCATCCGCGATGTACCGCGTGGTGGCTCAGTGGGTGGCACAGGGTCAGGTGTCAGGAAAGGTAGATGTCGACAGTGAGTGTCCTCCTCCCGTTCTTGTCTTCTTTGGCTTCCTCTGCCGGTTGGATCGTCACCTCTCTTCCCTGATCGTACTTGTTCAAGGTGCCGGCCACGTATCTTCTTGCCCAGCGACGCATCTGGCAAAGAAACCAATCGTCTTGATTGTCATTGCCCCAACCGACGAACAAATCCACCCTCAGGTGTTTGACCCAGTTCCAGTCTTTTTGGTCGAGCGTTTTGAAGAAATTGTCGAGGCAGAGATTATTGCACAGCACGAAGAGTCTCTTCTCTCCTGCTCGCTTCGCAAGTGGCTGGACTTCATCGCAGATTTGACGGCTGACTCGAAGGATGCGGTTGTCACAGTGCTGATACGTGGAGGTGTTGTGGCAGCAGGCGTCTAGACGGTGTGCTTGACATTGTTCGTCTCTCGTTGCACATCCACACGGGTAAATCACTGTTGGTTGAACAAGGTAGGACCATATTTGCAGACGAATTTCGGGGGGGAGAGTGAAGAGTGACACCTCCATCGTTGTGAGAGGGCGTAGGGCGCAAGCAGAACTCAATCGGCCAACTCTGGCTGCTTGGAAATTGAGAGGGCAGAAGGTCGAAATGTATCAGATGGGGTTTGCAACGAAGAACAGAGGTGGGCAAATCCAGAGCTGAAATCTAGAGCAGCAGAGAGGTGCGGAAAGAATTGTGTAACATATACGGAGAAAAAGGAAGCTGAATCACAGCACGCTGTCCACGCGGTCTACACGATGAAGGTGTGACGGATACGATAGTGGTGGGAAAAATGATAGGGTAGACAAGGCTCCAAGGCTGGGCTGAAGCTGAGCTGGCACAGCATTCCAATATATGGTGTAAGGAGGTCAAGGAGCCCCTGCCCACCCGGTGCAGTCATAGCGTCAAGATGACACAGGTGACACGTTCTAGCGTGCGTAGGAGAGTTTCGGGTATCTTGACCGCTCTGGACACACCATCGAAGTCCCAACCGTTTGGTCACTTCCAGAGCAAGCACCCCAAGCACTGCGCCAGCCACCGGCATCGGATTCCGATAAGAGGCTGAAATCCACACAACGGTGAGGGCAACGACGAGGATTGTGATTGGGCCCGGCCCACAGGTCAAACGGTTGCCGAATCCGTCTGATCCGAATATTAATATCCAGTAAGGGGTCAAGGGAGGAAAGCAAGGAGGATGACGGGCGTGATTCCGAGGTGGCGCCGGTGGAAAGGCTGAACCGAACACAAGAAAACAGGTCAGTCGGTCCATACCCTCTCTCTTCTCGTCCTCTACTCGGTGCTCTTCCTGTCTTTGCAAGACCGCAAGTACCTAATTACCATGCGTCGGGTCCATTTGTCAAAGCAGTCGGTGTTCAACATCCAACAAAATCCACTAGGAATGACAGGAAAAGAGGGCTTCCCAAATGGGCCCCTGATTAACGCGTCATTTTACACGCGTGACTCGTTGCGCAATGCTCAACAACCGAGCGATTTCCGAACGCACATCATCCACTTGATCCCCGTTAAGCACTGGAAAAGCGCACCTTTCCAAATTCAATGCTGATATTAATATATGTATATATATATATATATATATATATATACATATATATATTCGACGTCTTGGGAAAGGAACGGCCGTCGTACCATTGGCGGCTTAAGGACTCAAGCCACATGCAACGCACTTGCGATTTTGCTGACGGCCTCTCTCAGCTCCGCAGGTGTATCGCAAGCTGCAAACACAAAGCGATCCGGTCTCAGAATCACGTACTTCTTAGCCTTTGTCTCCCTGCGAAGCCGCCACTCGTCGTAACCGACTGGGGGAGGTCGGTTCTTGCAGAGAAGCGGGTCCAGCGCGAATTCGTCGCCGGTTGCAACGCGTGCCACCTGTTGCGTGGGCATGTCTCCGGCGGAGATCGATGCACTCGTGGACTGGATGAGGATGGTGGCTTCCTCACCAAGGAGCAAGGTGTCTGAGAGTTGACTGATGTTCTCGAGGTCTCGCGTAAGTGACTCGATCTGGTCCACCCTGTCCGGTAAGACAAGCAGCTGGAACAACCCCTTTTTATCGGGAGAGAAGATCAAATCATCCGTGAATTCGATCGTGTTCTTCCTGAAGTTGAAAGCGTAGATTTGTGGGAGAAGCAGGCCGCCTCCCATCTCCCCCACAAATGCCAGTCCGGGGCTGTAGCGATATTTTGTCATGCCTTGTGCTCGGGCCCCTTTCCGAAGTTCTTTCCTCCAGCTGGGGACAAGTTGGATAGCCCACATGTACCATTCGCGAATGAAGACCTTGATGGGGTCGGATTCTGTCACGTACGCCCCGTTCTGGATGGTGGCGGCTAGGGAGCGCTCGAGCTGTTGCTTGCGTTCGGTATACCATGCCGTGAACAGAGCTTCATAGTCCGTTGTCGGATGCTGGTGTAACAACGCCAGCCTCCAGGCCAGTGCAGATGCATCTCGAAATCCAGAAGCAATCCCTTGCCCGCCTGCTTACCAGTCAGTTGGGTCACATCAATGCAGTGCTTCCGCGGAGCATTATCTCTTACCGAAAGGAGGGAAGACATGAGCCGCGTCACCAGCCAAGATGACCCTTCCCAAGGACCACTTGTTACAGCTCCTCGCCACGAAAGAGAAAGGCCGAGATCTCAAAGTCTTGACACAATCCTCAGGAAACCTGACTGGATGTTGTAGACCATACCAGCTGCCGGGGTGGGTGAGATAAGGATAGATGATTTTGCTCGTCTCCTCGGGCGTAGCCATTTTGTGGCCGTCTTCGCCTTTTAGAACAACGAATTCGAACCTCCACAGCCGATCCGACATCAGACCGAATCTTCCGCAAACCGAAGGGCGCTTATGATTGCACAGGAACCGGAACTGCTTGGGGAAGAATTGATCGTAGACTTGTTCGGGCGTATACCCGAGTCTCCAGAGGGGAAAGTCTGGGTGGGTCTTTTCGGTGGGTAGTGAGATCTGCCAGTTCAGCGCAACCCATGTTTCCTCGTAGTCCGACCTATATCCTCTGATCAGCAACCTCGCCCGGTAACGGAAGAAAAGAACGCACTCTTTGCATCGTTCCAAAATGACACCCTTCGGTTCGAGATAGCACTTCCTGACGTAGCCTGTCTTCCCATCTGCACCGACTAAGAACGGTGCTGTCAATCTTCGGATCTCTCCTCGTGGATCCTTGTACTCGACCATGACCCGGTGACGATCTTCGGATATTCCGATCAATGTAGACTCGGTCCGGATTTCTGAGAAGGGGATTTTGTGGATCCGGTCTCGGATCGCCTTCTCCATTGCTGGCTGCTTGTGGCATATAAATCCGACATGGCCAGTGCCTCCCTCCGTCGTCGTGTAGTCCATAGTGAGCAGTGGCTTTTTGTATAGGTTCGGCTCACTTCCAGTGACGAAATTGAATATCTCCATACCTTTTTGGTCATCAGCCAACCAACATCGTGCGATAATGGCGCTGGAGCAGGCTTTACTCACACGTCCCAATCTCTGTGTATACCTGATCGTAGATTCCAATTGACTGTAGTATTCGGATTCCATCCTCATCCAAGGCGATGCCTCTTGGGTCGGTGGTGATGTCTTTCTCCCGCTCCAGCACGATGGTGGGCACTTTCATTGCCCCCAGCAGGGCTGAAAGCACCGTCCCTGTCGGGCCACCGCCACATATGATGACACCCGTCTCTTCAGCATCAGGCACCCTTTGAGCCATTATGCCAAGCACAAGCCGAGGAAGAATCTCTTGACCCTTCAGCAACGGAGACCACTGTGGATCTGATCTATATATCGATGACAAGACAAAGAGTTGAAGCATTCAACAACAGACTCGTGTTCCTATATCAAGCCATCTGTTCCATTATATGCTAAGTTCAAAACCCACAGACTCGAAATTGCTTGTCGGCAACGCTGAAAGATGCAAAGACCGAGGGTGACCCCAGGTACCGGAGGCCACGACCAATGTGGGACGGTATTTGTGGGGTCATTTTCGAGATGTGCTGAGTGTTGCTGCTTTTTCCCGACCAACCTGAACGATCTGAATGGAAAAGCCACCTGCGTGTGGCCGAGTAAGCTCCCACCAGAGCAACGAGGCTGTGGATGTTGCTGCTTGTTGTTGCTACCCAGTACTGTGACCGAACGTTACCTGGGTGTGAAAACGTCCCACATTGTGGTATTGAGCTCCCCCACACCCACCAGTGCCAAGAGAGACGGAAAAATCGCACTTGCACAGTGTTGATGAGAGGCGACGAGCTTTCCCAGAGCTCGGCTGGCCCGGGACTTCTTGAACTGGTGATTCATTTGGAGAGGGGCTGCGCCTTCCTAACAAACCAGTGCCACTGGCATGACAGAATTAAATGACAGTCTTCAGCACCCTTTATACTGCATGGAGTGGGAAGGAAACTCTCGGGAGATTAGGATTCCGGCTATGTAGCACCAGAGCGTGGAATACCCGACTCAAGATAGCATCAAAATACCAGCCCGTCTGGGCGGATGCCAAAGCGACAAGATACAGTACTGTCGAAACTGGTGATCAAGGACTTGAACAGTATTTCCGTAGTCCATGCGAGTACTGGGTACGAGGGACTGAGTTGCCGCTGGCAGGCTGGCGGCTAAAAGGGGCTTCCCAGATTGGCCAGCCTTGCGAATTCGGGGTGCGGGCTTCCCCTCTTCAAGCGGGGCTATGCCAAGCCGCCAGGGTCCCCCAGATTTCTCAACGCTGCTGTTCCTTCTCCCCCCACAAGTCAAACGACTTTCTTTTTCCTGTCCTCTATCACGTTATGAGCCGATGGTTTGTGGTAAAGTCTCCTTACCGCGTTGACATGGAGGCAGCCTCTTCTTCCAACCTCGTCTCTTTCGGCAATGACTGATCCCGCAACAGCGCCAGCTCCTAAAGATGGGCCGCGGGGCCGCCGAGGGGGCAAAATCAAACAATGTTCGACTTGCGGTCGGACTTTCGCTAAAACTGACCACCTAGAGAGGCATGTCAGGTCTCACACCAAAGAGAAGCCGTTCGTCTGTACGAAATGTGGCAGAAAATATGGTCGGCAGTAAGTGGTGATCGCGACCGGGTTGCCCTGCTCGTGCTTAGATGTGTCTTTCTTAGCGATACGCTGCTGCGACATCAGAAGGATCACTCAGGAGATGGTTCTGTAGCTGTCATTGAAGACAAGCGTCGCTCCAGCAACCCATTTGGATCAGAAGATGACCAGAGATCTCTTTCCGCCAACCCATTACCGCTTGAAGCCACGGCTATCTTGCCAGAACAGCCCGATCCCATGCTGATTTCCAATATCAGCCCGGCTCTGAACGTGACGGCCCCCGACTACCTCAAGGATGGGAAAGATTACCAAGAGGGCCAAATGGCCAGCAATGCCTCCACCGACGTCTACTCGAGTACAGTCACCTCTGACCAGTCAGGTGGCGGATTTGACGCTTCGATCGACGTCTTCAACTTTGATTTCGAGGCTCAATTTCCTTCGTGGCTGGTGGACAGCGACCTGCACGGCGGGATTTTAGACACGCCTTTGGTCGCGACTATGGCAGAACTGCGCCCATCGTGGCCCGAAAGCCCCTACGCGACGTTCGGGTCGAGCAATTACAGACCCGTCTCTAATACGAAGAGGCTGTGGTTCATGGCAAATGATGACGTGCAAGATGAAATGACGCGATCTGGCCCTGCCACGCCTCCTGGGTCCCGCGACGAAGTCGATGATACATATCGTCAAACCTTAACGCAAAGTCTACAGATCCGCCCTATTCAGGAACAGACTCTTCCATCGGCAGACTTTCTGAATCTTTGCGTCAGATCGTATTTTGCACGGTTCCACCCCGTGTTCCCAGTGGTGCATGCACCCACATTTCGCCCGTCCAAGGCCAACTCCATGGTCCTGTTGTCAATTTGCTCAGTTGGCAGTCTCTTTACGGGCAGCGTACATGCCATTCGCCAGGGCGTCCATATATTCGAAAGATTGCACAAAGCTGTCCTTGCGAATTGGGATCGACTTGTTGCCCAAGGCGTAGATCAAAGAATCTCTCTCATACAAACAGCTATTATTGGGCAAACCTTTGGTTTACTGTCTGGAGAACCAAGACATCTTGCCATTGTCGACGCATTCAACGGGACGCTAATTTCATGGGCACGACGTTGGTCAACCTTCAAAACCAAGAAGATGGTCGGACTTGATCTCAATATCGGTCCGGCCGAACTAGACAAGAAATGGAGAGAGTGGGCCAAGAATGAAGAACTCATCCGGATTGCACTCAGTGTGCACATCCACGACGCTGAACTTGCTGCTATGTTCCATCACGAACCATTCCTGCGCCACAATTCCAGGCAGCTACCAGTCGCCGCATCGAATCAGACATTTATGGCCACTCGACCCGAAGACTGGCGCCAGTCGTATCTCAATGACCCCAACAACTTCGAAAGCGTCAATTCTACGCCTGCGTCTATCGATGCTCACCTGGATTTCGACCTTGCCGCAATCCCCAGCAATAGCTATTTCACCGCTTACACAGTTTTGGAAGGCATATGCGCAAACATTGTTGAGAATAGATTCAATGCTCGTTCAACACAATCAAGGACGGAGGAGATGTTGAACATCTTAACGTCATTTCACCGAAACTTTTTGCAAGAATCAGCTGCCTGGGAAGCAGATCACATGGACATGAGCATACTCTGGCATCTCGCCTTTATGATAATGTTCGCCGATTTCGATCTCCTGGAGAGAGCAATTGGGCGAGACGGCCCAGACCTGTCACCTGAGGATCAGCTTGCCGTCACAGCTTGGGCAAACTCAGACCAGGCTAAACGATGTGTCGTCCATGGGTTGATTGTGCAAAAGAAATTGGAGAATCTGCCCCTTGGCTTTGAGCCCGCCATCCATGTGCCCAGGGCCATGTTCAGAGCGGGTATTGCCTGGTTTTGCTATACTCGCTTTGGATCTCAGGGCGCCGGTCAACGCACAGCGGGAGCCGCCGAGACCCCAGAGTTTCCGGAATTTAAGACCATTGGCGTCAACCCTGCATTGCTGCTTTTCCAGGCGAGCGGATACAAGTACGGAAAGCCTACGACGACCGAGACCAATGCAGCCCTCAGTGGACTGACAGATCTCTTAAGACGCATAGGGCATTGGGAAATTGCCAGAAGATTTGCTGCCATCCTCGGGGCTCTCTTACACAATGAAGCCGACTAAAGACCGAGCAATTTGGGCCACCCTGTCCCTCCATCAGAAAACCTAATTACTATTATGCGAGCCTCGCCTTCACGGTATCTCCGGTCAGCTCGCCTGCTGGCAGGGTGTCGTTTTGCCACGGGAACTCATCTCAAGGTATCGCCTAGTGTGTACCACCGAACGGGTCATTCGAACCGAACAGCTTGACAGCCTTTGTGCCTCTGACACGAGTCACACGACGGTCATATTTGGCTCAGACTTCATAAGATTTGAGCTGACAGGCCCTGATGGTACAGTGACCCGATGGTGGACCCCTGCAACCTTGCCCGCCACCACATGGGAACTAATAGAACAAGCACCAACGGGAAAGGGCCGGATGAAGGCAAAAGGAAAAAGAATTGAAAAGAAGAACGAAAGTCTGCTGCATTAATGTAAGGTCCTCGATTACAATCGCGAAAGTGGGAGGGTCGACCCTGCCGAATGCAACCTCTCGTGGGGGTTTCCGTCTCGAAATTCAGCATCAATGGCTCCAGTACATCAGCCACCAAGTTCCTTTCGACCCAGTCACATCAGGTCGTTGTGGAGGCAAGGCTGTATCTTGCATCCGAACACACGGAGAATCGAGATGGACCTGCTGCATCGGGTTTAGTCAGCCCAAGGTACTCTTAAGGTCCTCACTTTTCACTCGGATTATGCTCAGAGCTAACGACACCCTGACCTCATGGCGAGGTCTTCCAGTGGGCTATCCACTTCCATGGTGAGCGGCTTTAAAAGGCTTCTTGTTGCTTCCTGCACGTTTTTTTTTTCCTTGGCCATTCCTTGTCTCTATACACTTGTATTCGAGCACCATGGCTTCCAATTCATCCACCGACTTTGGTGGAAGCACCTTCGATCCAGAGAATGTCAATCTGACCTCTGCTGACCCTCGAGATGTGATCTGTGCCCTTGCGGAATCGGGGAATGACTATAATGGACAACTTGGCGCAAGGATATCGGCTCTCTTCGTCATCCTCATCGTCTCATCTGCAGCGACATTCTTCCCTGTTTTCGCAAAGAGAATCCCACGCCTCCACATTCCACTCTATGTGTACCTATTCGCGCGGTACTTTGGTGCAGGAGTTATCGTCGCCACGGCCTTTATCCACCTACTTGATCCGGCATATGCTGAGATCGGACCTGAAACGTGTGTCGGCATGACAGGAGGCTGGGCCGACTATGCGTAAGTATCCTGTTGCTGTATTGCATCGTCGTGTCGACTCGCGGAGCTGACCCTGTGGATTCTTTAGATGGTGTCCGGCTATTGTCCTCACTTCTGTGGTGGTTATCTTCCTCTTTGATTTCGGCGCCGAACGATATGTAGAAGTAAAATACGGCATCGACAGTGAAGCAGACTTGCAAGAAGCGGTAACCGGGTATACCGACAGAATGCCAACCGAGGCACAGCGGGACCGAGCGATGAGCACTGCGTCAATACGTCGCGAACATGAAGAGCGACGGAAGTCGTCTGCGTATGAGAAGAGGTTCATGGAGGATTTCGCCGTGGATGAAGAAGACAGTGAGATTCGCAAGAACTCGTTCCGACAACAAATCGCCGCCTTCCTGATTCTGGAATTTGGCGTTATCTTCCACTCCGTGGTTATCGGCCTCAATCTAGGTGTCGTGGGAGACGAATTCAGCACTCTGTACCCAGTTTTGGTCTTCCACCAGTCCTTCGAAGGACTCGGGATTGGTGCGAGAATGTCGGCTATCCCGTTCAAGCGGGGGAGCTGGTTGCCGTGGATCCTTTGCGCCGCCTACGGACTGACGACGCCCATTGCCATCGCCATCGGCCTAGGAGTCCGGACGACATATAACCCCAACTCTTTTACAGCGAACGTGGTCAGTGGCGTCTTGGATTCCATGTCCGCCGGCATTCTGATCTATACTGGACTTGTCGAGTTGCTGGCGCGGGACTTTCTGTTCAATCCTCTGCGGACGAAGGATAACAAGCGACTGGCGTTCATGATTCTCAATGTGTTGTTGGGTGCGGGTTTGATGGCCTTGCTTGGGAAATGGGCTTAGTTCGCTTGTCGATGAGACTTGGCCACATGTTTATAGTCCGGTGACCGGTCCATGTATTTACCCTAGACCGCTGGCAACGACAGTAGACAGACAGAAAAATCAGAATCCCAGACCGCTCTTCCTGTCCACTACTGGTATGAGGACTGTCCGCGACCCATCTATGTGCAGTCAAGCGACGTTTTAAGCCGTATAGGGTTTCCGCCCAGACGCGCTAACCAGAAGAGCCCATAGCGAGGAGGCCTGGGAGTCACCAGGCTTAACGAGGCTACAGTCTTAGAGGGGGTGGGTATGGATGCGTCACGCGACTGTCCATAGGCTTCGTCTTTTCAAACTAACCAAATGTACGGAGTGTGTTAGAACCAGTTCACTTTGTTATAGCTTCTATTAGCCCAAGGTCAGGAAGGAATGCCTCGGCTGCTGTGCCAGCTCTGCGATTATGCATCCGAACATATGTACCGACGAATTCAGTCGTGGGGGGGTCGTCGAGGCTGTTTGTTGGTGTTATTACATGCGGTCTTAGAGCCGTTTTATTTTATTTTTTTTCCTTTCCTTGAATCTTCTGCACATGATGGGTGTAATTTAGCATATACAAGTTTGAAAAACAGCCCTTCGAACACCTATGGCGTGGCGTAACGGATGGGCTTGAGTCTCAAAAAGCAGGGACGGGCATTGCCAATTATACCCAGGACGTGTGGCACGTAAAGACTGTTCTTGTAAACCAATTTCAGATAAACTACCACTATTTCCAAATGTGTTGTTCGGTACAACCCTCGACTTCTGACATTTATCTACAACTGTCCACGGCATGCTGCACGGTCCTTTGATGGAGGTCCCGATGAGATAGCGACTTCTGTGCTGGCTCCCAAAATAACTTCTTTGCATCCTCCCGCAATCGCTATACAGAACAGTTACCGAACCCTGCTTTCTCACCGCGACCCATGCGGCCGATGTCCGGTCCGCTGGATTCTCTGCTTCTTTTCGTATTATCTACCGGCATACTGGGTCACGGCCCGAACCCACCCAACGTTTGCGCAACGTCTACGCAAACTTGACTGGTTTAGGGAGGTGGATGGCGGCTGTGGACGGACTGATAAGTTGGCGGCTAGGTCCCTCGGGTCTCTTATCAAAAAGGGCATGTCCGAATTTCGTCCCTTGGTCTAGAACTTTGCTTGGCCCCGTTGATAAGTGGAGAAATACATACTGCCGTCTGGATCTACCCCTCGGGAGATGTGGGATTATTTTTCTCCTCTACCTCCTCCTTCGGTGTGCTTGAACTGTGTTGTCTCCAGGGTCCCGAAGAGAGCGAGAAACACGGACCAGAAACATACACGGCCAGCACGATGGCTACCTACGAGAAGACCACTGCTGAAATCCACAGCGATAACATTGGAACTCCTCGATCAGATGTGTCTCTACCGGGGGACAAAGAAGCAACGCTGGAGGCACGCGAGATCTTCCAAGATGGCACCGAGGGCGTCAAGTTCCGAACTGTCAGCTGGCAACGAGCCACCGTCATCTTTCTCAAAATCCAGTTTGCCATGAGCATTCTCGCTGTCCCTGGAGCGTTGGCGACTCTGGGAGCCGTTGGTGGAGCCCTGTCAATCGTGGGTTGGGAGGTGCTGAATACTTGTGCGTCTATATACCTACCAAGTCAGAGTCGGCCTCAGGCCTCCATCAGACACCACTAACACCAATACGCAACAGACACGGCCGTCATTCTGGGTGACTTTCGCAACCGCCATCCTGAATGCCACAGTAAGTCACTCCTGTCCCAGTCCTACCTACATAGGTAGGCACTGAGAGGCATCCTCCTCTGACCTCAACACGCAGCACTCGCGGATATGTGCGGCCTCATCTGGGGTCGATTGGGCAAAGAGCTCGTTGGGCTGCAGATATTGGTTGCACAAGTGCTCATCACAGCCGCCGGGATCGTCTCGTGCTCGACGGCATTCAACGCCCTTTCGGAGCACGGAGCCTGCACGGTGATCTTCAGCTTCGTTTCGGCCGTGCTGATCACGGCCTTCTCTTCGGTCCGCACGTTCTCGCGCCTGGGCTGGCTAACCTGGCTGGGGTTCACCACGTTCTTTATCGCCGTCTTCATCTTCGCGGTCGCCGTGACGCAGCAGGCCAGGCCTGCCGCAGCGCCGCAAACAGGCGACTTCGATCTCGGCTGGACCGCGATCGCGCACCCGACATTCGTGGCGGGCATCACAGCAAGTGCAAACATCTTCATCAGCGGCAGCGGCTCACAGATGTACCTGCCCGTGATTTCAGAAATGCGCAGGCCACGCGATTACCGCAAAGCGGCCATTGTCGCGGGCATTCTCGTCGGGGTCATGTACTTGACCTTCTCGCTCGTCATCTACCGCTGGTGCGGTCAGTGGCTGGCGACCCCCGCGTTTGGCAGCGCTGGGACGCTCTTCAAGAAGATCTCGTACGGCATCGCCCTGCCCGGCCTGGTCATCGGCGTCGGCATCTACCAGCACGTTGCGGCCAAGCTGATTTTCGTGCGCATTCTGCGCAATTCGCGCCACCTGCAGGCCAACACGGTCACGCACTGGACGACCTGGCTGGGTAGCAACCTGATCCTGGGGGTCCTGGGCTTCATCATCGCCGAGGCGGTCCCCATTTTGAACTATCTCCTGGGCCTCGCGGGATCCCTGTGCTTTGCACCCTTCAGCTTGATCTTCCCCGCAATGCTGTGGATGTACGACTACAAAACGTACGCCAGCGGGAGTGCCTCGCAGAAGGTCATCTTTGGATCACATATTCTCATCGTGCTGGTCGGGCTCTTCATGGTGGTTGGCGGGACGTAAGTGAAATTCATTCCTGTGGATTCTTGAAGGTGTCGTGAAATTTTTTAGAACACTCACTCACATACATTCGCACAAACAGTTACGGTGTGGCTGTGTCAATCAAGCAGGCCTTCGACAACGGGTTGATTTCCAGAGTATTCGACTGTGCAGACAACTCCGGCACGATCTCTTAAGGATGCTCGCAGGGACTAAGACGAGGTTGACCGACCGACCAACCAACCGGGACGCATCCAGGTGACAGAAGTAGACTCTGTGTTTCCTAGAATTATCTCTCGAAGAACTGAGCCTCTCTTTCCCTTTTTTTGGTCTCGGCTAGCAGATAAAGCCTTGATTCATCCAGCCATGCAGTCCGCACGTCCCGTGATAAATTGACACGCCACCGAGTTTTCTCAAGCCGAGAGATCTCTAACACAGGTAGGTAGTTCGCAGGATGTAGAAACGCTAGAGCAAGGGGAAGACTTGGCAGGTATCCGTAACCGTGTGTCTGCTCACGATCAACCACCAATCACACGTCTCTCATGTGAGCTACTGCTGCCTGTTGCATCTTGTAATCAGGGCCTCAATCCCGCCGAGAGGCTTAAAGGAGGAGGAGGAGGTTGAGGAAGGGCCACAGAACTTCAAAAGCTAAGAAACTGGAAAAAGGGGGAACTTCAGCCTCGTCACGTGGAATGGAGCGCCACTTCAACTTGCCATCGTGAGCATCAAATTGTCAGCCTTTGGATTTTTTATTTTCTCTCTCTCTCTCTCTCTCTCTTTTCGCATCAAACAATTACTTAAACCACTTCAAGAGGTGGGCTTGAGGCACAACGGTGCTGCACCGCGATCGTCTCCTCCAGAGGACACTTTTCGCAGTGACTTGCTGTCACGCTGGCCGGATGCTTGGAGGGATGTTGGATAGAGGTGGTATAGTTTCGAGGGGCCTCATGACTACTCGCATAACATGTTAGAGGCAAGGGCATTTACTAGGCAAATTGGCGCTTTTTCCATTCTCGAAAACTACTTCAGTGAAATGGTATTATCCACGTACCTCGTACTGCTACACTTGCTGAGCTGATACACAAACGAGCACCTGGATAAGACTGATAAACCCTTAGTGTTTAAGCTGAACCACTTGCAATGTGTAGCAGCTCCGTAGATGTGCCAATTAATACCGGCCGCGGATTTTCAGGAGACAAAATGAAACGAATGTGTTGGGTTCCTGAGAGAAATCAACCTGATTTCCCTCCCTGTCGACCGGAACTCATGCCTATTCTCGGGGTAAAGATAGGTTGCAATTTCCGGTCCCCTCCTCAAAGGTGCCCAGGGCACCCTCCAGTTTGCTTTCATGGCCTGTATAACTCGGGTTTCCACAACATTCCAAAAGCTGCTTCAAGAGCTGTTTCCAAAGCTGATTTCAAGGGCCCACATGTTCCAAATCGTCAAACTCTTGCACGATGAGGATTTTCTGTGTCAATGTTTCCTCCAGGTCCCATACCACCGGTCCGGATCTCGGGGAGATGCTTCTGAAGGCGCAGTCTACGACTGGAGTGTCTCTGACTCCATAGGAGCTCCGAGGAAAATGCGTTTCAGGTAGCTCTTTGGACAGCTTTACTCCCGGGAGAAGGGATCGCTCGTTGAATGCGGGAAAATCTGTACATCAAAGAAGGAGCAGCGACTGGAATTGATGAGCAATCCCTTCGTTTTTACGGGCATCGCGCAAGTGCACAGATGCGATGGAAGCTCGGTGCAACGACGGTGATGCCAGAGCTGAGGACGGTGGTCAATACAGTAGGGAGGAAGGAATTAGCAGCCCGTGGCAAACCTAGTGACCGAATGTAACTCTCGTCTGCCCACGGCATTGATGACGAACGCAGCCTTCATTCGAAACCCAGTAGCGGCGAGGGCCATATTGGCATTCTCATCTTTCGACAGTAATTCTTCACATATTTCCGCCAGTCTGAGGAGTACATTGTCTAGTTGAGGGATCAAGTCTCTCAATGTCGGACAGAGATGTGCTTGGTCCGGCTGGTAGTCATAGCACAATGTATCTACTTCCAGATTTCAAACTGATCTCGGGAGGGAGCGCAGGACACGTTTGACTTCGTCACGACGGAGGAACAATCCAATGGCTTTGGGGGACACGATCTTCGTGAGACACACGGAACGAGAATGCTTGAAGGTTCGACATGAGGCAAAGCATCATAGACAACCACCGCATAGCACTCCTGAGCTCTTTCATCTTGCTGTCGCTGAGGACAGACTCAAGCTCGTAATAGGCCGACTGAATATGGACGGTCAGAGACTTCGTCCATCTTGCAGCATCATTTGGCGATTCACAGAGTCTGACAAGCTGAGGACCGGTCAGCGTCGAATTGGGGTATAAAATAGATTCGCCAATATGCCGCCAGAGTGAACAGGTCGACATGCAGTTGAGGAGGGTTCCGTCAATGTCTGGAGGGGGATGAAATATGCTCTTTGAGAACATCCTGGAGAAGTTCGAGAGGAAGGCCCATTATCGTTCGGGGTATTTTGACATGGAAATACAGTAGCTGTCGATGTTGAGGAAGACTGTTGGCTAATATAGACCTTTCTGTGGTGAAGGACGTCGAAAGAAGAGCTTCATGTATGGGATCTGATTGGCATGAGAATAGCAAAGAATCTGTTGCAGCCACCGCTGTGGCGGAGGGCATGCTGCTAGAGTAGCTACTGATATCGTTGTGTCTGACCCTCTCGAAGGGCAGTCGAGCTCCATTCTGCAAGTACATTCGGAATCATGGCATTTATGTGCATGAAAGTGCGCGCCTGGCTGAAAAAAAAAGAAAAAAAAAGGTTCGTGCGGTAAATCGATCCTTACCGGCGAGGGTTTGAAGGGCGTGTTGGTCTTGATCTCTTGCCGTTTCGACTAGATTCTTCGATCAGAGATCTGGTGGTGTCAACGTCTTAAATTGACTGTACGGTCGTTTCTCGTTGTTGTTTGCGTCCCTGAGCAGTACCAATGCCGCATAATCTTGCCAACAGATCATCTTCAGGAAAAGCCAGCATGAAGGTCCCACAAAACCTCCATGTCAACAGTGCCTGACCTCGTTCCTGCTCCGCAGCACTTGTGGCGGACCAACGGTTGGTTTTGAGTTTGGAACGAGCCTGAGTCTTTTCGAAAGCCCTCTTGGATCACACCCGGACAGGCCGCAAACAGCCATTACATTTCATTGTGGACCAGAGGCTCTAGACGCGCGCCTCCACAGACACAAGGTCATTCGGGCGTGGTCGTTGCGATTGAGTCAATTCCCTCGAGGTTAATGGCAAGAGGGCCAACAAATCTCTCCCAGGTGGAGTCTCAGAAGGACATCCTGATTTCTGACCTTCTGTGGAGAGCAGAGCTTCGTGAACGGACCATTTACGTTGCCAGGGGTGTCCAGGTGTAGGAACTGCAAGCTCCAGTTCAACGTCCTCTTGCCCTTGAGACGGGGCGTCTGAGGTTAGAGGCGTCAACTTGTAATGGCCGCTGGGGTTCAAGCAGGCCTTCTCTTCACAAACTCCTCCAGATCACTCCTAGTGACGACGCCCAGTACGAATTTTCTCCCTCCATCGGTGACGACGGCAAAGTCTTGGTTGTCGCCTGTGGCTAACGGCCCGACGTCCTCGAAAAACCCTTCGAGCTCCCATAACTCCGTCTCCATTGTGACTACTTGGTATTTCCTTCCTCCCCCTCGCTGAAATTTTACCATGGCCTTCGATACTGGGTCAGAGGGCTGCAACAATCCTGATTCAAAGAGGTGTTTCAATTTCGAAACAGGCAGGTAACCCAGAAGGGAGCGATTGTTATCGGAGAGGACCGTCAAGTGAGAATAGTCATGAGAGGAGGCTGAGAGCATGGCAGAGGCAAGCGAGGTGCTTGGAGAAGTCGAAAGCGCAGGAGGAAGATCCAGGTCTGCTACAGTCGCCCCGCGGTATTTGTCTGCCCAAGAAGACAGTCTGGCAGCGTGTTCATCTTCGTCAGGGGGAAGTCCGTTGGGCTGAGGGACGATCGTTGGGCCCAAAGGTACGCCCTGCTCGAGAAGGGACTGAGAATGAGACATGGTTCGTTCTGTCGGTATCTGGGCAGAGTAATGCAGTGTTACAGATCAAGCAGGTCTTGTTTAGCATGCTATCATTGTTGTAACGAATAGACGAGCTTTTGGTGCCGGCTGAAATGAGGAGAACTTTGTTCAAAATGCAGTTTACTTGAATTTAGATCGATCTCGTGATAGTTGCGGCTTGGGGCCTATTTGGCCGGCCGTAGTGGTGACGTATTGGCCCTGGAAACCCTCGGACCTTCCCCAAGCCCGCAGAGACTGACCATTGTCACCACAGGCTTCTGGGGCCGGCAAGCTGTGGCGATAGCGCTCACTGGTGCCACTGACATAGCTTGGAACACCCCCCCCAGGTCCCCCTCGCGCTCGCATGCAGTTGCTCACTTCCTTGAACTGACTTGCTACCTCCCTCTCTTCACCTCTTGACTTTTTTTTAATCATCACTCGTCGCTCATTTCCAAGATACCTAACCATCTATCTGCCGCAGTCTACTGATTCATCAAGACTCGAGGTATACCCCTCCCCGGCTTACCTACCACCCCTGCTTCTCCCCCGAAAACAGCTCAACCAGACTTGCTCAATTGGACTTCCGGAGATAAGCTGATCAGTATACAGCACCATGGTCGGGCTCTTCCCCAACTCGTCGGCCTTGTGCCAGGCATTCACACCCACCTCCCCGTACTACAAGCCCGCTCCTAAACCCACTGAGAACCCTGAAAAGCGTCGATTCTTCTCCTCATGGAGTGCTGCCGAGAGCGCCAAAGGCAAGGCGGTTGAACTGAGCGAAGCTGCTCAGAAGGAATACGAGAAGGCCAGCGCAAAGGCCCAAGCCAAAGTTGGGGGCATCGAGCTCTATTCTGCCAAATACTATGCCGCATGTACCGTGGGAGGAATTCTAGCTTGCGTATGTTGATGCATTGCTCCTCTGCTGCGCTCCCGGAGTTAACCAACCATGTAGGGCACCACCCACGCAGCCGTCACCCCTCTTGATCTCGTCAAATGTCGTCGTCAGGTCGATCCCAAACTGTACAAGGGCAATTTCCAGGCCTGGAGTACTATTGCAAGGACTGAGGGCTTCCGGGGTATCTTCACAGGTTTCAGCCCGACCTTCGTCGGCTACTCGGTGCAGGGTGCTGGGAAATACGGCTTCTACGAATACTTCAAGCATCTGTACAGCGAGTTGGCCGGCGAGGAGGCCGCCCAGAAATACAAGACGACGCTCTATTTGACAGCCTCTGCTTCGGCCGAATTCATTGCCGACCTCGGTCTTTGCCCGTTCGAAGCCGTCAAGGTTCGCATGCAAACCACTTTGCCGCCTGCATTCTCCGGTACCATGAATGGACTGACGACAATCACGAGTAAAGAAGGGGTTGGCGGGTAAGTTCAATCTACGCGATCCAGTTCCAGTCTCGAGTATTGCTGACAGCTTCAGCTTGTACAAGGGTCTCTATCCTCTCTGGGGCCGGCAGATCCCATATACCATGATGAAATTTGCCTCTTTCGAGAACATTGTCGCCGCCATCTATAACTACCTGCCAGGCAAGAAGTCAGATTACGGCAAGGGTACTCAAACCGGTGTGGCCTTTGTTGGTGGTTATCTTGCCGGTATTCTTTGCGCGATTGTGTCGCACCCGGCGGATGTGATGGTCAGCAAGCTCAACGCCGAACGCGCCCCAGGTGAGAGCTTTGGTGGTGCCATGAGCCGCATTTATGCCAAGATTGGATTCATGGGTCTCTGGAATGGTCTTGCTGTGCGAATTGTGAGTTTGCGACCCCTGAGTTTGGGATTGAATTACGCACGCTAATCCTCGAAATTTACTAGGTCATGATTGGAACCCTGACCGGCTTGCAATGGATGATCTACGACTCTTTCAAGATCTTCATGGGCCTGCCCACAACTGGAGGCCCGCAGGAGAAGCAGCAGACTGCGAAAATGTAGAAGCGTTCACCAGGGTTACGGGGGACGGTGAAGATGAAGAATTACTTGCCGGGGCAGGGCGGCCATTAAATGAATTACTGTACAAGACTCCGGGCACTGGCTGAAAGAATGGGGGGCCTTTGATAGCTCAATTATGAATATCGGACAACCATGGGGATAATTCAATCTGTGACAAGCCTTACGAGACGTGCCCGTATCTGACCTGCTCGCTGCATGCCTGGCTCGGCAGCACTACTACGATGATGAACGGATGAATGGGGCGCTGAGATTGGCCATTGATAGCGCAAGGCTGGGCATGCGAGGTTAGCGAATCTTGGCCGACGTCAAAAGGAAGAGCTGGTCGTGGCTGGGGGGGGAACTTACTCGGTGTTGAGTACCCGTACTGAACGTCATATTGAGCAAACCGACCTTGACCGACCAAGGCGGCCGCCGGGCGCTGGGCGCTGGGCACTGGGCGCTGGGTGGAAGTCACAAGTCACACCATTATTTGCTTTTGCAGTTTGTCACTCACAATTGTCATGGCATTTCTTGGTTTGCTTGGATAGCCCCGAGAACCTTTGCCCATATCATCCCATATCAACGGCCACCGGCTCACACTCGTTTACATTCTGCTTCCTCCTCCAGATCTCCATAGTAGTCGCCCTTGACCCCTTGTACACTGCCACCACAGCCTAACAAGCGCAAGCTAACCAACCTGCACCCCGAGAAACACTGATACCACTACGGTAAGCAACCTCCCATAAACACTTCTTCCCCCCCAGCCTTGCTTCGGGCTTGTGGGGCCGGCTCCCTGTCTCCCTGTCTCCCTGTCCATCTTGTTCACCACTCGTGATTGTTGCGCATGCACAATCCCAACCAGAGGGATTTGTAACAGTCCTGGCTGACTTATACAGATCTCAAACCACTGCTTCATATGGCCAACGTCTCTCATGGCCGCGGAGGTAGGCTGCGCATCCCTCGAAAACCCCCCAACTCGACTTACTGATGTCCTTCAGGCGCCGCCAACATCGGGCCTGACGCCCAAACCTACGTCGACGGAGAAATTGTTCGCGAGGGACCCGTCGGCGACCAAGGTGACGGGCCATACTCGGCAGGTCGCGGTGGCGCAGGAAACATCGAGCATGATGGGAAGCCAACCTCGGCGGCGCCGCACGATACAGATGTAGTTCCTGAGACTGCCACTCGAATTGCGAAATTAGAGTCTCACCATGTTGGACGAGGGGGAGCAGGAAATGAAGCCCATATCCACGAGAAGAAGAATGATAGCTTGCTGGATAAGATCAAGGGATTCTTTGGATCTCCTTCGGCTAAGAAGTAAAGGTGAAGAAGAGTGTGGCCGAAGGAGTGACCAGAAGCCGAGAGTGCTGCCGTCAATACTTGATACCCTGCGACGATGGTGTCTCTAGGCGTTGCCGTTCTAGAAAGCAAGCTTTGGGCGTGAGCTTAGTTAGAAAATCTCGGACAGACTCACCACAGGCACTACGTCCCAGAAGCGCCGTGGCGCCCTTGATGAATCCGTCACGGTTTTTTTTTTCCCCTGCTGGATTCGAAGCTGTGATGGGAGCAGAGTCTCCCAAGATGCTGGCTGTCAAAAGGTGAAGGCACATCAAACCACAGTGGCAGCAGGGTCCAGACAATGGAGGATGTTTCTAATTTGAACCACGGTCTTTGCAGACAACAAGGCATCCTGAAAAGCAGACTCATGGGCGGTTGGATAGACCCAGAGACCATAGACCCTAAAATGCTAGGCTCATTGGGTTGGAAGGATGGGCACCCCAGCCCTTGCCAGCTCTTGCTCCGCAACCCAACTTGCCCCAGAATTCTTATCTCATCTGTATACATACATATGTATGTATCATCTACATATCCCCTCATGATCTGTGAACAGCAGCTGAAGATTCTTGTTCACCAATTACTGAGTAAGGTGCGAAGGTGATTACTTGCCGTAGTTGCCTCGCAAACAGCGCGGCCGCGTTATTTGGCAGTTAGTGGCGCTGCATCCAAAGCAGTTGCTTACCTTCACTTCCCTACACCCTTTTCCTACGCGCCGACCGTCAACCCTTAATCGTGTTTAGATCGGTCCAATCAAGATCGACCCAATCAATTCTCTTAAGCGCGTTAAAAGGGTTCTTGGTTTGAGTTTGCGTTCGCTATTAGAGCTTTCGCCTCCTGTTCTCGATGGCCTCTATTACTACAGATTCCGAGGAGTATCATTCCTCGAGCTCCTATCAAGAGACCTACACACGCGGAGGCGATGAGACCGACGATACTGGGACACCAGGGCAGCTGCGTGGGCGCAAGCGGCGCGCGAGTGAAATGGAGGGCGACGAGAGCGAAAATACAGCCTCAGGAGCTGAAAGAGCAAATCATTACCACGAAGTACAATCCGAAGCCGAACCTGAATACGAATATGAAGAGAAATCTGAATATGAATATGATGATAAATCTGCATACGAATATGAAGACAAACCTGAAGACAAACCTGCAGAGAAGACTGAAATCCCACAGGTCGACGCGGATTTCACTATCGTGTGTCCGGCGCCGCCCAGGCACAGGACCGCCACTGCAGAGGACGACGGTGACGTCGTGCTTTTGGAGGACTTTCCGCTGGAAATGGCTGATCTCTCCATCGACTTTAGTATAAGACCGGGCTCGGCGTGGCAGAGCCTTCGCAGGTTTAAAAATGCGCTGTGTAAGCATCAACCAGTCCAGCAGCGTCGTCCTGTACTGACGCGATCGGTGCCGCATAGTCAGCGAACCTTACAATGACAGCTACACGGTAGGCGAATTTGTGTACGTCAATCGCCATGACCCCGCCCCCCCTGCACCTCCAGCCGATGCATCAGAGGACGAGAAATTACAGTATGACAAGGACAACTTGTGGGTGGGCTTAATAGCAGAATTCAGAGGCGGGGCTTCAAGGGTCCTCGTCCGGCTGTTCTGGGTATACTGGCCACATGAACTACCCATGGGGCGACAGCCATACCATGGCAAACGAGAGTTGGTGTTGAGCAACCATGTTGACATCGTCGAGGCCCATACAATATCAGGGCATGCCGAGGTCAGCCATTGGGATGAAGACGATGACTCGAACAAGACCGTCCTCCGAGAGAGATACTGGCGCCAAACCCTTAACATCACAGCGTCCCCCGCTAATATGCTCAGCAAGCTCCGGCAATTCTGCACCTGCAGCGGCTACGACAATCCCGAACTGGACATGTACCAGTGCCGGCACTGCAGCACGTGGAACCACGAAGCCTGCTTGATCGTCGACCTCGAAAAGAGGGCGTGGAAGAAATTCAAGAAGGGGTTGTTGACGCACGAAGTAGAAGAAGTGGAACTTGAAGGAACGTGGACTGGAAATATTGTCGAGATGCGTTCCCGTGGGGTCAAGTCAACATCGAAGCAAAAGAAGCCGTGGAAAGGCAAACTGGAGGGCCGGATCTACCGAGCTCAGCAGATTGATGAAGATGAATACAGGCATCGTGCATTGATCCGACAGCTGGTGCCTCAAGGGAAGGACCAGAAGAAGGGTCCCTCCGGACCCGCGATATGGCACATGGAGATGAATTGTCTGAGATGCCACGAACCGTTGAATTGAGCATGGTGTTAGTACTGGTTTGAAATGAATACGCGAATACGCGATAAAATGATTTCGTTGAGAGGGCCCATTCCAGTTTCTGCACTTTGCCTTGCACCATGACTCGACGGTTTGCCATTTTGAGAAACAAAGAAAAAGCAGAGAAGCGGCAGGAATAGCAGTTGCCACTTGCCAGTCTCTTGACGTGGCTGCGGGGTTTGAGCTTGGACACGCATATCGAGTATATCTTTCCTGTTGTCCTTTTACAGGGACAAGCACCCATGATTGCCGTACGTATAACCCCAGCATCAAAATTAGCAAAATTGTTTCCCTTTAATGATCGACGGGGACTTTTTTTACGGGGAATAACCTGGAGCAGGGATAACTTCGTGGTTGATGCAATTGAAGGCAGTCAAGGACTCCCACGAGGTGCTCGATGACGAGTACAAGGCAAACAGTACATAGGACGGGGCAGACGGGGCCTGGATGGAGGTGATGATTAGAATGGCGGCCACATGGCGGTCACGCGATTTCACGTGACCCGGCCTCGGTTCGACGAGGAGCCGAATGGAGTATTTTTCGATTTGAGGCCGCTTTTCCTGGCGGGTTTCTGCCTATTTCGAGATATTGTCGGTACGATGTCATTGTGCGAAGGGGGAGGAGGCGAGAAAAATCCCTTTCCCTCCCCGCTTCCTGGCGTAAGTTTTGATTCGACGCTCTGTGTGATTCCAACGGGGCCGACTAGTCTTCAATGCCGTCGAGCCATCCACCCCTGCTCAAACATAGCAACCCTCCGCATTTCTCCTTACTAAACAGTTGGACTAGCACAGCTCTGTACGAATGAGTCCTCAGCAACCACGCCATGCCTGGGTTGTCCTCAATCCTCTTCTGCTCCTTTGTCTCGTCATCGATTCGCCCTTGCCCCATCAAACATCATCCCCCAAGATCTCGTAATCGGCTCGGCATTGCTATTCGGGCCCGTCTGCTCGCTTGTTTGCTCGAAACCCCGGGCCACCCTTTGAGCTATTCCCCCATGATGATGGCGCATTTTCACCACCATTGCCTACATTCTTTTAATGTAAACCACATATTCTATTATCCTTCTGACTCACGGACCAACGTGCCCAAGGCCTAGCCACTTTGACCACCCCCGATATCGGTTGTCGAGTTGACAAGGCTCTTCGTTTTTCGATGGCTCGGACTTAAAGGCGCGTCCGTACAAGTGCAAACTCCCATACAAGATATCACATACAAATATTGATCACTACTCACCACTGCCGCAACGGCCTCCATCAGATACATATCGCCACGAATCGACCCCTTCACAATCCTCAGTTGGCTTCAGAGCTTAAGGCTTGTTAGCCAATATCATTACTTTTATCCACCATGGCGGCGAACCTTGAGCCAGAGGGTGTTGCTCCGCCAGGCGCAATCCAACCTCTGAAGACAGACACCGCACGGGACGATGTACCTTCACCTGCGTCTTCCAGTAACCCTGCATCAGAAAAACTCCCTGACCAAGCACATGATGTCGCCGTGGGGACGCCGCGAGACAATGGATCACCAGTTGACGAGCTAACGCCTGAAAAGCCCGCTCTGCACAGAACAAAATCCAGAGCCTCCGAGTTTTCCACAAGCCGGATTGTCATTATCATGTTCTCCCTGTGCATGGCCCTGTTCCTGGCCGCCTTGGACGTCACCATCATCACCACAGCTCTCCCGACGATCGCCCAACATTTCCAGGCCTCAGCTTCAGATTACACCTGGGTTGGCAGCGCGTATCTCCTCGCAAACGCTGCAAGTGTTCCTTTATGGGGCAAGCTTTCGGACATATGGGGGCGCAAGCCCATCATTATGTTGGCCAATGGAATCTTCATGGCTGGGAGTTTGATCGCCGCCCTGAGCAACTCGATCGGTCTACTTATCGGGGGCCGAGTGATTCAGGGCATTGGCGGAGGAGGTCTCGTAACGCTGGTCTACATCTGCATAGGCGATCTATTCAGCATGAGAGAAAGACCCAAGTACTTTGGAATCTTGGGCATGGTCTGGGCAATCGCCTCGGGGGTTGGCCCCGTCGTGGGTGGCGCTTTCACCGAAGCCGCCTCCTGGAGATGGTGCTTTTATATCAATTTGCCGCTGGATGGTCTTTCCTTGGTCCTGCTCACTTTCTTCCTAAAACTGGACACTCCCAAGACGCCCTTCTGGGCCGGGATCAAGGCTATCGATTGGATCGGTGTCATCACAATTGTCGGAGGAGTTGTCATGTTCCTATTTGGCATGACCTCGGGAGGCACAACGAAGCCCTGGGACAGTGCCTACACGTTGTGCCTCATCATTTTCGGCGTCTTCACCATTGCCCTGTTCTTCCTAAACGAGTGGAAGCTGGCCAAGTATCCGGTCATCCCCCTTCGACTGTTCAAAAACCGTTCCAACCTCGCATCCTTGGGAGTCTGTTTCATCCACGGCTTCGTCTTCATTGCCGGGAGCTACTACCTGCCGTTCTACTTTCAGACCGTGATTGGTGCTAGCCCTCTTCTCTCTGGAGTGTATCTGCTTACAATGGTCCTCACATTGTCCTTTGTCTCGACATGCACGGGCCTTTATGTCAAGAAGACAGGTCGATTCCGCGACCCCATCTGGTTCGGTCTCTGCGTAATGACTCTTGGTTACGGGCTGTTCATCGACTTACCTTCCAACCCGGATTGGACCAAAATCATCATATATCAGATTATTGCAGGTATCGGCGTGGGCCCGAATTTCCAGTCCCCATTGATTGCATTGCAAGCCCACATCAAGGGCCATGACATGGCTGTAGCAACAGCGACATTTGGCTTCATCCGCAACCTATCCACATCGATCTCGGTTGTATTGGGTGGCGTGGTCTTCACCAACGAACTCTCCAAAAAGTATGCCAGCCTGGTCCCCGTCATCGGATCTCAGCGCGCGAGACTTCTGACTTCCTCCTCCTTTGGCGCCACCACCTCGATCGTCCGTACGCTCCACGGGCCCGCTCGCCACGCCGTCGACAAAGCATACACCGACTCATTGAGGACGATGTGGATCTTCTACACCTGTTTTGCGGCGTTTGGAATCGCGGTGAGCTTGTTCATCAAGAAGAAGGAGCTCAGCACCACGCATGAGAAGGCAAGAACGGGCATCGAGGAGCAAGAGCGGGTGAGACAGGAGTTACTGCGCGAGAGGGAGGAGAGGCAGAGGAGTAGGAGGGGCACGGTAGGAACAGACGTCGAAAAAGCCGTTCCAGCAAATGCCACCACAGCATAGCCGGGAGAAGGACCGCACAATTGAGAACACAGTACGGGCCGTCGCCACACGAAAATAGGTTGGGAAAAAGGTGACCGGAAACTTGGGCCATTTTTTCCTTTTCGCCATTTTTGCTTTTGGAAACGTAAGAGCGGGCATGCATAGCGAGCGGGCGGCGTTAGTCTTTTGCATAGATACCTGCATTCCTACATCCATGCACAGCTACCAACCCTTCTCCGTCACCCTTTCTTTTTTGTCTTTTTGCCGCGTAACTGCGAGAACGCGAGAAGGACATGAGACAGCTAGACCGCGAGAATGTGAAACCATCCCCCATCATCTCCCTCCCATGGTACCATAGCATAAATACATCATAACACAATACGCAAGTAGTGAGAGGAAATGCTCCCCTTCCCTTTTTGTTTGCTGGCGCTGTCCTGCCTTGCCCCGCCCATCTTAGTACTCCCTAACAGGAGCCCGTAGGCGGGGAGGGATGGAGGGGCTCTTGAAGGTCCTCTAGCACCCTGGGGTGTATGAAAAGGCAGCGGTACATAGCTACATGACTATATTATCGGCTCGACGAGACGAAAACGAGACCGATAACGGGGTCCGGATGGGGATGAGACATGACGGGACGAGCGGGTCCGGGGCGATAGAAAAATCGGAATATGGATACGAATACGAATAGGAGTGCATTTGGGAATGCATACTAGGTAGGTATAAAGGGGCGGGCCGACTAACTCCGCGCCAGCTGTGACGGTCGGCTGGTGTGTTAGACGTAACGAATACTATATACCTAGGTAGACAAGGGGGAGGGTAAGGCGAGGAGTGAAAGGATTGCGGTGCAAAAATACAGACAGACAGACAGACAGAAAGAAACAACCTTGGAAGGAAGACATGGAGATTCGTTCAAAATCAGCGGTTGGTGTGCGATGGTCTTTCCACGTCGGCCCAAGTCTTATTTCCTATCCATTTGTTTGCACTCGTCCATTATCCATCTACCCCAAGTTCGAGCATCGAAGGACAGGACAGACAGTCTAAGTGACTGGTACTGGTGTTGGAGGTGGTGAGAGCCTGCACTGTGGGAATCGCTAGCCATTTCCTCCTGTACTTCTCCTTCCCTTTCTCGCGCTCTCTATTCTGGCTTGAGAGTTGGAGATGAATCTCCCTTTGGGTTCATTAGCGGCGCAGGATTGGCGAGTATTGATGGGTATTGGCTATCCCTTTTAGCCGTCCACTTGTGTGACTCGTTCGCTTTCTGTAAGCGGCGAGGAAGGCTGTATGGAGCTCGGGCGGAATGTCGTGCGAATGCAGGTCAGAAGACCGTATGCGGCATGCTGTCGCTTTGAGCAGTATCGGAGTCCTGCTCGAGCCGTTCACACTCAATGTTTTGGGGGTTGACAGCTGGGATGAAGGATCCGTTTCTGCTGCTTGGTGTGGCGGGTGATTCCCATGAGCGTATGGTTCGACCAATTTTATTGGCATAGCTGCTCAGTTTCAGGGAGACTTGTTCTTGCTGTATGCTCAGCCAGGCAATGCTCACAGCATTCACGCTACTGTGTCGAACTGCGCTCACAGCCGTTCGCAACGCCCACGACCTTGAGACATGACTTTGGATGGTCGCTTTGCCGACCTTGGATCGGGCGCATTGATCTCCAGAGATGACTAATGTCCCTGTCGATTATGGTCACCTCCTGTCTCGTTTGCTTCTCCACCTTCCTGCTTTTCCACCTCTGCCACCCTTCCAACCATAGTCTTTGCGCGATTCTTCTTCCCTCTTTTCCAAGTCCGCGACTCTTTCTCTCCGATGTGCGTCTGCATCCTTCTCTGCTGCAGCCGCTGCCGCAGCCGCCGGCCCGCTCTTAAGATGAACCCCAAATTTGCACTCTTTCCCATCCGGACAGAATCCCGCCAGATAGAACTCGCACAGCTTCCTCCTCACGTGCCGGTTTGGACATCTAGGGCCCTTCTCGCAAAATCCCTTGTTATAATCTTCGCACATAGGCAGCTTTGAACCCTCCTTGACATGCACGTAGAGACACTCGTCGCCGTTCTGACAATAGCCATTTTGATTATAGAATTGACATTCGCTCATCTTTCGTAGGTTATATTCATGCAGGTAGTCGCAGGCATCGCCCTTCTTGCAGAGACCCTTGAGCCAATGTTTACAGACGTAGTTATCATTGGTGTGGCGCCCGTAGTGGTGTTGTTGAGAATGGGATTGCTGCGCTTGAGTGGGTGTGGGATGACGATCGGGACAGCGACGGCCGCGCGGACAGTGGCCTGTACTGGCGAAATCAGGGCACACGGGGACGGTGGAAGCGAGAGCGGCGAGGCCGTTGGTGCGCAAGAAGGGCGCAAAACTAAAGTTGTACGTTGGTTGAGACGGAGCGGCAGTCTTGGGAAGGGTTGATTCTTGCGCTGAGGGTGTAGATGAAGCTACCGACGCCATTGTCGGAGGTGGCAGGATTCACCTGAGGATTATACAGAAGATAAAGCTACCTCCCCTGTCAACATGGACATGCCGAAGAATATAAGTACACAGTAGGTGGCTGCGGAGAATGCAGCATCTGAATAGTAAGCAGTTCTGGTGATGGGTGTTGGCAGTGGTATCTTCTGGCAGCCTCGCAGCCTCGCAGCCTCACAGCCTCGTGATCATTCCCGAGGTATTACCGACGTTCACAAGTCAAGATCTGTTTGACCTGTTTGTTTGATTCCCCCATCGCTGCTGTTGCAGACAGATTGTGGTCAGCCTTGACAGTGACGCTATCTTCTCTACTTGATGGTGTTTATCCGACTTCTCACGAACAATCTCCCATGGAGACAGTAACAGTACCGGCTGAAGACCAGGCATTCCGGCAGGGATGCTCTTCGAGCACCTTCTACCGCGCCAGCTCGTCTACGACTGTAGCTCGACACAACGGACTCGAAACGGAAATTGTCGTCGAGGCGGAAAATGTATCCCAATTCAATCGTTTCTTCCATTGCCGAAACTAGACTGATTGGAGAGGCCGAGAGGCTCATACCGGCCCCTCTTCCCTAATCCACACACCCATTTTTTCCTTGCTGAGTCTGGTGGTGCTGGTGCTTCATCCGGTGAGATTCCCAAACTCCCGAATAGTCCCTCTTGACGAAGATTGACAGATGGCTCTCGCTCGTTGTTCTTCCGCGCCTCTGCCGCCTGCGGGGCAGTCGTCCCTCTTCCTTCTTCCCTCTTCTCCAATGCGCGCTGGCCCCTCTCTTGCAGGTCCCCACGTCATTTCTCATGTGCAAAACATGGTCTACGAAAACATTTCCTAAGGTCCTTTCCTGTCTTCTCTCCCCTCTCCGAAACAAAACCTCTGGGTCCAAAGCTGCAACATGTCCGTTACCACTCAAGCAACCATCGCCAGCTTCGGCGGGAAACTTCTCAAGCTCGCTCACAATGCTTCCACCACTGGCTGCGAGATGAAGTTCAATCTTTACCTCCCTCCTCAAGCCGCCACCAACAAAGTTCCCCTGCTGATATGGCTCTCCGGCCTCACATGCACCGGTGATAATTGTTCCGAAAAGGGTTTCTTCCAACATGGTGCTAGCAAGAGGGGTATCGCTGTGTTGTACCCTGACACAAGTCCGAGTACGTCCAATCAAGAATCGTCAGATCAACACCGGGACTGACAGGATACAGGGGGGATTGGCATCAAAGGCGAGGACGATGCCTACGATTTTGGTACCGGTGCAGGTTTCTACGTCGATGCTAGTGCCGATCCTTGGTCCAAGAACTACAACATGTACTCATACATCACCGACGAACTGCCCAAAACCGTCTTCGAAGCCTTCAAAGATCAGATCGATTCTAGCAAGGTTAGCATCAGTGGACATAGTATGGGAGGTCATGGCGCTTTGTCCCTATACCTGAAGAATCCGGGAAAATACAAGAGTGTCAGCGCCTTTGCTCCCATTGCCAATCCCCTCAAATGTCCCTGGGGCGAGAAGGCGTTCAAAGGCTATTTCGGTGACGACTGGCAGAAGCTGGGCGCTCAGCATGACTCGACGGAATTGCTCAAGCAGTGGAAAGGCGGCCCTCTTGACATTTTGATTGATGTGGTGCGGCGCCATTCTTGACCGTGTTTGTACACTACTGACCTGCTTAGGGTACTGGTGACAATTTCTATAAACAAGGCCAGCTCCTCCCCGAGAACTTTATCGCAGCTGCAAAAGAGATTGGACAGGAGAACGGTGTCCATGTAAGGTTTCAGCCGGATTATGACCACAGTTACTACACAATGGCGACTTTCTCGGATGATCACATTGACCATGCCGCGAAGTACTTGCTTGCATAGTATGTCCACTAATGTACGGGCACAATAGAGGCTGACAGGGATAGAAGCGGAATGAAAAAGAACCAGAAGCTTTGAATATACCGGTTCATGCATTGTGAAGTCTAGCCCTGGATTCACTGCTTCCCTATGCCACGTTTGCGCGATCCCGCGCCGTCTGCTTCCATCCCCCTCGTATCTCTATTTATACTCGCCAGTTCTGCTTGCTTCATCGCTTTCCTCCCCCAACGTTTGATTATCTGAAGTGGAGCACTTGTCTTCGGCTATGGGGCGTTCGAATTCCCCCGCTCAACTTTGACCCTGTCGTCGCTGCCCTCAGAACGATACATGTCTGTCTTCCCATTCATATTGGATGTACTCGCGGTCATGGCGGTAGTGGTGTTGGACTTTGGCTGCCTCGCTGTTACTAAAGGTGTATATACCCTCCTTCGACAACAACGGGCACTTTTGGCAACAGAGGGGGGCCTTCGAATCGGCACTCAACGTCGAAGTGTCGCAGTCGTTGAACCATCATGGACGGTCCATCGTTCCCCAGATGTGTAATCCATTGTCGTGAGAAGTTCGCACGTGACAAGACTGAATGGTGATCAAGAATGTTGGTGCCAGTCAACGTATCAACGGCAGGGACAGAGCCAGAGGCCAAATCAGATTGAATACCAAGGGGAGGGCTGGCGAACCTGCCTTCTCGACGAACGTCGTGAGCAGCAATGCCAATTACGCACAGGGTCTTTGCAGGAAACTGTTCAATCCCTTGCGAACCCACCGCATTTGACTGCCTAGGAAATGGCACGCATTGGTGAATCTCTCTGGAAATTGCAGAGATGCGATGTCCTTCACTGGCGCAGGAGTGGTGAATATATGTCGCTGGTCGAGCGATGACGGATCCGTGAGCGAGCTTCGCGTCTGTCTTCTCACGCGTCTCCACCAGTCACCCATCAGGCTCACCCATCAAGCTGCGCAAACCAAACCAATCGGCATGGCAGACGCACAATGCCCATCACTCCCTACATGAGTTGCTCGTGACATGTGGCCAGATTCTAAATATATAGCGCTTGGCGTGGACCAGGCAAGGTCGAGATACGTGAGTCCTCTGATGAGTCTCCTGGATATTTTAGCAGCCTCTCATTCACTTGGAGGTCGGGTCGAGAACTTAGAAGGAGCTCCGAGACATGAGCCCACGCCGTCCCTGGGTGCCCACAGATCCATCCGCGACAATGGCATGATCCATTGAGGCAAGATGAACCAGCCAGCGGTTGCCAACTTCTACTTGCATCAACGCGGCCCTGTCGCTTCGCGACCGCCTTCAGACTGCAGAGATCTCCTCCATCACCGACGTCCACGCAGTTTATGCGCACCTTCCTTCGCTTCGCTGCCGAGGGGTTTAGAGGTGTGTTCATTTTTAGAGCGAACTATTACTAGCTCTAGAGGCTAGAATATTATATGGCTTACTTCTCTTTTGTCGACAACATCTGGCGCAAGATGGGAACTGTACAACCCCACCTAGAGGACACCCCCTTACGGTCGACTGTTATTCCTGCAGACTGCGACGCGGCGCTAGCCAGAAGCCGCATACGCCACACCTGGATTCAGAGCACTGTGAACGTGAAGAACTTCCCCGTCCTCAAATCGACATCCCGCATGGACGATGGGGAGGGACAAGCCCCTGAAGACAGTGATGCGGAAGATGATAAATCGAAGGGGACGACGTCGACATCAAGCAGATCCTGCAAGACCTCCCACACAGCTATCCCGTCCTCTTGGACCGGCATTCAAAAGCTTTCTAGAGGGATGACTTGTTAGGCTCGGTCGCCCAAGACCACCGGTCGGGGCAACCACTCTCGAACACCAGCTGAACTTGTCAATCGAGTCTGTCAACACTGGAGATGACGGAGACACCGACAAACCCGTTCTCGCTCCGTACCGCAACCAAGGTCCTCCTGCCCGCCTCAACTTACCAACTGCACTCCCAAGTGACGACCAAAAGGTAGGCGTGGCGGACAACGGCGCCGGTAGGTGGACGCTACATCTGCAACCAAGAATCCATGACTGCGACTGCAGACTATGTTCGCAGAAACACATCGACAAGAAAATCGCATGTGCAAGATTCTTATCCTTATCCACAGCATTGGCAATTGATTCTGGCCGTCTGTCACCAGCTGCCCTCTATTATCAACTCACTAGAGAAACGCTCAGAATCAACATTGTCTTCAGCTCTATCTCATGTCATTTGCTTCACCTTCATGACAGCCGCCTCTTGCCACATTCTGCGAGATTCTCGGCCCCGTTCTCCAGTTCACCAGCCCGCGTCAACACTCCCCAACTGATCTTCTCTCCCTCTCTTTCTTTTCCTAGAGAAAGGAAAGGAGAGAGGACGACAGTAGCAAGAAGCCCAGACAACCCAGTCGGAAATGGGGACTGGCGAACTCAATGTCAAGGCTAATAATAGTACCGTTCATCTTGTTAAGAGACAAGGGATATAATTCCGAGAGCTCCAACATTGAAAGGGAGCCAACCGCAAAATCCTGTTGAAGGCCACCACGACGAAAGGTTCGCTTCTCAGAGAGGCAATCGGCCCTGATGTCTGTAAGAATTAGATCAACGCCGCGCCTGAATGGCTCATCGGACGTCACCGCAGAGGCTATATTCCATCATACCTTCAGTCTCTCTTCATCACAGCATGGACGGACTGCGTGATGCCGACGAGGGTGGTGGCCCCAACTTTTAATGATTGCGAGCCTGTGGGATAAGAGGAACCCGGCCCAGGTCTGGACGACGATGACATAGCATATCTCGGGGGCTACTACTACGATAGCGAATCGGGAAACCAGCAGGAGAGGTGGACAAAGGTGTAGCCTGCCTCTCAGACGGCAGCAACCCCTCTATCCACTCAAATAAAGGGGGGCATCGATATACAGACCTCCAACTCGTGCACAGTGACGGATGGTACCACTCATGAACCGCGTCGACAGCGAGTTCAAACCTGAAACCATCCAGAGCTTCACCCGTGGCCTATTCCTCCAAGAAGCCACCTTCAAGAAACGGTGGTTCAGCGTCAACATGTCTAAACGTGCACTCAGCATTAGATAAGTCGACACAGACACAAAGACAAACCACTACTACCCAGTAAGAAAAGGACGGGATTCGCTATCTGGGAGGGGACTCCTCGCGAAAGATGAGATAGGATTGAGAACAGGAGACAGAGAGAGAGAGAGAGGTCGTCCAATCCAATCCAATCGGGTTTCCGTGTTGAATCTCTTAGTCCCATCTAAGTTTAATACTTCGTCTATCCTTGACATACCGCGAATGTAGTATTCCGTCTATTTTGGAGGCACCAGATCTTTCCCACCATGATCCCCTAAACTGAAAACGCATTCAGGACACCCAGCAGTATATCCCTAAACGCCATGCGGTTTTTGTCTCAGTGCCTGTCTAGTGAAGTGAACCAAAACGGGCCTCATGTATCGATCGCACGTCTTCAAATCTCTTGTTCCGTATATGCGGACAGATCCCTCCACTTCCTACCGTAGCGATAAATTAGAACGGGAATCGGCGCCGTCCCGAGACTCAGCGCACACAAAATGGTGAACCCCCACCCATGCCCCATGGCCTTGACCAACGGCTCGACGCCGAGCGGCAAGAACGTCCCCATCAAGCACCGCGTGACGATCAGCGCGGTCATCGCACTGGCAGAATAGAGCTTGAACGCGTCCACGACATAGGCCATCAGCGGGATGACGCCAAGCGTCAACGCCGCGCCGAGAAATACGAGGATGAGGATCAAGATCGGGAGCGGCAGGCGGAGCTCGGCGGCCCAGCCGTACAGTGCGACCATGAATGGGAGCATGAAGCCCCCGACGATGGCGAGCGGGAGACGGTACTCGGGTTGTCCTTCTAGCGAGCCCTTCTGGGCGTCGCGAAGGCGAATGTAGATTCTGTCGAGGAAGAGGTTGCAGACCACGACACTTATGACGGATCCGATACCTGGAGAGAGCGACTTGTTAGCCAGGGTTGGGGGGGGGGTTACAGAGAGGAGCATTTTCACAACGCAAAAAGGGAAGGGTGAGAAATGTTGAAGTGCAGGGAGAAAAAAAAAAAAAAAAACGTACTGAAACTAATGAACATAGATCCCGTCAAGGCTGGTGAAAGGCCGTAAATCCCCTCCAAGATATCGGGGAGCGTGGTGCTCATGACGTAGAAATAGGTAAAGACCAACGACCCAAAGAGGGACATGGCCTGCAGCACGCCCGAGTCGAAGAAGACGACAAAGGGCCGCAGGATCGAGTCCCAGAACTTTTTGGATCCCTTCTCGTTAGCTTCGGCGCCGTCCACGTCCACCACGGTCCGCAGCGCAAGATTGCCGGTCTCCTTTCTCAACCGGGCGACTCTGCGATTGAGGATCGCCACTTTGTACGTCTCGCGGAAACAGGTGAGGAAAGCGACTTCACAGGCACTGGCCAATGTCACGCCCACCCACAAAACCTGGCGCCAACCCAACGTCTCGGCGATGGCACCGGCGATGGCGGGTCCGATTGCTCCTCCTAACAAGGGGGCGAGCATGATAAAACTCATGGCCGACCCGCGCTGTTCAGAGACGAACATGTCTCCAACGATGGCTGGGTTGAGAACATTCGAAGCGACTGCTACACCAGTCAATGCCCTCGCGACGATGAAGAGAGGCGTGCTCTGGCACAACGCCGCCAGAACAGTGGCGGAGATGAAGAGGACGTTGGCGACATTGAAGACGGGGTATCTTCCGAACGACTCGGACAGCGGGGCAAGCACAAGAGGTCCAAATGCCTCGCCAAACTCCCATATCGTGACAAGAAGGACGCTGGCGGATTTGCTGGTTGTGCCGTCGAGATCGTGCACTATCCGATTTGCAACGGGCACGACAGATATGCATGTGAACGTCCTACACAATGGGTTAGCTCGACTGCCAAAATGCGGTGAATCTTGTGACAAAGATAGCGAATGATTCTCGGTAAAAAAAAATAATAAGGATGATGTGGACTTACACGGTGAAAGCCATGAAAGCAAGCAAAGCCACAATCCCCCATTTGTAGACATTTGGCCAGTCTCTTGGATTCTCTGGATCGCCGTTGGCGTCGAAATCAATGATGTCTGTTGTGTGAGCGGCTTTGTCCGGCCTTTGCTGGGCCTGGCTCGCATTTCTAAGCAATGGTTGAGTTTCGTCCATCGCCATTGTCTATCGCCGACGGTGGGTGTCCCTGCTGGAAAACTTTTCAGTAGTGTAAGTGTTCCCGGTGAGATCAAAATCTAAAAGATCCAGGGCCACATATATGTATGGAGTACATGGAAGATGCAACGGAGATGACGGTGCCACCTTGGTGCGGAGAGTAGTGGAGGCAATTTTTTTCTCCCTGCGTTTAAAAAAACCGCGGCAGCGGCAAATACACCAAAGTGGTAGGAATATCATGAACTTTATGCAAGGCGTTCGTAACGGGGTAACATTAGGCCAATTCAAATAGATTGCTCCAGGATAAATCTGTGAGATGTTTATATTTGATCCATGTTAAGGCGAGAAGGGTCCCATGTCGGTCCAAGGGCGTAGATATGGCCTCGTAGAGTAATGGGTGATTTGTTCCGTCGATAACCGAAAAGAATCATGGTTGATAAGAAGCATGAACCAATGAGGTGTTTCGGTTCCTGGTCGAAACTTTTGGTTTAGCTTTCAAAGGCAGCTGGCTTGCAGTACGAGCAGTCATATTGATCGGGAACAGGCGCCACTTCCTTTAGATTTTTGAGGTGGCTATAGCGCAAGGCTACAGCCCCGTTGCGTTTGCCGATTTGTATATAGTAGATGTGAGAAGGACCAAACATGCAAAAAGAATCACCTTCTTTCGATCCCGTAGCCATTGAGTCATCTTGCGCTAGGCAGTGGCTCACCGCTCCATCATCTCTCCTTCCTCTGAGCCGAGTCGCAACCCCGATCCTTGTTTTCGAGAGGGTTGAGGGCCCGATCTTGAAGTGTGCTTTTAACGATGAGTATGGGTATTGCGTCGGAACTGATAGACACAATGATTGTGCATTTTCGAAGAGCCGTTAGTATTCTGCAAGGGAAGGCGTCGAGATTGATGATTTCAGCACCAATTTTGAAGGTCCAGTCAGACTGATCATGACGCTTTGTGGTCAGTCCTCCCAAGCCAGACACACAAGACCAATGCGTTTCGGGTAGAACAATGGACGTAAACCAGTATATCATTCGTCCTTTTGCACAGCTTAAGTGTCGGGCAGCGTTTGGAAATCATCTCCTGAATTTCTTGCTTGCTCCGGGGACGACGCTGGGTCTGATTCTAGTTGTACCAGAAACTTCCCAACCCAGCAGCGGGCATTCTGTCTCAAACAAGAGGCACCCGTGGCCCCAAACTTAGTCAGAAGAAAGAAAAGGGTTAGTGAAGGGGGATAATATGTGCGTCATCTGGTTGTGGCCGAGGATCAGGGTGATGGTGGTTTGATGCCAAGGCCGGAAACTTGGGGAGATTCCGCCGCCCTCGAACATGCCAACTGAAGGCTCTCGAATGATGCCCGACGCTGCAACAATCTCTGTCTCCGCAGAACCACGACGAACAATGATATTCCCTGTAATTTCTCTTCATGCGTTGATGTCGGCACCCATTCCTCACTGTGAATTTCTCAACAAGGCTCGGTTTCATCATGAACTAACTCCGGAAGCACGTGCTTCCACTCTCGTCACGCCCAAATGCGGTGACTATCTTCCTTGCCCAGTGTTCCTGAAGTCATAGCGCGGTGGGTGAGGAACACTGGTATTACCTGATGGATGAACAGGTCTGTTGCCTCCCAGGTCGGTCAGGTCTTGTTGCTAACCTGTCCTCAGATAATTTCGGCGATTCAAATCGCCTACGACCCCTCCGCAGACCAAGCCCTCAAACGACAGGCCTTTGAATATGTCAATCAACTGAGGCAAGAGCCTTCTGCATGGCAGCCATGTCTGTCCATATCATTACAAGTCCCTCGTCAGCCCATGGTCATTCGAGTTTACTGCCTCGAGATCGTCAACAATGCAGTCCAAGGAGGCCTGGTGGATCAACAAGGCCTGAAAACCATCAAAAATCAGCTCATGACATATCTGCAAAAGTTCTATGGGGCAGCAGGCCAGACAGACGTGCCAGATCCTGGGACAATCGTCAACAAGTTTGCCCAGACAGTGACATTCCTATTCTCAGTCTTTTATGGCTCCGGCTGGGAGACTTGCTTTGACGATTTGTTGGCTCTTACCACAACAGGAACCGGCTCAAAGGACAACTACCCGGGGCTAGTCTTCTATCTAACAGTCCTCAATGCTATTCACGATGAAATTGGAGATCAGCTGCTTTCCAGGTCTCGTGCTGAGCAGGACAGGGCAAATACTTTGAAAGATTTGATTCGAGCCCGAGATGTTCAAAAAATCGCCCGGTCATGGGAGGAGATCTTGTCCCACTGGGGGACTACAAATGATGTCGTGGCCGAGCTGTGTCTGAAAGCCGTTGGGAAATGGGTTAGCTGGATCGATATCTCGTTCGTGGTGAATCAGCCGATGCTCGAGCTACTATTTCAGCAGCTGGAACGGGCCCAAAAAGTCGATCCTCGCAAAAGTGAGGAGCAAGCAAGAGATGCAGCCATTGATGTATTCACGGAGACGGTCGCAAAGAAGATGCCATCCGCGGACAAAGTGAACATGATCACCTTTCTAAATCTCGAAACAGTGGTTTCACGTCTTGTGACCTGCCCACCTTTGAGCGACAGCAGAGCCTCAAATTATGATGTCGACCTTGCTGAAACAGTTGCCAAATTGGTCAACACCACAACCATGGACATCGTCAAAGTGCTGGAAACAGAGAATCAAGGCTCGGAAACCTGGGCAAAGGCCGAACAGCTCCTGGCCTCGTTTCTACCACATCTGCTTAGATTCTTCTCCGACATATTCGACGAAGTCTGTTCGACGGTGCTCAATGCCATGAACGATGTTCTCACATTCCTAAGACGTGCTAGCCAGGGAGAGGCCGCCTCTGTCCAAAGAGCAGCAATGCTCCTACCCATTCTCAAGGCAATATTCATCAAGATGAGGTACGATGACACTGCCGACTGGGGCCAGGAAGACGAGCAGACAGATGAAGCAGAGTTCCAGGAGTTGAGAAAAAGATTAGCAGCCTTGCAGTCAGCAATTGCTGCCGCGGATGAGCAGCTCTACATTGATGCAATTTCGGCGCTGGTTCATGACACATTTCAGCGGCTACGATCAGAAGGATCCCAGCTCAACTGGCGAGATCTAGATCTTGCCTTGCATGAAGTCTATCTGATGGGAGATTTGGCTGTGAGGGGAGGAGGCTTGTACCAGAAGAACAAGCCAAACTCGCCGGTCGCAGAAAAGCTGGTCCGGATGATGCTGGAAATGGTGCAGTCAAGTAAGTGAAAGTGCCCCGGTCTTCACCAAGTTCTGCTGACAATTGGTAGATACAGGCTCCTTCGCACACCCTGCCATACAGCTGCAGTACATGGAAATAAGCGTCAGATACAACTCGTTCTTCGAGAAGCATTCCGAGTACATTCAGCCGGTTTTGCGAAACTTCCTCGAGCTCGCCCACCATCCAAGCCTGAAAGTCAAGGCGCGAGCATGGTATCTCCTTCAACGCCTGGTGCGTCAACTTCGCGCTTTTGTGGGAAACGCGGCCGAAGCGGTCGTGCAGAGGCTCCAGGATCTCCTGGTCATACGAGCGGAATTGCCGACCGAGGAAGACAATGATATGTCTTCCAACGATGATTCAGCCGCTGACTCTACCTTCACCAGCCAGCTGTATCTCTTTGAGGCTGTTGGTTGCATCTGTGGTGCAGCCACAGTCCCTCCAGGCAAGCAAGTACAATATCTATCTGCCGTCATGCAGCCGCTCTTCGCCGATATCGAGCGTAACCTGGAACCGGCTAGATCGGGCAATGAACTTGCCAGCCTTCAAGTCCATCATGGTATCATGGCGCTGGGTACAATTGCTCGAGGCTTCTCCGACTTCAATCCCGGAATTACGACTCAAGGGAGCGGAGTGGAGCCGTCGCCACAGGCGAAACAGGCATTTGCACAAGTCGCCGAGGTGACTCTTGTCTCTCTGACAGCCCTCAACTCGTCCTTCCAGATCAGAACCGCTGCAAGGTTCGCGTTTTCACGGCTGATTGGGATGGTCGGTACCCAAATGATGCAACAGTTGCCCCAATGGGTCGACGGTTTATTGACAGACTCTTCTACCAGAGACGAAATGGCACTCTTCCTCCGACTTCTGGACCAGGTCATTTTTGGCTTCAAGAACGACATACAAGACTTTCTCGACCGGCTGTTCTCAGGACTGCTTCAAAGAGTCTTTGCTGGCATATCCGCAGCCACTTCAGGAACGGACGATGAAATAGAGTTGGCAGAGCTGAAGCGAGAGTATCTTAACTTCCTAATGGTCATCCTCGGGAATGACCTCAGCGCGATTTTGGTCAGCGCCAGAAACCAACCGATCTTTGAATCAGTGATCAGCTCCATCGAGCATCTCGCGAGAGATGTGGAAGACTTTCCAACTGCGAAGATGGCATTTATACTGCTTTCTAGGATGTGCACAGTTTGGGGAGGGCCTGATGTGGTTTCTGCAACTGGCCGGGTGAACGGCGATATCCCTGGCCCGCAGCCCGCCCTTCCGGGCTTTGATCAATTCATGATCACCCGGTTCTCGCCATTGTGCTGGGCTTTGCCAACTAATCCTTCGTTTAATAGCAAGGATGCACAGGCGCGACAAGCTCTTTCCGAGGCTGCTGGTCTTCAAAAAACTATCTACACAAAAACAGGTCAGCAATACCTGACTTGGTTGCAAGAAAAGGAGTTGAGAACAATGGGCATGAATGATACCCTGATCAACGAGTATTTGCAGAAATTGGCTACCATGGAACCGAAGGCGTTCAAAATCTTTTTTGCGAAGTTTATCGCACAAGGTGGCCAGATGTGAAGAGCGTTTGAAAAGCATGATTACCCCGAGAATGAGAACGACGCTGCATATGATACCAAAGGATTTTGTTTGTTACTCAAGATGCATATGGACCCGAATGAATGATGGTTCGCTGGACCTAGACAGAAAAACTCAGCTACAATAGAACAGTCAAGTGTGCCCTATTCCAACATGCTGCTCTCGGCTGGTTTGCGCCGGGGATGGTATGCGGTGTGACGGTGCATATCGATACATCTGAAAGTCACCCAACACTTGAAGTTGTCTCTAAGCCATCAATAACGATTAGTATCTCTCATTCAATTCAAATAAAAAGAGTTGTAGGTACACCGTCAGCTGAAGATCTTCGGAGACTTGGAAGACAGCCAGACGGTTGTTTTTTGGCCGGATAAGGCTCGAACGAGCTTCCACAGCCTTGCGAAGAATAGTTGCCAAGCCTTCGGCTGACCTTCCCAACCGTCTTCCCACATTCGACATTTTGGCCGAACTTTTGCACCACCGAGTGCGATCGATCCGTCAATCCAGCCTCCAACACTTCCGATCAATCTGTCGTTGAGAGTTTCAAGATGGCCAGTAAGTTTTTACGCTTGCGCATAATTGTGGGAAATCGAGGCGCTGGACTAACTGCGCCTAGAATCCAAGAACTCGTCTCAACACAATCAAGCCAAAAAGGCTCACAAGAACGGGTATGAATTTTCGTTCTCCGCAAGCGCAGCGGACGCTTTACTTGAGATCGCTTGCTCACAGACTGTAATTGGTTTGACTGACATGGCTGCTTAAAATAACAGGATCAAGAAGCCCAAGACCTTCAGATATCCATCCCTCAAAGGCACGGATCCCAAGTTTCGAAGAAATCACAAACACGCCCTGCACGGAACGATGAAGGCGCTCAAGGAGGTCCGGGAAGGGAAGAGGGATGCTGCATAAATTCGAAAACGGAGAGTAAAATTCTGAACAAAGCATGAACTGTGGTATGTGATGTGCACGGAAAACCGAAACGACATTTCCCACGGCGTCTAGGAAGACAGGTCTCTATTTGCGATGCAGTGATCCAAGGTGACGGGAGTCCTCCAGTTTGGGTGACCGAGGCTGTTTCGAACAGGAACCGGCATGCTTTCGGACGACCCGATTACTGAGTTGAGATGAAGATGGACAATCCGAAGAAAGACTGAACCAGAAATACCCAGTTCGCAAAGCTGCTTCACCAATTTCCCTTTTTTCCCACAGTTGAACACGATTTTATGACCCTTCGCAGAATCTCTGGTCAATGGCATTTGTGTGTACAGCGTCGTGTCTATCTCTTCAATGCGCGATGTCTGAAGGAGAACAATCTTTCGTGCCTACATGGAGCTTGGACCTTCCAATTACCAAACACGGCCCTCCCACTGTCGATGGAGGGTTGTGCATGGACGGGAGGTGACAATTAACTATACCTTGGTTTATGTTTTCGTCGGGGCCGAGGAGGAAGTCAGCCGGGAGACCTGTCCGTGACGCCTCGGCCTCACACCAGTGGCCATGAATGGACGGATTCCGAGCCCATCCCAGGTCCGTATTCAATGCCGGATCAACACGGCCCTTTCATGGTCAAGGCTTATTGAACACAACTGCAAGCTCAACGATTTGTACGTATCATGCGTTGCAGAAACGAGCCATTCATGACAATACGTCAGCTCTAACTAGGTAGGTGATGATACCCGTCTTTGTGCCTATGGTTTTGGTCATCGCAATGGCAAGCTCCCGTTGGTGGCGATATCTACTGTCGCAAGTCCAGCTTAGCCCGGAAAGGAAAGCACATACAACCCTTTCATGAATCCTTCCACACAATCCTGCGCCTGTGGCTGGATGTGATATTGCTTGTTATTCGTCACGTTGCGGACGGCGCGCTTCGGATCCGTGACCTCTTGAAGGCTTCTACCGAGTACCAGGGAGTGAGGAATTGATGCCCTGCCTTTGTTAGAGACGGCCGAGAGTCGGAGCCTTGATATGCCAGCATTCGAAGTAATAGCTTCTGGCCTTTTGCTTTTAAAGGAAATGAAGTCCGAGAGGAGCAGGAGGTGCGACACTCACGAGATTGGGTTTGCTAGCAGTCCTTGCCGTCGCCGTGAAGAAAACCACAACAGTTGGGATGCGATCGTGAGTCGTTTTCTGGCCAAGCAGCCGTATTCGTTTAATCCACACTGGTGACGGAGTACATTACTTAGGTCCATTTCCTAGTCTTTCAGGGATTAGGGATATATCGTCTTGTACGAGGTACCGGTACATTCCCTGTCGATTCTCTGCCATGCCTGTCAAGGCGTGCCACTGTTGTGCTTGCAGAATGACCACTCCATGCACGACGACGATGTCATATTACGCATGGACGACTCTGCTTGATCCATGCACGTCTTCCTCAGGGCATTTGGTAGTGTCATGGAGAACCCACGGCATGGCAGAGGAGTCGGCTTTGGCCTGGCCAGAATCTGAAACATCCCGTCTCGATAGAGCACAAAACAGAGCCAGGCATCACCACAGCCAAAGCGAATAGTGGAACACTTCTCGAAAAGCCATATCACTGGACATGATGCAACGGAGGGCATGGTTCCTGCATCCGCGTTGAAGAATTGCGGTTCAGGAGAACGAGGTGCGAGTAAGCGCTACTGCGCTAGGGAATCCTTCCGAATATGGCATAGTGAGAGAGTGGCCCTCCGAGACCACACATCGAGGTGGCTCTTTGTTGCTCTTGGTGGCTCTCGCAGCCGCCTCCGGTGTTTCTTCGACGTTGTTTCTGCCCAACTTCGTGTGGCCCCTGGACTGTGCCATAAGTAGCGAGATGAATGCATGACATTCCAGGCATCACAGGTAACAGCCATGTCGTGTGCGGCTTTGAATACATACGTCAGTCTGTCACGACCAGGTACTTACTTCTGTTCCCACGCAATACGAGCCGGATGAATCTTTGATGAGCAACCACCGGTATATTCGAATGAGAGTTGGAGGCGCAAAACGGTGGTTGCCATGAAAGACATTGTGACTAACAGTGACCTCGTAGGTACCCAGTACCTCGTACCTCGTCCAGAACTCACACTCATTGACCCCTCTTTGGTGTAGTGGGTCTCCATTCGCTCATGAGAGTTTCATGATGGTCTTCGAGCAGCGAGCAGCGAGCAGCGAGCAGCGAGCAGCGATGGAATTTTCTATCACAGTTCCTTCTGTTTCTGGATAACGAATTTTTCAGTCTCCTGTACTGGGTACAGTACTGGGTAGGCCTAGTTCCACATCAGCTTCGTGCCGGCCGGGACCGTTTCCTAGGCTCAGGCCCATGTGGCATTTTTCAACTTCCGGCATGGGGATTCCCTCCATTTTCCGCAGCACAAGCGTGTGTTCGTAGCTACAAATACCTAGGTAAGGCTTGATGCAGCGCAAGCTTCCCCTGGCGAACTTGCATGATCCAGCATTCCTTTGGACCGGCTTTGTGGGGACGTCGACCTCGGATGTCGAAGGACAATTATGGAAAGGTCTACAGACGCAGAAACCCCTTCATGGGTGGTTGTTGAGGGTGTACGGTGGAGGCCTTCAAGTTTCAAGCACGAAGGTCAAGCATACTTTAGGATCCCTGCAAGAAGGATCCAGCACGCATGGGTTGGTGAGTCTGCAGGGACCCAGTATGGGGCAATGATTCTCGTCGACCAGCCGAATGGACCGCTCCTCACCGGGTTCCTCCGGTTCCAGATAGCTGGGAGCAGTTAAAGCCCTAACGGGAAGCGGAATGGAGATTCTGGGTCACCACTCACAGAGACAGCGAAAGAAAATAGCACCACAATGTCCACACGAAACAAAAGCGTTGGCTGCTGTTGCAGAGTCCTGAACGTGACCAAGATTACTGGGGTCGCCGATCTTCAGGATGGAACCACCTCCTACATGAGACGTCAGCTTTTCGAACATCTCATAGCCCAAACGCGAGGGCGAGTACATTGACCTTCAATGCGACGCTGCTGTACTCCCATTGTGGTCCTGATGCAGAACACTGTTTCGGGGCTCCGCGACAACTTGCCTTCATCATACAAGTAGAGGCGAGTGCAGTAATGACGATCTGTGTCAGCAGCAAGAATTCCTTCGGCGGAGTGTCCTCGCCAGTGCTTCCTGGCTGGGATTTGTGGGTGAAGTTTCGTATAGTGGAATCTGCCGTCGTCAGATTTTGAAACATGCTCTGGAGAGGACCAGCGTGGGCCGCCAGCGTTGTTTACCTGGTGAGCGACCCTTTATCGCTCTATGGTACTGAACCTGTTGGATATTGCAACCGGCCCGGTATTTCTCTCCGTCAACTGTACCATGGTGGGACCTTTAGCACATAGGATTATGCTCCTGGGTATTTGGCATGTCGCGACACAGTACCCCGTCTGCATGAAGTTCAAGTGAAGGATTTGCCTAGCCCCTGGACACTCCCTTGTGAACCCTACAGCAATCGAATACCTCTTTTTCCGATATCGTATCCAGTGTGGCAACGAGGTTCTCAGACACCACGCAGCCTGAACCTTGCGAATCCAGCACCTCGTACTGACAGGAGCATCGGGTCGATTTTCAGCTCTAGGACTTGCTTGGGGGAACACCCATCGAAGAGATTGAAGGGCCTCATTGAGCTCGTTAGGTTTGCTCCGTGCCTCGCGCCTGTATGGACAATGTCAAATTCCGAGACGAATTTGGGCAAACGAGCAATTCACTGATAATTGTCCATTGGGAGTAGCTTCGGTAAGGAGAACAAGGTGGTGCTTCTCCATTCCAAGCAAATGTTTTCCGGCAACGCTCGACGCCAGCTTCCTTTGGACGAAAACCTCACTGGTTTTCTCCATAATTTCGCACGTGGCATGGCGCGTCGTGTCGAATCCTTGGGCTCACGGAGATGGAAAACTCTCATTCGATTTTCGTCACACTTTCATGACAGGGCTACCCTTGGGGATGTGTTTGCTTGTCCAGGAAGCCTCGATCAAGTCCGACTTTGAGTTTGAGTCGAGGTAAGCAAGTCGGCCTTGCGCAGGACGTGGAGGCAAAATTTGTTTGCTCCGAGCAGGACGGTTCCGCCTCATCCGCACGCAGGATTTTGATCATCTGCAGCAAGTCATGCGCTGGAGGGAGGCCAAGAACGACGTGAGAATCTCGATTTCCCAAGGTCAGCAGTCTCCCTCGTGGCACGTCTGGCTCTCGAAATGTCCAGTCGGCGCGTGGATGGCGTGATGCATGCTTAAATTGGCCAGCCTCAGCCTCGTCCGCCTCCAATTTGCACCGCGGATACGCCATCGAAAGTTTGTTGCACGTACCACCAACTTTGTGCCAGCCCATGGTGTTCAGAGTTCCAACCCCTTCGTCGCGCGAAAAGCACAGACAGATCGGTAAGCATGCTGGGCTGATGATGGCAGATGCACACAGGCACGCAACGCGCCGTTAGATTTCCTAGGCTATGGAAACCATGTGCCTATGCATGTATGGGGCCTGGAGGCTTGCATCATTCGCGCGGCATCTGATCTCGCTTGTCTCAGAACGTCTTATTCTCCGACGTTACGAACACCGCTCTGAACGGCAATCATTATGTACTACACCATCGTCTTCGATTCATTATCATTTCTAAAACGACGGAACCTGTGTTTCTACGATTTCTTCCCTTTTGGCTGCCTCAGAACGCCAGATCCATGAGGCGGCTTCAAGCCACCCACATCCATCGAAAATCAGCAGTTATGTCAATGCAAGCGCGTCTATCAATGATCGCGTTGTTGCGGCCGCGTGAGCGAGCAAACAAGAAGGCAATCAAGCAAGCAACCCCTCCCCCGTGACCATGCCCCGAATCCTGATAAGGGTTCTCGCGCTCGGACTCTTCGGGAAATTATATCCCATCTACGCATGTACTATGCGTGCATTGTTCTTGTCCTGCTCGGACGAAGCTGTCTCTCGCTCGCTCGCTTGGGTTCGGTCGGTTATCTTGATCACAAAAATATTTGTTGGAGACACGCGAAGGAGCCACGCCCGCCCCCAAACAAGCACGAGTTGCTAGATAGTACATATTACATATTACATACATGGAAGGAAGGAAGGAAGGAAGGACCGCTCGTGCATACACATGCAGTAGGCGTCGAGATTACGCGAGTCAGAGTTCGCACGACTAACTACTCCGTGTGTTCCTGCACAACTCACCTGGTCAAGGCGCCCAGGACATGGCTGCCTTTTCTTTCGCCGACCGATGGATAATTACACGCTGGACTCTGTTCGTCGCAAGGAGTACAGAGAAGGGAGTACATACTCGCACTACTGCTATATTTATGATCCCGGGGGAGGGGAACAGAGTGGGCGAGTACCCAAGTACCGAGTACGGGGTACACAGGAATACTCCATGTATGTACGTTCTGATGTAACGCCCCTACTACTACGGAGTCCCTAGGTACCAAGGTATGTAGGTACATACTTGAGTAGCAATACTACGGCATCGCACGAGTCTCGTAGCTTTTCGAAGGTTCCAAAGCAAGATCACTGCCGTGGTTCACATGGTAGTAAGGGGGTTCAAGCCGGGGGTTTTCATCGGTACATACTTTGACAGATCGATGAAATCAACTCCCCCCCCCCCGGGGGCCCGCTCGGGAAATAAACCCAGCCAGGAAAAGAAGGTCGCAGCGCTGCAAAAGCTTCACTGCCTACTGTACCAGGAAGTACCTACAGTAGGTACAGTCATTACATACCTAGCCATAAACAGATAAGCTTCGTCTCAACAGGGGTGCGCACGGAGATATCATCGATATCAGATCTAGTCCCAGAGTTAGCGAGTCGGGGGGGGAGTGTCATAATCTAGCTAGCCGCGCGGGAAGAGGTCGTAATGACCAGTTTGGCTGGTGGCAACAAGCCTTTCTATTCTGTCTATCTGAGCCCAGAGCAAGAGAGTCAGAGGGACTCGAACTATCTAAAGAAAGGAAAGAGAGGGGCGAGGTTGGGCTAGTCCCAATCTCGACTAGTACGTACGTCAGGTGACATAGTCATGTGACAGGGAGAGGGGGGTGTGCCAGCGCCCTGCGGCGAAAGTATGTACTGTAGCACATTAGTATTAGTATCTCGGCGCATACTTAGGACTTGTAATTTCTCGATTGCCGTTCGGATTCGGGTGTCCATTCGAAAGGGAGGGTTAGGTAGCCAGCGACATACGCAGTCGAGGCTGAAACACTGGGGAAACCAGAGTGTTGGACCTTAGATCTTGGATGCTGAGTGAAAGGGTGAATACTTTCAATGGACTGCATCTATCGGTACACACACACACAGACATCTTCTCTCACGTCGACAACTCCTGGACATTGCTTCCCCTCATATCTTACATCCCCAAACGTCAGGCTGCCACTGGACACAACCTCGCCTGGTCTCAGTGCTGATTTCCTCCCCTTCCATCCTCTTCCTCGTTCGAAAGGAAAATAAACAGGCAATTCCAGTAGGATCCAGCCCCTCTTGCCATGGATTAAAAAGGGTGACAAGAGGGATCTTCTTTTTCCTCTCTGTACAGTATGGTGAAATCCGGCATCTTCCACTGATGTCCCAATCCAAGTCTTCGCCTCGTCGGTCCCGTGGCCGCCGACTTTGCTTTTCTCGCTGTGAAGCGTCCACTCCTCTGTATTGGCCATGCCGAACAAGTGGAAACCAAATACGTTGACTCGAAAGTGCAACTCTTGAATGTTGAACAACCATGATGGTAATTCGAGAAGAACGTCAATCCAACGGCATCTTGTACATTCCGTTGCCTCCCCATGCTTCGTTTCCCATTTGTACACCACAACGTGTTCAGCGTTGTGTTTTCCTCATCTTCAAACATTCCCTTTATTGGAACATGGAAGTCCGCATAAATTCATAATGCATTCAAAACACTGCAGAATTTCGGATCGCGCAAGATATGGTCAAACAGCCGATGCCGATCCGAACGAGATGGTCGCAAAATTTTCGCTTAGATCACAATCAATCCTCGGCGCCACACGCTGAAATGTGCAGGAAGAGATATTGCTGGATAAAGAGGGTTGGTGTCAAAATGATATGTCAATTGTTTTCATCCCGGGTATATATTCATTTCACCAGCTTTTCCGAATAATTCCATTGGTTTGGCATGCGTCAATTTTGGATCCCAATCCTTGTGTTGACTCGGAGGCATGGGATGGGAATAGCTCGATACGGGGGTGACATAGGCTCGCCCCGAGCCGTAGGGGTCTTGCTTCGTGTCCGTGGGGGAGAATTCCGTCCGCATTCTTGGGCTTGTCAAAGCGCGATCTGGGGTTGTGATGTTCAGTTGAGGCGTCGCTCCGCTCAGCATTTCGTACGTACGAGGGTCGTTGGAGAACCGTCTGGCATCAGCCGAGACAAATTCATTCTTTCGAAACAATTTTGTTCGGAAAAATTCTGCCCAGCCATGGGTCATAGACCATCGCCCCATGAATATCAGGCACCAGAAGCCGCTCAACTGCAACACCGATTAGAACACAAAGGGGACAGAGGGTATCAAGCATCTTACCCCAAGAACAACGAGCACCGCCAGAACGATCCCCTCTGGTTTGACCAGTCCGCTTGCAAGCGATAGGCATTTGTTTTTGTCTCCTTTGTTGGCAACCAAACACGTGAGCCAAGGCTCCGACTTCTGCAAAAGCCCAGCATCGACTTGTGTACTGTTGTCCATGGAGACAAAGATCACCGAGAAGAACACGACTTCTGCAATCATGACGAGCACGATGCTAGCTCCACGCCATTGAAGCTCGATCACCCTCTTGACTCGGCGATAGGTCTGTCTCGCAGTCACCGTCCTCATACTCCCTTGATATGTTGGCGGCTGCGAGCTGGTATTTGTTGTTTGTTTGTCATCGAGAAGGCTCTTGACATAGACTTGAATGCAATAGCCGATTGTGACGAACTGCAGCACCAAAGCTAAGGCGGCGAAAGCCAAAAGCGGCCCCCAATAATCTTGAAGAGCATCTTTGTGGTTGATGTGGCAGACGTTGCCGAAGCGGAATGAGACTCCAGTCAGGCTGAGAGTCAATGCAAGGCCGACAACGGGGACCAGCCATCCCAACACCAGTGCCGTGTAGAATGATCTGTCCCCAAGCGCCACCTCCCAGCAAATCTGGAGATGGAGGGCTAGGGCTCTGCAGAAAACCCAAATGACAACGGCCCAACCCCCAAATAACAGAAAGGCGCCGCTAATTGCGCAAGAGCCGCTCGATTTCATATCATTGGGAGTAATTTCGTTGAAACACTGTGCTGGCTTTGTGGCCAACGGGATAATGAAAGCAAGCTTAACATGAAGAACATTAGCCGCCGTTCCAATGCGCCAGCGGGTTTCACCATACCTCCAAGAAAACCACTCCCAAGGTCAAACAGACACTCAAATAGTGTCTATGAGTATATTTGACTGGAAGAACAGCAAATGAAAGAAGAAGATATATGGAAAGCACAAAAGCTGCCACATTTACCCAGTTGGCGATCTCGGTACGGGCTTCAAATCCTGTAAGAGGTCAGCAGGTCGACATCTTACAGCCTTTCCTGTCCTCCGCTTACCATCCGAGTATGTCCAGTCTGTCATCGGGCAGGGTAAACAGCAGGTGAGGTTGGGCTGAAGCGTGGACAGAGGCATGCAAAATCGTCCCTCCATAACTGAAGATTATCAGCAAGAGCTCTGGGAATTGTCGAGATCGCTGGACGGGTACGTACATCCCCCTGTATCTGGGAAGAGGCTCTGTTGCAGAAAGGGAACAGGGCAGGAGCCCCCCAGACTAGATGTGGAAGACATTTCGAGTTGTTCGCGAGGCAGTCAAGCCAGATTGGTCAATACTATATTCTCATGACCGCGGTATAGGTCGTTGGGATTGGCGGCGAACCGAGAGGTATTTCTGAACCCAAGTCGCGTGATATGATGAGGTGGTAGACAAACAGGTAAATGTGGGAAGAAAGTTGTAAAGGAGGGTAGGGCGGCACGGGGAGGGATATGAAGAAACAGACGCGGTTCTGTCAGATTTCTCCTGATGCTACCAATGCTCTATGGAAAGAGGAGGGGTGGAAGAGAAAAGCCGTCCAGACGGATCCTCAGACGCGCAAAAGGCCGTCTTTTTGTCTCGAGAAGGAAAATCATCAGTCAGGGCTGCCCCATGTCGAGAGTACTTACGAGTGAGGATTCGGCGGGGTGGATGGCTTGTTGAAATTCGGAAAAGTGGACGAGGCCCTGGTCAGGTGGGAAGCGATTGACTGGTGGCACAGGTTCCTGAAGGACCTGGACCTGCAGCTGACAGTGAATTTGTTCGGCTTGTTGGCGTCTTGGGTTGAGCAAGGTACAGACGTCGTAGCAACTCCGTTCCACACGGGGTGAGGATGTATTTGATCGTGGCGGATGGTGGTGGGGAGTGGATCCTATGCTTTGGTGGAGATAGCTGTCAGGCACCTCTGGATAACTGGCACACGGCAAACCCATGTACAGCCGCCGTCAGCCCAATCACTGCACAAGAGACCCCGAGGCCAGGAAAGGAAGGAGGCGAGAGCAAAACACCAGAAGCCTGGAGGCACAGCGACAAGGTCCAACTCGTCGAATATGCAAGTGGCGCGATGCATTTTCCACTGCTCCTCGCCAATGGAAGATGTGGATAGGATTGCAGACAACGGTGCCTGTGTTAGCTGCGGTCCCAGGGAGCGAATGGGCAAACAGCGCGAGGCATGGAGCAATTTGAACGTGAGGGCAAGCCGATGGGATGGGTGCCCAAGAATACGACCCTGCAACTGTGTATGGGTTTGACGTGGTGGGAGAGAGTTTGGGCTCAGGGACCAGGGTCGCTGACCAGGGCCGCTCAAGTGGAAGGAAAAGGAACTAGCGAGGCTAGCAACTCCAGGAACCGCAAACGGTCCAGGGTGTGTGTGCGTCTTGGGTCTTACTTTTTTTTTTCGTGATGGGCCAGGATGGAGGAGCCCCAAGCTTCATCTACCGCCCCCCTACCGTGGTCGTGGAAGCAGAACAACGACTCGCGCCAGGGGTCGCCCACTCTTTTTCGTCCGGCATGCTTGTGTCTGACTTTTTAATTTGGATGCGGAAGAGAATGAGAGGACACAATGGGTAATGGCTGTGGTGGAGCCCGTGCAAGGAAGAGATGCCCAAGGCATGCTCAAGACTGCTCTACCCAGGATCAGCAACAAGCCTCACAAAAGCCTCCAAAATTTCAGAGAATACCTCGTATCAGATAGCGTGTTGATATAATAGTGTACGGATTTCTCGATTTGTCCATGGCCAGGGTCGATGATGAATCAGTGAGGCCAGGTTGTTCAGGGTGGAGGTGAGAGTTGATGGACACATGGACATCGGGAAAATGACGAAAGACGCAGCCTGGCTGCGGGCATTGACTTTCTCGTGCCTACTTAGGCTCTGGGCGTTGGGCCCTAGGCTCAGGGCTCTGGACCCTATCCAACAAGTAGCTCGGTAGGTACCTAAGTTACGGAGGACGGAGAAATAATAATAGGTGGCTCGGTAGGTACCTGCGTACTGGGTAGGGGGCTCTAGGCCCAGCAGCCCTAGGCCCTACTTGGGCTCTACAACCGTTGGTGGGTTGGCCGCCTCGCCCCCAAAAGGCCAAGGCGGCCGCTGCCGAATTATCAGTGCCCCCGCCCACCAAGACAATTTTGCTTCGTCAGATTCGAGAAGTCTCAACGCACTTGATTGCCTGGCTTCAAATTGACAAAATCCTTTGTAGGTACCCGGGGAGAAAATCACCTAGAACAGGTACATACGTACCAAGCAATGATACGGATCGCTATCTCCGTTCGACTTTTGATCAAGCGTATCGCGTCGCCTTACTCGGAACACCCGTGGATGGCTCTTGCACTCACCAGCCTCAGCCTCTCAGCCTGCTGCGTCTCGGGCAAGTTCCCCCACACATCACCCAGGCGATCTATCAGAAAACAGGATCATGATCAGATGGTGTACTCCATATAGTACTCTGTCAGCTGGCCACTTCTGCGGCCACTTTGACAGCCTTGAATTGACAAAACTGACGGACTGACAGACCGGTCAATGCGGACAGCCACCGCTATCACTCCGCTGCCTCACTCACCGACCTTTCCCTGCGGCGGTGTCGCCCATTTGATCGCTTGCCGGCTTTGGCTTCAAATTTCCTTTGTCATTACTTCGATTCGTTCTCAATCAAAGAGGTTCTCAAACATGAAATTTCCATGAGGCAATGGCGGGTTGAGTATGATAGGTCACTGAGAGACACCACTGCACCTCTCCATTGCTTCCTCTGACGGGATACAAGGTTTCACCTGGTGTATCACCCTCAGCCTGCATGTCGAGGACGGCACATCCTGCCTGAACACCAGAATCTACCTGTCATTGGTCGTTCCATGCACGTCAACTTCCAAAATGCACCGCAGTGATGGAGGTCTAGACAGGCCCTGCAGTTTGGGTGCATCTCGCCGGCGTAGTAATTATTTGAGTACCGAGTATCGGTTTTGCAGATCCTGATTTTCGACACCGGCTACCCTCTTGGAGCCTCTCGCCGTCCATCCGACCCATTATCTCTTTCCCGAGTCCCAAGTACACGTCATGGCAGAGAGTCGCTGCCCCAAGCAAGCCCAAGCCAGGCCCGGCCAAGTCAGTCCACTTGCGGGGTGTTTGCTGCTCAGCTGCGCCAGCTTTGGCACGTGGACGGGTCGGGATAGGCAACGCTGGCCATGTCAGGCCGATCATAGCGATCGCCATGGAAAAGACGGAGGATTTGGCCTCGATCTTGGGGAAGAGCACTTGTTCTTTCGTATATGCGCATGTTGGACCCCCAGATGATTTTTCCCGTATGAATTATGTGATTCGTCAGACTTTTCTGCGACGCCAATTCTAGCTCGGCACCAAGGATGCTGCACACGTGTCCAATCGACAGCGAAAACTCCAGGTTTCTATTCACATTGGTCCTCTGCTTTGCATCGACCAATTTGTTTCTCAGACAGACTCATGTGAGCCGCGGGTCGTCTACGCGCTGGCCTTTGGGCCACCCCTCCAGCCGGAGCCGCTCCTTGCAGACTGCTCTGGAGGACCCAGCCGACGTGCCACAGCACCAGGATGGTCATGATTCCAGAATTCACCAAAACCGTTGTTCCTGCACGTTAGAGATTCCGACCCTCGCTTGTCACACTTCAAGGATCTTGTTCTAGTGGGCCTTGACGTCCATCTCGTCCCTCCTGACTGCTGCCTGGGGCGGAAAGTGACACACTGTTTGATTGTGACTGTTGTGACTAGCATTTAAGCCGCCCACGCATCTTTGGGACGCCACACTTGGGAGGCCTCGATACCTGATGGATTCGTTCCGAGCCGACGTATCAACCTGGCCCTCGTACCGCAACTGTTGGAGAAATGGGAAGATTTTAGGAGGTCCGGCAATATTGTCATGTAGAAGATAGCGTCAAGACCACGAGTACGCAAACCAACTGCGTCGATAGGGCCATGACATCGTTAGGGGGCGTTCAGGACTCGATCCTTCAATAACTTGTCAGCGTAAGACTAGACCCAGCATCCAGATTCAGCCCTACCACAAATTGTTCCAGGCTTGCTTCAAACAATTCGTTATTGACACCGATACCCCCAGGATGTTCGACAGGAGACAACGGATTTTTGACGACGTACTCGACATAGCAGTTCACGTAGATTTGCTGCAAGGCTATCCTCATGGAGCCGGACTTGGTGTCCGTAAGCATGACAAACTTGGTATTAGTTGGTGTCTCGTAGTAGTGCAGTTTGTATTGAGACGTTCGATAGGAGAGGAAGCTGTGTTCTCGACTCAGCAACAATGGTCTCTCAGAAATTCACGGCTGACCGACCTATCATCTTCCCCTCCCAGCTTTCGCACCATATTCCGCAGCGAGAACACTGTCCCAAAGATGAGCTTTGCGTCGTCCTCTGCGCTTAAAGTAGAGCGCGCTTGCGGCCCGCCATTGACGTATGTCTGAGAAGACGGCCTTGAAGTTTTGCCAGTCGTCGAGATTGAAGGAGGTTGCCATCGCCTCTTGTATATGCATTCGGCTGCGACAATCAGCAAACCTTGAACGAATAGATAGGCCGGAGTTTCAGTGCGTCTCTCACCATGTCTGTCAAATATGTAGAAGGAGTAGACCACCATTGTGACAGTGAGTGTGCCAGGTTCTATCATTCAAGAAAGGACGGCTTCAGACGCGCACATTGGCGGGAATCATCCGCCTAGTTGAATTGGAAGAGTGGTCGTGCAGAGGTTCTTAGAGAATTAACCGCATCTTTTGAATTTCGATAAACTATCTAATTGTCCGGTGTGAGGTTTGGCTTATGTGACGTGATTGTTACTTGTAGATACTGTGTACTAAGTAGACACATCCGAAGTGCGAGGCTTCGGGGGAACCAAGAACAGGCAAGTGTGACGGAGAAATAATCCACTTGCCACACTCCTCAACCCGACTCGACCCTAGACCCTCCAGCGTCATTCTTTGCTGGCGACGGTACCTAGTGACTTCAGGCTGAGCCCACTGGGGCTCTGTATCCAGGTATCTAGCGACCACCCACAGAGGCCTTCAACTCAATGTCGAGTGCCTCATGGATATCGTTGCGTCGCCTACGTCCACGTCGGCGGAGGAAGATGGCCGCTTCCCCATAAGCAATGTATCAGACCAGCCCCGCCATCGGCCACAATCACATGTGAATGCCGTTCACGAGGGTGCCAATACCAACGACGACCCATCTACCCTCAATAAGCCTCTTGTGGTCAAACATCTGTGAGTGATGGACATCCTCCACATCCCACTCCTGATTTGGGTCTCTGACTATCGCTTCAGATCGAGCCCTGAGTACAATACACCTCTTCGCCATCACCGTCGGACGCCTTCAGCCGCCAGACAGGTCAAGGTAGACCACCCCCAACACAGTCTTTATGGGCCTTCTGATCTAGCCTGCGCAGGAATCTCTCAATGCACGATCCGAATATGTCACCAGTAAAGACGACGGTGTCGCAGAGCATCGCATCAATCAATATGTTATCAAGCAAGAGATTGGCCGCGGATCCTTTGGGGCAGTCCATCTAGCCATCGACCAGTATGGGAAAGAATACGTAAGAGCTCTTGACGGCGTTGTCTACCGAGTATCTGCTCACCTCCTTACATAGGCCGTCAAAGAATTCTCCAAAGCGAGACTGCGCAAGCGAGCACAATCACATATCCTCCGGAAACCTCTGTCCCAAAGGCGTCGGGGAGCACTGCAGGGCTTCAATTCTCCCTTGCATCGAAATGTCGGCAATGAGGGGGAATTGCAGGCCAGCTCAATAGACCTGATAAAAGAGGAGATTGCCATCATGAAGAAATTGAACCACCCAAACCTGGTCTCCTTGATCGAGGTGTTGGACGACCCGTCAGAAGATTCGCTGTACATGGTATTGGAGATGTGCAAGAAAGGCGTGGTGATGAAGGTTGGCCTGGAAGAAAGAGCAGATCCATACCCCGATCATGTCTGTCGATACTGGTTTCGAGACCTGATTCTCGGAATCGAGTATTTGCATGCTCAAGGTGTAGTGCATCGCGATATCAAACCTGACAACTGCTTGGTCACCGAAGACGATGTGCTCAAGGTCGTCGATTTTGGTGTCTCGGAGATGTTTGAAAAGGACTCGGAAATGCTCACCGCAAAATCCGCGGGCAGTCCAGCGTTTCTCCCGCCGGAGCTCTGTGTTGCTCGACATGGCGATGTATCCGGGCGCGCGGCGGATATTTGGTCAATGGGAGTGACTTTGTACTGCTTGAAGTACGGAAGAATCCCATTTGAGAAGACGAACATCTTTGAACTTTACGAGGCTATCAAGGCCGAGGAGCCGGACTTGGGTGACGAAGTAGACGAAGATTTCCGGGATCTGATGAACCGAATATTCGAGAAAAACCCGCGGAAACGTATCAAAATGCGGGAGCTGAGGGTAAACACTCCCCTTGAGTCTTGTCCCAAACGCTGACCTCGACCAGGAACATCCATGGGTCACAAACAAGGGCACTGACAAGCTGCTTCCGGAGGAGGAGAACACCTCTGACCTCGTGGAGCCCCCTACAGAGGCTGAGATGAACGCAGCAATTACCAAGAACATGAGAAATCTCATGACAGTCGTGCGTTTCTGCGATTGAGATTAGTGTAGGCTTTGCTAACGTATTTCATACAGGTAAAAGCTGTCAACAAATTCAAGTCTCTTGTAGGAAAGGATAAGCCTAAGGGTATGACTTCGATCCTGGGTGATCAAGAAGGCGCCCATTTCTCTCAACCCCCGGCAACTATGCCCAGAGACCCCGGATCTCTCCCCCCGAAATCACATAGTTTCAATGCCTTCGGTCAAGAGCATACAAAGAGAGAACCACGGATCGAAGACCTCTCTCAAGATGTAAACAAGTTGAATGTACGACCGGTGCCTACGTTAAGTATAGACGACACGACGAAGAGCGAAGAGCAGAAGGGAGCTGAACAAGGGAGGGAGACTGGCGACTCCCCTGGATTGCTAAGCCACACAATGACCAACACAGATGACTCGCTCTCGAGGGTCCAGACCATGGCAGACATCGAGAAGCTCGACCCAACCAAGCTACCTCCTTTCCGATCACTGAAACCACATGCAAACACTACTGACGAGATAGGCCACCGAGGTCACGCACATGATCCCCTAGAAGACCAACTGTACCTTTACATTGGCCCATCGACATTCTCGGGGACCAGCTCTAGCACGGATGATGACAGGACGTTTGTGCCAGCCGACGACGACGTGCCCATTGTGAGCGAAAGCCCTGGAGCAGCCGACCTGGACATTTATGAAACCGCGTATCGAGACGAGATTGAACGAATCATGGCTCGAGCCAAGGAGGAGAAGAAAGAGCCCAACGTCTACCTCACAAGACGCGTAGATGCCAAGTTGCTGGCCATCAGCGGACTAGCAGGTAAATGGGCGGCCAAGGGCGAAGAAGCCAAAAATCAGATCAAAGACTATACGCAATTCTCTGCCCGAAAAGCCCGGGTGACCGAAGTCAGCCGTGCACTACGACAAGCGGCAAGAGAAGAGTACGAGAGAAGGAGGCAGGAACACCGAGAATGGATTGCCGCCGAGAAAGCAGAACGAGCAAGAGCCAAAGAAGCAGAGGCCTCCAAATCCAGCACACCTCCACCAGTCGGGGGTGGAGCTGATGTAGAAGAGAACAGGCCCCTTAGCCCCCAATCGCCTGGGAAGCACTCGTCAGTATGGAAAGGTAAGGCCGTAGATGCCGGGCGACAAGCGAGAACCTCTCTCATGGGCTTTGTGGATATGGTTAAGAGCAAGAGCCGAACACGACCGAAAGACGAAGCAGGCTGACGCTGAAGATGCTGTTTGGGGGCGCGACGCACAATATCTACTGCATTGCGAATGCACGGAGAAGTTTGCGCGTGCCTTTGGATTGATGATACACTGGCTGGGAGCTCCAGGCCTGGGATGAGAAGACATTGCACGTTGTGGTGCTTCATTTGACGCAAGTTGATTCCTCACTATTGCAACCATCTCGACGACCTCAGAACTGGACCGGCGAACCTCTTGGGGTTCTGTGTCTGATTCTGCACAATTGAATCACCCTCGGGGGCTTTGTTTTGGGTGTAAACCGGACCGGTGGGTTCATAGACCTAGGGAAGATTAAGGGATAGGATGGATAGACAGGCGAGAGGGGTGACATTTTGAACGATGCAAAGGGAAGTCTGTCAGGGAGAGGAGTCAAAGGAGTGAACGCTGACCATGGAGATAATGAAGACGAGAGAGACACAGGGGGTGGATGGAGACGAGGGTGGTGATGACAGTGCTGGTGCTGGTGCTGGTGCTGGTGCTGCTGACGATGATGATGACTACAGTTCTCTGCTTGTCTTTTGGCTTTGGGTGACTGATGGATGAGAAGAAGAATATATGGCACGCACTGGCAGGGCTGAAAGGTGAAAGGCGGAATGTCGGCTGCTCGTCTTGGCATGGGCTTATCCGCGCTTTTGCCTGGAGAGAGAAAAGAGAGCGCGAGACCTTTCACAGCAAAATCATCTTCAGCCTCCCTTCCGTCTCTTGTTTGCTCACATCTCCCACCCCTTTCTTGGATCGATACTCGCTCATCTTCTTCTATCCTTTTACTTTGGTGGATCACTCTTGGTACTCGGGCTGTTCTCGTGAGTGATCGCTATCGGAGATCCCATTTATTGGTTACATATTCTGTGCTGGGAGCCGGTGTCAGTGGCGCGGAAATGAAGGCAGGGAGCCACCGCTCTATCCTGCCCTTTTGAATGTCCTTCACTCACCGCCGCTCTATTGCTCTTGCTTCACCACGTTGCCCACAGTCACTGCAGCGACATCTGCTGTCATTCACTGCTTGAGGAAAACAAGACCACGGCGCAACCGCGAATTTATTGGGTGGTAGACACTGCTGCCCCTCCTTCATTGATAGACCGGTCCGCTGCGACCTGATCAACCCTCGGGCCTCACGCAATTTCACGCGCCCGGCAAGTGCAGTTGACACGGGACACCCTAATCGTTGCACGGTGGATTCTGGATTGTCCAGTGCTGAATTCCTCCCTTTGTTGGAGCTCCATTGTTGTCTGGCTCGTATCGCCCAGATGTGCATGAGACCCCGTGAAATTTCTGCACCACCTCACTCCTGCGTCCAGTCTGGCGCTAAAACACTCTTGGGGGCTGCAGACTCATCACACCCATCCTCAAAATGGGCCGGCGAAGCAGAGACTCGTCCAGACGTCCGTCTGCAGACGAGGGAGAGGCGGTTGAAGTCAAGCGCGAGGAGTCGGTGGACGCTGAGCTTGCTCACGAGCTCAGCAGCACCCGCGTAGCGACAATCAAGCATCAAGACTCGGCGAGCCCCTCGGCTTCACCATCTCTGAAACCAGTCCGATTAAAGTCCTCACGCTCATCCTCTGCGTCGACATCTTCTTCAAATCGGCCTCCCGCCGCTGATCCTGACACGTCAACTGCCAAGACAGAGCCGAACGAGGCAAATGGTCACCACTCAACCTCCACCTCGCCCATCAAGCCTGAGCCCAAGGAGCCCTCGAAGCCCGCAAGGACCTCCCGAACCGCCTCTAAGCTGCCCCCTCGTGTCGCTCCTCTCTTCAACCACCTTCCAGACGCAACACAAGAAGCGACATCCACTTTCACTGTCATTGATGCGTGCACTTACCAAAACAAATACCTCGGTTTCAGCGAACATGCCCTCGACTGTGATTGCAGCGAGGAGTGGGGTGAGTTTGCCGCGTATTTGGATCATGGATAATTGCAGCAAAGACTGACCATATGTCTTCAGACCCGTCCACCAGGCGGAACCTTGCCTGTGGGGAGGATTCCGACTGCATCAACCGCGCGTGTAAAATGGAATGTGCTAATGACTGCGGCTGCGGTGTCTCGTGCCGAAACCAAAGATTTCTCAGACGCCTCTACGCCAAAGTGTCCATCATCAAGACCGAAAAGAAGGGCTATGGCCTGCGCGCCGACGTCGATTTGCGACCGCATGACTTCATCTTCGAATATATCGGAGAGACCATCCCCGAAGCGACATTTCGGAAGCGCATGCTGCAGTATGATGAGGAAGGCATCAAGCATTTCTATTTCATGTCCCTGAGCAAGGGTGAGTTCATCGATGCGACGAAGAGAGGGAACCTCGGCCGTTTCTGCAATCACTCCTGCAACCCCAATTGCTACGTCGACAAATGGGTGGTCGGGGACAAATTGCGAATGGGCATCTTCGCTGAGCGGTACATCAAAGCCGGCGAAGAATTGGTCTTCAATTACAATGTCGATCGATATGGTGCCAATCCACAACCCTGCTACTGTGGCGAGGCCAACTGCACAGGTTTCATCGGAGGAAAGACCCAGACCGAACGGGCCACGAAACTGTCAGCTGCGACCATAGAGGCCTTGGGCATCGAAGATGCTGATTCTTGGGATACCGTGGTTGCGAAGCGCCCGCGCAAGAAGAAGACGGCGGAAGATGACGAGGAATACGTTGACAGCGTCGAAGCGAAATCCCTGGATGTGGACGGTGTGACCAAGGTCATGGCCGCTCTAATGCAATGTAAAGAGAAATGGATTGCCGTCAAGCTCTTGCAACGCATACAACGATGTACTGACGATCAAGCCTGGCATCGGGTCGTCAGATTCCACGGTTACCAGATACTCAACTCGCAGCTATCGGCATGGCGAGACGATGAGAATATCATTCTTCAGATTCTTGACGTTCTGGACCGATTGCCACGGCTGACGAGAAATAAGATCGTTGATGCAAAGATTGACAAGACAATGGAATCTTTGACCAGCCACTCGGACGATAGGGTAGCAACTCAAGCCTCAGCACTCTTGGATGCTTGGTCAAAGCTCGAACTAGCATACAGAATACCGCGGAAGAAAAGGGAAGACGCATCCACACCAGTCAAGACGGAGATAACGCCATTCGAGAGGCGAGAGTATGCTCAAGAACGAAAACGATCCAAATCGAGGTCACCCTCTCCCCCGCGAGGCCCAGCCTCGCTAAATGCGCCCTCGGGTCCGCGATCACTCCAAAGACCCGGAGCCTTCTACCAACGTCCTCCTCTACCCTTTCATCGGGGACCACCTCCGCTCCCGCGAGGCTGGTTTACAGCCCAAGACAAAGGCAGGACATATTATTATTCCGTTAATGGGCAGACGACATGGTCGCGACCGACAAAACCCGCGGAGGAAGCTCCTCCCCCACCGCCGCCGAAACAACCGTCAGAGCGGGATGTGCTGAAGAGTATCATCGACAACATCGTCACGTCTCATGACAAAGACCCCAAGAACAGTACCCCAGATACGCCGGAGCTGTCCAAAGCCAAGAAGGAAGAGAAGTGGAAATCGTTCGACTTGGAGAAGCAGAAGAAGCTTTACGAGAATACTGTAAGTATTGTGTTTTTGTCTTGTGCGCAATGCGGGTCGTGGGATTTTGTCTAACCGCGGCGCAGCTCTTCCCTCATATCTCTCACGTAATGAACAAATACAAGCACAAAATCCCCCGTGACGACCTAAAACGTTTTGCAAAAGAGATAGCCAAAAAGCTGGTGGCATCAGACTACAAAGCCGGTCGAGTGCAAGATCCCACCAAGATCGAAGAGCGGCAACAAAAGAAGGTCAAAGAATTTTGCAAGCAATTCTTCGAAAAGGCCTATCAAAAGCACAAGAAGCACGAAGCGGAAAGAGCGGCCAGGGAAAAAAGAAAGAAAGGTCCAGGAGGAGGTGAAGGACCTGGTCCGTCACCTGCTCAGTCTCCCGCCGCATCGCCTCCCGAGGCGGACACGACCATGGATCATGAAGACGTCAAAATGTCGGACAATGAAGATGAGGACGCGGAAGCCACACCCAACTTCAATACGCCATCAGAACCAAACGGGACCGGGACGTTAAAGCGCAAACGAGTCCAAGCAGACGATTCTGCGGCAGGTGGAAGAGAGGACGAGAGCGAACCGATTGGGTCGCCGATAAAGAGACTCAACATGGAGATCGAGACACCTCCGCCTCCGCCACCTCCACCTGCGCCGCCAGCGGAGACACCACCTGACAGTACACCCCGTGAAGGTGAACATGACGGTGCAGATATGGAGATGGGCGGAGAGACCGACATCTACGCGGACACCAATTTTAAAGGAAAAAGCATGGCAGACGTGCTCGCCCAGGCGCAGGCGGAGAATGCAGATGAAGGGGATGACTCGGAAGATGTAGTCATGAGGAATGGAATAGCATCGGGAGGCGAAGGGGAGACTGGAAATCCCATGAAGGACAACCAGCCTGTCGACCAAACAGTGGCAGATCGATAACAGCTGCTACAACAAAGTAGGGGGCTTTCCTAGGCTGCATTGCTTGACACTTACGGGAGAGGACAGTTGGAACAACTTGGGGCATTTTGTGTACATCATCACCTTCTAACTCGTTTGTCGGGGCTCGGGAGGGATCGCGAGGTTGTTCCAAACAGCCCGGGATTAAAACTGGGAGCGAGAACTTGGGACAACGGCCGTCTTGATGCCGTCCGTCTTTTGGGAGTCGAGGTTTCTTTTTTTTTTTTTTACGAAGGCAAGGTGTGTAGTTGTAGCACCCTCAATGCCTGTTATAATTTCTATTCGGGGGGGGGGGGGGGGGGGGGGGGTAGTTATTCAACCAACGTGCCCCAGTCCGCTTGAGCTGTATGGAAATCAAAGTCCAAGTGGGCGAGGATAAGGCGATTCCATGCGTTCTATTCGGGCAGCAGGGAGCAGTCAGTTAAGGGCAGGACGCGGCTTACCAGTAGTCAGTCCATACAGTAGCTAGCACAGCGCCGGCGGTACCTACTGCATACCTGGTGCCTACACGACAGAAAAAAGGAGGGCGAGGCGGAGGAAGAGGAGGCGGAAAAGTATGTGTTAAAAAAAAAAAAGATGTCGAACAAAAACCTACGTTTATTGAAGAAAGAAATGATCGATCTCTCTACTACGCATTACCTGTGCCTCTGCCTCTGCTTCTGCCTCTGCTTCTGCCTCTGGTAGTTTGACCTTGGTTTGGTGGTTGATTGTTGGTTCCTCGTTTGAAGGCGAGGTTCAGGTAGCGAGGGTTCAGGCTAGCCAGTTGAACGAATTCTCGATCGAACTTGGAATTGGAACTTGAAAGAAAGCTGGACTTGGAATTGGACTTGGAATTGGATTTGACATGATAGTCACGCCATCACTCCCTCCGCCATGGAAGCGGTGCGCCGGCCGTGATTGATATGACAAGAGGACGACAATGCCGGGGCTCTAGCTACGGCTTTGCATTGTATGCACCATCTTCAATCCTTTCTCGCATTCTTTCCGCCTTCGGTCTGCCTCACTCTGCCTCACTCTGCCTTCTTTCTTCATCCGGCACCTTTGCTACCACGGAATCATGCACCCGGTAAAGGTGCAATTCGAGCCTGTCGCCGCACCCCATCGTAGGCTGGCTGAGCAGCGGTAAAGAGGCGACGAGTCAAGACATCTGGCTCCTGGCCCTGCCACTGACTGACCCTGCTCGTGCTCAGTCTCAAAGATCCACCAAGTTTCTTTCTGTACTCTCATTTCACCCATGCGACCTGCCTCGCATGGCCGGCACGGTGGTTTCCCGCCTTCACATTCAACGCCTGCACTTGCTGGGGGGCGAAGATCTCGTCAGAGAAATCAGGGGAATAGCGGGATGTAGGAAGATCGTCAATCATGCTTTTTTTTTTTCCCCCTGGCCGCCCGGGCGCATCTGGTCCCCTGACCGATGCAGCCAATCTGCCACGGGGACGTATAATTATCCACAAGCCAAGTTGCCGACAGCGTCCATGTCCAATGTCCAAGAGGATATATGCATAGGTTCACAAAGCGGATGCTCAGTAGAAGCTCTCGACAATGCTCTCCTTGTTGGCCTTCATCCTGGCATCCAGCCCACCTGGACCACCCGGAGCCCCCTCGCCGAGTCTGAAGACACTTTCTATGACGCTCAACTCTGTGGCTGTGGTATCCATCCCGGTCACTGCCAGCCAGTCGTTGACGACCATGCCAGCACCGACAACGGGACTTCCTCTGTTGACACTGCCTGCCACGAGGGGCACTTGTAATAAAGAGCTCAATTCGTCTTGGTCTTGAATGCTCGTTTTCGGGTGGACGATGCCGCCCTGGTTTGAGAGGGACATGTAGGAGCCGGTCAGCACGTTGCCGGCGATTGTTTGCCGAAAGACTTCGACCTTGAGGGTATCTGCGATGATTTCTTCGGTTTCTCGTTCGAGGTCCGGATGGACGAGGGCGACTTTGTCATCTGCAAGAACACACGAGGTTAAAAATGGCCCTGAACGGCTACGTCCCGGCAAAGGGCGCCACTCACTGCAACACACGACATTTCCAAGCGCTGATAACCTCTCCTCTATTCTTTCTACCTTGACTGTATCTGGGAGAGTGTTCCGCAGGTGTTGTAGTTCCTGGTCTGTGGTGGAGGTGGGGACCAACAGGCCATGTCGGTTTCCCGAGGTCAAGCGGCCCACGATGCGAGTGCCGGCGATGGTGCAGTGAGCGATGGGAATGAGATCAGCCAGTTCGGACTCGAAGATGGAGTAGAAATTCTCGGAGGCGCCGACTGCGACGAGGCAGTAACTGTTGGTGAGGTTGGCGAAAACGCCGACTTCGTTGGAGTTTTCGAACTGCGCAGAAGAATTAGACACGGACGGTGTCGGGAGAAAGAGACGAGCTCCTTACCTGTGCTCGTACAGCCATGTTTACTCAGGAGCTGTGCTGGGGTTGGGGATTTGCTTTTGAGGGAGGAGAGGTAGGAAGAGATGTGAACGGCGGGGTCGACGAGGATGTACTCGGTACGAGAGGACTGGGTAGGAATGAGTTGTCGGGGGGCGAGTTGAGCTGAAGACTGCTTGAAGGGGCCTGTGTGCTCTCTTATATTTGTTTCGCGTCGAGAGCGTCGACGATGGTTCTGGCTGCGTGATTGCGGCAAAAGGGCAAAGATGCAAAAGGGCCTTTTGGCAAAGCCAAACTCAAGGTGTGAATCATACGGTGGATTATCGAGGGCACATCGCACACAGAAATAATTAAATGTGTAATCGTGCATGCGGCACTGCGCCCCTCGCGTCAACCACTGGCCACCAAAGGCCTCGACGGCGCCACAGACACAGACACCAAGACACCAAGACACATCAAGACGTCGAGGAGTCATCAGGCACTGACCAAGGCATGCCGCCGACATGGCGGCCGTGCTGCCGTGCTTCTCCCAGCTTCCCTTTTCGTCTGCATCGCCACCATCAGGGTTTTTGACTCAGACTTGCTCCTCTTCGTGCCACTTGTTACTGGGACTTGTTACTGGGACTTGTTACTGGTACTTGTACTCTATTATCTTCTCGGGACTAGTCAGCCTGGTCCCGTTCCCCGAGCCGCGATGTACATGTACATACCTACTGGTAGACACGCGCTCAGATTGCATCAATTTGCTATCCGAGACACTCTCGATGGGATTCTCCTCCGAGAGTCAGAGTCTACCGTCCCATGCTTGCTGCATGATGTTCTCTCATCGCCATCATGCCGTGTGCTATCCCAGGCCTTCCTTTGGAATCTCGTCCCTGAGAATCCAGCTATACAATGCGCAGGGTCTTCTCGTCAGAGGCATTCTCCGCCATTCGAAATGAAGCTATAACACAACGCAGCTGACCCGACAGTCCCAATGGCTTTTGCAAGACCGAAGTTGGTTTCGCCTTTGACCGAACACCACGAACATAGCAGAGTGCGGTGTCGTGATCAAGGTCTATTTCCTCCATCATAAAGCCCAGTGTCAACTCGGCTTCCCTGGTCCATTCTCTCCGTCATGACGCTTGCTCAGCCAGAGCCCAACGTCAGCTTGATGTTGACCGAGTTGGAACAAGTTCTCATCCCTTGGAAGTCGTCGTCGCCCTTGTGGTACACCTCATTCCAGTTGCTGTCTCCCGGGGCACAATGGGCGCGGCAGCAACTTGAGAGACTCAGACTGGGATCTTCGGGATCGTCAACTTCCATTTTGAAGCCCTCGTTGGCAAAAGGAGGCGTCTGCAACATTGCTGACGTCGAAATAGGTCTTGCCCTCATCCTGCTCCCAAGCGTACTCGAGCTGGGTGACCAGCGAAGTCGATGCAGAAGGGTCACGAGTGCACATCGTGGCAATGCCGATACCTTGTGGATGGTCGAGAAAGTAGCTCGTCAGGAGCGCACCAGCTGGCTGGCTCCCCCAGTTGACCGACCGACGGTCGGATTGAGGAGGAGTAGGGTCATTGGGCTCATATGCCGCAACAATAGCGCACCACACAGGATACCGACAATCGTGGACCACATCAGCCCGAATGTCAACGAGCTCAGAGTGGCCAAGACCAGAAACACTGACAGAGATGGCGAAGCTCAGACCAGCGGACGACTGCATGTTGACAAAATCCGAAACCCCCAGTTGTCAATCTGCTTATCTCTGGATCTGGTCAGGCTGGATCTCGATGTCCCACTTACAAAACCGATTGGCGTTCGTTAGGACATGCGAGTGCCTCCTGACGCCGCGCAAGCCTGGTGTGGTTGTTGGCGGTAACACAGCGACGGATCCGTATAGCTGTATAGCTGTACTATGTTGATGGCCTTTGCTTTTTCGAGTTATCGATGCTGAAGCAAGCAAGCTCGTCGTTCTTGTTCGTTGACGTTTCTCAATGAAAGAGCAAAAGAGGAACATGTTCGAAAAGCCCCAATTGGCCATATTTATACAATACATCAAGGGTCGGTATTCACTGCTCCAGAGGCCAGCATGACCTCTGGCCGGCACGGGGAGAGCAGAGGTGCTCTCATGTCCAGAACCGGAATGCCAGTCCCAGGCTATACAGTTTACCTTGACTGATAGCCGCTTGTTGCCGTCCTCCGGAAGGAAGAGCGATATATATATATATATACACCGAATGAGTATTCTCCGTCCGCAGAATGGGTTTTATCGCGGAGTCACCGCGCAAGAGCCAGTGAGCAAAGAATAACCGAGCAAAGCAAATGGAGAAAGGTACAAACGGTGAGTACCACGGTGATAGTTCGATCTTAACCTCCTGCCCTGTCCTTGTTTGTCTCTATACGCGCCTCGCCACTCGCGCGATCAGGGAAATGCGATTGTCTTTCACTATCATGTGAGTGAGTGAGGAAGTGACGGACTATCAAGAGAGAACAGGGAATGGGGAGGGAGTCCCTTGCGATCGAGACGCCGGGAGAAGCCCACGCCGCTTAGAGGCTACATACATCATGATACCTGTACAACACTCCACTGGAGGCGAGGCCCTTGGTCGGTCGGTCGGTCATCCAAAACAACAGTCTTCTCCTCTTGCGGGACTCTCGTGTTTAAGTTTTACGGAAATTCACTGATTCTCCTGGTTTCCCTCCTCTCTCTCTCTCTTGCTCTTTGGCTCACTTGTTTATTTCTGGCAGCTTTTGACAAACCCAATCTCGAGCAAAAAGGAGACTCTGCTCTTGATATAGTATCTTTCAGCCATCTAGCTACATGATGGAAATGGTCAATCTAATATTTTCCCTTCTCTCTGATCTGGCAAGACAAAGGCAAGGCAAAAAATGCCGCAACGCTCATGCAACCACGAGGCAAGGAATGCCTGCTATCAAAAACAAACGAGATTTACATGACATATCTCAACTGGTCTCGCTTTTGAGGAGACCTTTCTACAGTCTGATAGCAAACAAATCATAACGTCATCAATGCCCAAAAGTCATCAGCTCATTCTTCACAAATTCCTCTATCCATCGCTGCAAGACTAGCCTCGTACCTGCCTGGACTGTGATCGCCAAACATATCCCTCCCAAACCTCAGCTCGCCGAAGCGCCTCTCCACATCGCGCACCAGTTTGAACTGCACTCTCGTGGCGGGTCTCCCTAGCGCTCGGTAAAGCTTCTCCGTACGATCATCCTTTGAATCGTCGGGTCCAAAGACGGCTTCCCGTGCCACGTCGGGATCCAATCGGTCGAAGACCCGGGTTGTTTCTACCACAAAGACTTCTCCAGGAGGCACCAGTTTATCGTTGATCATCGCTGCGCGAAGCGTTTTCAGTGCCGACCATGCCCATGTGTCTTCCCCGAGACCATCGCCTGCCATGTTCTCCGGCGGAGGCGGTCCTTTCGGGTTGTTGTGGAATGCGGATTTTACAGCACTCTTGAGCCGGCTCCAAACGCGGGTCTTGAGAGCGCCAAGGGCGTCTGTCGTGTCGTGTTTCAGGTGCAATGCAACGGTGCGGAAGTCGTGGAGGATACCTAATGAGAGGCAGGGCACGATATCGGCGTGGTTGACTATGGTAGTAATGAGGCCACGAGTGGCGGCGCGGAGAAGCTCAGACACGCATGCAGGTGTCCCGTAGGCGTAAACGTGGATTGGACGCCCCGCCGGAAGACTGATGGGAGGGACGTACGAGGTAAATGGTCCGTCGGTAGGCTGATGGGTGAGGAGCTTGGGCTTGTTGCCAGTAACGAAGGAGGTCTTGGATTCGTCGAATGATGGTTCTGCGATCAAGATGGCGAGAACGGCAGCAACTGCACCTCCTAGGGAGTGCCCGCAGAGAACGAGACCATATTCGGGATATTGTTCGAGTGTTGCTCTGATTGTAGCCATAATGCGGCTTCCGCTGCCCCCTAGCAGTCGTCTCGCCGATGCATGAATGCCCTTATGGACTTTGTAACGCTGGCCCTGCCAGAGTAAATCATCGTAGTCGCATGTCATGTCTGTCAGAACATCTTCGAAGCCAAGCGTCCCGCGACAGGTCAGGACTACAGCTTTCGAATCGTCATCGATCGAAATGAAATGGATCAATGGCGATATGGCCGAAGGGGACCGGTCAGTATTACCAGTGACGCCTTTTGGGTCGTAGAAGGATGACAGCAGAATTGTGTCGGGAGGTAGGCCTGTGTGACTTGAAAATGAGCTATGCTCGTGGTGGATGTCGAGTGTCATGAGCTCTGTCGATTTGCTGAGCTCATCTTCAGCCGTCTTCAGACCCATGACCCTCAGGAAATTTGAGCCATATGAGGCCGATGCGAATCTTGCAAACCGTCGAATTGTTTTGACAAGATGGCGATCCGGGAAGATACCGGGTACCTTGCCGTTCGTGATCAGAGCTGCCAATATGCTATGGTCCTCATATATTGATTTTCGAGGCACAGGGGTCTTCGGCGCCAAAAGAATGGCCTCGGTCGAATCTTTCGTCGCCATTGAGTACAGACTCGGAACGAAAGACCGAGACCGTCTGTGATGAACTGTGCCAGTGGCTGGGTCGACCCTGGCTTCGGTCTCGTCGAGTGCCAATCCGAGCTCCGATCTCGTTTGCGTCAACCCATTTACAACTCGCGTGCGCGTCCTTGTGAATGTGGGGGAGCCGGGTCGACTATCGTGCGAATGTATCGAATATGTTTCTGTGGTCTGTGATACAATCGAGTCTCTTCTCCTGTCGTGCAGCGCAAAGTAGCTTGTCGATGACTCGGTGGCACGATGTACACTTGGGCTCGTCAAGGGTGTATGACCGTGGCTCAACGAAGCGAAAGTTCTTCTCGGTGTGACATCTTCACGATTTGCCGAAGGCGCTCTAGATCTAGGAGGCTGTACCGTTAGCGATGTAGATGGTTTTCGCTGCTGCGGTGGAGCCTTTTGGAGGTCCTTTACTACTGCTGACGACTGGCTGGGGCTCAGCGTCTTCAGCGCTTTCTTGATAACGCCACCTCTATCATTCTTAGCGGCTGGAGGCGATTTGTCCTTTTTACCTTTGACAAGCGGGATTCGACTGGTGCCGCTTGTGTTGGGCGAGGACTTGCTTGAACTAAGGACAGGCCGGCGGCTCTTTTTTTGATTGGCAATAGGTCCCAGAAGCTTTGGAGGAGAAGAAGGAGGTGGGGATGATGATTCGATTGCCGACTCATCACGGTCAGAGTTGGAGATGGTGCCGTTTTCTATCTGTATTGGTTCATCCACGATTGAGATTCGTTTTGAAGCAGTCTTCATCATGAGCAGATCGTCGGTGTCAGGGTGATCCGGAGCCAATCCGTCACGGCCTGTCAGTCGCAGTTGCTCGGTTGAGGATGGCTTCTCTCTGCTGCTCGATCTCTTCAAAGCTGTCCGAAATATGACGGTTTGATGTGGTGCTCCTTGCGTGCCGCTGGACGAACTTTCATGATTCAACCTTTCTGCGACCATAACAGTCCCCGGCGGTGGGTCAATATGAGCTGTCTCAGTATCGTAGATGTCGACTCTGATCGTCTTGGCGGTGATGGTCTCTGAGGTGATGATGGCTCGAGCTCCAGAGGGTATTTGGCTCATGATCCGTTCACGGATTTCTTCGTCGGTCAGCTTGGGTTGGTTGTCGGCTGACAGCGTAACTGCTTGCGCATCAAACATCGTGCCCCTTTCCAAGGCCTCAAAGTCATCGTCGCAGTCTGGAGAAGTGAATGTCATGGGCGGCCCGCCTGCATTGGCGTGTATGCTGATCAGGCCTTTCTTCCTTGTGCCAACGACGTCAGCTCGGAAACCCTTGTCGTCAATGACAGCGTCCCAAATTGTTTCTTCACCGCCGGCATCCCGAAAGTCCAGTTCGGTCTTGCGGCGCCCCCACCTCTGGAGCATCACGAATCCGATAGTGGCAATGATGAGATCCAGGTATGTGACCACCTCGCCAGTTCCACCCACCTCGGGCTTGTTGAGTTCATCTCGGATCAGCGTGATGATGGCGGCGACGGCACGGGAGGATTCAGTAGAGCCGAGGATGGCATTGAGGGTAGCCAATCCTTGGATGGATAGACCGGATATGGAGTTCATGAACGCTTCCGTGAGGTGGAAGCCCGTCGAGGCGACAAACGAAGTTGTAGAGATGGTCGAATGCAGTGCAGAGATCTGTAACAACCCGTTAATTCAAGGTCCTTCGATCCTTCTGATTCCTCAGACGCACACTTCTCTCCAACAGATTCTCGGCTTCCGCTCGTCCCAGTTCTCCATTGCTTCGCGAAGACACATCCCGCCCTGCTGCGATCAGGATAGACTCCAGTGCACTGCGACTGACAGCCAGCGTTTTGAGCGTAGCTTCCCTGCCAGCGTAGAGTCCCCATCCCCCGACTTTTGTTGCACCACGAACGTAGAAGGAAGTGAGGCCGGCGACACCGCTCACGATGGCAGCGGCAGGCGCAGGCAGAAGTGTCCGTCCTTGTTGCGGCTGTGCCAGGATAATTTCCTTTGGGGCATCGTCATCTGAGTCCCCAACAGATTTTTCACTCTCGGAGGCAGATGCATTCTCTTTATTCGAGCTCCAAAGCATCGCGCAGGACAACCGGAGCGACAGGCCGAGAAGGCGGTGTGAAGGAGGGAACGGCTGATGGCTTCACGTCGTGCTCCATGAAGGGTTGAGGGTAAAGTCAAACTCAGTCAGAGGGAGAAGGACGCGGCCAGGAGCAGGGAACCAGGCAGCATGGAAGGGGATGGGAGGCAAGGAGGATGCAGGTACGCGTTCGGGTTCCTGGCATTAAAGGCGGGCATTTGCCAATGATGGAAATGATGTGGTGGGCTCGGTAGGTGTGGATTGGGATGGTGGGCAGTGGATGGTGAGATGGACAGCGGCACCGCATTGTTCGCTATGACGTTCCTCTCACATGTGAAATTCTTGCTTCCTCTGCCAACGCATCATATCGAGGCTACAAGCTCTTCTCTAGCAAATTCTGACCACGTTCTTCCAGACGATTGGAGTTCCGGATGGAGCGACAGCCTATCTGAGATGGAGCTCCGTCGGCAATGGCGTCGATACCCCTGTCAACAGGCGGGCCATCTTTTCACATGCTTGTAAACAATAAGACGACGAAACACGACTGATTGCAGATATACAATATCAATTTCATTCGCCCATCTACCGGGCGAGCTCCTGAGGAGCGAGACCTTCCTAATGATGCTATCCAAAACGAGCGCCATGCTTAAACTGCCATTCTGAATAATAATGACAATAATAATATGTTCAAAGGTCACCCCAGGTCCATCATGACCACATCACCTCCATTGTCCAAGAGGGTTTCCTAAACGCCAGGTATAAACTTCTCCGCCGGGATGGCGCCTTGCGCTTTGAGCTCCATGAAGTTTTTCATGGCTAAAGCGTAGTTCCAGTTGTTGGCCGCCAGGCACTCCTCCACGGCGGCCAGCCGCAGTTTCGTCTCGAAACTAAACTGTAGGCCCATCTTCTCGCGCTCAAGTATTTCCGCAGGCTTGTCTGCTTGGGGAACGCCGAATAAAGAGTCTGCCGGTATTTCGGGGTGCTGAGGACGGGCGGCCGGTACCGGTACCACCTGGGACGGTGCTTGGAAGGGCGGCTGCTGCACACTTGGGGTTGTCGACCGATTGCCGACGGGGAGGTTGTTGAACAATTTAAGCTTGGGATACCACTGCTGTAGTGTCGATAATGTGTCCGGGAGTTCGTTGACGGGATTGCCCTGCAGGATCAAATGCTCCAGGTCTCGGAATTGATTTTTCCAAAACTTCAACGAATCCATGTTTGCGAGTTTATTGTGCCCGAGGTCGAGATTTCGGAGGCGCGGAAATGTTCTCGACAGGGACATGATCTGTTCGACAGATTCAAACCCGTTATCGCTCAGTGTAATGCTCTGGACCGACTCGTCACGTTTGCTGGGGGTCTCGAAAATTTTGGTTTTGCAGATGGTAAAGATGGCCTCGAAGACTTTGGCTGGATCTGAGCCGACTATGCCGGGAATTTGTAGGAGTTCTTCGTCGGAACCGAGGGCGTTGAGACTTAGGAGTTTGAGGGAAGGGTCGTAGCGTCTGCGTAGGACGGAGATCATGGTATTTTCCACTTCGTTTGTAAGCGAATCATTTTTGGTGTCTTGCGCACCGAAACGAGGAGTTCGAGGTTGGTTGTATTGAGCGATTCCGCCTCCTCGAGGCCCGATGAGCGGCTGGTGGTGACGACCATGTGGTGTTGTGCCATTCTGGCCAAAAGCGCCTCTAGATGGTTGAGATTGCTGAGATGAGGGTTGATGACTTTGAGACCGGTCATGTGGTTGATTTTGCTGAAATCGATTGGGTGGAGGTCTCGAGTCTTCGACGGTGAGAGTGCTGCCAGCCCACTGGAAATTGTTTAAATGGTAAAATCGATCTTTGTCGTTTTCATAGACGGTGATAATGAGGACATTGTTGGCGCGACCGACGACTTTACTTGACAATATTTGGCGATCCCCAGATTTCTTGCGGAGAAATACCAACAGCGAGGCGACGCCCTGGTCGGGTGTGGATGCTAGTTTTGAACTTGTCCATCCCTTGACGGCTAGGTCGCGCGTAGCTGCAGATTGAATGCCTTGTGACGAATCGCCGGTTCTACCGAATGCCATTATGACCGCCCTGACCCGAGACGACTAAGTGGACGAGTATTAAGAGGTTGTATCTGTAGGAGATGCCTCAAATGGCGTAGATAGTCCGTGTCTCAACAGTCGAACTGAAAGATTTAGTCTCGTAGCGTGACAAAGAGCTAAACGAGTGAGTGAGCCGATGGTGCGCGTGAGTCGAGACCTTTCAGCAACTACTCGAGGCTGTCTCGGCAAGAGCAATTCCTCAACGAATGTCTACAAGGCTGTGTCTGCTCATGTAGATGGCTGCTTTGGGTGGATTGTGGCTTTGTAGATCGGCAGGTGGCGGCTTATTTGACAAGGGTATTTCTAAGAGACGGGTTAAAATGGTGAATGTCGGAAGAAATTGAAGAGTCCCAGTGAGATCGAGTGCGTGAACGTGTCAAAGAGACAAAGAAAATGTGATGAGATATATCGATTAACAAAGTGCAAGAAAGCGCTGGCACCGTTGCTGTAGAGGAACAAGGAACTTTTTGTAGGGCAAAAGACTCGAGCAAAAGGCTGCCAGATCCATCAGCCCAGGTCAGGCAGCACCACGTGATATTCCGCTAGTCTTAATCAGGAAAGGTCGCCAACCGCAGCTTGGCAGACGCCTTTTGTTGGCTGCTGTCCTCATTGGCCTCACAGCCGCTCATTATGCCGCTTTTCATAAAGGAGAATCAATGGATCGACGTGTCGAGCCATGTTCCACGCCAACAATGACCCCATTCACGTTGATCACACAAAGGATATGCAGTTATAAACCCATTGGAACCCGTCAACTAACTTTTCCATCCATGTTGGTGCTTGGTAGCGGGTACCCTACCGGCTGCTTGACCGATCTTCAGGAGGGGCAGGGCTCGTGGTTTTACTACTTCCAAATCGACCTATACCCCCGAACCCGCCCAGATCCCGTTTGAAGAACTTTCCTATGTTTTTCAAATTCTCATTCAACTTCGCCCCAGCCTCTGCGCTGGAGAAAACTCCATCACCTGTAGCATGCGCGCCTGTTGAAGAACCACTAGGCGGGGGACTTGCTGCTCCCTCTCGCGGCGTTCCCAGACTGGGACTGCTGAATCGATCAATAATCGCGTTTCCCAGTCCAGAGGCATCAAACTTCATGTTCGATGAGATGTTTGCCGTACTCAGCGACGCTGCAGCCGAATTTCCTAACGCAGAAAGATTGTGGAGAGCAGCTGCTGGCGTTACTGAAGTCCCGGTGGACGATGCGGACGCAGACAGATTCAACGGTGTGAGCAAGGGCGACTTCTCCACCAATGAATCCTTGTACCTTGGGCTGAACTTGTGCATTTGGAATAATTCAACCAGGTGATTTTGTTCTGACTTTCCGCGGATCCCTTTCAATTCGAGGATCTTGCGGAAGTTAACTTCTGACAGGTCTGCGATGTGGATCAGGTATGCTTGGACGAGCGCCTCCGGTGGCGACGGCCGGACTTGCAGAGTCTTCAGCAGCGGCTCAATCTTGCCAAAGGCAGCAGTGACACGTTTGAGGAAGACTGGCGGTGGAGTTCCTGGAAGTATCTGGCTCAGGGTGTTCTTGAGATCGTGAGTGTCGAGCAACATCTGCTCGGCGCCGCCCTCAGAGATTGGCTTGCACTGAGCAATATTGGCAATATACGTTGATGCGAAAAGCTCAACGAGATTGTCCGCGAAGGCTCGCGCGTACTGCTGTTTATGAAGCATACCCAAGATCTCATTGGAGCGGTCTCTGATCCGATTCTCCAACCCCTTGATATACGGGCTTTGGTGTTCGCCGATTTCAATCTTTGACCAGGACGTATTGCGCATCTCGCGCCAGCTGGGTTCCAGGTCGACCTCCACACGACGCACCAAACCTCGGACTGCTGCGCTGGCTATCCCCATGAAGGCATCTGCTTGGCTTTGCAAGTCGACCTTGTCCTTCAGCGCTTCATCTATGCGACTTTTGATCTTCTCTTCCAGAGAATTTGATGTCTGGAAACAGTAATCCGCCGTGTTGAGAACTAAGATAACGTCTTCGACTGTCGGTATTCGAGAGGGTGTGCCGCCCGTTGGCTTCTCGGAAATATAGAACAGCAGGACCTGCTGAGCGTATTGGTCAAGATAGCGGCCGAACACCTTGGACAAATCGAGTAAAGGCTGTCCTGTGGAAAGCTTCGCACATTGCGCAAGGGAGTGTCGATAGAAGTTGAACAACTCAGTCGACGAAGCAATGACCTGTTGCGAGGAGAACTCCTCGTCTGAAAGTTTGGTCGGTCGCTGCCTATATTGCGGTATCAAGTTCGCGAGTTCCTTATCCTGTGCTTCCACCCACAGACTCAGATACGGCTCAAAAGCGTCCGAGATGGGCTGGCCGAAAACTGGAGTGTCACTGGCTGATGCCATTGTATCGATTGATGTCCTTGACGTTTGATTGAATCTTCTTTCCAGGCCGTGCTCAAATTCCAGAGTTTGTTGCAAACATGATAATAACAGCTTGACATCGATCGTCTGTCCGTTGCGGGTGGTTCGTGATAAGATGGTTTTATAGTCTTCCCGCGTTCCTTCGGCAAAGACGTTGGCGAGAATCTCGTTGACTCGCCAGTGCGAAGGGAAGATCGCGGCATGTTCCTCGTCGTATATCTTCAGCGTCTTCTTGAACCATGCGTACCTGCGATCAATGTTGTCCAGCGACCCGGCCTCTTGATCCCCCTTGAAGATATGCCGATACTGCCGCAGCTGCGTATTGCAATACCAGGTGGTCAGCCTTGACCGGGCGGAATCGCCGAGCGCATCGACGACCAGACACGCCTCATGGAGCAAGCCTCGTTTCTGGGCCACTTCTTCTTTGGTGAAGGTAATCTCAAAGTCCTCGCACACCTGTTCAAGCAACTCCCTTTGTATACCTGCTACATTCCTGCTCAGCGTCGCGATCTGGTCGATCGACCGGTAGGATTTGAAATGCGCCATGAGCTGGATCACCGCTTGCAGGAGTTGCGCGCATTCTCTGTATTGCCTCGTCTTGCTCATGGCTCGTAGCTGTTCATAGGCCGTCGTCAACATCTGAAGTCTCTTCAATGCGGTCATCGAAAGCGTGAGGTTCTTCTTTGTGTTGTCCAACTGCTTGATATCCGCCGTCATCTCGGTGATGTTCCGTTCCGTCCGCAATGCTCGCTCCCGTACGCTCTCGATGCGTTGGAAGAGTTCCGCCAGCTCGGCCTTTGAAGCTTCCATGCGCTGGAGGCATTCCGCATTCGACCGAATCCGCTCGTCTTCGAGAGCCTCAATCTCGTCGTCGAGGTCATCTTGGTACGCTTGGAGGATTTCGAAGGTCTGGCTGACAGATGACAGGGTGGAAGGGTGTGAGAATATCCGATTGAGGTGTTCTATAGGGTCATAATCGTCTCCCGGCAGTCAGCACAAGCAAGGACCATCTGGCCACCGAAGTTATGGTTACCTGAATCTAGCAAATCCACCTCTTGCTGAACGCCATTGACAGGCATATGGGCTGCGAGAACACGGGCTGGGACTACGCAAGTTGTTCGCCTGGCTGGCGATCTTGCGCATGCCTTGGACAAAATCAAGAAGTCGGGGCGAACAAGGCTATAGCGAAAAGACAGGCACCCGAAGTGCGAGGTATAGAAATGGGCGTCTACGTCGAAGGTCGCTTCTGGTCGCATGTGGAAATGCCACATTTGACGCCTCGAACGCGTTGCTGGATTTAACCGGAGTTTGCCCGCCGTCTTTTGAAATGATGGATTTTTCTTTGACTTACCGAGAGACTGCTCTACCCTTGCTCTACCCTCGCTCTACCCTCGATGTTGCTGTTTCTTTTCCCTTTTGTCTACTTGGTACTCTAACATTTCAACACGGTTCTTTCCTATACGTTCTAAGGAGTGCTACGTATTCGCTCAGGCCTTTGCATACACTTCTCTACTGTGTCTAGTAGCTAACAGAGGTGGAAGAAGTAAGAGGACGGCCGGAAGAAGCTATCTTCTACTGAATCGGAACCATTATGTCGACTGCAGAGGGCGCCTGTTACTCTCACAGCATGTTGTCGCCCCGTTCCCTCTGGATTTTCCAATGCTCTCTCAAGTGATCGCCTGCCCAGCCTCCAGCCTCATCATCTCCCATATCAAAGTAACCTTCTGGCCAAATACCCCAAGCTACACCGCCGACACTTGGGTCAGTGGCGGATCTAACCATGGCATCGACTACATGATCGATGCTTGCCCACGTCATCCCGTGACCTGGCATCACGCCTCTCGATGCTAATACCGGTAACGCAGACTGGACGAGAGGGGTGTTGATCCAGTAGGGTGCAAGCAGATTAACGCGGACATTAAGCGCAGCGGTTGTGTGCCGGAGCCCTCGGAAAAGACCTCGGACGGCAACTAATAGCCTGAGTTAGTCTGAAACTTCTCATGTGGTTTGAGGAATGAGTTCTGGCCCTATAGCAGATCATAGAGGGCTGCTGATCCGAAGAATCTTGTCATCTCATGGACCAGCCGGGTAAGTGACGACCACCTGCTGATGCGCCAATCATCCAATCTCACAGGACCGTGCTTGCTCGTTGCAAAGAAGGCGTATACTCACACTTTGAAGCATTGTAATCCGAAGAACTCGGCATGTCGGCATAAGCTGCCAAAGAAGCAGTCATGATTATTGACTTGTGCTGTGCACTTGTTGGGTCGACTTCCGAAGGCAGACGCATATAGTGCAGCGCCAACCAGCAATTGTCGTATACCCCCAAGAAATTCACAGCCGCCGCTTTTCGCGTTGGACGCGTTGGGACAACTTCGGGGTCCAAGGAAGGCTCAGGTGCTGCAAGGACTTGATCTGTGAGGCTACCCCTGTCGCCCCCTATACCGGCGTTCAAGACAGCGACGTGCAAGGACTTGCTCGGGCCGAAAGAGGCAGCGTGTTTGAACGCAGCCACGCTTGATTCCCAGTCGGTCGTGTCACAGTGGACGAAGGAGACATGGCAGCCTTTGGCGTTTAGGTCGGCGGCAGCCTTGTTCCCAGCAGCATCTTGAACGTCTGCGATGGTCACGTAGGCTCCTCCTTCTGCAAAGCGTGTGACGGCTGCAAGCCCAATGCCTGAAGCACCCCCTTGTTGCTTTCTGTCAGCCGTTTGATGATTTGAAACACATGGAAGCAGCAGTACCTGTGACAATGATCGACTTGTCTTTCAGCCCGGATGCATCTAAATGCCCATTCATGGTGGCGGGATCCTGGCTATGGTACGGAACTGCTCTTAACGTGGATTGCAACTCTGGTCGAGTTGGTCGAGTTGTCAAGCTCAATGAAGCGGGTTCTATATTCTCCCCCGCCAAAAGTCTCGGCTGTCAGCAAAAGCTGCTTTGCGTTCGCAAGGTATTGCTTCGTCCGAGTATGTCTGCCTGCTACTTCGACAATAGACAAACCGATGTTCGTACTTATAGAAATGGTTTAGCGTGCCCATGGAGTGAGATGGACCTCGCTTCCTTGAATGCATGGGGGGAATCTTCCCTCCACTACTCGCCGGTTGTTCGGCTGGACCTAGGCAACTCGAGGTGATAGTCAAGCCTTGGGGCGGGGTCATCGGCCGAAAATGTACCATAAGGTTCATTGTCCTCCATGCAATATTCAATACACTACGTCGTTGCTCTACATAACGCACCGAGGCCGAGTCAGAATACGACCCTTGCCAGGACCTTCCGTGCAAGCTCCAAATCGCTTCAGGTTTGTAGCGGCCCCTTTCTTGGATGTAGTGAGAAGACCAGGACCGGGGTAAACCGCTGCGGGCCTTGTCCCGCGATCCCAAGCAGCGAAAGCGCTATGTTGAATACATATGCAATCCCGAGCGCCGGCCCTTCTTGCGGTCGACCAAGAGATGAGGGTCATCTTCTCGTCTCGAGCACACCAGCCTAAATCAGCGACGACTTTCCTACCGCCATCGTATCCTCAGACAAGTCTTCCTTCCCTGACGACGGGATCTAGCTAAAGCGCAGGCATAGGCATTGACTAGTTTTCTTGGGATGGTTCTAGGCACTCCGTACCGTAAGCTCGCTGATGGTGATCCACAGAGCTCAGAGGGCCTCTCTGCTCGGGATGACTGGGTTGACGTATGTAGACACCACCTCTGCCAACAGAGACGCCTAGCCTGAAATCTTTCTTAGGGGACGGCTAGCGCATGCTCTGATTCCCTCAACACCACCGCGGAGCGACATTCTCAAGCAAATACGGATGCAAGAAGTGTAGTAATTACCATCAAGAAGACAACCAGTTCAGAATACTAGATACCTCGTACTAACGGCACACCGAACCTATGGTGTTGACACAGGCCGAAACAGGCTAGATCCCCTAGACACATGGCTCCTTTCCCGAACAGGTAAGGCGCATTTGTCCAACAGCAAAAGCTCAAAAACTTTCGATAATCAAAATAAATTCCCTTCGTACTAAGCACAGAACACCGGTTGCACTGACTATGGACTACCACTTCATATCAACTTTGCCCGTCTCATCCTTGAGCAGACCCAGCCCTCCCGCATCTCCCGTGATGAAACGAATACGAAGGCTTCAGGACCTGTGCTTGCTAACATAAATATTTCACCAGTACATCCCCAAGCCGTCGTCATCGATGAGGTACGTTCCCAGGGTTCTTTCAGCTCTACACATGTATTTCTCTCCCTCCCATTCCTCCCAAACATGATGACCACAAGAAACCTTCACGGCATTAGGAAGAGCCGGAAAAGGACGGTGCAGGAAAACAACCCCCCCCCCCCCCCCTGCGCATCGTCAAATGCGGTCCTTTTGGGGATCGGGGGTCTTGCCAGCGTCGGTGCTTAGAACTGGGTTCTTCTGAAACACAAAAAGGGAGAAAGAGGAAAGGGGAATATTAAAAAAAAAAAAGAAAAGATGCACTGATCTGTCTAGCTCTGCTCTCTTCTCCCCTCTTCTCGTCTGCCTTTCTTTGACTTTGTCTTTGGTTGAGAATCTTCTTTCGGGTTGGATTCGCTGACGATATTGTAATCTTCGCAAGATCTAGGTTCGTCTGACTGTATACGGAGGGACAGGCGTGAGACGAACTCGGTGGAGTACGAGGTCGGCACCGAGACTGGCTACGTATTCGGAGACGTCCTTTTGGTTGGAAGCTTCCAAAAATAAGGAAGCCCGGTTCATTCTCCGGGCCGATATAATACACAGACTCACGTTCTACCATGACCGCCCAAGAATTGCACCCTACAAACGCCCGTGCTAGATGCAAAAAAATGGACTCCGTCATATTTTCCCTCTCAAAGATCGTTCCATTCTTTCTATCTCAGCCCTGGTGAACCTTCTTCAACCTCGTGCTCCCCTCATACAATCCCCTATCAATCGCCGCGGCCACCGTCAGCGTGCCCCCCACCACCGCACAAACACCCGTCAAAAAGTTGGCAAAGGTCTTCGGCCTTGCTTCACGGTTAATCACCTTCATCGGAGAGATGTCGTAGCTGAAGAAGACGCCGGGAATTCCTCCATGCGCGTGGAGTCTTTCCTTGTGTCCCTCGGCAGCGTCGTTTCCACCGCTCAGAGATCTCTTGTGTGATGTGACAGAGTATTGATGCGTCTCGATCGAGCCCTGGCTTCCGGCTCCCTTGCCTTGCATGCCCAGCGGTATCAGGTCCGCGAGAGACGAGTGTTGTTTGATACTCCGATCCTCATCCCATCCGAGCGGCAAATAACTCGTGCTCACCACCTTGATGAAATACATGAAGTTAAACCCGGGCTCCTCCGTCTCCTGCTTCACTCCGTCCAACGGATTCGAATGGTGATGATCACTCCATTTCGCCGTCACCCCCATATCATCATCACTCAACTGGGGTCCGAACCTCAGAGAGTGGATCTCGTGTGTAAATGTGTGCCCGCCCTCCACAGGAGTGTCGAGATAATTATTCAAGTCGTGTACGTGCATGTTTCCATTTGAAAAGCTGCGGCCGGGCGCGATGTGGAAGTTCCCCACGACCTTGTTCACGCGAATGACGCCTTCAATGCGGCACCCCTCCGAGCGTTGTGCATCCAGTCTTTCACCATATCCTTCGCGCTCACACTGTTCCACGCCTTCGCCCCGTCCGAACGCCCAGCTGTTGGATGCGTAGGCCTCGCGCACCTCATCACATGTGTTACAACAGCCAGGTTTTGTTGCGTTGGCCGGTGCAGGAGCCGAGTAGCAGGAGCCGCAGTAATCGGGATCCAAGTGGACGGCATTATCCTGCTGATTGTGTAGTATTAGGGCGGTCGTGTCAATGATCTTGGAACCTTCGGCGACGGAGGAGAGGCGCACTTTGTTGACGCCATGGACGACGCCCGTCTGTTGCTCGCCAGACACATCCATTACGTCGAGGGTGAGCAGTTCGCAAGGGATGCGGGGAAAGGAGATGTTGAGGTGAATCTCCATCTTCTCACCTGCAAATGTAACAATCTCGCATCAGCATGAGTCCTTCCACATCTCTTGACCCTCCTCTTGAGGGCAGCTGCTATTCCAGACCACCAAATGATGTTCTTACCTCGCCCCTTGTCCACAATCAACTCGGGCATGACTAGGATTTTCCTGTATTCATTCCACTCTCCCCAGATCAAATAGAAGATAATAAGGATAGAGGCGATCGTCACGATCCCGCCAGAAGTTGTCCGCACCCGCGCATCTTCGACGGTCTTTGTGAACGCATCCAGCCGATGAAACCGCGATTTAAGAGCCATGATGGTCTATGGTGTGACTTATGGATCTCTCCAGTGTCACTCGTCGAGAAGGTTAGATCCTCCGATAGAAGGTAGAGTAGGTGGGAACACAGTGGAGGCTGAAAGGAGCGGACTGGGCCTCCGGGGAGAGGAACCGAGAGAAGAGGTCGAGGAGGAAACCCAAACAGACTATAACTCGTTAAGGCGTATCATAGTAACAGACAGCGACATTGTTCTCGTGCAGTTGTCGATCTGTCAAACTTGGAGAGGGTAGTGAGGGTGAGGGCGAGGCTGCAACCAGAGTGGACAGCATGTTCCATTTGCGATTTTCGGATTTCCTTTTGGAGAAAACTTCCACGGGGTCCAAACCTACAACAGGTCACTTGGCACAAGACCCTGTCTTCTCAGCCAACCAATACACGAGGGACTTGCGCAAGAAATCTGTGGCTATTTGTAGAGCTGAACAGGAAGAGAAGACTATTTTCGACGGTTTCATTGAATCATGCCATCAGTTCGAACTATGGAATACAGGGAGCTGTGAACACAACCATCAAGATATGCTCGCTGCTTAACCCGCTCTACTTCCATTAATGCCCTGCCGCTTTTTGGTTGTCATTGCAATCCTTCCTACCACTAGTCTTCCAAACCATTTCACTCGTTGCCGGGATATCGCTGAGAAAAAAAACATGGCAAGAGTACCCACGTCTTACTGACACCGAACGCCAATAGGGATGACCACGAAGACAATCGCTCAAGAATGAGATCTCGTCAATGGAACATCTATGCCGTGCGTGGTAGGAACTGTCTAGTCGACCTCTTCCATGGCGCTCTCAGCAGTACCCTCAGCGGCAGGGGCCTCTTCAGCGGCCTTCTCCTCAGCAGTCTCTGCTTCCTCCTCCACGTTCAGGCCGAGGGAGACGAGCTTGTGAATGCGCTCGGCAAAGCTGGCTGGCTCCTCAATGGTGAAACCGGAGACGAGCAGAGAGGTCTCGAAGAGAAGCTGGGTGATTGATTTGACGGTGCGATCATTCTCGCCGTCGGTCTCAACCTTCTTCTTGAGCTCACGAATGATTGGCGACTTTGGTGAGATCTCGAACGTCTTCTTGGAGGACATGTACGAGGACATGGATGTGTCACGCAACGCCTGGGCCTTCATGATACGCTCCATGTTGGCGGACCAACCGAATTGACCGGTTCGGATGGCGCAAGGAGAGCCGACAAGCTTGTGAGACACAACAACCTTCTCGACCTTATCGCCGAGGATGTTCTTGAGGCTCTTGGCGAGACCCTCGAACTCCTTTTCTTCCTTTTCGCGCTCCTTCTTCTCCTCATCGGTCTCCTCCATCTCGAAGTCCTTGGTAATATCAACAAGTTTCTTGCCGTCGAACTCCTTGAGCTGGGTCATGGCATACTCATCAATCGGGTCAACCAAGAACAAGACCTCGAAGTTCTTCTCCTTAAGCGAATCGAGGAAGGGAGACTTCTGCACGGCCTTGATGGATTCACCAGTGATGTAGTAGATCTGCTTCTGGTGCTCTTGCATACGGGTGGCGTAGTCGGTGAGCGAGGTAGCCTCTTCGCCAGACTTGGTGGACTGGAATCGGAGGAGCTTGGCAAGAGCCTGGCGGTTCTGGGAGTCTTCGTGGATGCCGAGCTTGATGTTCTTGCTGAAGGCAGAGTAGAACTTGTCGAACTGCTCACGGTCTTCCGCGATCTCATTGAAGAGTTCAAGGCACTTCTTGACAATGTTCTTCTTGATGACCTTCATGATCTTGTTCTGTTGAAGGGTTTCACGTGACAAGTTGAGAGGGAGATCCTCAGAGTCAACGACACCCTTGATGAAGCCAAGCCATTCAGGGATCAAGTCGGTGGCATCGTCGGTAATGAAGACACGTCGGACATAGAGCTTGATGTTGTTCTTGGTCTTCTTGGTCTCGAAGAGATCGAATGGAGCACGCTTGGGGACGAAGAGAATGGCGCGGAATTCGAGCTGACCCTCCACGGAGAAGTGCTTCACGGCCAAGTGATCTTCCCAGTCGTTAGACAGGGACTTGTAGAAGGAAGCGTACTCTTCTTGTGTAATGTCGGAGGGGTTGCGGGTCCAGATTGGCTTGGTCTTGTTGAGTTCTTCCTCTTCAATCTTGGACTCCTTGACCTTCTTTGTCTTAGGCTTCTTCTCTTTCTCTTCGTCTTCGTCAACTTCTTCAATTTTGGCCTTCTTCTCTTCATCCTCCTCTACCTCTTCGGCCTCCTCGTCAGGAACCTCCTTCTCGGTCTCCTTCAAAACGTGGAGATAGATGGGGTAGGAGATAAATTCCGAGTGCTTCTTGACAACCTCCTTGATCTTGGACTCATTCAGGTAGTCGGTCTGCTCGTCCTTGAGGTGGAGAATGATCTTGGTGCCACGGCCAAGGGGCTCGCCTTTCTCATCGTGGGTGATGGTGAAGGTACCACCTGCGCTGGACTCCCAGATGTATTGCTCATCGTCATTGTGTTTTGATACGACGGTGACCTTATCGGCAACCAAGTAGGCAGAGTAGAAACCGACACCAAATTGACCGATCATGGAGATATCGGCACCGGCAGTCAAGGCTTCCATGAACTGCTTAGTACCAGATCGAGCAATGGTACCGAGGTTGTTGACGAGATCCTATCAAAACGTGAGTCATGGCGCTGTTCTCTGAGAGAATGGGTGATTTGAACTTACAGCCTTGGTCATGCCAATACCAGTATCACGGATGGTGAGGGTCTTTGACTCCTTGTCTGGGATGATATCGATTCTGAGGTCCTTGCCAGAGTCCAATTTGCTTGGATCTGAGAGCGCCTCATATCGGATCTTGTCGAGGGCATCAGAGGCATTGGAGATCAGTTCTCGAAGGAAGATCTCTTTGTTGGAGTAGACAGTGTTGATGATGAGGGAGAGGAGTTGGGAGATTTCAGCCTGAAACTCGAAGCTTTCAGAGGCCATGGCTGCGATCTTGTGTGCAAAGGAGAAGATCTGTGGGAGATGGACAGTCAGTACAAGTGAAGGAAAGATGATATTTGAGCCGACCAGAGTCAAGGCTTGAAAACGCAATGTGCGTTGCTGCAGGCAGCGTCGCAGTGGGAGAAGCCAGGGAAAGGTGAGGCAGGGCAAACGCTGGGTCAATGCGGGGAGGTATAAGGGGAGGTTGAACTCACAGAAGTAGTGTGGTCGAGTTAAAGAGACGGATGAGCAGACTGTCCTATGAAGCGGGAGCACGAGGAGAAGAAAATTTCTGAGTGATAAGTCTGATGGAAGAAGAGAAGGCTGGAAAGTGTTTATGCCTTATAAACTTAGCCGCAGTCAAACCTGGAGAGCTTCCATACGGTTCTTTTTTCCTCTGCACTGACAGCCCCCACAGGGGAGTTTGCCAAGACATGGGCCCACTCAGTGGCCCACAAACCCTGAATAAGCATTTGCCAGACAGCAAAAGAGCCTGTCTGACAGAAAGGTCAGCAAGGCTACCATTCATTTGATATTGAGCATTTGAAGAGCCGTGATGTTTTATCGAGGTAGAACTATACGAGCACTACTGCTGTATTCTCATTCAGGCCCCTCCCCAACGATTCTCACTGCCGCAAGCAGCGATATGCTTCTTTTTCAACCAATGTCGTCAACAACTCCCAAGCCTCCGCCCGTGCCAACTGTTTCTGTCAGACAGAGACTAACGCTTCAATGGAGCCACTAGCAAGGCGTTGCCTGGCCACCATAGGCTGCAAAGGCTGGCAAGACAGCCTGGCGAGCCTTCTCGAATCTTGCAGCCTTGACGGGCCACCAGTCTGCCCTCGTACCTTCCACAGAGTTCGGCCCTCGAACAGCTCTCCACCGAACATCAGAACTCGTACTGCTACAAGCAACCGTGGGTAGAACACCAATGCACTTGTAGTGGTAACAGAATCATTTTTGATATTGACATGGCCTTTTATAATCAGCATGCTAAGAGTGCTGTACCAATGCATGTTATAACACTCTGTAAGCAAAGGACCTCCCACCCAGCCGCCATGTGATGTGCAAGATGGTTTGGTAGAATCACAGCTATCTATCGATTCTCATATGTCACAAGATTAGCCATTTCTATACTCCCATTTCTCATGTCCGTGGTAAACATTCAACTCCTGCTGTCCTCTGGGTGAAATTTCTTCTTCGTTGTGGTCTGAAACTCATAAACCCATCACACCATTAAGCCGTAAACAAGACCTCTTGGGTCGTTCTCGCTATCCGCCCTGTGCTTCCGAAGTGTCTTGGCTCTCTGCACTGCTCTCCCTGTTGCTGGCTTCAGCAACTTTCTTCTCGGCTGCCTCCAGCCGTTCTCTGGTCTCTTTCAGTTCGCTTTGCAAGCTTTTAATATAGACAATGGCCATTTCAACCGTGCTTGCCTTGCTCGTACCCTGTCCAGGGGCAGGGGGTTTGGTGGCCGTCGTCGCAGTCGCCGATGTCTCCCCGTCCTCGATCTCGTCTTTGGGAAGTCTCTCCTTCTTACTGTTGGCCACGAGGATGGACGGGGGAAGAAGGGCCTCGATCTCTTTCAATGCGAGATTGATCCGATTTCGGCGACCCTGCTCCGCGATTTTGTGTGAGGTTCGTTTCGACGTCAGATTCTCGGCCAAGGTTTCGGGATACGAAACTCCTGGTAGGTGCGTGCCCTCTAGTATGTTCTGGTAATTCGACTTGGACGCAAGATATAATGCACTTGTTTCAGCTGAAAGGTGTGACATGCCTGGACCTAGAACGGTCAGCCTACCACGTATCTGTCCGCATCTGATTGAAGACTTACCAGTTGCAGGAGCTAACGGGCTGATACTAGGAGAGATTTTAGGCCGCAGGGCAGGAGAAATTGTCGCAGAAGACGTGCTCTGGCGCTTCTTGCTGGCGCGACCTCCTCCACGGCTTTCAATCTTCCCAGGTTTCGCAAAGGTCTCTTGCGATGTCGCCCTTGTCAGTGCACTTCTGGGGGTGCTTGCGGCACTAATCTTGGCGGATTTGGCGGAAAGAGTAGGAGTGTTGTCGCCAGAAACCGAACTTTTGCCAATGTCCATACTTGGCAACCCTTGCGGGGCGGTCGCAGACGCCGCAGCCGCAGGTAACATGATGTCCTCCATAGGCTCATCTGCACCTTGGAGAGGGCCATGGTGCTCCATTTGCTTCATGGCAACCGACTGGTTACTAGGCATCCTCATCAATGTGGCAGGAGTGACCGGGTTAGTGGACTGCGCATTGTGAGCAATCACCATTGACTGTGGCGACTTGCCCGGGTGAGGCACAGGAGGAGGCCTCATCGTGGCCTCGGACAAAGGTTCCGGCGAAACCGAATCATCGCTCCCGTGAAGCACAGCGCTATTGGGCGCCGATGGATGGAGTGTTGAACCTAGCGCACCCTGAGGAAGCATGCTTCGGATTTTATCTATGGGCAATGAAGTCAATGAAGGATGTCGGCGGCGCGGCTGAGGCTTCATCGCAGGAGACTGCTTCACGCTTCGAGCGGCAGGGGCGCGAGCAGCATTGCTGCCTTTGCGTCGAGGGCGCTTCGTCCCAGCCGCGACGGGTTTTCCAGCGGCGCTCAAATCGTTGAGGTCGATAGGGGAGGCGGTAGTGCCAGTCGAGCTAAAGGCCGCCTGCGCTTCAATCGCAGGAGACGTCAACGGGCTGAAAAATTCGTCTGCCAGCCCATAATCGGACATGGCGAACCCGCCGTCCATTGGAGTTTGCGCCGGAGAGACCAGTGGAGTGAAGGACACCTGGAAAATCATCAGCAAAAGGAGGATCTTTGTATCGTGCCCGACGACCACGTTACCTGCTGGTGGTCGAACAGAATCTGTCCATTGCCTCCCATCTGTTGCGCATATTTCCCGGGATGCATTTCAGCGCTCACAGGCGTGGGAGGAACGTGGTACTGGGACGGCATCTGCACTTGCTGATATGGCGGGAATCGGGCGGCGTAGGCGTGATCCGTGGATAGCTGGTTGCGATAACCGACGGGGTCGCTGGTCGACGTCACATGGATACCCATCTGTTCGACCCCAGTGTAATTCAGGTCGGCTGCGCTGTTCCCAAATCCCAGACGACCCATGGGAGTATCGAGGCCGGAGTGGCCATTGTTCATGGCAGCATAGTGTTGGAAGTCGTTGTCGAGGTCGAGGAACTTTGTGAAATCTTCGTCGCCAACCCCGGCCACCATGCCGTCATCTTGCATATCTTGAGCCCATACGACATTCTGCTCGCGCTCTTGTTGAGTCATCCTCGAGGCTGAGGATGGCGAGGGTGTTAAGCCCGCAGGTGGGCTGCGGGAGGTGGTGGATGGAAGACACGACGGGTCAAAGTAGGTTCATTTCTGAGGTCGGGCGAGATAGGAGCAGCCCACTAAAGATTTGGCTGGAAAAGCGATCGCGACGCCGAGTAGATCAAGCTGGCGGTGGCTGAAGTTCAGCGAACAGACGCAGCGCAGCCTCGTTGAAGAATGAATGGAAAAGAGGCAAGGCTGGGGGTACGTTGGACAAAAGCACTGAAAGGGCAAAATTCGAGGTCGGTGATGGTAGCAGTCAAATGCCCACCACGTTCAGCGGTGCAGATTGCAAAGTCAGAGTATGTAGGCTTTTCGCTTTTCGAGGGTCTGGGCTCCACCCAGCGGGGTTGTGCGTCTTTGTGGTCCTTGGGGGGAATGGCGTGGGTATGTTTTTTCATAGACTTGCAGCGAGCTTGCAGTAGGCAGAAAATGGCGTGGGCATTGACCAGGGTATTGTCTCGAGGTTGGCGCTGAGTCGTCGGCCGGCGACTGCAGAGTGGGTGTGGGACGAGAAGGATTCGGCTGGGAGGTCCTGGCACTTCTAGGGCTCGGGATGATGGTATGAGGTACTGGGTAGGTGGAGGGGGGTCGAACTTCGGGCTGATGGCCAGTGAGGGAGCTTGGTAATTAGGTTCAGTGCGAGCAAACTCGAGATGGTGGGTAAGATGTTATTGATCAGATATCAATCATGTGCGGTGTGTCATGCAGTGTACCTGGTACACGTTTCTGATCCCATGAGCGACTCTGAGCAGCAGTGTGATTGCGAACACAGAAAGGACCGGGCGCGAGGAGGGAACTGGAAGGGATCGAGGTGGTGGTGGTGGTGGTGGTGAGGGTGGTTCGAAGTTGAAGCTGAGGTTGGCCTGGGTTCAGGAAGAATAATTGGTCAGACGTTGGTTTCGAGGCGAGGGTTGGATAAATTTTAGCTACGGAGGGGTTTCGTCGTGGGCATCAGAACCGATTCAGCAGTTCTGCATCAGAGAATGAGATGAGGATGAGGATGAGAATGGGGCCCAGGTCCATCTACATACCAAATCTGTCTATTCGGTACGGAGCACATATATGTGACCGTAATGGTATCCCGCAGCTCACAACCTGGAAGTCAAGAATGGAGTCTTGTTGCGCCTGACTTCAGTGACTTGTTGAAGGTGAGCCCCCGAAATGGGGAACCAGAGGGGGCATGTTCGCTGGCTAACAGTGGTGATAGTGGGTTGTTGCTCAGTACCCAGTGCGGCGTGCCTGCGAATACTTACCACAAGTCCAGGTACGAGGAGGACATGGGGCGTGCGTTGCAGGCACCCAGCGAGCCAGGAGTGCAACCGCAGGCGGCACCCGGCACCCGGCACCTGGCCTACAGTCAAAGACCAGGGGGGCTGAGGGTTGGGGGCTTGGGCTACTAGGTAGGCTTGGAAGTTGAGGGGTAGTCTATTGGCACCAATACTCGTTAGGTGTTTGTAATATTCCGTAGGTAGAAGGGGGGCGGGGCGCACCCGTCGGCGACAAACACTCTCGCCGTCCTCGCAGTTTCTTCTTCTCTCTGTGTTCGGCTTCCACTTTGTCCCAATTCAATCCGCGTCGCTCCACCGAATCAGAGTTTTTAGGCCGGTCTCGATCTCCAATACGTACAGTACCACCGTCAATTCGCCCTCCAAGGCTAGCTTCGCCCTGTCTTTGATTGGCCTCTCCTCTCGTCTCCCACTCAGGCCGAACGATCTGACTGTGCGACATCAGGTTGGGAGATCCCCCGACGCTTGGGTCAAACGAGTTTCCATCTTCTTGCCTTAATTCCCTTTCGTCTTAGTCCGTCACTTGCCCGCCCGGCACCAGCTGACCACGATTACAGGGCCATATCCGGTACGAGCCCTTCCCGAAGCAGTAGCTTCAAATAGCGCTGGCTGTGTGCTACGACGCCCTACCTTGCCGTGGACCTCACCATGTCTAAGCCCAAGGCGTTCCTCAAACAATCAAAGTCGAAAAAGAAAGCAGAACAGGTGATGGACCAAACCCTCTCCGGCCGATCGATATTAATAAATCACATAGGCTCTAGAGACCGCCGACGATTTTCAGGCAGGTACGTGGTCGCATGAACAACCACCCCCCAGTCGGTCAAGGCGAAAGGTTGGTGAGGCTGATCCCCGTATTTAGCTGGCGTGGACTTTGAAGAAGCTGCAGGGAAATGGAGGGCCGGAGATGCCGTCAAGTCGATGCGCTTCTTTTCCAGAGCCATCGAGGTATATGACCAGGGATTGCAAACCTTCCCCGCCAGCGTTGATCTTGCGTACAATAAGTCTGTCGGCCAATCGCATCCTCGCTTCTACCACAAGGCTGACCTTCAAGCAGAGCAAGAGTCCTGCTGGAAATTGCAACGCATCCTCTTCTCGTGCCACATTTGCATCAGCCTCTTCTTGAGGTTTTGGAGCAGACATTGGAGGCGCATCGCTACGCTCTTACTCTAGACCAGGACAATCCCGATACTTTGTTCAATACCGCCCAAGTTCTGACAGCTATTGCCGAAGTATATGCCAGAGATCCCAACCACGCTGATCAGGATGTCCTGCAACTACTCGAAGAAGCCTTGGAACTACAGAATCGTTGCTTGAGCATTCAAGAGTTCAAACTCGACGAATATACGCAACAGCAGAACGAAGCGGCCGCCCAAATTGCATCAGAAAATTCAGCTGAACCCATCACTGACGTGGACGATGAGGGCAATGCCGCTTCCTCCGGAACCGGCACTGAAGACCACTGGTTTTCGGTTGTGGAACCAGTGACAAAAGATACCCTTGTTGACACGATTCTTGCACAACTTGGAACTCTCACTACTCTCAGCAGCTTTCTGAGTTCCTCAGACTCCATCCCCACCTCTAGCTTGGCTTATATCGAAGAATATTCTTCAAAATTGGTCAAGACAAAGCTGCCACCGCTTCTTCAGGATGCTGGGCCTGAGAGACTACAAGAAGTTGCTCTCGCTCGGGCAAATCTTGCATCTGAATTGTTGAAAGCAGGCTATCTCTTGGGCTTAATTGACCCAACCACGTTCAAAAGAGAGCGAGATGAAGCATTTCAGGTGGCTGAACTTGACCTGGAAAGGAGTTTTCCTGCCCTGGTAGCTAACGCGAATAGTCTAATTGCATTCAACACTGGCCTTGCAGACGGTGAGCCCTCTAACGCCGTCTCCTACGCGTCCATGCGGTGGAGTGCCCTGGCTGCAGCAATAGCCAACATGGCTACGGCATCAAAGATTTCTGGTCCTCTCCCTGAGGATATTGCCGAGACACATTTCATCCGCGGGAATTGCTCTCTTCTACAACATCAGTTAGGACTGCCGCCGACATCTTATAACGCGGCCATTGCGAATGGCCCCCAGCTACTGAAAAACGCAGAGACCTTTTATCGCAACGCCAGCAAGCTCTATCAGGACACAGAGCAGAAAGCCGTATCGCAGCTGAGGGCAATCGTTGCTCAAGCTGTTCAGACGCGTGTTGATATTGCCTCCACCGCTGCCCAGCATGACCAGGGTAAAGGACGAGACTGGGTTAGAGCCCAACTTGATGACATGGTCGATGATGGGCTCATCACCCCGTCCCAATCTCTTTGAGATGTCCAGCGTGGTCACCAAATTGCACAACTGAGCGGCCACTTTGAGACTACGAAGAACTCCTGGCTCTTGAAACTTCTACTGAAAAGTCAGTATGAGAAGATGCAGACACTAATCTTCAAACGAGAAATTTGCGGGACTCTGTGAAGGATCATGAGGCCCATAACATACGTATCTTCGATATTCAGGACAAAGAAAACTCTGACCCTCTTAAAGCCATTTCTCAGTCTGCGGTGTTCAAGTTCTGCCTACGGGTATTACTGACTCTTTTCGCTCCCTTCTCTCTCTGTGGGCATGAGACGAAGCAATCTATGCATGTTTGAGAGCTGAGATCTTTAAGGCCCTTAGACCAACTGCATCTACTGAGTATTCATATGAGCCCGTCTCTTCGCTCCTCGAGAACGGGTCCGGCAATATTCACGCAGGCAAGTTTTCCATATCTTAACCGCCAACGCGATGCTCTCTTCCCTTAACAAAGCTTCATTCTCTACATTCAGCCAGTTCTTCAAAGATGGAGAGGTCCCCAATGCCTATCAAGTGGCCTTATGGCAGGGACACAAGAATCTCTTGTCACAAAGTCGAGCTTGTAGAGGTGCAAGTCCTATTTTACGCGCATCGCTACAAGCAATGCATTTCTCTCTGTGAACAGTTACAAGCGTCGGAGGTATGTCACTTTTTCAGTATGTAACTTCAAAGGGTTCCAGATCTCTGACCGCCTCAAGATTCACGCCCTACAAAGGGCCTTCCTTTGGTTTTACCATGCCACGTGCTACGAGTCGATGGGGCTGATTGCGCACGACTTTTCAGGCAATAAACTTCAGTTCTTGGATTCGGCGAGGGAGAGTTTCAATCTGGCTCTGAAATGGCTTCCTTTGCCCTATGTATCAACAGAAGGAGGTACTTACGCCCAGCGGGAAGACTCACCTATCGCACCCGAGTTTAGGTCCCCTGCCCTTTCTGTCAATAGAACGCCACCCGCAAGTCGCAAATGGATGTCCGCGGCTGGCTGGGTCACAGAGACACCACCCTCCGTTTCGTCTAGCAGCGTCTACTCAACAGAAAGCGCCATCTCAAACGGAAGATTTGTTCAGGAGTGCAGTGCATCATCGCCGCAAAAGCGCACATACCAAACAAACCGGGCGCCACATGCCCACATCAACTCACAAGAAGGAACTTCAGAATGTAACCCTTCGGAACACCCAGCTACGCCAGCTCCGGGTGAATCTCGACTCGACCGCAGCGCCAGCTCCAGACAAGCACTGCAAGACGATCTAGTACCATCACCTCTGTTCAGCCGGAATCCCAAATGCGCTTGCCCGCCGCGACCTGATAGTAATGACAATACCCGACCACTTCCTCCCCTCCCATTCAACCACAAGTCCGACTTTAAAGCCCAAGGCACCCGCATCATCCAAGATCCACTGATGCGCAAAACTGCAGTCCAGACCCTCATCGCACGCTTTGAAGGAGTCCTACCCTTAAGCCCCTCGTCTCCACTCGCAACAGCACAACCGCCCCTGCGAGAACAGGTATACGGACTCGAAGCTAGCACCCCTTCCCCTGGCGTCACATCCCCACGCTTTCGAATGATCCGCGACGCGGTCAGTCCAGACCCACACAATGAACAGCTCGAAGCGTACCTCACTTCTTGCGCTTCGACTGCGCTAACACGCTACAACACGCACCTAGCGGATTTCTGTGGTCAGCTGAGGAAGCATATTGCTTATGTAGATGGGGAAATTGGTCGCGTGCAGAAAATTCAAGGCGAGAGGAGCGCCGCCAGGGCTTTGGGGCCCAAGCACCGCCTTGCGAGTTTCTGGTCTATTGAGGTCGCTCCTCCATCAAAATCGAAGCCCACTTCCGGATCCACATGTGCGGGCCGAAGCACCAACCTTGTGGGAAATGACCGTGGCCACGACCATGGGTCTCCTGTGGAAGATCCGCAAGACAAAGTCAAAAAGGAGAAAATCGACAAGTTGAGACGCCAGGGTTGGAAAGTGTGCAAAGAAAGACATGGGTTCAAAGGTGTGGAGTTCTACGAGGACCTGAGAAGGCGTGTAGAAGCCGAACTGGCTGGTAGGTTCTGATCTGGATCAGAGAGCACGAACGGCACCGGGCTGCTTGCTCTTGCAAGTCCAACTGCCCTGGGTTGATTGGTTGATTGTTGCGTACGGAAAGGTGTTGCAAGTGATGGCTTATGACTTGGTTGGGCGGAAACGGAGTAACTTGATTGTATTGGATCGTGTGTGCCTTGTTGCTCGACATGGAAAAAGCGACCGAGTCTCGTGAGATGTCTTGGGAATCCCTGGGAATAGGGAACCGGGAACCCAGCAGGGCGGGGCTAGTTTTGCCGTTCTCACTCGTATGTATTAGTACGAAGAGCAGAAACCCCCAAAAGAAAAGCAAGTTTTCAATCAATCAGCCTCGACAGTTGACAAATCGACGAAGCACCTCGCAGAGTTTGTTTGCCCCTTTCCCCCCCGGGACTTTCCTTTTTCAACAACAACAACAACAACAACCCTCCTGAGCCCTGACGACGACGACGCTACCACATCCGTATTCAACACACACAGAGGCTGCCCCAGCGCTCTCCCCACTCCTCTCCCAGATATTACGACGATGTACGAGGACGAGGACGAGGACGAGGACCTTTTCTCCTCCGTACTCTACTCGGTTACCGGAATGGCTCAGAGTCAAGGGGCCCAAGACTACGAGGGGGGGGGGGGCAAGGGGGCAAGGGGATCAGGCCCTACCTAATAGGTAGGTAGGTAGGTGAATAGGTAGCTTCCTTCCTTCCTAGGAAGACGAGCAAGATGAAGATAAGTAGGGGGAAAGGGGAAGAGGGTGCACGCTGGGTGGTGGGTGTTGGAATGGACAAGCAGACAATGATGGCGCAAGACACCCACATCACCGCCCCTACACAGTACAAACAAGAATTGAGGTTAAGTCATGTCAAAGAAAGACATCCGTCCTGTATGCGAGTCACTAGGCGCATTTCTATAAGCGAGGCGAGGCGAATCAAAGAAAGAGCTTGAAAGAGCCAACACAAGTATGCATCGAGTACCGATACGATCTACGAAGGAACAGGTAGGTACCTAGGTACTTATGCACAAGGAGAAAGCAAGAGCAGTGATCCGAAGGAGATGGATTTTGTATTTCTGTATCTTGTATCAATATCAGAGTCGACCGATACCCCCAGTTCTCCATAGCCAAGCAGGAGCTGCTGAATCACGATAAGAAACCAGCACAGAATGTGGATTGATCGAATCAGTCCTTCCCCCTCTGATCTTCTCGCAATCCCTAAGTATTGGCTCTTCTAAGCCAACCTAATTGCTCCGTCTCTTCGCAAGTCACCAGTTCCCCCCTGTTCCACAGTAAGACAATTGAGATAGGAAAAGAACTGGATCAATATCGTCACGTCGTCATCAATTATTCAAGTCGTCAATCTTCAGCTCACTTCACTCTTGTCTCAACACCTCCATCTTTTTTTTTGGTTGTATATTTGTCGATGGGTGGAGTTAGTAGTGAAAAGAAAATAAGTCCTCCAATACGAACTCCACTCGCTCCGTGAAAACATGCTAATGTGTACAAGGGCGGCGGGCATGGTCCCTCCGCCGCCTTCTCTGACAAGATTCCCGCCGAGGAGTCTTCCCCAGCGATCTCTAGTTGTTCATATCATAATCGATGAAGTCGCTATCGTTCCAGGCAGAAGCGAACATGGGGTCGTTGTCAAGAGTAGCGAAGGCCTCTGGACCGCCTGGGAACAAAGTCGCTGTGGCGGCGGCAGGGTTGGAAAACGCACTGCTACCTTCACCTCCAAACAGTGAGAAGTCGTTCTGAGGAAATTCTGGGTCCGAGGCAATCAAAGGGGCGTCATTGAATGACTGCCCAGAGGGACCAGCAATCATGGGAGAATGCTCCGAGATGGAGGGATTGCGGGAATTTGGCTGGAAGTAGGAGCTCGGGGTCGGCAGCCCCTGGTTCCAGGAAGTTTGGTTGTTGCAATCAATTGTGATATCCATTGCAGTGTTGTATGGAGATGGCTCGGTGATGTTGCTGTAGGTTGGCGTGATGGGTGTGGTCATCATGTTGGGATATTGAGCAGGCTGATAAGAGCTCTGGAACGGGGCGTTGAAGTCGAAATCATCTCCCATGGGGTTGTATGGCGCCGCCGGAGGGTTCCGCGGAAAGATTGGGTTCGAATAAGTGACTGGCGTTGAGTTGAAGTTGTCGAAAGCGTTGATTGGCTGCTCAAATGGTGTCATCGAACTGCTACCTGGCATACTTCCAGCAATGCTTCCTGCAACGGAACTGGCATCGTCCCAAGTTCTAATAGATACAGCTGGACTGGGGGAGTAATCCATGCTTGGAGTTCGTGGAGTTTGAGCTGGTGTCATCTTCGTGACAGCCTTGTCTTTGCCCTTGGCGCGCTCATAGTGCCAGCCATGCTTCTTTTCCTGATGTTGCTTGCAATTGCTCTCGCGCTTAGTTCGGAACTCACAGAAGTCGCACTTATAGTAGACAGGATTTTTGGAATGACGGTCGTTGATGTGGCGCTCACGTTCCTTTTCAGTCGGAAGACCGAGCTCGTGGTACTTGCAGCTCGTCTCGGGACATTTGAAAGGGCGAGAATGAGTCTTTTCGTGTTTGGCCAGATCACATTTCCTCGTGAAGATCTTGTCGCAAGTAGGGTCGGAGCACTTCATCTCAACGATCTCGGGGATGTAGCCCTTCTTTCTGCGAGCCATGGACCTTGCCACATCTTCATCGAGAGCCTCGCTGCTCGCTCTCTTTACTCCAGGAGTGGGCATGTAAGGTAGACCAGTCCTGAGAGAATAGCCCTTGCCGTTCTTCCAGCGAACGAGCTCAGCTTCGTTACCGGTTTCGCCGAGGCCACCCTCAAGGGTGACCTCATCATCGATGGAGTAAGCCATGTCGTCGTCTTCCTCAGCAGTGCCCGCCTGCTGAGCGCGACTGGAAGAGCCGATATGCGCAGCTAGTCGGTTGACTTGTTGGACCAAGTCAAGGAAGTAACCGTTATCGTATGGCCGGTCGGCAGCACGGCGTTGTTCAGACTCAGCGAGATGCTGATATGTATCGACAACAAGCTGGATCGTAAACTCGCCAAAGACGCGGTACAATTGCCTTGAGATGGCAAGGGTCTTGTAATCGACGTCAGAATGTGTCAGGAGTCTGGTGGTGGTAGTGGGGAGGGTGCTTACCAGTGGCTGGAAGATGAGGCTTTGTTCAAGGTCACGCAGGCATGTGACAGCCTTGTTGTTCTTGGATCCAAGAGCAGTGACAAGAGGATGAAAGTCCTCAAAGCGGTCTTCTCGGAGGATGGGTGTGATTATATAGTCCTTGATCTTCTTCCGAGCGGAGGGACTCAATGCAGGATGACGCAGGGTATGTCGAGAAGCAGGAGGAGCAATGCTCTGCGTGACAGCGGATCGGGTAACGGTGCTGGAAGTCCTCGAAGAGGGGAGACTACCTCGTTGCCTAGTGCGCCGAGTGGTCGTGTCTGGAGAGTCAGCTACTGCAGGTGGTTGGTTAACACTGTCTTTACACATCAACATGCAGCGGGCAATCCAACCTTGAATTGCTGGTGCAAGACCGTCGTCTTCGGCGGCGTTTCCCACGGCTTTCTCGGCTGAGTCACTGATGGATGTGCCCAGCCCACTGTCCTTATTCGACAACAAATCCAAAGCTCTTTCAAATGACTTGGCTAGACCTTTGTCACTGGCTGGGCTGATCGATGAACCCAAGCCTTCGTCTGATGGTAGTGCGATGCGACGAACCCAGACCTGTTGGTCAAGGAGTTGGGTTGGGCGACGACGGCTCGATGTCTTTCTGCCTCGGGCGCCGGAGAAGGTTTGTTCGAAGTCGGCGATAGACTGAGCTACGTCTTCCTTTTCGGCAAGCCAGCTAGTGAGAGTGGATTGAGAGCATGTTGGAGAGCGACGAGTCAGGTGAGGGATGCTGAGCACTGGGTCATCCTCAGTGGCCGGCGAGGATGAGTAGTGGAAAGTTGCGCCCTTGGACAGGGACATCTTATGCAAGCTGCATGCTGATGACTCTGTCCAAGCGGGGGAAGACGGAGAAAGACCCTTGGTGATGAGTCGAGGAGTACGGCGATGAGCAAAAGGGGTGGGAGGAGGAGGCATGGTGGAGGACGCCATGGTTGGTATATGTACACTCTGGATGAGCCAGGCCTAGGAAAGATGCCAGATGACACGCAGAGTGCTAGCCCGAAGTTTAGCACGCGGTCGATTGGTCGCTTTGGATCATTCCCCGGTGCTTATGACTCACCCGTACAAATAAACCCCCAAACGATATAAACCGAAGACTGAAGAATGTACTTTTCTGGAAATCGAAAGTCGCCTATACTCACAGTTGCTGCGTCGTTGATCCTTCTTTCTCACTTGGTGCCAACGATTGTCCAGTCGGGAGAACGCCGTCTCCGTGTATTTGTGGGGTTCCTTTTTGAAAACAGTGTGTGGCCTCTCAAGTCGGGCGCAGGTGGATTGTGGTAGGCGGCGTGCGAGGATATTTACCCGTTGTTGGATGGTCTCGGAAGGAGCGGACAGACGATATACCGCGATCCCAGTGGGTGAGAGCCTGCTGGGCTCACAGCCTGATAGGAGGAGTCTGGAGAATGCACAAGTGTCCGTTGCAAGAGGACAGAAGTGCAATCGAACCGAATGGGGTTGACGTGAGGTTCAGATGGGCAGCGAGATAGAGAGGGCCGCGGATGGTGGAGAGGAGACAACCTGAGGCCAAGGTGGCGAGTCCAGGTGCTTCCCTAAGGTTGTGTAGCCGAGTCTGATTGAAGGAGGGGAGGAGGGAGACGGTCAGGGCGAAGAGGTCGCGATTGAGAGGAAGAAGGGTGAGTCGAGATGAGTCGAAGTGAAGCCCGTTGCGCTGATGATGTTTGAATCTCAAGTTCGCTGTTGCCTGCTTGGCACAGCCAGGGGACCTCCACCGCTGCAATGTGATTGGGTGCAGCCAACAGGGCTCTCTTCGCTTCTCTGCCCTTCCAGTGTGGCGCGGGCAAGCCAGTGTCGGCCAGTGGTGTGTTTGGGCGCTTTTATACTGGCAGTGGTGGCAGCTAGGCCTCATAACCCTGGTCTCGGTCTTCAACACCCCTGTTCGTCGGCCGTAACTATTGCCCATCATCCGCCAACCCCCATCTATGTACCTACAGTACAGTACCAAGTACGAGGTGTCTCTCTGGTCCTTCTGTTTCTTGGTCCCCATGCACGACGAACCAGGATTCTTGTTCCTGTCGTGCTCCCAAAGAACCAGAGCCTCAGGAATCGGGCATCCACTCAAATTCATGATCCAGCAGCGACGGGACGAGGTATCTCTATCTCAGCCAGTTCGTTATGGATGACATATTCGAAGCTCACGCCATCGCTTATCTAATCGATTGCACAAACCAGTGTCAGCCCTGCCAAGATGGACGCTACAGTACATAACTATGTACATACATGAGAGACGGAGTCGGCACGAAATCAAGCCGTTGCACATCGAGACATCTCCATCATGATAAACCCCCAGAATTGGTTATGCTCCGGGCATCTGCCTCTTCTTCCTTGTCCCAAACCAGATTATCAAGTCGGAATCACAATGGTGCTCTCACATGCCAACCCGTCAATCTCCTCCCCGGAATCTCCCCTCGAAAGAAAACATGCCCTGCAGAGGTGATCGGGAATGGATGATGCGCCAGGGAGCGCGTGTGGCAGTGCAGAAATTCAAGCTTCGACCGGGGAGCAACCATTGAAACTCACAAGCGTGCAGTTTCCCACATGGACTTTTGGTGAAAGTCGCCACCCTGTCCTCTTTGGGGCGATTAATATCCATTCGTTCCTGGTTCACAATGCGCAGGATTCCACTCGACAGGAACCGCTCAAACCGGTGAATGCACCAAAGGCGCGTCTTGCACACTTTCAATTGGCTGATATGCACCAGATGCAAGGGACTTCAGGCCTCCCGTCCGTTCATGACGCACGCCTCTTCAAAAAGAACGGTAATACTTGTGTCTTCTGTATCCCTGCATGTCCTGGGAGGCCCTACCGAGTCAGGACTGTAAGTGGGAAAGAGTTGCGTCTTCCACTCCCGCCAAAACTCCACGAGGAAAAAGCCCGACCAAACGACAGAATGCAGCATTTCCTGTCCAGTCCAAGTGACTCATGAGTCTACCTTTGTCACCCTCCTGTTGCAAGCTTCCTCGTATTTTGCACCAATCGCGACTCTTCGCTTTGCGACATTTGAGCCTCTGTACTGGGTAACCTCTGTTGTGCCACGGCCCACGCTGTCACCTGATCCGTACAGATGATCATCGCTTCGGGTGCTTTCGCTCTGGATGAGAACGAGACCATTGGCGTAGCGCGTCTCGCGTGAAACAGGACGTCAGGCTTATTTCGTCCAAATGCGATTCCTCTAACGGTCTTTGTTTGCTACTTGTGACAATTACAGAAAAAACTCACCCGGGACTAGTTCGTTAGCCACCCTCCAATCCCCAAGATCCCTCCATCGGGCCCTTGGCTGTCCATTGTCCACTTTTTCACGGGTGCACAGCCAAAGTCCGTTGTATATCCAGCCTCGAACATCTCCATACCCGCCCACCCAATCATCGCAGCATTATCCGTGCACAGCTCAATGGGTGGAAACACCAGCCTCATTCGCTCAAAAGATCGCGCATCCAAAAGTCTTCGCAGGTAGTAGCGCAGGAAATCGTTCGCCGCGACCCCTCCGCTCACAACCAGGGCGGGAATTTCCACGCCCTCTGCTCGGAGTTTCTCCAACGCAATGATGGTTCGCGAACCCAGATGCTCGAACGCCGTACCCATGACGGACCGGGCCAATAGAATCCGCTCTCGGTCCTCCATTGGACGGTTTTCTTTTTCCCTTGCCAGTATCATCCTTTTGATCTGGCTCGCAATGCCTGAGAAACTAAAGGCCAGATCTCTGTTTTGAGCCATTGGGGTTGTCAATCTCCATCCAAACTCGTTCATGGGCTTATTGATCTCTTCAATGCGCGTTTGAGGCACATCCCAGGACTCGAACTCTTCTGGATCCTTGAAGGCGTACCTGGAGAGGTACTTGCCAAACGCAGTATCCGGGGTGCTCTGCCGCAGTTCTTGGGGAAGGATGAGGCGTCCGCATTTGTCCAATTCATCTCCAACGGCTGTGTCGGTTGCGGTAGCCAAGATCTTATGGTCTACCAGACCTTTCGAATAGAGTAGCATTGTATGCCCGCCACTAACCAACAACGTCAAGAATGGAAACATTGGCCCCAGAGAACCTTTCTCAGGATCTCGGCCCTTCGCCATCGCAGAGACCAGCCTTGGTGTCAGAGCATGGGCTTGCATGTGATGGACGCCGACAATTGGTATCTGCCATGCCGTCGCGAGTCCCTTGGCCGTGGCCAACCCGACACCAAGATTAGCTGACATTCCCGGCCCCCTCGTCACCGATATAAAGTCTGGCTTTTGCTTCGGGGCACCATCCCGAAGCCATATTCTCTTTGCGTGGGGGAGTGCATCGTTGGCGTCAGGTAGCGATGGCAGCGCGTTCTCCAGCAGTTTCGAGAGGTTCGCCTGGTGACTCTCGAGTGCCTCGGTGGGGAGGATGCCGCCTTTGCCGGTGTTTTTGGCAGTGACCTTCTCATTCAAGAGTAATCGCGTCTTCACGTGTTGCGGGTCACTGGACGTTCTGCATTTCGAAAGGATCGCGACGCAGGTGTCGTCGCAGGAGGACTCAATCGCAAGGGTGAGGAGGCTGCGCCGAGGCGCAAGACTGCTGGCAGCTCGTCGACATGATGTGTACAAGGCCTCCCAGTGACGCGAACCATGAAGCATCGACGTAGATGAATGATTTCAACAGCAGACTGACTCGGTTACAAGTGACGGTGCCATCCAAAAAGTGTTGTAGATGTGAAATTGGAGACTGGAATGACCGGGATTTAACCGAACCTCACATCCACCATCATCAGCTTCCCATCGAGCTCCACAAACTCCATTAGTATGGTCAATTCTCTCTCCACGGCCTATAGTTCTATAACCACGTTGAATGGCCATTTCGCATGAAATATATCCTTGTGAGACCGAGGTAAGTGCAGGTCGCTGGGTATACTATCAGCGATACCTGCAGTTTCAAAATGATTTGATGGGCTGAATCCAATACGCAAGCCGGTCGGCTTCAGGAAGATCCTGGGAAGTGGACGATTATCCTACGGAATGGATGGGTCATCGGTCGTCTACCGGTCTCTTCGAGAACAGGGCTCTACATAACTTCATCGCCTGTCAGAAGGTATCCACACTCGATCGATCGCGCAGATGCGAATTAGGTTTGTATGAATCACCACTCAACTCGTTGATGTCATGACTATGCCATGAGGCACCCAGCCGGGGTATATCAAGCCTCAGAGCCTCGAGTAAGCAGAGCAGCTCAACGGCGTGGTGTTCTCAATTTTTACCCTCCATTGCAAAGCGACAGAGAGAAAATATGCAGCGAGTCCAACTTTTCCATCGCGTCGTTCCGCGTCTGAACGGCACAAGGGCGCTGAGCCGGACCTTTGTCTCTAGCGGTCGTCGTCAGGTCGGGACGCCCCAACCCAACCCCTCGAACAACAACTACAACAACCCAGGTATCCAATCCGCATTGGATCGTCGCCCAAGATCCTAAGCTGACGAGGAAGAAGAACAACAGATGAACAAAAGCCACGCGACGGGGGAGAGTGTAGTTCCCGAGCCCATACAGCGAGCGGCCCCAGAAGGATTGGAAAAGGCTCTCCCTGAAAGTGTACACCCAACCAAGGGCAGCGACGTCGACCCGCAGAAGGAAGAAAACACCAGCTTCAAAAGCCACGCTACAGGCCCAAGTGTTGTTCCCGAATTCATTCAGAAAGTGGCGCCGGCGAAGCTGGAGAAGGCTCTGCCAGAAAGCATCCACCCGACCAAAGGCAGCGACGTTGATCCTGAACCGGTCCAGGGAAAGAACGCAAAGTAGGATGGGATGATTTGCCTGAGCAACGGTCTCAAGGCGACCGATGATGTCAAGGACACAACTTTGAGAAATTATGGGCAGTATCGGAAATATATACATCGCCAATGAAACATGGATAAACTTGGTCAACGCGCGTTATGCTATTTCTACCTTTCCACTTTTGATTCTGTTCATGGGAGATCATGACCATACCATTGCGAATTATCCCCGCCACCCAACTACAGATGCGATTCCTAGTATCATGGCATATGTCATTATCGACTCCGCTATGTGTCGAGAAGTATTCGGTGCGTAATTTGCAGCCTGTCGAGCCGAGCCATGGTAACGTTGCGAGGAAGATGACGTTCTCTGCCTACGTACCTATCTATTTAGGAACCTACATTACTCCAGGTGGCGCCATATCTACCACGCCATGCCATTGCTCTGGGCGACAGAGAGGCAACCCTTGTAAAGAGGTCGTACGGTACGTATCACCAAGGAACCTCCGTATGCAGGAGAGAGGTATTACAGAGCATAGAGAGGCTTCCTGGGTGCCCAAATTACCCAAAGTGCCTCTACAGGAGACGCCAAGACGCCAAGACGCTTCATCGCCACAGAAGACGCGTTTGTGGTTTGAGCTTCCTTGGCGCTATGAACCTCCAGCCCTTATCACATTCTCCGTCGTACCAAGTCCGACCAGCACTTCGGACAATAGTGACTCGCGAATGACCCGCGTTGCGTCGTTGGAGTAATGTGGCGGCACGATGGCATCGTCGTCTCGCCCTGATAGACCTTGCGATGCCTGCCGCAAGAGAAAGATAAGATGTTGGGTGTCTGATTCAGGCCGTGATTGCGCTCTGTGCCGGTCTCATGGCCAACAATGCACCTTTATTGAGGCGCCTCCCAAGAAGAAGCGAAAGCAAACCGATGCAGCCTCCCCGGACGAGGCTGTTGTCGTCTCAGTCTCGCCAGCAACGACCCAGAAAGAACAACCGCACGATTACTCGAATTTTCCAGAGGCGTCGTTGCTAAGGCAGACTCTTGGCCATCAACACTTTCGAACAAACTCTTACATCGGCGCTACGTCGTCTCCAAGCCGCCTGCTGCTTGAACTTCCGGCTATCTCTCAGCTAGGCAAATATCGAGCCTCTGTTCCTGACTGCGAGGTTCGTCGCGTCGGCCAGAATGGCTATTTCCTCATGCTTCCAGATGACCAGGATGTCATCAACGACCAACTTGAGGTTCTCGACAGAATCGAGGCTACCATATCGCCCCATGGACCAGCTCTGGTTGAGCTATACTTTCGTATCGTTCACCCCAGCTTCCCAATTCTTCACAAAGATGTCTTCCTCGTGAAGTATGGCCGCTCATATCGGGAACTAACACCCGCATGTTTGGCTGCTGTTTATATGTTGGCCTTGAACTGGTGGTCCTATAGCGTTGACCTTGCTTATTTCGTGAAGCCTGATGTCTTGGGCCTTGAACAAGTTGTTCCATGTCTAATGGCGTTCGATAAGGCCGCCAAAGTCTCTGATATCCAGGCCGGCTTACTGTTCTTACAGCGGCCCAGACACGATTCTTGGAGGTTGACGGCTCAACTAGTTGCTACTGCCGAAGAGGTTGGTTTGCACCGCGACTGCACACATTGGCAAATTCCTGACTGGGAGAAAGGCGTGCGCAGACGCCTCGCCTGGGCTCTCTTCATGCAGGACAAATGGGGAGCGCTCGTGCATGGACGTCCCTCACACATCAAGGTGGACAATTGGGAAGTCTTTCCGCTCAAACAGGATGACTTTCCAGAGAATGTTGAAGAGGATGACGTGGAGCAGGGGAGCTCCGAGGTGGAGAAAGGCATTCTAATCTTCATACATCTCTCAACACTGACACAAATACTGTCCGACGTTATCGACGAGCTGTTTACCGTACAAGCCAGCAAGAGACATGACAGCACAGTCGCTCTGCTGCAAACAGTTAAGCCGATTCAACTACGACTGAAGGCTTGGTATAGCAATCTTCCCTCTTGTTTGGAACTCGGCACTACCCAATCTAGAAAATTGTCGGCTACAGGTATGTAGAGTGTGGGAAAGGCGTTGTATTCCGGCTTAACCACTGTCCAGGGCAACTATACCTAGCCTATCTGACCGTGGAGGTGACTCTCCACCGAGCGATTGTCGAGTCAGAGATGAAGCAACCTCTAGACGCTGGTCTGCGACGGATAACACGAGAAGCGGCGATCATGAGGTTCAAATCCGTTGTCGACTTTCTGAAACGGCTGAAGCCCGAACATATGCAAGGATTCTGGCATTTCGCTTCGGGATCTTGCTTGGCTATTATCGCCACGTTCTCGTTGGTGCTTCTCGCGACAAGCACTGAACCGAGCGAGTCGAGAGCTATCCATTCTCAAATCGCCGAGTTTCGATGGCTGCTCAACATCAACGGACCCGGCGCTGGCTTCACCAAATCCGCGGTCGACCTCCTGCAATCAAATGCGGGTTTCCTGGCGACATATCGCCCTCAAGGTCCTCCCAACGTCATCCCTGGTCATGATCAAGGACGAACAGATCGGTCTGCGGATCAGACACGGTCGACGTCATTGTCAAACACTGAAAGCCAAGATGAGGCTGACAGCCACATACCGAACACGCAGGCCTTCGAAAATATTGCTGAAGACCTCCAGGCCTTACCAGCAGGTATTAGCTTTAGCCCGAACCAGCCCTGGCTCTATGATTTCGACGACCTTGTCTCCCAGACCTGTTCTACGTAGGTCAGGTGTATCACCCTCAAAATCCGAACAACGAAGCCAAAGGGTTCTGAGAGCCTCCAGTTATCACGAGGCATCTTCACTCGAGAATTTTTTGGCCTTAAGACGATATTTTCCCCACTCGATAGTAGTCGAACGGAGGATAACTGCGCGAGCCTCGAATAAAAGGTCTGCGATTTGTGTTTTTCACCCGTGGACTTGTCCGATAATATCTCTGTCTCAGGATCTGCCCGCGGGCATTTGCGAGGGCCACGGGCTCGCCGGGCAGAGCCCGTGTCACGTGCTGTGGGAGCACTCTATCAATCCCTCTGCCGACCTCACAACTTACATCAATTTATGCGTGTCGCTCCAATTTCCCTATAGGCCGAAAGACTTCACCTTGAGCACTGCTTTATCATGGCCTTGCAAACTGTAGACCACGTCGCTATCAGCCTTGATGCTCCTAACGTCGACCCTCTACAAGGGACAAAGTACGACTTCAAAAGAGATCTTGTGGGCTATGGAAGAGACTCTATTCATCCGCGCTGGCCGAACGATGCCAAGATCGCTGTCTCTTTTGTCATCAATTACGAAGAAGGCGCTGAGAGATCACTGTTGAATGGCGACGGGCAGACTGAGAGCGTCCTGTGGGAACAGGCTCATGTTGCACCGCGCGTTGGATCGAGGGATCCTAAGATCGAAAGCGACTATGACTATGGCGCTCGTGTAGGAGTTTGGCGTCTTCTGAACATGTTCGAGAAGAACAATATCCGAACCACCATCAACGCTGTCGGCCAAGCTCTTGAAAAAAACATACCACTCGCTCGAAGTCTAGTGGAAGGTGGCCATGAGATCGCTAGCCACGGTTATCGCTGGGTTCCTTATCACAACATGAGCCCAGAAGAAGAGAAACAGTACATCTTGCGGCAGATGCAATGCTTGAAAGCCACAACTGGAAGATACCCTTCGGGATGGTTTGTCGGGCGGTGTTCGTCTCATTCTAAAGCCTTGATACACGAGGTCCACGAAGAGCTTGGCGCGCCCTTACTTTATGAAGCGGATTGCTTTTCAGACGACCTCCCCTACTGGGCTGATGTGCCTGCTGAGTATAATGCGGATCGACCCAAGGGCATGTTGATGCTCCCTTACAGCTACGACAACAATGATCTGAAATATCAGATCGCCCCAGGTACATGGGGCTCTTCGAGTGCTTTCTTGGAGTACCTGAAGAGTTCTTTTGACGTCCTCTATGCTGAAGGGCTCGAAGGTCGACCAAAGATGATGACGATCGGCTTGCATTGCAGGATTAGCGGCAAACCTGGTAGATTTGCCGCGGTTCAGTCTTTTGTCCGATATGTTCAACAACAGCCCGATGTTTGGATTACGACCCGAAAAGACGTCGCGCTGCATTGGCACACAACATTCCCCTATGTCAGGAAGAGCGCGCCGCTCGATAATGGAATGGCCGGAGGCCTTCAGCCGGATCTTCCAAAAGTCGATAATCTTGTCTATGCTCGAATTTGACTAGGCTCGATATTCTGACGGTCAGCCGAACATATCCAATCCCTTCTTGTGAATGGCATATCGGACCATAACAGCACCTGCCTCTAATTGGTCTATTACGGTTATCTCTCGACCAGCTTCACTTCCGAGCTCTTCTTGACATGCTTCTCTGACCAGAGGTTCCATGCCAAATAAAATTACACCACCTATGCAAATAGCTGCAATCTCAGACTTGCCGAGTAGCTTCTTCACCCCTGCTTTTATCTTCGTTTTTACGAGTCCTTGCGAGTTTTTGGCGAGGTCAAGTATGCCCACGCCTGTTGAGACCACCCCAGCAAAACAAGAATCCGCTCGAGATTTACCAACCAAGCGTACCACACCCTCTTCCAGTTGCTTTTCGTATGCTTCTCCTGTTGTCAAGATTGCAAAACGCTTAGCGGGCTGGAGACCACTGAGAGCGGCGTATATGCTTGCTTCAAAGATGCCCACGACCGGTTTAGGGTCGACTCGAGCTTGCAATAACGTGACGAGTGGGTGATCTGCATAGCAAGCCAACAAAAAGCCATCATAGTCTTCGGTGATGTCGAGCAGTAGCTGAAAACATGTGTCTGCGTTTTGGTCGATATCGTGGCTCTGCAAAACCGGAGGCCCGCCAGGGCACGTCCAATATGTGCTCAGTATCTAAGATGTGTTCAGCTTCCATCAGCACTGCTTCGCAGCGAGGTGCATCCTACTGGACCCAGGTGGCGGTCGATACCCGATTTAATCAATTGAGTAATCGCGCTCGATCCGTTCGGATTTATTATCAGCAGTTTCCTAAGCATGGTCTGTGATGCTCCCTTTTACGCGATCTTCGAGGTGTGCAAAGCGAGAGCACTGTCCAGAGCAGTACCTCCACAACTTGTGTACAGCTTTGGCAATATGTCTTTCTCGGACGTGGTTGGTCAAGTTATCGAATCTCGTTATCGTGGGGAGCCCGCGGGCCTCGAATGATAAGCCCGCCTGCAGCTGAATCCACCAAGTCTAGATCTGGCCGGGGATGATAGCCTTGCATGAGGTGTGGGACGCTATTTACAATTCTGCAGTATACATCACATCTATTTATGAGGCATTCGACTCCCACGTAGTGGAGCTTTTGCTGTACAGGGACCCGTCCCTGCAGATACAACTGAAGCAGCCGTCAACACTATAACAACACGCAAAGCGCAGTCTCGAGTATTTTGTTCGTCGTCAATGGGCAAGCTTCGCCAATTCTACGACAAGCACATCGTGCTACACCCCCATGCGGGGGCCTTCACATCAGAGCCAGACGCGGCACGATGGAGCAACAAAGATCTCGACCCGGTGCCCGAAGAGAAGAAAACCTGGGAATGGTGGCAGTAAGTCCTGCTGTTTTCGCTGCTTGCGACTTGGAGACCGAAGAGCTAAACACCCTTGCTCAGTGTCGGAGGCTTCTGGATTGCTGAAGGTTTCAATCCCGCACAAATGCAGGTGCCTTCCAGCGCTGTCGCACTGGGGTTGAATCCAGGTCTAGCAATGGTGGCCTGCTTGATCGGAAATCTTCTCGTTACTGGGCCTGTGTGCATTGTGGGTTGGCTTGGAAGCAAGGTACAGTAGTTCGTGAACCCAACATGGCCCCCGCTAATCATCTTGCAGTACTCAGTCCCATTCCCGGTCATTGCTCGAGCGTAAGTGGGAATAGTTCTCTCCTGAAGCGGACGCTGAGAACACTCCAGGTCGTATGGCATGATAGGCGCATACTGGGCAATGGTATGTAAGTCTAAACTTGGCGAGTTCGTGACTGACGTTGGCAGATCATCCGCGGTATTTTCTGCGTCATCCTTTATGGCGTTCAAGCCACTCTCGGTGGCAATGCCGTTCGGTGCATGCTTGAGGCCATCTGGCCGTCCTTTGCCCACTGGCACTTAGACAGCCTTCCCAAAAGTGCGGACATCACGGCCCCGGACCTGCTTTGCTTCGCTCTGTTCTGGATTGCCTCTTTCCCCTTGCTCTTCGTGCCCATGTCCTCACTGCGCTGGCTATTCGCAGTCAAGATTGCAATCATGCCATTCTTCTATGTGGCGCTGTTTACGTGGGCACTGACGGCAGGCCATGGCGTTGGGCCTTTGTTTTCTATTCCCAACAAAATCACCAGCGGATGGTCGATTGGATACGTCTTTTGCTCAACAATCCTAGCCACCATCGGAGGAAATGCCAGTATGTATAACCGTCTCGCGTGGGAGATTCTTGCTAATTGCGATGACAGCCTTCGCGGTCAACATGGCGGACATCACTCGCTATGCCAAAAATCCTCGGAGCTCAGCTATTGCACAGGCATTTGCATTGCCGATATGCATCACGATGAGTAAGTCGATGGAGTGCAGCGAAACAAAACTGGGACTAACTTCTGCTAGTTGAATTGCTCGGAGGTGAGGAACATGTTCGGATGGTACTTCGCTTGACTGACACCTTTTCCAAGCGCTCATGGCCGCCACAGCCCAAGTCGTTTACGGCCAGGTTCTCTGGAATCCATTGACGATCGTTTTGCTCTGGAACAACCGAACTGCAAAATTCTTTGCCGGCTTGCTCTTCGCATTTGCGACCATTGCAACAAGTGAGTCGTTCGACGTTCTATCGAGCCTCTGTTCTTCACACTGACACTCCATTAGATATCACAGGAAACAGTATTCCCTTTGCTCATGACATCGCGGGAATCTTCCCGCGGTATATGAACGTTCGGTAAGCCATCCAGCACCCTGCTTCCAGGCGCGGCCATCTGGTCTCAGCAACTGACGGCGACAGACGCGGGCAGATTCTTTGCGCTATTCTCGGGTTTGCAATGAACCCTTGGGTCATTCAGGCTCGGGCTTCCCGCTTTTTCAACTTCGTCGGAGGATACTCGATATTCCTGGGCCCGTTGGTTGGAAGTAAGCCACACCACATCCCACTCCGTCGGTTCTTGCGTCCTCCACAGATATATCTCTGACTCGTCCTCCCAGTCATCCTGTGCGACTACCTCATCATCCGGAAAGCTAGACCATACAATATATACCACCTCTACAGACCGGGCGGGCTGTACTGGTACTGGAAAGGCTGTAACTTCCGCGCCCTGACAGCGTGGCTGGTCGGCGTGGTCCCGCTCCTGCCAGGTCTAATCTACAATATCAACTCCAACATCAAAATGGACAAGGGCATTTTGGAATTCTACACGCTCGGTTGGCTCGATGGACTGGTCATCGCATCGTAAGTGGTTTTTCTCCTCCCAGCAAGCGAATCTACTGTCGCTAAGAACAAATCCGCCGGCTCTAGCATCACATACTACTTGCTATGTCTGGCTTTCCCCTTTCCGACAGAGATAGAAGACGGGACCGTCGTTGTGGTCGGGACCAAGGATGTGGAATCTCTTCCCCCCGATGAACCTCGTCTTCCGCATGACGAAAAACCCGCCTTTTGATAAAAGGGCCGGAAAAGTGGGTTCTAGCCATTTCGGAATCCTGGGATACAGACTTAAACACACGCACCGCGAAATCATGTCAGGTCGCCAATGGATGCATCTTCTGCCCCCTTCCGAGTACATATGTAGTATATAGGAGGAGGAACCCCGTCGCCGTTTCCATTTGTGCATGTGTATGTGTCTAACTCCCTTCCGTCCAAGGCTCCACGAAATATCATTCACATGCAATAGAAGGAGAAGAACCGTACACGCTTCTTCGGGTCCCTTTCAAGATTTGCTTCTTTCACAGGTCTCTAGCGTGTCCTTCGCAGGCAGGCGGAAGCTGGGAGGGATCCAGCACGTCGTCGAACAACCGCCTCCAGACGCGAGGCGCCAGAGGCAGAGAGAGGGCTTGATGGCATACAAGTCAAGTCGACACTAAATAGTATGACTGCCGCCCGTACTCACGCGTGCACCACAGATGCAAATGCCACTCGCTAGATGCAAAGTGCAAAGTCCCTCCGGGCACCTAGTCGTGGACGATTATTACGATGGTCACAACGTCCCAGCATCTGCGGGATAAGCGAGTCACACACGCCTCGCAGAGGCACCGGCTCTGGTTCTGGAAGCAAAAGGGAAAGCTTTTCGAGACACGACCGAAGTCTCTGTTTCTACCTCGAGGCTTGGTTTTCCCTCCCCTCCCTATCTATACCTTTGACGCTCGGCGTGCCTCCATTATATTTGCTTGGATCATCTTGCCCACATTAGGTCCCTCGTACTTGCGGACGGCGTGGACGAACCACCAAAAGGTCGTGAGGACGACGACTCCGACGAGGATGACGGAATTATAGTTCATAGTGGCCACAGTTGTGGGCAGGGCATACTAGTAGTGAAGAACGAACGAGTTAACTTTACCCTAAGTGGGAGGAGCAAAGGGGGAAATATGGGTGTGGGTCTAGACAGACAACTCACCGGAAAGCAGAAAAAGGTGTCGAAGAAGATGATGAAGAAGACGGCGAGGCCGTTGATGAGGTAGCCCACCTTGCCCAAAGTGAAGGGACCAACAGGCATGTACTTCCTCCGCGTAAGCATGTTTGGCAGGATGGTCACGGCGTATGAGGCGCTGGTGAGAACGACAAAGGAGCCAGCCAAGTCGGTGAAGGCGGTCGCGCTGCCTAGGGTGATGGCGCAAAGACCGATGGTCAACAATCCAGTCAAGAGGGTGGCTTCGATCGGGCAGCTGAGCCTCTCGTTCACGTGGGAGAAGAAGCCCGAGAAGGGCGTGGCATTGTCGCGAGCAAGGGCCCACCACGTTCGTCCGACGGTCAAAAAGGTCCCGATCAAGCAAGGGATGAGTGACAAGAAGATGATGAAAAGCAGGCCGAAGGTTGCTGCGCGGCTGCCCGTCGCTTGCGAGTAAGCCTGGGCGAGGGGGAATGAGCCGTTGCTATTCTGAACCGCGTTGAGGTCGTTGACGCCGTAGAACAAGGCAATTGCGAAGCACCAGGCGTAGAGGAATCCGAGCCCGAGCTGAATAAAGACGGCCTTCGGTAAGTCGCGTTTTGGATTAGGAAGTTCCTCAGCCATGTGTGTCACAGCGTCGGGCGTTCCAATGGTGAAAGCCCCGTTGAGAACACCAGTCAAGAAAGCAACCCCGCTACTCCATCCAGTGTTGTTCTGGAAGTCTGTCCAGACGAACCTATTGGACGCATGGGAGGCCGGCATACCGGCGAGGACAATGATGGTGATGATGCCGCCCACCGTGACAATGAACAGCCCAAAGTGTTGGAGGTAAGCCAGGCTGCTGTTGAAAAAGATGGTGACTGTCAGGCACAGGATTATGATGCAAACCAAGCCAACGAAGAGATTCCAAGGCTGAATGACGTAGTCGGGATGGTACAAAAAGTACATTTGGACGCACAGCTCCGACATGATGTACGCGATGGACGCCAGGTCAAACAGCCAGCCGAAATAGTTCAAAGAGCCAGCGAAGAAACCCACAGGACGGCCCCATTTGGGTCCGGCGGTGATGGTGGCCCAGTGGTACACGCCTCCAGAAGAAGGCACCGAGGAAGCAAGTTCGGCAATGGACGCGTTGATAAAGCTGTAGTAGAATGCGGCAATCCACAGCTCCCAAATCACCCCCGGCGCGCCCCCGTTGTAGATAGAGACTGCGAGCGATGTCCCCAGGGCGACCCAAGCATTGTCGACCGTCAATGCGAGACCGCAGATGCTCAACAGTCCATACTGGCGATCCAGCTGATCGACATGACCGGAGGCATTGATAATTTCTCCTTCCAAGGAGATCACAATCTGCTGTTCGCCAGAGGCAAGAGGTTCCTCGGCGTTTTCGGGTGATTTCTCTCTTTTCACCTCGTCCATTTTCTCGCAAACGTGGAATGCAACGCCAGGAACCCGATATACATGTAGAAGGTCTCAACTCCACGTGCACCTCGTCACAAGGAGCCTAGAAAGATGTGACAGAGAAGCGACGCAGTTTGGGGGATCGAAGCAATAATATGCGAAAAAAGAAAATGCATCACACCGAAGAAGAAGGTCGATAAGGGCCTTGCGCCACCAGGCTTTGGACCCAAGCTCGTGTCTGATTAGGGAAGCTGGAGATAGAGATAGACTCGACCATCATGATGGGAATGACACGTATCTTTCATGAAGCGGATATCAAATATAAACAGTCAGAAGCTGTTCGAGATACCAAGCAGACGATAGGGTGATGGTTGGTGATTGGTCGTAGATAGGCTTTGGGGGTCGTCGACGTCTCGGATCTCGTTATGTACCAGCAAAGGGGGCTGAAGGGGGCCTAGGGCTGGTGAGGCTAGGGTTAAGCATAAGTTGTTAGTATCATGATAGCCGGGGCTTGTAGCGCGCGGAAGACGAGAGATGGAAGTTTGCACAACCTCATCCACTGCTCAATTGGATGACATGAATACTTGGTAGACACTGCGAGTTGGGTGGCCTCGCAATTTGCGATGTTGTGGCCGCCGAGCCGCCAAGGCTCTGTCTGTCTTTTGTCATTACAAAGCTTGGCAACACGTGTCGCACGTGAATGCCTATCACAAGCAACCCCCTTTTGCCCCCTTCTTGCCCCTTCAGTGACATCCACCTTCCAGCACTTCCTTGTACAATTCCTCCTTCCATCCGTTGAGAGACGGGTTTCGGGACAGCCCAGGCTGTGGTTCCGGGGAGCCGTATCGTCTCCAGAAGAGGACTGCGATGATGACAAGCCTTGAGGCATCGAACAAAACACGGTGATACTGCGGGATACCTTCGGACTGTCGCCGCGACCTCTACCACCACGTGTCCTGGGGCGTCGAGAGACGCGTGGCAGAGCTCATCGTGGGGTTACTCAGTACCGATTCAGCAGGTCCACCCGGACTCCGTCATCTACCATCTTACCTTGGTCCGTCGTCAGGATTCAGCGAGTGGCATGTTACTGTACGTTGACAACACAGCACTTACGATGAAGTTGCACAGCTTCAGGTACTTTTCCCAGCAAGAAAGACCGCTTGCCTGTTCAGTTTATGAAGGACCCCCCAAAGACGCCGAAAGTAACGGGCCTCAATCACTCACGGGCGGAAGGGGAAAGGGACTTTACCTTCCCCGCTCTTCATACCAACGTACAAAGTAGAACATCACGATGAGAAGGGAAGAATGCAGACCCTGTCGACCAGTTCAACTTTGCAGATGGATGGCCTGAGAACGTGTAAACAGCAAGCCGTTGCAGAAATCACGACAAGATTGAAAGATGCTCGCTGTAGCCACCCACCATTCGCGGTGCCATGGGCCGAGCCACAAGACGGGTCGGGTATCTGAGGGGCAGTGTGTCAGCAATCCTTCTCGGGGTCTGTCGCCGGTTGGTTGATCTTTGCTCCTGTTATGCACGGCAGGAGGCTGGTAGTCGCTGTCTAGTGCGCAAAATGTAGGTTAATGATCCTGAAAGGGGACAGTAGACGTGATTCATTCATAGTTGGCTTCAAGAGTCTAACATCTGAAGGAGCTTGCGTAGGCCATGATTTCTACCAACTTTTACCTCCGGAACTTGACAGTAAAGCACATCACCGGCTCAATTTTCTCTGTCCCGTATCAGAGCAGCAGACCAAGATATCCTATTCCAACCAGGAGCATCGAGACTCGCTGCAACCTCCCATTCGAGCCAGCAAGTGTTGCCAGAGGATTCAGTCTCTGCGCTGCAGCCGAGGACGCGGAACTTGAAGATGAATCGGCCGTCGAGGCTGCGGAGGCGCTAGCAGAAGCTGTTCCAGACCCAGACCCAGACCCAGACGTAGGCTCCGCAGAAGATGATGGGATGGCTGGAGATGGCGAGGACTGCGACTCAATGTCGCCGGTAATGGCACCTCCCTTGGTTACCAGAGGGTAGACGTAGCTTCCGTTCGAAAGCCCCGGCTCAGGCACATACCAGCGAAGCAGGAGGACGAAAGGACCCGGCTCCGCAGGAGAAGGCAGCCAGTTGGATGTCCAATTGCTCGGTGGCTGTGCGGCCTGGACAAGGATGTCAAACGGCTTGTCCACAGTGGAATCACTGCCTGGTCCGTACACAGGAGTACCATCTGCGTAAGTTATGTTGTCGCGGTCGCCTAGAGAATATCTATTGATGGGATTCTCCACAAAATAGCCGGCGACGTTGTACATGGTGGCGCTCCAAAACCCGAGCTTCGTCAGTGGTGGTCTACCGGAGAAGCGTAGAATGTAAGACTCGTTGGCCATCAGGCTGAGATTTCCGGAGAAGGTGGGATAAATGGCCTGGTCAGGCTGAAGCATCAGATAACCGAACTGCGCAATAAAGGCGCGAGCCACGATGTTGGTACCATATAGACCCGAATATTCCGGGTTGTTGATAGTCCACCCGTTGCCCATGTTCAGCACGCTCCCGTTGGCGAGAGGGAACGTCTGCACCGCCGTCTGGGCCGCCGTCCAAGCTGAGGTCATGTTGACACATTTCGGTGCAGTGTACGCGGCCCCTGAAATGCCGGCCTGGGTGAAGTTGGATGTGGTGAGAGGAGACGTGCCGCCGGTGGCATTGTAAGGAGACACAGGCCCGAAACGTGCGTTCAGCTCCATGACGCTCTGCGCCGTCGAGTTCGGCAGGTTTGCGAACATGGCCATGTCGAGCGCGGGGCCAACCGCCGACCCATTACGGGATACCTCGGTGATGTTGTAGCCTTTTATGATTTCGTTCACGGCAGATAAGTCGCTGGCTGCATTCCTGAGGAGGACTCGAAACAGAATAATCCCAAAAGTAGTGGGCGAGTACACACTGCCCATATAGCCATCGCTGCTGCTAGATGTCGACAAAGTCCCCATGACGCTGCTAGAAGGCGCCAGTGTCAGAAGATACTCGCCGGTAGGATTGCCGCCCACGGGACCCAAATTCATATAATTGTCCCCGTATCTTATAGGACATGATCAGCAGGAATAACGATAATGAGGACGAGCCCTTGACATACGGCGTGTAGAATGAAACAGCAAAATAACGGTTGTCAACTTGCGGAACATCCACCACCAGGTCCTGCTGAGACAGATCGTACCAGACACTGGCATAGAGGGTGTCCCGGTTGGGCTTGACCACGGCTGTTGACTGAGGAGTGGCTAATGTAGAACTTGCAATGAGTCGATTTGCTCCTACGCTTGCTTTGAACAGGCTTCCAACCGCTTTCTCGTAGGCGAGGAGCGGGATGCCATACTGTGATTGATCATGTCAATGTGCTCGCTCTATAATGTGCCGCATGAACGGGGGAGAGATGCATCGTACCTCCAAACTCCATTCTGTAGCACCTTGCGCAGCGCACGATGATCCAGACGACTGTGTGCGTGCTAGCTGTGCACAGCCAAGTAGGCAAACGAAAAAGAGGGCAAGAATATTTGTCGACATCTTGTACCTCTTGGGATCTCTTCACATTGTTCCCGGAGCAAGCACTTAGGGTATTGCTGTGGTCTTTATACACCGCGCCAGGAAACCGAGCTCGGCAACTCCAGGCTGCTCCATCTCCTTCAATCGTCCTTTTGAACTCCTCCTCTCGCTTGGACCTCGGTGAGTCTTCTAGATTGCTGTCCTTAGTATTCCGACTCCTACAATTCTGGGGATGTGGGGAAGCCTCACTAGCCTGTCAAAGACGCCGATTTTAGAGTGTTGGAACCTTCCATGCCGAGGTAACCTACCAGGGTTGACTGAGTGTGGATATGGAATGTCCTGGCACGGGAAGCCCAGCCTGCTAGCTTATCAAGAAACTCACTCACATTGGAGAAGGTAGAGGCGACCAAGGACGACCAATGAAGGTATCGTCGGACTCTTCAAACTCTGTAGAAATATGTTAAAACAAGAGGCTTTAGCGGTCAGCATCTTACTTAGTGTCATGCTAGTCAGGTTTGATAAAAACATGTATTAAGTACTGAGTACATAGTCCTATCTATGTCCTATCTGAGAGCGTTCCCTGGTCATTTTATATGCAAACATACAATTGGACTAGGAGTAGCAGGCACCTCCTGAAACCTGCCATGGGTGAGAACCGACGATTAGCTTCTCAACCTGCCAATAAGGTTCTCAAGATGAAGCTTGTCGAATAGCCTGACTGTCTACTATCCCGAGAAGTAGCTCGAATCCACGACCGGAGCCCGGTCAAGCTTGAAATAGCCTGGCTGCAGGATCTGGAAGACCTGCTGGGGGTCGTATTTCTGAGCGATGCTCTTGAGTTGCGCCTTGTTGGTCGAGCCATAACTCTTGATCACATCCTCATACACGCCACCGTAGTTCATATAGATGTAGTCGTTCTGCTTTCCAATAGCAGTTGCCGCGGCCTTGATCTGGTTCAACACGTTCGTGATGAAAGCGTAGATAGTGGCGTCATCAGACGCGTTGTCCCACCAGCAAGCGACATGGATCAAATAGAGTGGCCCGTCGGAAACAGAAATACCCAGAGGGTTGCCGCCGTTCTTCTGCATGGCTTCGATCATCGGCAGCGTGATGCCCTGATAGATGAGAACTGGATTTGCGCCAGCCACATTTGCTGTAGCGGGTAGTGCTTGATAGAAGATATCCTTTGCGAGCACCGCGAGGGATTCGTCAGCTTTCACAGTCAAGCCGTAGTATGTTTCACGCAGGCCGTAGGGATTCGATTGCGCCAACTCTTGGGTGTAAGCTGCCAACACTCGGTTTTGCGTCGTGTCCGAGATGGCAGTGAGGGCGTTATAATTGTTCCAGATTGCGGCACTTCCACCATTCGGCTGGGCGTAGTAGAGCTCTGTAGCAGCGAGCTTGGTCCCATTACTCTCCAGCCAGGCAACCCATTGGCCTGCGTTGCCATCGTTCGGAGAATCCTCCACAACACCGGCAAAAGCCGCAGCGAGGCCAGGGAATTGATCTTCCAGGTAGACACGGTCGCCGCCCCACATTTGGCCTCCGGGCAGGCTGATGGCATTAAGATTGAAGTTAACGACAATACCGAAGTTGTTGCCACCACCGCGAAGAGCCCAATAGAGGTCGGGAAATGAGGTTGGCGAAGCGGTGACCTGGGCCCCCGAGGCAAGAACAACGTCGTACGAGGCAACGTTATCGCACGCCCATCCATAGAGAGAAGAAAAGAAGGATATTCCACCTCCAGTCGTCAGACCACCAACTCCGATGGGTGCGACGCGTCCGCCAATCACTGCAATATTGTATGGCTGGAGCGCTGTATACACCGAATTCCAGGTATTGCCCGGTCCGATTGCGACAGTTTTCTTGTCACTGGAAACCTGGATAGAGTTGAGAGCGGCTAGGGAGACAGTGATACCGCCTTCGATGTTGGAAGCACCTTGGAATGCTGCATGGCCGCCACTCTTGACCGCAAAAGGGCAGCTCGTCAACCGAGACAGCAGAACCACAACCGAGATGGCGTTTTTGTCAGGCGCTTTGAAAATGCAGTAGGGGTTCACATTCTCTTGAATCTGAGACCAGTAGCCTGACGTGAACGTGTCATATCCAGCATCATTGCTGTACTCGACCTTACTGCCACCGTAGAGAAACTGCAAAGAGCCGCACTGGTCGACGTATATTAGCCCGTGCTCAACATTGGAACCTTCGTCCACTTACGGCAAGTTGACAAGCAAAGTTAGACGAGCGTTTAACAAGTTGGTCAACAGGAAGTGCGGACACGTTGACTCCCATGTCTACTAGCGCTTGAGTAACATTGAAGTCTGGAGGCTCGATTGCATCGGTTGAGTTAGTCGATACAATGTAGTCTGCAGGGCCGCCTGCATCAGTTGCGTTAGACTGTGCATTGACGGATAGTGCGAGAGCTGCCACGAGGCAGCTGGATACGAGAAGCATTGCCAAAGAAGGAAAGATACCAGAAGATCCCTGGTCCAATTCGAAGACCTGGGAAGCAGGGAAATGGACGAATATTAAAGAAGAAATAGAGGTCTTCTAGACCAGCTTGGCCCCACGTGGCATCCCAGGGGTCAATCTCGCAGTTTGGCCTAGCGTCCAACTTCATTGCAAAGGAATGAAGGCATGGCCCTCAGACCACGGAAGTGCGGCTCGCGGTATCGCATTGTGGAAGATTAGAATCCGGCACAGACGTTTTTCTCATTTGCAAAGGCACCGAGGCGACGCTCGCCGAGGGAGCCGGTCAGTCTTCAAGGAGTGTCCTTGCGCGTTGTTCGGAGCGCTAGCAAGCTCGTGCAGCAGCCATGTCAAGGCCATGTGTACCTAGTACGAGTACTGAAATAGGAAAACTGGGTCAATTTCCGATACCAGTAAATTACTCACCCCGTGCCTGACTCGGCTAAGCTGCCAGGGGCAAGGCCATCAGAATCCGTCTCTCCTGAGCTGGTCAGTGCTTTGAATGGGGGCGGAACATCGACAGATAAAGGTCGAGTACCCAGTATCCCACGTGAAGCGACAGCAGGAAAAAAACCAACGTCGCGCTGGGCACGATTTGCGGCTAGTTTCAACAGGATTTACCGGGATCGGCAAAGATCAGCGCACCGAAACTCCAAGCCCCACATGCAACGTCTGAAGTGCCTGAATTGTATGCAAGACACAGGGAGGCGAGGAAGGCAAGGGAGGACAGCGAGTGAGGTGAAGCACCAAAACAACGGTCTACCTCGGTTCTGCTCGGTTCACCTGCGAATCTGGGCAAAGTGGGGGGCCCTTTGACGCTAACGGCCGGGTTGTATATCCCCATTGACGAATCGCTGTATCGGCTCGACGCTAAGCAGGCCCGACTTCCGGTCTATACCAATATTGACCAATACTAGTAGTGACTGTGGAGCCCGTCTAACATACCAAAAGCACGGCTATCTTGGATTCTCTTGTTCGACGATCAATAATGGAGCATGTGGACTGATGTTTTCATCAGTCCCCAAGTCCATTATCCATGTTCCAATGCACAGACAGAATCATAAACTTCAGCACGCGGCTCTCTCTTGTGTGAGACCCTGAAATTGGGGTAACGGGGTAGCCCTGGTAAGCACGACTCCGGCCCTGCAGTAGCAGGCTGGAAGCTTGATACTTGTCCTGGACTAACTGACACTAGGACGGACCTAGGCTTCACCTTAGGACGAAGCGCAACATGTTCCAGGACCAGCAGGCTTTGGGAACAACCCGTCCGGATTAGCTGCCAACCGACTTCCTTCCCACGGAACTTGTCTTCGTCGACCTAACTAAAAGGCCATCGAGAAAGGAAAGGGTTGATGTGTTGAACTACCTTTGATCTTCGATCAAAACCCAGGTGGCAACAGAAAGCTTCGTTTGGAAAATTCTTACCTTGCAGTGAGCCTTGCAGCGTGTAGAGTCCATGTACTCGCCTCTGGCCTTAGACCTGTCTAGCCTCTATTAGTTTGTTTGGACCTCTCGCTCCCTTTATCCTACCTATACCGGACCCGAACTCAAAAGGGCATGGAAGGCAGGATACGGAGTACAAGAAGACCAAAGCCCATCAATCACAGCATCATCTGACTCCTCTTTTTCCTTTGCTCAGGACGACTCAGCGCAACCTCGCCATTTCGATATGGGTGCCAATTATGTGACCGAGACGTCCGTGAGGGCGACTGGCATTACAATGATTGTTTTGACGACAATGGTCGCCGGCCTCCGCATCGGTGTATCTGTTGAGCAGCAACGGAAGTTCGGTTGGGACGATGGCTGGCTTTTGGCCGCCTACATCTTCTTTCTGGCGCTTTCAACCCTGTACATTGTGGCCGCGCCTGTGATGTTTAGACTCACCAAGCTTGCTAGTGGGGAGATTCCGCTGTATCCCACGGTTGCCGATGACGGGCTCTTCATCCAGAAGATATTTTTTGTCACCACTTCGGGCTTATGGCTCTGCCTGTGGAGTGTCAAGTTCTCCTTGATGGCTGTCTACAAAAAGTTGATGAACTCTTTGCCGCACAAGCTTAGATTGTGGTGGGCCGTGATTATATTCTGCCTGGTGGTTCGTTGTCCCCATCTATGTTCTGGTATTTTGACTTGGCTGATCAGGCTAGGTTCTGGCGGGCGCAATCACCTCATCAATGCTTTCTTGCTCGAGCATGAAGGCTTGGTTCACGGCAGGTGCTTGCTCAACCCCTCGAGATGTCAAGGCTGCGAGTATCAGCCTTTGGTATGCTTATGCGGTTGATATCCTCACCGATCTCCTGAGTCAGTATCCATCTCCAGTCATGTCAAGCCGCTACTGACAGAGGTCCCAGTCATGCTCCTACCCCTTGACCTCATCTGGAGTTTGAAAATGCCCAAGACCCAGAAGGCGAGCATTGGTGCCCTCTTTTGCCTCGGGTTTGTTTGTATTGCGGTAGCAACAATTCGAGTCAAGGAGCTGGGAAGCACCGTCAACAACAGTCAACCCAGTACTACTTGGCTAGCGCTATGGGGCATCGTGGAGTCCTCGATAGGTAGAGTATTCCCCTTGCTTTCCGTCCTCCATTTCCAGACCCTGATTATGTTCCAGCTGTCTTAATTGGCTGCGGGCCCGGTCTCTACCGCAAAGCAAGAACAATCTACCAAACCCGCCACGGATCCAACCCATCGCGTGGCTATGCGCGGTATGCAAACAGCAATTCCGCCAGACCTCGGGGGCAGGCACAAAGCATTGTGCTCGAAAACTACCAGACGAAGAAGGCCCGTACGAACACCGGGTCCAAGCTAAACGACGCTGCCAGCAGTCAAGAAGAGTTGGCCAATACAAATCTCGAGCCTGGCATTGGAGATACCAAGACTGCAAGTGAAAGCATCAAAGAGCGGGATGCAGATTCTGTGCGCCGCTGGGAAGAGAGACCGCATGCATACTAGAAGCCACCGATACTACCCACCCTGGACGTGAGTGTGCGTGCTGGCTGCCGCCGTCTAGGCATGATACGAACGGAAGGAGTTCTCACGAACTGGTAGAGACTAAATTCAGCACTGCATAACCTCCCTCACTGAACCAAGAAGCAAAAAAGCAATTGTCAGGCGGAATTGGGTTGGTTACTTCTGATTTACTATCAACCCTCCACCTACCGAGACATGTACAACAATTACGGCCTTGTTCACAAATGACGAGCAAAGTGGCATGTATACGATTTTCAGGAGATAGATGATGAGACTGGGCGCAGAGAGACCTTCTGGGCCTCGACGAAAAGTTTTGTGGGCGGACACACATCGAAATAACCTCATCTTGTTACCAGCACTACGAATATCCGAGACAGCGTCCGCAGAGTTGACAGACGAAATGGGGATTTATGGACCAGGTACCGAGAACCCAGTCCAGTGTATTGAGAAAAACTTGGGTGGAGCTCTGCAAATCGATCAATCTCGTGTATGTATTGTCAGTACGAGGCATCTAAGGAGTGGCTAATATGCAATGAGGGATTGAGAGCAAGCAGCGTTTGCGACTTAAAGTCTTGCTCGGGTGCAGCTGGTCAGGGCGGTTGCCAGGAGCGCATCAATCGACTATGTACAGGGGGTCAAGCCTTATCTATTTCTCATTCCTCCCACCCAAGTTTCCCAAAGCATCTAACAAAGGCCTGCCTATGCTCCTATAGGTATGGCCAAGGCGACTTCTTGGGGTATTGTGACATTTTTTAACGTTGGCTAGGCAATTTGATAGCGTTCTTACTTGATCTACCGAACCATGTCGGCCTCGCCTCGCCCTGAGCAAGACTCTACCTGTCTACCTGTGCATGAAAGTACCATGTGTATTTGATAGTAGCAATATTGCCGTCTAGAGCTTGAACGACGGGGGCCACCACCAAATACTCAGACAGGCACGTTTTTCAGCACATTAGTGGTGCCGCCAAACCATGTTGCCAACCTGGAAATCACAACATATATCGTTCCACACGTAGAGATCCTTCCATTGGACATTATTATGACAAAAGGAAAAAGGGGAGCCACCAATACTCATCAGCAGCATCCTTCGCGTCAAGAGATGAAGCACGTGACGTCTCATTGAACGGCCGTATCGAAGATATCGTTTCTCCAGCCACCGCCCCTTTCTTCTCCATCCTGTACAGCCTCTTCCGCCCTCAGAGCCTCCTCGTGCCACAATTTGACGATACTTCCGGGTGTATACACACCCCTGAAGATACCATGCTTTGGAGCGTCTACGCCAACTCTGGTGTACAAGTCCGGATCTTCTTCCGGTGTCAACCTCGCCATGACCGCCTTCAAGAACGTAACAACGTCTTGAGGATCCGCAATCCGGGTGGCACGTAGCCGTTCCCGGGCAAAAACAAGCTCACGGTTTGCGGCCCGTAAGGCTTTGACTATGTTTTCGGCAAGTGCCTTCTCCAGAGAACGTCTGATTAAGTGTTTCAGCAAGGGTTTGAATAGCCAACCGAGCCAAGACAACTTTGATTGGCGGAGGTCATAGTCAAGCTTGTGAATGTGTACTCTCACGCCGCGCAAGGTGAGGATTTGTTCGAGCTTCTCACGACCGATCTCGAGGTCTAGAGAGATGTCGATGCCGCGCTCATCAAGATAGAAGCTCGCAATGCCCTCATCGGCAAAGTGGACAAGGCCTGCATGTCCCCGAATCCAAAAGCCAAGGTCTTGAGCTGCAACGCTGAGGCCGTTGATGGAGATGGTCACGAGAGACTTGGTGGTGGAGACTGTCTTTCTCGAATGCGTTTTGCGGATTTCAAGGTCATTCTTGGTCGAGACAAGGAGGCGGTAGGGAAGGAAGGAGGTTGAGTTGACATTTCGGCCGGGCTCAAGCACAAGATTTTCGAGGAGGAGGTCCATTTCAGGAACGCTGACCTCCACCCGAGGGATGGGGATGTATTGTACACTCCGAATCAATAGAGGGAGGAAAATGTGAATGGCGTCGGTGATAAGGTCTGGGTTAGTAACCTTGTTTGGAGGTGTCAAAATGTTATAGATCCTCTTTGTAGCCAGAAGAAGTCCGTTGACGTCTTTGTCTTCTATCACAGAGGTTATGGTGACCTGTGCTTGCCTCAGCATCTTATCAAAGTCTGTTCTGAACTCGGACTCATTGCCAAGTTTAGCAGACTTCTCTTTCAGCTCTTCGAGTTTCTGGTCCACGTTGTCGAAGAATTCAGGGTCCGTGAGCATCCGCTGCACTGCGTTGCCAACGTCAACCATGAAGTTCTCGAATTGGGGGTCTGATTTTGCGTGGCTCATGACCCTGTTGAAATCCTGCTCCAGCTGCTCCCAAGCATGGGGATCGCCGAAGCTGCTTAGGAAACTCCAGAAATTGCGCACGGCTCGGTCCAAAGCTGGATTTGTATGAATGTCTTCCTGTGCGGCGGCGATGGCGGAATCTGCAACACGGGAATATGCCACAGCATAGCGCTGAATCAATTTTGCGATGGTCGATACCGAATCATGGTAGTCTGTCCGGCTTCTCAACTTGAGAATTGCTTGCTTCAGGCGATAGAGTAGGGTGTCTTTTTGCGAGCCGCTGAAATTCTCTTTGACACTCTCGACAGCATCCTTTCCAACTTTTGTTACTTCTGAGCCAATTACCTTTGTTGTCTCTGTAGCCTCCTGTTCCAACTCTTGCTTGGACGGCATGCTACCCTCATCGGCTCCAGGTTTTGCCACGACCTGCTGTTCCTGTTCTGAGAGTTCTAGTTTTTTACCAGTATTCTCGGCTGCTGAAGACAAGGAAAACGCAGTATCGGCCAGGACTTCCCTTCCTATTGTGGCCACATCATTGACAAAGAGTCTAAAATCGGGGTTAGTCAGAAGCAAACTTCCGACTGTGCGGAAGCTTTCGTAGGCAGCGCGGGCATCAGCCCTGGCTTTAACTTTGGAGGCTGAAGAAGAGATGTCATCAACATCAAGAGCGATTCGAGACTTTGTGGTGTACCAGATGAAGTCCTGAATCTGATCTCGATTATTCTTGTTCTTCAAGATCTCAATAAACAGCTGAATCCAAGTTCGACAATTCCGAATGAGTGCTCGGCCTGACTCGCTTAATTCCTTGTTATTTGGATTGAGGACGTCTGCGGCAAGGAGGGTGCGTAGGTTGACAATGGTTTGTTCGGTCGAGGGCATGTAACCTTTGGAAAGGGCCCGCAACATTTGATATGTATGCAGCTTCTGGTGGAGAGCTCTCTGACGAGTTGTGTCATCTTCATAGCGAGGGAGTAACGGATCAGTGTCTTCCCCTCGTGTGCGGCCGAAGCCACAGCATCGAGCAAGAAACGACATGATAGCTGCTGGGTCTCGAGGAAAGGCTTCCGAAGAGGCGATCGGGGCTGAAGGCTCGGTCAATCAGTATAGCACGCAAGCAGTGGGATTGAAGGGGGAGAGAAGTTGGGAGGCAGCCATCCGCCCATCGAGCAGGACACGATAATGATGAAGTGAGGTTTCAATTGCAGACTGCGGAGTCGCAGCCTGCAGCTCGATCGTCATCGCTTGCTTGCCAAGCTCCCGGAAGAGCTGTCCGCTTTCCCACCAATGGCAGCTGCTGGCATATCAAGGTCCATCAGCCCTACCGTACAAGTACCTCCGAGCAACTGTAGGGAAGCAAGGCGGTTGAATATAAGGATTCAGCATCCAGACCTTCATGTGGTCATGGCGTAGGAATTCTTTGTACAGTAGCACATGCTCATGCGCTTACTCGTATTTGCAACTCTCTTGTCGTAAATAGCCCACAGCCACTATCTGCAGCTCTCCATCCCCCCGGGGCCCCTCGTCCATCTACTCGGTACGGAAGAAAAAGACCAGATTGTTGAGGCAGCAGTTCATGGCCCTTCGGGGCTCGGTGACAAGGGTGTGCTGCATCTCGGGCTTATTGTGCCTAAGATGCAATATATCTGCAGAGAGAAGGGTGTTTTCGGGTATAGCTGTACAGGACTTTCCGAGTCTTCGTATTTCTCTCCGCATTTTCCTGCAGCCCATGCATAAGCGGCACAGCCCACGAATATCTATGATTTGGTCTACATTGCACTTTTGAGTCTGGGGAAGGTAAGCAGCAGGCTGATGAGTCACACGACCAAGCGACGATGAGAACCCGGAAGCTTCACAGACCGCCATGCTCACCGATGATGATGACTTGAGAGTCGAGACCACGCGCAACAGCCTTGTGGCCCCTTATCTGGAAATAGATTGTGGACGACTTATCGATCATGGTCCGACAGTCGTGATGCAGATTTACCATTGGACGGAGATTTGCCGACAGAGTGTACTGGGACGATCTATTCCTACTTAGCTGCAGCGGACGGAAAAGTTCTACAGCATATCCGACACCGCTCTGGCAATGGGGAGCTGGAGCTCGCAGCAGACAGAGATGCCATTGAACTGACTCGTGCTGGAAACAAGTTGAGACATGGTACGAGGAATCTCCGGCCCATGGATTGATTGTCCGCTGACACTATGTATCGTATTTGCCCTCAACTGTTCCCCAATCGGTGGCCGGAGCAGCGTCTCTGGAGGCCGAGATCAAGCTGTGAGGTCCGTAAGGGCCCAATTGGAGATGTCACGGGAGGTTTAGCTCACTCGCCCCTGGAATTAATGGGGATGGCAGCCACCAGCTGGAAGCCCCAGAGGCTGATAAGGACCCAAGGAGGGGCGCTGGCTACTCCCACGGCGCCTAATGCAGCCCCTGGTGCCCCTAATTGGTGCCTAATGTCTCTAAAATTTTAGAGCCATTTGCCCCTTTCAGCAGGGCTCCGCGCCTTGGGAGTCGAAGTCCCCCAACTTTCTCTCCCTCCGAAAATTGCGCTCTTGGATTGGCTGCCCGGCTGTTTATGAATCATCCGTCCTCCGATGCTTCCTCCAAAGAAAAACAGAAAAAAAAAAAGTTGAGTTTTCAGTTCAACAACTTCTGGCTCGCCAAAATGAGCGCCTCACAGGCTGAACAGCCTCTCTCACCGCACCCAAGTCGCACGGCTGATTGCCGCCTCATGTCCGTTCCTTCCCTTTTCCTTTTTCTCCCATTTCTCCACCTGCACTCTCATTGATGCTCGTCAAAACGTTGATGATACGCCATCCGTGACTAGTCCGGTGTGACTATTTTACCCTGGTGGCCGCGTTTGCTTTGTTAAACCATTTTCCACCCGGTTTATCCCATGCGCTGACACGTTCCTATATGTTTGACCTCGTGGGAAACAAGTCCACTTACTCACACTCCTGCCGAACCCACCTGATATCCGTTTCCTGAGCTACTCCGTACATACTCCGTACATTCAGCCCAGTGTGTTGGTGCCGGCCCGAGTGTCACTTCGGAGTCGAGTCTCTGTGTTGGAGGAGTCAGGACCATTGATAAACCCGTTACCTTTCCCTCGCGCTCTCCGGATGCTCTCCAACATCTCAAGATATTCCAAGTCGAGGCCAAACCTCTTCAACCTCGTCCACTCTGCAACCATGTCTACCACCGGGTCTCTGGATGCACCTGTTGCCCAATCGGTGGGTAATCTGACCTCAGTCACCACTCCTCAGACTCCCATTACCCATCGACCCAAGTATACTCACGCGACTGCTCATGTTCCCAATCGAGCGGCCCACTTCGACACCTCTCTTTCTGTGCCCGTCCGCAAGTACCTGCAGACGTATGGTCTCACCCCTCCTCGCGCAGAGAGTTACGAGATCCAAAAGAAGAGATGTTTGGCACAATTGGCTTTGAAGCCCACAGATCTCGAGAGGTTTCTGTATCTGAGCACCATCAGATACAACAATGTCCACCTCTTCTACCGCCTGCTGACCGACCACTTCACCGAGTTGACTCCGTTGGTCTACACTCCCACCGTTGGAGAAGCCTGTCAGAAGTGGTCAGAGATCTATCAGCAAGCAGAGGGCATGTATCTCAGCTTCGAAGATCGAGGCCACCTTTCGGCTATCATCCAAAACTGGCCTCAATCCAATGTTGAGATCACTGTCATTACCGACGGCTCCCGCATCCTTGGTCTGGGTGACTTGGGAGTTGGTGGCATGGGCATTCCCATTGGAAAGCTTGCATTGTACACTGGCTGCGCAGGTATCAGACCGGAAGGCACCCTGCCGTTGACCGTTGATCTGGGTACCAGCAACAAAGCTTTGAAAGAAGACCCGCTATACATGGGCAGCCGAAGAGACAAGGTGACACCAGAGGAAGAGCAAGAGTTCCTCGATGAGTTGATGGCGGCCTTGAAAGAGCGCTGGCCCGATATTGTCATCCAATTTGAAGACTGGAAGAATCCATTTCCCGCCCTTGAGCGCTACCGCCAAGATTATGCCATGTTCAACGATGACATCCAGGGTACTGGCGCTGTCATAATGGGAGGAATCATTGGCGCTATCAAGCAATCTGGCGTCTCTCCCAAGGACCATCGCGCAGTCTTCCTGGGGTCAGGATCAGCTGGTGTTGGCGTCGCCAAGCAGATCGTGGACTACTTTATGCACGAAGGGCTGACAGAGGAAGAGGCCAAATCTTGTTTCTGGCTTGTGGACAGTAAGGGCCTTGTAACTCAGGATCGGGGTGATAAGCTCGCCGAACACAAGATCTACTTCTCGCGAATGGACAACAACGGTCAACAGTTCAAGACGTTGGATGACGTTATCGAATATGTCAAGCCCACCATCATTATGGGTCTCAGCACGATCGGCGGCGCCTTCACCCCCGAGATCCTGCAAAAGATGGCCAAGTGGAATGAGAGGCCAATCATCTTCCCGCTCTCAAACCCCTCTTCCAAATCAGAATGCACCTTTGAGGAGGCAATCATCAATACCGACGGCCGAGCTCTGTTTGCTTCTGGCTCTCCTTTCCATCCAGTCATGCACAAGGGCAAGGTGTATCACGGAGGCCAAGGAAACAACATGTATGTGTTCCCTGGTATTGGCCTAGGCACCATTCTGTCCAAGGCCGTCCAGGTAACTTCCAACATGATCTACGCTTCTGGCGAGGCCCTGCCGACCATGATAACGGAGGAGGAGAAAGAGAAGGCCTTTTTGTACCCGTCGATTGCACGCATTCGAGATGTCAGTGCTCGCGTCGCGTTGTATGTCATCCGCGCGGCGCAAAAAGACAATGTGGACCGCCTGCACCACTTGCGTGATATGAGCGATGACCAACTGGAAGCATGGATCAAGGACAAAATGTACGATCCGCATAAGGAGACTCAAGAGCTCGAGAATGAAGTCCGAGACCTTGTGCATGATATTATGACTTCGCCAAAGTTGTGAGCCACACTGGTAGTGGGTTTAGGTTTGTCATTTTAGCGAACTGTGGTACCGGGTGACATTCTTATGCTGTATGTCTTTCTTCATCGAGGTGCGTGTCATCTGCGGAAGTGTGGATGGATGGACTTGGTTTGCAAATGGCGCCGCCATGAACTGCTTCATGCCCAACGGCCTTGGGCTTTGTAAGATCGCGATCATGAGTGGCTTTAGATACGAAGACATTGGCTTCCATTGCTTAACTTAGACGCTCCAAGAGGTGCACTTTCGAACCGAGAGTCACTATGTACCAAGTACTCCGTAATCCGTACTAATTACGTGCTCTGTACAACCGTGCACACTGATGCCGGTGTCCTGTTGATAGACGGCGAGGCAGATATGCCGAAGTTTTCCCTGTTGCTGTGGCTACCTTGCTGCCAAGGGATTCAGTCACGATATATCGTTGCCCGTAGGAAGGATATCCGAACTACTCGTGATGAAGAACATTGTAGGCGAGATCTTTTAGAGCGAGTCCACGCTGTGCAAGAAGCTCTGTCACATAGTCTTTTATTTGCCTCTATTTCCGTCCTGACGCCGGCGCTGTCGACTCTCTTTCTTGTCGCGCCATCAAAGGAAAGAAGGCAGGTGCTTGATTGAGTGCGGTTAGTATGGCGCCCGACACAACTTCACAACCTCAGGACACTTTGACCACTGACTCCATGGAATGTGCCGGTAGAAAAACAGTACTCCAACAAAGACTTGACCTGCAAACTCTCCATCGGTCGAAGACGAGATCACTGTCTAACACATGGCGTCGTTCCTAACAACCATGTACGAGTTTCTCAATTCCTCTCCCTCTCCTCAGCCTCTCTCCCCTCACTTGACATTGAAACAATCCTCTTCATGTGTCACCATCAATTCCTACACCCTGTGTGACAATAATGGCGACAAGGAGGCTCCCAAGACCGGCACTTCCTCACCCACCACGCCTTCCCGCGCCGTCCAACTCCTCCGCCTAGGCCTATTTTCTTCTCCTGCTCAGAAGTACGAAAACAATATTGACCGTTGTTCTTCACCATCTAGCAATGCCCGCACTCGAGGCCAGTTTAAGCCGCAGCGCGCCAACAAGGGAACCTCGAGCTATCAGCTGAGACAATTCGCAGAAGCGACGCTAGGAAGTGGCAGTTTGAGGAAGGCTGTCAAGTTGCCCGAGGGAGAAGATCTGAATGAGTGGCTTGCGGTCAACGGTAACCATACACGCCTCTCGGCGGAGATAGAAGAGATATCACGAAGAGAAATCGCTGACAAGGACCGTGACCTCCGACAGTGGTCGATTTTTACAACCAGATCAACCTGCTTTACGGATCAATCACCGAGTTCTGCTCGCCACAATCATGCCCTGAGATGAAAGCCACCGATGAGTATGCGAATCCTTTGTCTTGAGTCCTGTGGACCTATCATCTCCCCTCCCACCTCAGTGACCTCTAACGCCGCTTCCAGGTTCGAATACCTTTGGCAAGATGCCGCAACTGGCTTCCCAAAACCCACCAAGATGCCCGCCCCAGAATACATTGAACATCTCATGACTTGGGTGCAATCTAACATTGACAACGAGAGCACTTTTCCTTCCCGAATCGGTGTTCCCTTCCCTAAACATTTTCCCTCCACTGTACGACAACTCTTCAAGCGCCTCTATCGCGTGTATGCACACATTTATTGTCACCATTATCAAGTGATCGTGCACCTTGGGCTGGAACCGCACCTGAATACGAGTTTCAAGCATTTCGTACTGTTTGTGGACGAACACGGTCTCGAAAAGGGCGGGGGTAAGGATTATTGGGGCCCTCTCGGGGACTTGGTGGAGAGCATGTTGAAGAGCGATTGAGCGAACTCACGCTGTTCGAGATGAGGGTGTCCGTCAAGTATCGGGAGTTCCATTTGATGTCACGAGAGTCGGACTACGTCTAAAGAGACAAAAAAGGCATGGGACTAGGTGTATGGTACGGACTAGCAAGGCGTTTTTCTGGGTGGGTGATTAATGAGGACGATAGATGAGCTTTCGGCTCCGGGGAGACGGATACCTGGCATGAGCTCCGTTTATGTTTGAGTGACTGATCAATACTAGGTATGCAAGACGGGTTCTTGACGATCAACTCGTTCGGAGCGCATGAAACTGTGAACGTGTAATGGCAGCAGCCGAGGAAATGCAAGCACGAACACGAACATGGGGAATCGGAACCGGGATTGAAATCGGACAGTGGACTTCTAGGCTCTCAAGAATTTTTGATTTTTTTGATTGTGATTTCGAATTTGTCTCTTCTTCTCGTTGCCTGCCCGAAGTGTTTTGTTTTTCCTTCTCTGTAGAACGAACTATTTGATCAATCAAAAACCAGCCGAAGAAAAAAAAAAGGGCAGGAAACAATGGCGAGTTTGCTAGGTGTAAAATCACACAATAGCTGATGAGGCCCGTCCACAGCGCGCTCTCTGTCTTGCAGTCGCCCGCTCTCAGGGCCCAGGCTTAATCAAGGTGAGAAAGAAGGAATCACTAGTACCCTCCTCTCCTTGGATAGCCTCCGGGCCCAAACCCGCCGGGTCCTCCGCCTCTTCGACCGCCGCGCATCATTTCGTCGCTGTACATCCGACCCCCTCCTCGAGGGAAAGGTCCCTGTGCACCGCCGCCAAACATCCCTCTTCCAGGCCCCGGAGCCCCCCCGACCCCATTGCCATAATGCGAGGGCCGTGAGTTGTAGGTATCGGGTCTATCACCGCGACGATAGGAGCTGGGCCCCGCAGGTCGACTGTCGCGGCGGTCGTAGCGATCTCGGTCGCGCTCAAGGTCCCGGTCCCGGTCCCGGTCACGTTCTCTCTCTCGCTCTCGTTCTTGGTCGTGGTCGTGGTCACGGTCACGGTCACGGTCACGGTCATAGTTTCGGTCTCTGTCTCGTCGATCATCTTCCCTCCTCCGCTCGGTGTGACGCGCATGTGTATCTGAAGCCTGCGGTTCCTCAAAGCCATAGGGTCCGTCTTGAACATCCGCTTCGGCATTCCTGGATTCCCGATTGCGTCGATTGTCGTTGGAAGCCGCTCCCTCTGTTTCCATGTCGGCGTCTTCCATGGTGCTCTCGTTGCTGGGCTGAGGTTGTGTCTCCGGCAGCACCGCTTCAGGCGCGGAGCTGGTGTCCGGTTGGTTGGACTGCGAAGTCGAGATAGAACCAGGGCCAGTTCCCTTGAGGGAAAGTCGCAAGATACGCCCGTCCGCTTTTTGGTTGTGATAAGTGGATATAATCTGCTCCGCCATTTGCTTTTCGGTAAACACCAGTTCCGCTACAACGACTGGGCTCGTCTTCACGAGTCGACATGAGAGCATCCCACTGACGCCATTTTCGTCCACTGTTTCACCTTGTAAAGCGGATTCGATATCGGCAGCGGTTGTACCTGGGGCGAAATTGCTGGCTTCCACCACGAATGGCCCTGCCTTGCCTTTAATGCTGAGACCAGGGCCTCTTGGTTTTTGTTGAGAGGATATAATGTTGGCCTGCGAAGACTCGAGAGCGGAGGCGAGGCGAGATGAGCGTGCATTTTGAGGGGTTGCTGACGCTGGTCTTGACGGCGTAGAGAATAGGTTGTTACGGGAAGAGCCTGTGCTGGTGACAGACGAAGATCGCTATACCAGCCGTTCCCATCAGCCAGGAGTCCCACACGATTCCCAATACTTCCAGCTTGACAGGACTTGTTGTTTGATTATACCTTTGTTATGCGACTCGCAAGATCGGGTGTCTTTGAAGAGCCTTTGCTAGCGCTTCTCGGGGTACTCTTGTTCGCTTTATTCCTGCCAAAGATCTCGTTTGCCAGTGCCTCATTCTTCTTGCGCTGTCGATCTGAAAACTCAGTTAGTGGACACGTAGGCGCACTGCAGAATGATATGTAGAGTTATATACCAGCCTGAATTATTGCATCGAAATCAGCAGCGACTTTGGAGTTGGACATTGTAGGCGGACTGCGAAGAGGACGAAATAATGGGCTATGGAAGAGACCATGAAAGAGAAGAGAGAGTAGTTGGTTAGGTAGGGGTGGATCTAGAATCGCATGGACAAGCGACACTTTTGGACCAGGAGAAGCCGCAGTTGGAGAAGACAACAAGCTGCCTCTTACAATATGCGGCGCAGGTGGCGCAGGTCGCAGGTTGCGCAGGCAAAGCAGACCAGGCACCGCCAGGGACCCGTGTGGTGGGCGCAGCCTTGGCATATCAAAGTGCTTCGTGCTCCATATTCCATACCCTGGAATACCAGCCTGTACAAGTAATGCTTTGGTCACCAGTCGCTTTGAACATCTTCATCCGCTTCACCTCCACGACTCCTTCCCTTTTACATTTACTTTGGGTGTCAGCTTTCCTCCTATCATAACAGCGTCGTATTGGGGACTGGCCAAGGTATCAAAGGGACACAAGTGGCCACTCAAGCTAGTTCTGCTTCAATCACACTTTGGTCAAACTGACTGTAGCTCCAGATTCCATTGACTTTCAGCCCGATCTCGGGATCTTCGAGCAATGTCTTCCACTGACTCTCTGACCTCTCACTAGCCGCATAAAAGGACATCATTTCCCAATCAAGAGCTGACAAGGTTGAGGCAACAGCCTTCTCTGGAAGCACGAAATCCCACAAGATAAGTTTAGAGTGCCCCTTCTTCATTGCTCTGGCGATATGCTTCAGGATCAACCGCGCCCTGTCGTCCGGGTAGTCATGGATTATACTGTGCAAAAAATATGTCCTCGCCCCTGCAGATCGTTGAATGCGCATATCAGACAAGACATTACCAGCTTGGACTCGATTCCAAGCCCAGGAAATAAATTGTTGTTGCACTTACCTTGTACCGGTTGCGGGGTGAAAAAGTCATGGGCGGTCGCGCGAATGCCAGACTTCAAGCCATTCTCAGGGATCGATTTGATGACCTCAGCTCGGTCTTGCAGGACCAGGTGGCCTGGAAAGCTGTCAAATGGGTGTCGAACGAGAAACTTTTCCAGATCATGCCCTGTGCTGCCTCCGACATCTACGAGGAAGACCGAATCATCTTCACCAGTCGCACCTTGTATCAGTCGCTGCTTCACAGGATAGAACCCCAAGTCGTCATCGGACCAATGCGGGCGATCGAGCATCCATGTAGCCATCATACTGGCAAGTCCCTGAGTCTGCCCACGCTGTGCGAATATGTCCAAGATATGTGTCTTGCCTTTCACATTGAATGTATGTTGCGCTGGTGTGTTGAGGGCGTCTATTGGGCTAGTGTAGCCATTCTCTGCAAAGAATTCCGCCGTTTTCATGTTAATTGGAATGCAGATATCGTGCCTATTTGTCCACAGAGGTCACATTTGCGTCAGCTCCATGTTGAGGCAGTTGGTCTTTTACGTCCATGTCAAGGGACGCACATCAAAACAACGCTCTCTCTGAAGATGGATTGTGTCATAGCTTGTGCAAATGGATTGGGCACATAGCTATCTGCATCGACTTGACGAAGACTGTTCATCGCAGCGAGATGTTTCATCGTCCGTCCTGGGAGGGGATCTCATATCAGCATCAAGGCGACCAAATATGGCATGGCCTGTCAAACGGGCTGGCCGAACCAACCAACCATGGCTCTGCTGAGCACGCCGCCGCAATCTGATCGCTACTTTTTGGACAGCCCTGTTCAGCTGCAAGGTGGTCGAAGAGCCGCAGATCAACCGCCATGCGCAGCGCCGCAAGATGACTGGGCTGTTGTGGCCGCTCTAGGTCAGAGGGAAATGGCCTGTTCAACAATAGCACTGCACACTGACCTCGACCCACGTCATTCTCACAACCGCCTCACCAGGAGTTTCCAGGGCCGAGGCGAGCGACCGACAAGACTCAATCGCTGCTTCGCGTGTCTTGAGGTCTCCCGAGCTAAAGGCCCGTACGTGCTCATTAACATCTTGCAAAAGCTTGGAGATGATGTCCATGTCAATATTTGAAGGCAATGATGATGGTGCCATGGCGTCGTCCAGGTGCCCCGCGACGGGAAGTTGCTCTCGGGAAGCAGAGAAGGTTGTCGGACGGTAAAAGAGTGGGACGGACCCCCTCGCTCCCCGTCTAGTTCGCGATGGCGGGCGAAGAAAAACAACGCCAGCTTGCAGATAAGGCGGATAACTAATGCGCAATAGCCTGGCCTTTATGGACCCTCGCCACGTGTCGCTTGGTTCGTCCAACTTTCTCCTCCGCATTCCAACCTAAGATCTTCAGCTAACTGTAGCTCCATTGCTGTAATGGCTGCGCACAACGAGAACCTCATCCATGTTGATGAATATGACTCGTTTGAAGATGAAACGTACAGCCCGGCATCAACGGCTTCCAGCAGCTACGTGTCTTCAATCTCATCGCTCATCCGCGATGGCATTGAAGAGAACGGCCGACAGTATCCCGCGTACGGCAGAAACATGTACGGCCTTCCGATCGACGAAAGAGAGCAGGAACGCAACAATGTCCAGCACGTCAAATTCAAGCACATCATTGGTGGAGCTTTACACCGTGCTCCAATCCAAGACTCGCCGACGAGGATATTAGACCTGGGCACAGGGTCGGGCATTTGGGCCATAGAAGCCGCCGATCACTACGAGACGGCAGTGGTAACTGGCGTCGACATCGCGCCCGTGCAACCCGAATGGGTGCCGCCGAATTGTGGATTCGAGATGCAAGATATTGAAGACGAGTGGTTCTACTCCACCACCGACTTCGACTTTATACATGCTCGCGAGCTCATCATGGCCGTGCGCGACTGGGACCGTCTGTTCAAACAGGCATTTGATCACCTCCGGCCCGGAGCTTATATGGAGGTCGGGGGCACTTACCCGACCCCGACTTCTGACGACGACACGCTGCCAGCGACTTCACATCTGAAAGAAGTCGAGCGACTATTCTTTGAGATGGCCGAAGCGATGGGCACGCCGTTGAACGCGCCGACTCTTTGGAGGGAGAAGATGGAGCGTGCCGGCTTCGTCGACGTCACAGAGACCATCTACAAGGTCCCCCAAGGCATCTGGCCGAAAGACGCGCGGCTCAAGATCATCGGCGCCTACGAAAACTTCAGTCTCAGAAACGGACTCGACGCCTACCTTCTCCGAGGGTACACTACCATGCTGGGAGGAAATCCTGACCAACTGCAAAACCTTATTGCCGAGACCAAACGCGAACTGCAAAATCCAAAGATGCACAGCTACATCTTCTAGTAAGTTTCGAGCCCATGGCGGTTTGGTGGCATGGAGGGGCTCAAGGACTAACACAGCCCCAGTTACAATGTATTTGGGAGGAAACCTAGCCCAGCGTAGTTCTTGAAATCAAATGGCCGGTCTCTATTTCCATTTCTACCTAGTCCACCTCACCCCGAGAACATGTGTCGGGGAATCCGACCGGAAATCCTGACAGAAGTGCCTGTCAGGCAGTCCAACTAACGAGACTTAAGATGCCGAAGCTACTGATAATTTCCATTAGCCACCACCACCAGCAAGGTCCAAAAGGACAAATAAAAACAATCCAAATAATCTCTCGGAGGGCCGGAGGTCGGGTTGGGATTGACTCTAGACCAGTTAACCAAACCACCGAAACTGAAAGCAGTCCAGACAGCAGTCACTTCTAGCTAGCTACCTTGCCCTCAGAAATACAACAAGAAAATTCGGCTTTCACTTTCTGCACGGTATGGCGGGATTGAGGTTCATCTGCGAAACGATTCTGATATCGTGCCCGCACTCTCTTCTTTCACCGGCGCCACGCATCAGGGGATGACGATCTAGGAGAAGGTATTCGAAGAGGAAAACAAGCAAGCAGGGTTGGGTTTGAAAGTTGACTTGGGGAGCGTCTGAAATGCGTCCAATGCCCACACCAAGAAACCACCAGACAGCCCACCCCTTGGGTTATTGCCCTGCTTGAAACCAGCAATTTAGACTGATCCACCAATCAGCATCTTTCACATCGAAAGAAAGGGGAAAAAATAATCCTTACCAAGAATGTTAAGGTTGTGGCGCCTAGTTGTGTGTGTTAAAACCCAACTTTACTGATATGAGGTCTCTGTTGAAGGATTGGGAAAACCCATGGAGCGGCAAAATCAATGGACAATGCCTCTTCTCTTTCTTGATCGAGCTCTGCGTGTTGGATACCGTCCATTTTCACCGTACCGTTTGCTCTCATGAGGGCGCCCTACCCCGGATGTCTCCTTCGAGCCTTTTCCCTATATCCTTTCGCCTTGTCCCGCTGTTGAAACGGCTCTTCGATAATGAAATAGTCAAGGCTTGGGGTCCGTTTCCCTCGACTCCGCGCTCACATGCTTCTCCTTTTCCTGATTCTTCTGCCGCTGCTGATCTCCCCAGTTGGCGATAATCTCACGCTTGAATTCTTCCAGCTCCCGTTCGTCCGCGAAGAGAAGAGTTTCCGTCGTCTCGTGGGATTCCAACTCCCAGCAGAGCCAACGGCGCATTGCATCCATTATCTCGTGCTGCTTCTCAGGGCGGATCAGCATCATGATCTCCACGAACTCGAGCGCCTCCCACGTGCGCATCGCAGGCAGGGGCTGGGCGGGACCGCGATAGGGCCACAAGCCGTGTCTCTCGGCGCACGCGATGATGATGTGGATGCAATTCTGCATGGCAAATCGCGGGGGCACACTTAGATCCACGCCTTCCTCCAGACTGTTGGCGATCATCTCCCCAATCTCGCCTAGGAATCTCTCTGCCGTGCTGTCGTCATCTTGCAGGTTACAGAGGACGCCATTCAGAGCATAGATACTTGCCATCAACAGCCTCTCGTCCGAAACGGGCATTTTGACCAACTTGGGCGCCAGGAGGCGGCCCATCGCCGTCGTCGATCCTAGAGCAAGCTCTCGTGTCGCCCAGTAATGGCACTGTCCGCCAGAGCTGGCTGCGGCCTTCGTAGAATCGTGACTCGCAGCCACCTCGAGGGAGTGATACTGGCAATGGGTGCTGGAGCAAGGGGAGTTCCGCCTGATGCGGGTCCAAGATTGGATCCGTCGCAGATTCTGGCACACGTTGCACATTGCTGTCTCAAGCGAAGCACTGGTCGTAAACATCATGGGGACACCGGTTTGCAGGAAAGCTTTGAAGGCGATGGATCCCGATGAGAGCCTCATTCGCTGAAGGTTTCGAAAATCCTGGAGCATGTCGAGACCGGCTTTTGTATGCTTACGACCCCTCTCGGCCTGCCCGGCCATGGCATCGGCGTAGCCCGCAACGACCACGCATGTTATCGCCCAGTCCCAGGGGTAGCCCTGCTGGCTTCTCAGCAGTTGTCTCAACAGCCGATAGTTTGTCGACTGACGCGCGAGCATCCACTCTTCAGAGAACTCGGGCTGTGGCTTGAGCGTGTTGACGATGGATGCGGCCACGTACAGGGCAAGAGACATGTAGGCACTCCCCGTCAGTATCTCGGGCATCACCGAGTCTCGCAGCACGTCGTAGGCCGCCCAGGGTTTCGTGCCGTAGAATCTGCCCGGCACGTAAGACATGACTATGGACGCGCCCCTCAGTCAGTTGAGTTGGACAACCAAGAGAAAGGAGGAAGAGAAGGAGCCTTGAGGCTGACGGAAATGGAACAACTTGTGCTCGACTGAACCAGTCGCGCAGGGAAAGCGGACGAAAGGATCGCATCCGGCCGAGTCCCCAATACTGGGCGGTACATGGGCGAGCATTCTCCCCGAAACCTGGCCCTGGATGCCATTGGCAGACATGTTTTCCGGTTTCTATACCCGGCGAGCAGCAAGCCGCGTGTCAGTAGTTGGCCCAATCCCCCAGGGGCGCTTGAAAACTGTCAGGAAAGGCTCACACTTGAACTTGCTGTGAGCCGCAAAACGGACTGCGACCCGGCCTTTGAATGCCCGCGGACCCTGTGCTTGGGATGTCTGGCCAGGACGTGCGAGGAGCGCCGAGCATGGGACTTGGCTTCGGCATCAGTGAGTTCGGCGTCGCGCTTCGTCCGCTTGAGGGTCGTGGTCCTCACGGGGAGGAAATGAAAAGTGATCTTTGCCATGGTCGCATAGTGAACGTACGGCGTGGTACTTTTCCTGATGGCCTCAGATACTCAATATGCATGTAAAGTGCCTTTATCGTCACTGGTGAAGAGCTGAGGAGGAAAATCTTTTGCATATCAATCCGAAGGTTGTTTGCCCCGAGATAATATTGGCCATCTCTGCTCAGCACCTAGGGAGTTGGTTCGACTTACCCAGTACTCCCCTAAGAACGCTTATTAAGCAGATAGTCCGCCCTAAGCACCGTCTAGGAGGATGATTTAACTTGTTTGGACTTGGGCACTGCAGCCACCATGTACCAGGCCTCGGTGAGGTCCCCCTATCAAATGAAGCTGCTCTGTTGCCCAAAGGAGATTTAGCGACAATCAAACTTCTAACCGAACGTCAAGCCATCGACCGCGATTCTGAGAGGTGTTGCAGCTACATAGAGCCGAAGATATTCGTATGCAAAACTAGAGAAAAGGTTTTTTCCTTCTTGTTGAGGGTTCACTGGCCGGGAACCACGGGTCGGCGACGGCTCGCATTGATATGGTTGCCCCCTCACACTGAGCGGCATATCTCTATTCGTGGCCTCGTACGCGAATGAGATACCTTGTTACAGAGACTGCAACGTGAAGATTGGCGCGGAGCGCTAGGCCGGTAATTCGTTTGTCTTTGAGCTCGGCCTTCTTGTCCGTACAGAGGGCAATGTTCTTCCTGATTATTTGCGATATGTTCACCATTGGCCTCGTGAGTTGCTGTATGCTCCTGCGGACTCCTTTCAAGCTCATAGCGCTCTTCGTTAGATGGGGAAGTACTGGTTTGAAATGTCCAATCAAGCGCTCCGAATCAAAGCAATAAATCGTGTTGGCCGAGAGCGAAAGTGCCACATTGGTGTTCTCCCAAGAGTCTCTTTAAAGTTTGGGAGGTTGTCGCCAGGAGCGTAGTTCGTGATTCGCGTATTTGTAAAGCCAAATACCATGTTTGTCCAGGGAGAGTTGTCTCGGGACTTACCTGAAGTAGTGTGCTTGCCACGTGCTCCTTGCAGCCGCATGCCCCTGCTACTTCTTCAACAAGCTTCGCATCCGGGACAGCACACGAGTCCATAGAGACGATTGACCGGGATGGCATGTGGCTGCGTGTGCTGGCTTCATAAGGTTTGCGTGGCATGGCAGGTCTTACCTGACTTGAAATGGAGATCAACAGTTTGCTTTGCCCATGTTCAGACAAACAATACAGCGGCAGCACACGAGGCTGGCCCGGACAGATATCCCTGCGCTGAATTGCGCTTGCGGATAGGTGCCGTGGCTGGAGTCGTCTCAACCCGTCATGTAGGTCGCCAATAAACTAAGAGTTAGTGTTGGATACAACTGGTAAGTATAAGTGAAGTGGTCAGTGGAGCAGAAGGGCGTGGAAGCAAATAGCGACATCCCTCGACTACAAGCAGAAGTAGCCCAACTCACCAGCGTTATTGCCGGCAAAGACGAGGAATTTAAGAACGCAGAAGCAACAGCTGCTGAGGCCGAGTAGTGTCTGAGAATCCTGCTTCAAGCTCAAACTGCCAAACTCAAGAAGCAGATCAAGCGACGAGAGGAGGTAGAAGCCGCTCTCGCAGTTCAACAACAGCAGGCTTCCGCTGGGTTGGAAATGGCTGGTGAGGCCGAGCTTCGTGGCCTGTGCAACTTCTACCCGGAGAACTGCCAAAGCTCAACCAGTTCAAGTTGCATTGGATACTAAACAGTAGGCCTGGACAGGCTTGAAACCTGGGGGGTCGGTTGCGGCGGCGGAGAGTGCTCGGTGGTTCACAAGGGGCGAATCACGGGTCTCTCGCGTGGGTACCGGTTTTACTCACCTTGGCAGAGATCAAGTTAGTCGTCCCATCTCAATTGAGTCCTTCTTCTCCATAGAAACAACCATTTCACTGATCCTCGATTCCAGCCTCAGTCATCGTGCCTCGTCCCAAAGTTCTGGAGAATCAATTGGCGAACCGTAACACTCACCCATCGCAGCGATCGAGCACACCATCTGAAGACAAGAATGTCTGTAGCACTGCGGCCCTGCCTGCGACCGAATGCGTTACCCAGCTTGGCTTCTTCGGCCACTACCTCTACAACCTATATCTGTCAAGCATGTCGGCATGCGCGACTCATCAAGCGACCGAAGCGGCCCTATACATTTACTCAACTAGTAACGCTCTCCGACGGTAGTGCCTTCACCATGCGAACGACTTCCCCTATACCGGTCTACAGATCGACCCGCGACACCAGAAATTCTCCCTTGTGGAACCCTACCTCCAAGGAGCTTCTGAACGTGGAAGACGACGAGTCAGGGAGGCTGGCAAGCTTCCGAGCTCGGTTCGGTACAAGCTTTGATAGTTCAAAGACGGCAAAGAAGACGGACTCGGTCGCCGCGACCATCACCACAGACACTTCTTCCCCAACAGAGACCAGAGCCGCGCCTACAAAAGAGCCGACATTTGAGGAGGAGCAGAACATGTTTGCCGAGGATGACATCAACTTGTTGGACTTCGTCAGCTCATTCGGCCAGGAAAGAAGCCAACAAAGCCAGCAGACGCCGCCAAAACAGGGTGGGAAAAAGTAGGATGAATGTCAATATGTACATGTACGATGAGCATTTCTGCATCGCATTGGGCGGGACATCTACGTAGCGGAAGGACCAGCAGAGCCAGGCTGGTTAATGTACATTATGTGCGTGTCGAAAGACTGGCCCAGAGGTCAACGTGGATTACATTACCATGCTGCGTGTTTGGCTACACATTGTAATATTGGCTTTGATAATCGAGCCATACAATAAATCGCCGGGCGACGTTATCCATAAGCGCGTTGAGGGGCACAGGGGGTCGGATCACTGGTGCCCAAAGAATTCACGTCTTCTGGAGCAATCGGCACGAAATACATGGTATTGACTGCTGGTAGGCATTTGATGGAGCGGGGAGCGGGTGCCAAGCCAGACGGAATTGGCGAGTTTGGCTTCTTTGCTCCGCGTTGCACTCCGTAGAGGTCCAGGCAATAGCCATCTCCTTCCCGATCAGCAGTGACAGTATAGTCCTTTTCCAACGCTCATTCTTGCAAATATGGATGACTCACCATGGGGCGGTAGGGCGACTGCTTCTCGAGCGTATTGTCGCTGATCACGCTGACCATTTCGGTAGACGTTCCATCTCAGTCGCAGTCAGATAGCCCGCAAGATCTGGCCAGCTCGGCCAAACCAAATGACAGTACGAATATGCGTCTGAAGAGTTGCTGAGTTTAACATGCTCATCTGCGAAACAGCCCCTCCTTCCACAAAACCGACCTCGTCTTCTGGTCCTCGTCCTCCTTCATCGCGAAAAATCCCGGCTCGCAAGATCGAGGTCCAACCGACGAAGCTCGAAGCCGTGGACGATTCCCTAGATCCTCTCGGTCCCTTGGGCGCAGAGCCAGCTCCCGCAGCATCTGCCATATCTGTAGATCAAGCGCCGACTCCGCCGAGGAAAGAACTCACAGCAAGAGTGAATCGACAGCCTTCTGCGACCTCACCCGGTTTTGTCAGTTCGGAATATGAAGATAGCACTCTTCCTCTCGGAAGACCCAAGGGTCCGCCGCCGGTTCAGTCACAGACGATCCCTCCACCAATCCGACAGACCCCATCGAGTATGAGCGTGGAACAAGCCGCCAAACCAACCTTCGAAATCTTGGTGGGCGATCCACACAAGGTTGGGGATTTGACTAGCAGTCACATCGTGTATCAAGTCCGCACAAAGGTATGTGAGTTGAATAGGAACATGCTACAGCTGCTGATGGCTGCAGACTACCTCAAAAGCATACAAGCAGCCTGAGTTTGCCGTATCACGACGATATCGGGATTTTCTTTGGCTATACAACTCAATGCATAACAACAACCCGGGCGTGGTCGTCCCTCCGCCTCCCGAGAAGCAAGCCGTCGGCCGTTTTGATAGCGAGTTTGTCGAGTCAAGGCGTCAAGCCTTGGAGCGAATGCTGAACAAAATTGCCTCTCATCCGATCCTGCACCATGATGCCGACCTCAAAATCTTCCTCGAAAGTGATGCTTTTAACATTGACGTCAAAAACAAGGAAAACAGGGAGCCGGACTTGGGTCAGAACAAGGGAATGCTGAGTGCTATTGGGATCAATGTTGGTTCGTCTAGCGGCAAGTTCGTTGAGCATGATGATTGGTTCCATGACCGCAGAGTCTACCTCGACGCCTTAGAAAACCAGCTGAAGGCCCTAATGAAGGCTGTCGACATTGTTGTTGACCAAAGGAAAGGTCTCGCCGCCGCGGCAGGAGAATTCGCCGCATCGGTTAATAGCCTTGCTCAGGTCGACCTGTCACCCGCCTTCTCCGGTCCCTTGCAAGGGTTGTCAGATGTGCAGATGAGGATCCGAGAGCTGTATGAGCGACAAGCACAACAAGATGTTTTGACTCTTGGGATTACTGTGGACGAGTATATCAGACTTATTGGCAGTGTGAAGCAAGCTTTCACCCAGAGGCAGAAGGCATTCCATTCATGGCACGCCGCAGAAAGTGAACTTGCCAAACGACGAAGCGCTCATGAGAAGCTTCTACGGCAGGGTAAAAGCCAACAGGACAAGCTGAATGAAGTCGGTGCCGGTGTTAGCGACGCCGAGAAAAAAGCACACCAGGCTCGATTATTGTTTGAGGACATGGGTCGATTGATGAGGGGAGAACTGGAGAGATTTGAGCGGGAGAAAGTGGAAGATTTCAAGAGCGGCGTGGAGACGTTTCTGGAGGGTGCTGTCGAGGCTCAGAAAGAGGTATGTTGGTGCTGTTCAAAAGAGAGGAAGACTGTGCTAACAAGGTCAACAGCTCATCGAGTTGTGGGAAACTTTCTTATTACAAATGGATGCCGAAGACGAAGCTCCTCTGAAAGGCCATCCGCTTTCAGGCGGGCCATCAACGTTGGGAAATCCTGGGCCGACCGGGCAGATCGGCGAGGGCGAGGCTGGTGAAGCTCATGGAACTGCCGCACCAGCTTCAGCAACAGACGTCGCTCTTGAACAGGATGCCTAGTATTGGTCCCTCGAGCGCGCTTCATGAGTAACCACTGAAGGCACAAGCGAGCAAAACAGTACCAAAAGGGCGGCATTGAATGAATCAGCAGCTGTGCAAGCGGGCCTCTACTTTCTCCTTGAACTGTGGGTGCGTTGCCGTGTTAATTCACTCGTCACTAGATACCCAACCTCGTGTCCTCACTTCACCCACCACCTGCTGCTCTGTTGCCATGTAGCGACTGGGCTTCTTGAACATCACCGTCTTCTTCAATCTTTGTGTCATGATCATCTCGTCCTCTTACCAACCCACCTCCGGTCGTGCTGTCCTCTCAGTCCAACGCAGACTACAACATTGTCAGGTGCAACTTCGCCGTCGCGATTGCCGGGTCACGCTCGCTTTTCGCCCACAAATTCAGCTGCGCTCATTGAAAAATAGCTGGCGGGAAAGAGTCGGGCGATCTCAACCAGTGGCACACCACCAATTCTTCTTTTGACGCGACTTCCCTGTCTCACTTTTTCCACTCAAGTCGTGCCTTCCTTGCGAAGCTCATCACGACAGTCCCTTGAACGTCCCCAATGGCACGGATACAGAATAGCAACTTGAGCTCCTTCTCTCCGTGGCATCCTCCCTGTCGTCCCTCCAGCCACGGCGTGATTGCGACCGACCTTCAGTCACCCAGAAGATTCAGGTTCAGCAAATCAGTTATGGGCATCATGGACCACACGTTCCTCGCCCAATCCATCACGTCGGCCGATCCGTCCATCGCGGCTTCGTGGGTCCAATGGCGAAGTGAAGATTCACAAACAACATCAGACCGAGATCCGACACCCACAACTGTAAACGAGGTCGATCTGCCCACCAGTGCAAGCTCAACGGCGGTGGGGAGCTCAAACTCGACTCCTCCACCGCCATTGTCTGCCTCGTCCCTGTCGATGACCACCGTTCTCACATCATCGCCACTCTCATTCCCTCCTTCTACTGTACCCTACAGCCCTCTGCCAACTTCGACCGAGACGTCCACGTCCGCAAGTGTAAACACCACCATCACCTCACCGCCATCCTCTGCCTACACCACAGGCATATACATTGCTCTCGGGATATTCTTGTTCTTCGGCATCATGTGTGCTTTGGTCACCAGCCCTGTGACTGCTACTGCGATCAAAGGGCTTCTCGGGAGGCGAGGAAGAGCTAGAGAGCAATGACGTCGAAGAGCAAGAAGCAGCGTGGACGTTGCTTGAGCGTTGGGTTTTGGTCTACGCGCCCTTCAAGAATAACAACAACCTGCGGCGAAAGAGAAAGAAACGGTGGATGAGCTAGCTCGCAATGGCAAGGGTCCATGTGACCTGACCTAGCTAAAGATGAAGGGTCTTGTTGTCTGAGTAGCTAGATTTGACTGTGTGACATGGAGTGCGGTACGAGATTTTGTCGGGGGTCCAGTTCGAGTCGAGGACCTGTTGAGAACAATCAGTCTGCTGGCATCAGGTACGACGAGGATATCACAATGTTTCACACGGGGTGGCCTTCTGCAAAAAAAAAAAACAAGATATTTGATCTATGTCATGTATGTCAATCGATCGATCGATCGATTGATTGACTGATGGAGCAAGCATGTCCTCCTACTGGCCTCGTCGACGAATTTCCCGTGACCAACGCGCTGCTCTCCCCCCTGGATAGTGAATCAATCCTCCGTATTCGCGAGGTACCTACTCGGGAAGCGCGCCCTGATCCTAAGTCGCCATCTCCCCAGCTCTCTCTCGACGCCAAAGTGTGTATGGACGGTGGGAATGCGGAGTTGAGTGCCTGGGTACTCACGCCAGAATGGGTCCCGTTAACGAACGAACGAACGAACGAACGAACAAACGAGAATTGCTGGACGTCAAAGTCCTTACGGGATCATGGCTGGAAATGTCCATAAACAAGGCACTCTACACAGTTGGTCGAGCTGACAGCATGTTATATCCGACGCACCCCGTAGTGATGTGTCCATTGCCACTTGGAAGCTCCGTGGATGAATCGATATAAATCAGACCGTGGCTTTGCAGGCCCATCATTTGAGTGTGAATTCATGCTCCAAAGGCATGCGGCATTTGGTGCTTGTTAAAAGATAATTGTACCTATACCAAACCGACCCGCATCCCTCCTTTGCTTTTTTGCTACCAGTACCCATGTCACTCTTCACCCATTCCATATAAACCCTTACACCGTTTCACTCGCCCCAAAGCCATGCATCTTGCTAAAGTCTATCCCGTCCTTCTACCCATTCTTGGATAACCTGTTCCTCAATCATCTCCCCTCATCGTCCATCTCTGAAACATCCGCTCTGATAATGACAATCTTGTCACCCCTCTCCCGCGCCTCACGCTCTGGGCTATCACGAATCTCCACCTCGACTTTTACGCCCTGACGCTGTTTAGAACCACTGCGGCTCGGCCCAGGGCTGAGATTGAACTGTTGCTGTACAGAGTTTGTCTGTCTCCCAAACGAAGGCCGATGGGCAGAGATGGATCTTCCCCGAATGGGAGTCTGAAGAGCGGGTTTCTGTGGGCTTGCTCCTGACTCGCTGTCTGGACCAGCCCGTGTGGGCGGTGCCAGTACCTGTTTCTCTGACATAGCACGCTGAAGAGGAGTCCTGGGGCCTGGCTTGTTGTCGCCGGTCTCTGCAGGGAATTTCAGACTTCGAAACATCTCCTTCGTTGGAGCTTCCATTGGCGTCGGGTCAGCCGTCTTCTCTTGTTTCGTCTCGTCACGCTTTGCTTCTGTCTGCCTTCGTGGTAGTTGAGCTCGAGTCGGTCTTCGACTGAGACGTTCCCTCTCTGCGTCCCGGCGTCGCTGCTCTGCATCGTCTTTCTCGTTCGCAGCTTGCAGTATCTCCTGAACTTTGCTTCGAACAATATTGTGTCGAGTTGTCGGATAATGTTCGTCCTTTGCATCTGCATCACCAGAAGAGGTATCGGTCTCCTGAGGTGGCAAAGAACTTCCCTTGTTAAAAATGCTCCATCTGAAAGGCCAAGTTAATGAAGGCTTCCTCTCCTCCTTGCAAACGTCATCACTTCTGGCCTCTTCTTCAACAGGCACAGGGAGTTCAACGTCAAAATGTTCCTTTTGCAGTGTACTTGGAGGCCTGCTGGTCTTCTCTTGTGTGACGAGTGTTGGCAGGGTCAGGGGAATCAAGGGTGTGCCTGGTCTTTCCTCAATCGTGTCTCCAAATTTGATTCGGTGGATCTTTTTTGTCTCCTTGCGTGGAGGAGGGTGGTAATGCTGATGCTGATGCTGATAAAATCGGTCATGCTCGTGCCCAAAATGCTGACAAACTCGTTCATGGCCTGTCGTCTTTTTGCTGAGGCTTTCAAACATGGCAGCTCTCTGCTTTACAGGACTCAATTCACTGGTTTGGTCGGCAAGTGGTTTCAGCCGCGGAGCAGCAGGGGACTCTGGCTTGTCAGTTCCTTTGCCGCCACTGTCTTGCTGTTGCGTCTTCTCCTCCCCCTCGTACTCTACTCGCGTTGATTCCTCGCTGCTCCGGGGCACAACAGATTCGGTGCTTCTCCGGGATTGCCGCGCACGAGATCGCGACCGACCACGATCTTGCCGGGTAGATGCTCGACGGAGAACGAAACCGGGTTTTGGGGCGAGATTGGCAGGCTGCTCATCGGAAGAGACATCAGGTTTGGGAGAGCTATCTTTGATGGCGTCATCCAGCATAATATTCAGCTCGTCCAAGGTGTACGAGCGGCCGCGTGATGGCTCTTCCCGAACAGCTTGTTCTTTCGGAGCAATGGAGCGAAGCCGAGATCTAGCCATTGCAATCTCGAGAGCAGGATCATCTGTTACGTTTTCCATTGATCGATGTTGTCGTCGACGGAGCCGATGGCTGTCTTGCCGCAGGGTTGGCCGCCGGGAAGGGGTTCTTTCTTCGACAGGCCCGTCCATGCTGGTGAAAGGGCGAAGCGGGAGGGTCTCCTGATTATCTCCTTGCTCGCAATTCTTTGGTCCCTTGTAGAAAATGGAGGCTGTGGGAAGACATACGTTGCCTCGGATACTTTCGTTGCTATCTCTGGATGTTCGTCCAGCCGGAGAGGCGAAACTGAAGTCTTCCCTCCGTCCTCGATCAGAGAAGAAACCAGACTCTGTGGCTTGGAAGAGAATGCGAGGAGGGAGATGGAAGGATGGGATTCTTGTCTCGAGTCGGTGGACGTCCTGGAACGCTCGAATACGGCTGGCCACTGTGCCACCTTGTGGACTGCAAATTCGTTAGCAATGTGGCGTGGTTGAGGCGAGATGAAAGCCCAGACCTCTGTGAGCTATCCATGTTCGGAGATGAGTAGGGTGGCTATGGTGATATGGGACCTGTCATGGTGACCACGGCGCTTTAGAGGGAGAGGTAAATGATAAGGTTAGCTAACAAAACGGATTTGCCATGAGAGAAGAGAGGGAAATGATCGTTCCTGACCGGAGGTTGTGGTGCAGGAAGCAAGACTCCGACATGGCAGGAGCGTGAGCGGCACTGATCGAGATTTCAGAAGGGATGTGCACCCAAGGGCAGCATGATCTGGTGTCTTTCGCTATGCAAGAGCGGGATTTGGTTCGATGCGGCCTCCCCGAGCGAAGGCAGCTCACCCGATGCTGAAACACTGTAGGGCATAGAGAAAAGTGAACAAAGTCCAGGAGCACATGGAATGGATATTGCAATTCAAGTCATCTGAGACCTGACAGCAGCCCTTTGTGGTTTTCCCTCCGCCTTACTCTATATGTACAAAGCGTAGTGAGTCAAATTCTTACTTCATTGCCGCCTGCAATGATTCGAGAACCTGTGTAGCGAAGAAAATGCAGCGTCAGCATATCCATCTTCCTCCCAAAGAGACCATTGGTACTGTGTATAATCTCACCTCGAGCTCGATCTTGGCCTCGGCAATGTCTTGCTCGCTTCCGCTTCCACTAGCAATCTTCTGAGCCTCCGCTATTTGTGACTTGATCGCCTCTTCGCTGAAATCCTCAAGGGGAAACCCTTCCACGGCGTTTATGCTTAGCACGGAATCCGGTTGGACGACGGCGAAACCTCCCGAAACTGCCAGCGAAGTGTCCGGTGTCAGCTGTTGATTCCCACACCCCAGGTTGCCGACCTCATGTTCTAGATGTGAGACGTACGGAAAAATTGCTTGTTTCCACCACTCTCCTCGATGATTTCGACCAAGCCGGGTTTCAGCTGCTCAATGGATGGGACGTGCTGTGCAAGGATACCCATTTCTCCAGACTCGGCGGGAATGTTCACTTGTACACTGGAGGTATGGTTGTCAGCTGGGGCCACTATCGAGGGGTTCGAATTGGGATGCTCGGGTTCCGGAGCGGTTCAACAACGTACACGTCTTGTGAGGAATAGATAGACTAAGTATCGACCATATTGTCAGTTCAACTCCTCGAGCCAAAGCATGCATCCTTTCTTCTCTCGCTTTGCAGACCAGCAGGTCTCGGGCGGACGTACCTGGTGAGGGAGGGCCAGGGAGAGCTTTATTTTGTCGGAGACGGCCTCGGCGTACCCTCTTCGTTGAATGGGCTTCAGGATGATTGCAGACCTGGCGCGCAGCGCTGCACGGGACAGTCGGAGGGCGCTCATGGTGAAGACGAGCTCAGGAAGGTTGTAAAGGGAAGTCTGAGAACAGTAGCGAGCTTCAATTGAGCTTTCTGCGGACGAACCTTGATGTCGAGACAGCCAAGCTGGGGTTCCAAAATTGGTCTAGTGGACAGTTTTCAAAAGTAGTAGGTGAGCCGAGCCTGGTCGAGGGGAAATACTAGAACATGTCTTACAGCTGGAAGTTAATGTTAAAGAATGCCTCACATTCATACCAGAGTTGGTGTCATCGTTACTGAAGGCGGGTAGCTAGTGTCAGGCCTGTACCATACACTCGAGCTCGATTCTTGACATATACTCAGGCCAATTCGGGCATATGCATGGATTCAATAATATATCGAACCAGGCAGACCCATCCCATCTTTCGGTCCTGCAAAGATAAAGCTCCATGCGCAGCAGTTGCAGACCGAAAATCATCTGCAAGCGTGAGGAATACGCTGCGCAGGTAGTCGCACTCTTCGGAAAACCAACGAGCGCTTTTTGACCTCGCTTCCGAACACCCATTCATCAAGAGCTGCAAACGGACCACATCACAAGCAATGACCACTGCGGTCGGAGCCGGGGTTTGGATCTCTC